ACATTTGGTATAGAAATTGGTTAATATTAGCTTTTTTAAAACGCGGAAAAAGATGCGCTAATGGGCAAGGTGCGGAAAAAAAAGGTGCGCAAATGACCGGGTGCGCAAAAAAAAAGGTCGCATTTGTCCCACTCCCCGGGGCTCGTCATCTTTTTTTGCAATAATTTTTGCTAAAAGTACCGTATTATTTTCCCAAGTGTACGTTTTCAAAAACGCATTACTCGCGAGGGACACACTCTAGTTTGAGGACCATGAAGATTGCGCCTAATGGCGCTGTTTTGATCAGCTCCCGAGCAATCCTCTTTACACGTCGAGCAAATTGAATACCTTTGCATTTGAAGGAGGAATTTGCTACCAAATCAGTTAAACGGCTGAATATCTTGAAAAAGAGTCGTATATAAGGCGGCGCTCGTGATTTTTTTCGCCTCAATTTTTAATAGTTTTCGGGGGTGGGACAAATGCGACCTTTTTTTTGCTGGAAAAGGCCTTAGGCAGGGCCGTAGAGCTTCAAAAATGTTTTCATAAAACGGAATCGTATGCGTAGATTCCGAATTTCGACAAATCAGACCTCGCTGACACGTCAAATTTGGGCTAAAAGGCAAAAACTACGCAACTTAACGCTTTTCCGCAGTCCAGGCCTTTTAGCCCAAATTTGACGTGTCAGCGAGGTCTGATTTGTCGAAATTCGGAATCTACGCATACGATTCCCTTCTATGAAAACATTTTTGAAGCTCTACGGCCTTGCCTAAGGCCTTTTCCAGCAAAAAAAAGGTGCGCAAATGTCCAGGTGCGCAAAAAAAGGTCGCATTTGTCCCAGCCCCTTAGTTTTCGGTAAAAGTACCGTATTATTTTCCCGAGTGAGCGTTTTAAAAAACGCATTACTCGCGAGGAACAAACTCTAATAAAAATCATGGTTGTTTCAGAATCATTACTCAAAAAAAACTCAGAATTGGCGGTGTGAGAACGCTTAAGTGCAGAAATATGTAAAAAGAACGAAATTACAAATGCGTTTACACTTTTGAGCACAAAGTACACAAGCGTAGCCTTATACTGTACTGTAAATACTGTAAAAGTACAAAGCTAAACGATTTTTGCAGACATTTTCACAAATTTTTGCTTCTTCATCTGCTTCTTAACAAAATTGTGCCGTTCCGGGAAAATTCCACAAAATTTTCCCACTTTTGTCCACTCAAAAATCCCCTTTTGATGTATTCGATCACCTGGGTAACCCCAAAAAATAAAAAATAAAAATATTTCCAGAGTAAATTACCATTTTCCGGTTACGATCTTTCCAAAAAAGAAAAGAAAAGAAAAAAATGAAATAAAACTCGAGGAAATTAGCAATTTAAAGTTGATGGCTGAAAATGATTTTCTTCAAGTTTTTCGCAAAAAAAAAATTCGCCGACAAATTTACTTAAGAAATCATGTTTTGAGGGGGGAAAAAAATTTGGTTTTAATTGTCTTTGACTGACTCAAATTCTTTTGCGATTTCCCGATCCCCTTGAGAGTTTTCTTTGGATTAGTTGATCAATTTGTCTATGCTTTTTCTCTTATGAAATTTAGAAAAACACTCGACGGCTTGAGGTTATTGAGCTCTGATTGAGCCTTTATTTCATCACATATCATTTCCTTAGATGTTCTTGATCATTCCGTAATATTTCAAGGGTTTACCCCACATCTTATTCCCTTCTCTTTCTTCCCTTCTCTTACCCTCTTTCTTCCCTTCTCTTCCTCTCTTTCTTCTCTGGCAAGAAAGAGACCAAATAGCTCAGTGGTTAAAGCCCTGAAAGGAAAAAAGGTCGAGAGTTCAATCTAGAACTTGTAAAATCAATAGCTGTTGAGGCTAAGTGTATTGAGTTAGAACAAATGGGTGCAAGGAAGCCAATACAGGCAGAGCAAGTAAGCCAATACAGGCAGAGCAAGTAAGCCAATACAGGCAGAGCAAGTAAGCCAATACAGGCAGAGCAAGCCCTAACTTAAAAATCAGTTCAAACTTTGTCCACAACACTACTTTAGCTGCAGCTAATTGCATTAAAGATTTTCTCTGGCAATCTTTCTTTTTCCTTACAGACAAAAATTGACTAAATCGACCTTTGAATTCATTGTTTCATCCATGCAATCACCGTGCTTCTGCCCGTTCAAACAATCAGTTCAAACTCTGTCCACAACACTACTTTAACTGCAGCTAATTGCATTATAGATTTTCTTTTAATTTCTTCGATCGTATATTTTTTACGCAATTTGCACATATCCTTTACAAATTGACACTAAAAATCAACATTTAAATACAATCAAAAGCTTAAAAAGACTTGAACCAGTGTAGACTCTCCTCATTTTAAAGCAATTCCTGTTTTTTATTCCAAACGTTGTCCGCCAAACTGTTTCCAAACTGTTTTTTCTTCCAAACTTTGTCTGAGCACTTTCGCAGAATCGAGTCATGATCGAAAAGAAGTTTTTAAATAAATTTAAACAATATAAATTGAAAAAAAGCATATCAACTTGAGTTTGAATAACCAATTCCTGCAATTAGCTGTAAAATGCTAAAACTTGATTCAAAAGAAAAACAAAAAGCTAAAGTAGGGACCGAACCATGACCTTCTGCCCTCCAGTCTGCATGATCCAGTAGACCATATCAACGCACCTATCCTCTGCCACGAAGGAGCCTTTTAAAGCCGTTTTGACGCCTGCCTTTCCTTGTCTTTTAGTGAGTGCCGGAAAGTGAAATCGGTTTTGCTTGGCCTAAGCCTAACCATCCAGTTACCGTACTCCGTTTAACAATGAGTTATAACATCCAGAATGAGATCTATTAACCTTTCTGATTTGACCAAAAGTCGCCATTACCTTCACTTCACTTGGCTTCACTCTTAGGCATCAAATTCATATGCAATGCATTGAATTCAAATGCAATGCATCAAATCCAAATGCAATTCATCAAATCCAAATGCAATTCATCAAATCCAAATGCAATTCATCAAATCCAAATCAAATGCATCGTCAACGTCAACGACAAATCGACTTTTTTTGATGAAATTACTTTACGATAATGTTCATTGAATGATGAAATTGAAATTTCTTACATCTTTCCTCACCTAATCTATTACAAACTATCTATTAGATCTATCTATTAGCTTTGTCTATTAGCTCTGTCTATTAGATAGATTGTAATAGATCTAATCTATGATTTAATCTACCGTACCCTTCATCAACAAGTTCTTCAAACTTTTATAGCAAATTTCTTCAATTCTCTACAACCTCTCTTTGTTAATGTTGTTTTTCTAATAAATTTTTATGATTTTATTATCGGAGCCTGTTTTTAGAAGTTAGGAAAACTCGATTTGCTTACGGAAAAGCCCAAAAAAAAATTCCAGTGGAATGTTTTCAAAAAAAAATTTTTTGAAAACAAAAGCTTTTCAATTTAATATTAGAATTTTTAAAGGATCTTTAAAGGATCAAGGATTTTAAAGGATTTTAATCTTTGAAGGATCTTTAATCTTTAAAGGATTTTAATCTTTAAAGGATCTTTAATCTTTAAAGGATTTTAATCTTTGAAGGATCTTTAATCGTTAAGGGATTTTAATCTTTAAAGGATCTTTAATCTTTAAAGGATCTTTAATCTTTAAAGGATTTTAATCTTTAAAAGATCAAGGATTTTAATCTTTAAAGGATCAAGGTTTTTAAAGGATTACTAGGTTTTTCAAAAAACATTCAGTACCATTGTTAAGGAAAAAGAGTACTTTTTTTTAGGTGAGCCCTGATTTTTTCGACAGATCTGAATTTTACCCTCAAAACTACGTCTAGAAAAGAGTTCTCAAGCGATTTAGAAAGAAGAAATTTTTTTAGGAAAAAAAAAAGTACAAAAAAGTACCTTAAGTTTTTTTTTCGACAAAATTTTCCTTTATCTCTCAGCACCGAACTTTTAACAACAACAAAAAAACAGCAACAAAAAACTTTTAAACATTCAGCGCTCTTTCATCCTCTTTTTAAATCTTTTCATTTTCTACATAAATTTCTTCTTTTAAAAAAAAAAAAAGAAAACACATTTATTGAAAACCAATAATGTGATACAAACAAAGGGTACATAATAAGACATAAAGGTTAAACACACAATTTTATGGCACTGCGGCCGTTCTCACCCCTATTTACCCCTATTACCCAAATGTTGTGAAAGAAAAAACCCACTTGGTGGGAAAAAGAAACATTTCTTATCTTGCCAGAGTGATTGAACCCTCGACCTTCCGCTTAAGAGACAAGAAATAAGACAAGAAATAAGAAAATAAGACCTAACCGGTCGGCCATCTGGCCATTCTTTTTCATTCTTTTTTACAGACTCTTTTTCATTATTGAATTGTCTTTGAGATTTTTGAGAAAAATTAATTTAAAGAAATTAACTGAAATTTTCATTGTTTGAGATGTCTCGTGGGATGATTTTGGGCTGTTTATTTGTTTCATTCTTAAACCGAATGAACCCGGCTTTCTTTGGACTCGGTGATTCCACAGCGAAACTTTCAACTCTTCAGCTCGAGCCGATTGTTTTACTAGAGCTAATCTTGCTTGAATTGCTTGAAAGTAGTTTGCTTGTAAAGCTTCACCTTGTAAAGCCTCACCTTGTAAAGTCTCAGCTTTGTAAAGCTTCACCTTGTAAAGTCTCAGCTTGTAAAGCTTCACCTTGTAAAGTCTCAGCTTTGTAAAGTCTCAGCTTGTAAAGTCTCAGCTTGTCAAGCTTCAGCTTTGAAAAGCTTCACCTTGTAAAGTCTCAGCTTGTAAAGTCTCAGCTTGTAAAGTCTCAGCTTTGTAAAGCTACAAAGCTTTACAAAACTTTTAAATTTTCAATTCCACTTTGAAAAACATTTCTTGTTCAAATCAGTAACCAAGTCAAAGTCCAGTCCAGTCCAACTCTTGAGTTTACACTTTGATTAAAAAAAAACTCTACTATTCTCGTTTCTTTTCTGAAGAACGATCTCATTCCCAACTTGAAAACCAACTTCCAGGCATTCCCAGTGATGCAAAATGTGCTTCTAGCCACGATCATCACTATCACAACACTCACTCGATCTTCTTTTACATCGAATTCAACAGATACCTCCAACAGCATCAATGGATCAGATCAAAACTATATTTCCATCTATGACGACACGGATGGGATGTTGAATGATACGGGGCTTGATCCAACAATTCAAAATCCATTTGTGCCTGGTGAGAGCTCGATTCCATCGAATCTCATCACTGATCCCAGTGGGCGGTCGGCTGCACTCAAGAATAGCAGTGCGCTTGAAAGTGATACTTTAACCTCAGAAGCAATAAGTGAAGCTACAACAACAGTTGCAACGACCGCAACTGCAACAACCAGTGAAAGTGCAACTACGACTACAGTAACAACCACAGTAACAACTACGGTAACCACTATGGACCAGCCAAGTGCTAGCCCCAACACTGACTCTACAGACTCCTCAACGGATAATCCATCACCGGAAAATGATAGCCAGACAACAAGCCCTGAAATTGCAACCACTGAAACAACGATTCAATCAACAACTGGAACCACGACCACCACGAAGAAAGTATGGCACACCCATCCAGCCATTTGCACGGAATTTCCATGCTGTGAGTTTTTGAAAAGATATAAAGATATGCTAAAGATATGCTAAAGATAGCTAAAGATATGCTAAAGATATAAAGATATTCAAAAGTCTTCTAAAGCTCTTCTAATTGTTAACTTTTTGATAGAACAATTAGCATAAGACATAAGAGAAAGAATTGCCTAACAAATAGCCTAACAAATAGTCTAACAAATAGTCTAACAAATAGTCTAACAAATAGCCTAACAAATAGCCTAACAAATAGCCTAACAAATAGCCTAACAAATAGCCTAACAAATAGCCTAACAAATAGCCTAACAAATTGCCTAACAAATTGCTCAAATTAGTGTCCCCGATAACTAGAATTTCGACTATATGATTATGATCATTATTGGTAAGTGATGAAGGAATAGATCAAATCAATCAGCAGATCTAATCGCCTCATTACAATAACAATATCCCGGTCTATATTGAGGAAAAAGTTTTTCATTCCTTCATCCAGCTATTCTTCAGATGAATACCTCAAACCGGGCATCGTAATCAATATGATGATCGCTGTAATTCGTTGCGCTTTTTGTGTTTTCGTCTTACTTCTTGGCATCAAAATGCAACCGGATTTTATGAGAACTGTAAGTATTTCTGATTTTGATTTGTATCAATTTGATTATCCAGTTTCTTTATCCATTTTCAATCACAAACTATTTAGGTAACAATGGCGATTTACATTCCGATCGGTTTCCGAGAGACTTTCTATTTCTACATCGAGATTGCCATCTATATCTCACAGTTTCAAACAACAAACGAATTTGCCGCGTGGGTTTTAAGTGGAAATCAGATTACAGCAGGTTTTACAGCAATTTCATCAATTGGGGAAACGGTTTGGGCGTTGCTCTAGATGATTACGTCAATTTCGACTTCATGATTATGATCATTATTGGTAAATGATGAAGAAATAGATCTCAATCAGTAGATCTAATCAATCAGCAGATCTAATCAATTAGCAGATCTAGTCAATCAGCTGATCTAATCAATCAGCTGCTCCAATCACCTCATTACAATAACCGCTACTCCTTATCTCACCATAATAGCTCAACCAATCGTTAAGCTAAAGTTTCACTCATAAAGCTAAAAAAATCCGTATAGTCGTCTCTTAACCCACAGTATTCCTTAAAAATATCTAGCTATCAATAAAAAATATGACTCAAACAGGTCTTCACTGTTGTCGGCTTTGTATCCGTGATGATGAGAGCATTTTTGTGTTCCCTGTCAGGTAGGGCAAATGAAATGAAAAGGTCAGAAATATTCAGAGCGCTTTTTATTCAGAACGCTCTCGATAGTGCTTCAAATTGTCCCCTGTTTTCTTTGTCTTCTCAACTTGGTCGTCCCGGGACAACAGAACTCGAATGTGGTGTTGATTGTGAGTGCAAGGGAGACTCAATCTGAAAGATATTCGGCTTGACACAGTTTATACGGGTGGCTTTATAGCTTGGCTCATCTACCTTACCGTACCAAGCCGGGCTCTGTGTAAAGCTATTGTACCCAAGCAACTTTACCAGCCGAATCTAAATCTAAACGTACTGGTGCGTCCTGTACATAGTACTGGTGCTTATTGATGTACTGTGCATAGCGTCCCCACTCACCATTCTCTTTCCAGATAATCGGTATCGTGAATCGTCTCTTCACGCTGTTTTGCTTCATCACAATCACTGTTCAAATAGCTTATGTAAGACCGAAAGTACTTGAAAGATTAAGATTATATTTAGTCTTCCTATTTGGTTACACAAGAGCTACCGTATGACCACGCGGCGAGCACCGATATGCAGGTTTCAAATTTGAGAGCTATGCTCAAGAAAAAAAATGACATCCGCTCTGGCGTACTCAGAATTTTTCTTAACACCATATCTGAGCTTTGCGTTAACAATGGAGTACTTTAGTTAAAGGATTACTGTAGCTAAAGCTAAAGAGTACTGTAGATAGAGTAACCTTTACGTATCTTTCTATAGTGTAAATAGAGAAAGGACTGTAACTAAAGGTACTGTAATAGACAAGGGATTGCTGTAGACATGATAGAGTTAATAATGGAGTATTGTAGTTAAAGGATTACTATAGCTAAAGCTAAAGAGTATTGTAGATGCCGTAATCTTTGTATTGTAGATGTCGTAATCTTACTATACCATAGATAGAGAAAGTACTGTAGCTAAAGGTACTGTAATAGACAAGGGATTACTGTAGGCAGAAAAGACTTGATGTAGATGATACTGTAAGCAAACAAGTACTTACTGTAGATTTAAGAATTGTATGTAAATTTGACTGCAATATAGAACTTTTACTAACAATGAAAACGCAATCTCAGATCCGTGACGCTCGTTCGAGACTTGTCTGGTTTCTCATCTATCTCATCTTGCCCTACATCTCACTAATCCCGTACTTTTGTGAGTGGGAATTGAAATTTTTTAAAATCAAAATATTACAGTCGATGCAATCGTTTGGATGTTACAACAGTTTAATGGAAATGGAAATGAAATCAATGACACGACGAAGAAAGACAAAAGTTTCCTCACGAATTGTCAAGTTTGTGCTTTTGTGCTCAACCTTTCTTTAGTCTTTAGCGTTTACTTTTTAGACTTGGCAATTTATACTCGAAAACTTGACATTTATACTCATTTATACTCAATTTATATAGTTATACTCAATTTATACTCGAAAACCTGGCAATTTATACTCATTTATACTCAATTTATACTCAGAAAAATGTAAACACACCCTTTCTAGCGCACTCAATTCTTTCTTTCGTTTTCTCGTTTTTTGAGGTGAATTGATGAATGCTAGTGCATCAGAAAACATTGGGTTTACAAGGGTTTACAAGGGTTTACAATTTTGAGCACAAGGTACACTTGTATACTTGTAAAATTGGATAGTTCTTGGGTACTTGTCAAACAGTACAAAGTAGACTTCGGAAAAAAAAACTTAACCAAAACCAAAACTACCATAAACCAAAAACATAACAATACCAAAACCAAAACAAACCAAAACCAAAACTAACCAAAACTCGCCAATTTATCGCGACTGGGGGAGCTAGCGAAAATCTGTTTGCAGATTTGAAATCAGCATCAAAAATCTAAACCACACGCTATTTTTTTGTTTCGAAATTTCATTTCGTTTTTTGGTCCTTTTTTGCCGCGGTTTTGTGGAGGTGAGAATAGTGATGAGTGCTAGTTTGCATTTTACATTAAAATTCGGTATTTTTACAATGGTTTACAATTTTGACACATTTTACAATTTTAAATTTACATGTAAAATTGATATCAATTGTTTTTTTTTTGTTTTTGTTTTGGTTCTTGTTTGCCAAGTCTAGTACAAAGCTAAATCATTTTGTACAGAATGCATAAAATAAATCAACAAAAAGGTTTTAACTCAATTTATTCCCCGCTTATTTTATTTCCCTTCAAATCCCTTTTCTAAATAAATAGCTTTTCTCATAAGAAATTGTGAAAAGAAATTTCTCACAAGAAATCTCTTTTTCTTCAGTTTCCCATAATTTATGATCACTTGCAAATAAATTTCTAGATTTTCTTCGATGTGGTGAAACTGTTGGTGAGTTATTATCGCTCGACATGGCTTATCATTCTCACGTGCTTCTTTCTGCCACCTTATAGGTAATCCCCATGCACTTTAATGAGTATCCAAGCAAATGAGTATGCTATTTTTTTTTTCACAATTCACTAGTTAACCTAAAGTAACATTAGTTGCATAGATTAGGATACCGATTTTCAAATAATCAAAGTGTTAGCTGAATACTTTCCAGAAGAGCCGTTCCATTGTTGTGCTGTTGTCTGCCTTGTTGTCCAAAGATTACGGTGAGTGAAGCCTGATAGTTTCCTTGAAGATTCCGAAGTTTACTATAGACACTAGTACCTTTCTATACCCTAAATGACGAGAGTACTGTAGATTAAGTGAAATGTAGTGGATTTAAGAAGTAATGTAGATAGGAGTAGTATTGTAACAAACAAAGAAACAAACATTTTCTTGCTCACCTTGCTTACCTTGCTTATTTTAAATCTAAAGTCTTTCAATGCCAAAAGGTAGAGTTTTAAGACAGTTACTGGAATAGTTTTAGTTATTCCAGTTACTGGAATAGTTATTGTAATAGTTACTGGAATAGTTACTGGATTAGTTACTGGAATAGTTACTGGAATAGTTACTGGAGTAGTTATTGTAATAGTTACTGGAATAGTTACTGGAATAGTTACTGGAATAGTTACTGGAATAGTTACTGGAATAGTTACTGGAATAGTTACTGGAATAGTTACTGGAATAGTTACTGGAATAGTTACTGGAATAGTTACTGGAGTAGTTACTGGAGTAGTTACTGGAATAGTTACTGGAATAGTTACTGGAGTAGTTACTGGAGTAGTTACTGGAATAGTTACTGGAATAGTTATTATAATAGTTATTGTAATAGTTACTGTAAATAGTATACTTTAATTTATCGTAAACTCAAAATTTTCAGGTGGAACCACTTCCGAGAAAACCCAAAGAGATGTCCACCATGTACAAGGATGCTATATAATCTCTGCAAGATTCTCAAAGACTTTACGAATAATGCAATTGATTTAGAAATTCTGTAGCTCTTGCGCAATTTTCTAAGCCTGATCATGGTTAAACCAAACCTATTATTTAATTTTTTTTTGTCTAGAAATCTCATTTCTTTTTCCATTTGATTCGTTAAAATTCGTCTTCTCCTAGTTCTATACCGGTTACTTGAAAGCCTTTTTGCTTCTTAATAGCCTTGTTTGTTTTTTATTATTATTTTCAAATATTCGTTAACTGAATAGTTTTATTCACACAATTAGCGACTAGTTTTTGTTCATGAGATTCTGAATATTTGATTTCAATCCAAAAATGATAAACGTGAGACCAATAAGGATGAAAGAAACATTGAAAAATGATTGAATGAACATTTCACGGTGTTGCCGTTTCTCGAGCCAAGACGGAAGAAAAGTCACCCACTAAAAACAACAAAAGTGAGCTGAGTTTTGATTGAAGGCATTAGCAACCTGTGCTTTGTGCTTAAATTTGTAAACACACGCTTTCTGGCTTCATTTGCTCCTGTTGATTCTTTATTTAGAATTTAAAGGTACTAATTACTGTATCTATAGTATCTTTTCTATAGTATCCATCTATAAAAGATCTTTTCTATAGTATCCTTTTATAATATTCCTTTTATAATATTCTTTCTTTCTATATAATATTCTTTCTATAATGGCCAATTGGCCGACTGGTTAGGAGTCTTGTCTCCTAATCGGAAGGTCGAGGTTTCGATCTCGCTGGCAAAATCAAGTGTGTTCTTTTTCCCATTAAGTTGGGTTTTTTCTTAACTACATTGTAGGGGTAAAAATTGTGTCCTCCGTTGTGTTGTATCCACTTATTCATGTTGAATAAAGTATCTTTTATAGTATCTATCTATAATAACCTTTCTATAGTATCATTCTATAAGGTCTTTTCTGTAGTATCCTTCTATAATAACCTTTCTATAGTACCTTTCTATACTATCTTCTATAGGGTCAGATGGTCGACCGGTTAGGGTTCTTGTCTCTTAAGCGGAAGGTTAAGGGTTCAATCACGCTGCCAAGAAAACTTTCTGGCAGTTACTTTTTCCCACCTAAGTGGACTTTTTCTTTGACAACATTTGGGTAATAGAGGTAATAGTAACGGCCGCAATGTCATAAAATTGTGTCTTTAAAAACATTTATCTCTTTTTATTTAGCCTTTGTTTATTTCACATTATTGATTTTTCAATAATGTGAAATAGATTTTTCAATAATGTTTTTATCCTTTATCTTAACACTTTTTTTCCATCAGTATGCCAGAAAAAAAATTCGCTTTGCGGTTTTTAAGCACAAAGTACAAGTTCAAAGCAGGCTATGAGACTAAAAAACCACGCCTAAACTTGCCTTCTGATCTGGTCTAGCTAAGAAAATTGCCTTTTAATAATGCATAGATTAGAGAAAAAGTATTACGATAGTTTTAACGACTATAAACCTCTATCAATGGTGGGACAATCATTGCCAACATCATTCCAATCGAAACACCGATCAATGAAATGATATCACCGAGATCAGGCACTGCTAAGGCCAGACCCACTAAAATTTTGAAGATAAGTCTATTCTTAATCGCTTACTTGATAAAATGACGACAATGTATCGAGTCGCGTACTCGACACAGAAAATTGAACGCTTTCCCCAACCACGACCCTTAAAATAAGTCCACATCTCGGGAAGATACATCTGAAATCGAGAGTTATTCTAACTAGAAGATTTCTAACAAAAACTGGTCGACACAGAATTTCACGCTGATCATGATGCTGCTTTTCTTTTTTCCTACGGAGCACTCTATCAAAAGATACACGTTTAGTTTTGAAGGAGTTTCAACAACGCGAGATTACAACCCTGTCTTCCAAGGGGGGTCGGCGGTTTACAGCGGTGGCTAAGTGGTAGTAAGCTAGAACCCAAGTCGAGGCATCTCTGGTTCGAGTCCGGTAGCCGATTGTCCTTTTTTTTTAGGTTTTAATGTGTTCTCCGCAGATGATTAGAAATTTGGCAGGATGAATTGTGCTTCATTGGCTTTTATGTTAGCATAGCAACATCAAGTTGTGTTTCTTTCATTGACAAGTATCGCAAGGGATGCAGTGGATAAAGATTTACAGTATTTGAGTAGCTTTTTATCTTTTTAAACACTGTAGCATCGCAGATAAAGAACCGGTAACTTTAGACAAGGAATACAGTAGTTTACTATAGACTGTAGGCATAGATGGTAGGTAAATGGGTACTTTAGACATAAGATTACTATGGATTACTATAGATTACTATAGATTACTAAAAGATTACTAAAAGATGCTTTACTACTTACCGTAAATACTGTAATAGTATCCCACCCCCTCGTACAGTCGCGTAGTCGCAAAAGTTTTTTAGTATTTCATTTTTTGCAAAGCACCCGTACTTTCAAAAAATGCGTCTTTGGTATCAAAAAAAAGCTGAAATTCAGGGCTATTTTTTGATACCTAAGCGCGCATTGTAGCATAAACCAGTGTCGAGGAAAACTCGTTCAAAGCTGGACTACGCGACGCTCCGCACCGTCATTATGGGCGGTGGGGTACTATTACAGTATTTACGGTAGGAACTCACTTCAACAATCACATAATGCTGTAGCAAATAACCCGTAAAAATGATCATCGTCAGTAAACACTTCACAGCAAAAACGATTCTGGAAATAAAACTTCGATATTTTCTATAATATAGATAAAAGGGATAAGATTTACGGTAAGCCGGTTTAGCTAGAGCAAAGCCGGCTTAGCTAGAGCAAAGCCGGTTTAGCTAGAGCAAAGCCGGTTTAGCTAGAGCAAAGCCGGCTTAGCTAGAGCAAAGCCGGCTTAGCTAGAGCAAAGCCGGTTTAGCTAGAGCAAAGCCGGCTTAGCTAGAGCAAAGCCGGTTTAGCTAGAGCAAAGCAAAGCTTTCCGTGATGAAATCATCTCTTACCCTGACGACGAATCCATATTGAGCGTGATCGATCCTTGAACTTTTGGCCCGTAAACAATATAGCCAAAAAAACCACAAAATGCGTAAATAATCGTTGTTAGAGACATTCCTGTAAATTCTTGGATTTCGGAAAGTTTTTGAGAAAAATTCGACACCTGTTGATAAAACGCCGGTAAAACCGCTCATCTCTGAAGGGTGCTGAAGTTTGTTTTCAATTGGAAGCACCTGGAATTTGGGTTTTTGTTTTTTTTTTGTCTAACTTTAGCTGTTGATCAAATATTTAGAAGCTTTAAATGATAAAATAAATTAAAGAAATGTATGAGGAAGAATGAAAAAAAATGTATGGAACAGCGGGGAATCGAACCCTCCGATCTGGCAGAGCGAGCAGCTTACCCGCCAGACGCTCTACCACCGAGCTATCCGCGCTTGCTTTGGGCGAGAAGAAATAGGAAAGAAAATGGAGAAGAGAGGGAAATACTCGGGTGATACGGGGCTAAAGTAAGTTTTCTAAAATAGAGGACTTTTAGAAAGATTAGCTACCGTATTCTAATTCTAAAGTGTGCCGCAGATACCGTAATCTCTTCAGTACAATGCATCAGAGCTACGGTATCTTTATCTGTGTAAAGATCCTAATCCCTTCTGGTAAACATATCCCATCTGGCATACTCGATTCGCTATTCTACCCCTTTCTTACTGATTCTACAAGAAATTGATGGATTAAAGCGCAGAAAGGGCTTTATGTAGCCTGTAGTAGTAAAGCCTATGTAGCCTGTAGCCTGTAGTAGTAAAGCCTATGTAGCCTGTAGCCTGTAGTAGTAAAGCCTATGTAGCATGTAGCCTGTAGTAGTAAAGCCTATGTAGCCTGTAGTAAAGCCTAAAGAACAAGCGGCTTTTTGAATTGAAGTTCAACGTTTGTTTGACTATTCCATTCCCAATCATCTCACCACAGCTTGCCCCTCGAAAGCATAAAGAATTGATCCCGCAGCTAGCATCACTCCATTGAAATCAGTGATCGCTGGTAGTTCGGGAATCATATTTCGAGTGAGAATCAATTTCTGAAAATCATTTCCTTTTTAAAGCCTTAACAATCAAACCACAAAAATGATGACCAAAGCAATTAACATGAAGAGATTCCCGACCACTGACACAGCACTCAATAACCAGAAGCTTCGGATTGAAACCTGAGAAGAGAATGTTTAAAAGTTGTTTCTTTAAAAAGCTTTACTTCAGCACAATATGGTAGAAAAGCGATGAGGATCAGCTCCTTCTCGGTGATGTGAATGTGCGGCCAGATGTGTTCAAGAACCTGGAAATCGTCATTTGTTCTTAAGAAATCTATAAAACTTGATGTTTTTCGATAAATAACATCAAATCAAGAAGAATAAATGATAATGTTTTCAAAAAGAATTATTTTCTCTAATTTTTGACTGAACATCAAAATTACATTTTGTTAGAAAGCCGATCAAATTCGACAACAGAAAATTGATGTTTCTATAAGGTTTTTGATCTTCTGCTTTATCTGTTTTATCTTTTTTTGCTTCTTAGATGTGACCAAATTCATTAAATAACTTCAAAAACGGCTCTCAAAAACCTTAAATTCAGTTTTTCGCCAAATTTACCGCGACTCTCAACTTTGTATAATCATATAAAGATTCTAAAAACATCAATAAGTTAAAAAATGGACTTGGCTACAGGAAATATACTTAAAAAGCTTCTCCAAAAATTTCATACGAATTCATTGAGTTCTTTTTGAGCTAGACCCTCAGAAGTGAGTCGCTAGAATTCGCGGTCACCCTGTAGACTTTAGTCTCCTTTACAGTATCCACAATTACAGTACCCCACACTATTCTGTGTGTTATTACATTTTGCATTTGATATAGAACTTATGATGTGTCATGTGATGACTTTTTTCGACTTTAGCCTTAAGCTGGCTTTTCCAAATTTTCTTTCCTTTCTTTGGCCTTTCCAAATTTTGGCTTTGGTCTAGTTATGGCTTTTGAAATGCCACTAAGCTTTTTGAAAGCTTCTAAGCTCTAAGCTCTAAGCTTCTAAGCACATTCAAGATAAATATCTATAGATCTGGTTAGTACAAGTCAATGCTCAATTACTATTTGTTAGATTTAAAAGCAATCTTAAAGAGCTTTAGTATTAGACCAATTGATAGTGACCAATTGATAGTGACCAATTGATAGTGACCAATTGATAGTGACCAATTGATAGTGACCAATTGATAGTGACCAATTGATAGTGACCAATTGATAGTGACCAATTGATAGTGACCAATTGATAGTGACCAATTGATAGTGACCAATTGATAGTGACCAATTGATAGTGACCAATTGATAGTGACCAATTGATAGTGACCAATTGATAGTGACCAATTGATAGTGACCAATTGATAGTGACCAATTGATAGTGACCAATTGATAGTGACCAATTGATAGTGACCAATTGATAGTGACCAATTGATAGTGACCAATTGATAGTGACCAATTGATAGTGACCAATTGATAGTCCCCAATTGATAGTCCCCAATTGATAGTCCCCAATTGATAGTCCCCAATTGATAGTCCCCAATTGATAGTCCCCAATTGATAGTCCCCAATTGATAGTCCCCAATTGATAGTCCCCAATTGATAGTCCCCAATTGATAGTCCCCAATTGATAGTCCCCAATTGATAGTCCCCAATTGATAGTGACCAACAACCTCACCTCTTTCAAATGATCAACCATAAAAATATATGCGACCGAGCAGACGCCCAGCTGAAGAATGAATAAAGAAATGTTGACAAAAGCTCTAAAATTTCCTATTTCAAAGAACAAAACATCATTTTTCAACTTTGCCACCCAGTGATGCTTTCTCAAGATTGGAAAACTCTGTCTAAACGCCTCTTCAGTCATATTCCCGTAGTTTAAAGCACCAGTATTTGTTCTGAAAATCTTTTGAAAAGATTATTTCTCGATACTTATCTAGCATTGACGCTTAAACTCACAAAGCACATAGATATTGCGAGCATCGCACCAGTTTACTCATGTTTATCGTCGTGATCAAACCGATGATGAAAATGAGTGAGAAACCGGTCTGAAAATGAATTTGAAACCAAATTTGATAAGTTGAATAGTTTTATTTACAGTTGGCTTTTACTCCGGACTGTAACCATTCTGTGTACTGTAGCCAGGTACTGTATCTTTCCGGGTTACTGTACTTTTCCTGTACTATAACCTGTACTTTTCCTGTACTTTAACCTGTACTTTTCCGGGTTACTGTACTCTTCCTGTACTATAACCTGTACTTTTCCGGGTTACTGTACTTTTCCTGTACTTTAACCTGTACTTTTCCTGTACTTTAACCTGTACCTTTCCGGGTCACTGTACTCTTCCGTATTGTTATTATACTGTACTTTTATCCTGATATTGTACTTATAGTTAGTCAGGCTACTGTGCTTTTCCTTACTAAAAGACTTACTCAAACAAATCACAAGCCAAAATTGCTTCAGTTTTAAGTTGATGTTAAATATTTTCAACTTTTCAACTTTCTCAGCACAGTAGCCTGGCTAACTATAAATACTAGATTTCTTAATAGATATTCGATTTTGCATCGCTTTCCTCTAGCTTAAGTAATCATTGGATTTCTCAAGTAAAAAAAAATTCGCCGACTTGCCCAGAGTCCAGCATATTTAAGGGCAAGCGGAACAGAGAAACACCCAGGTCCGATCATCCCGCGCAGGAAATTGATCAACGTGATGTGAGCACTGGAATTGAATTAGAATTAGGTTCTCTTATTCTTATATATTATTCTTATTTGTATTTTTAGATTCTTACAATTAGAGAAATTAAATTAACTCATCTTAATGGGTATTAGATTTCGATAACCTTTTATCAACCATATCAACCAACCCGACTAATTCCCCGGATGTCTTCTCTCGAACTGCCCGTAACCGTGCGTCGAGTGAGGCCATTGTGCTGAAAATTGATTTGATAAAATGAAAAGATAAAATGATATAATAACCAAAATATAAAATCACTTTTTCCAATCCAAACCAATCACTTTTTCACTTCAATCTCAGATCTTTAATGCTTAAATTTTAAGGTTATCAAAAAAATTTATTTATTTGATTGAGGTTCAAATGATCTTTATCGCTTTCACTTTGCTGATAAAAGAAAAATCTCGGTTCTGTTTGAGTTTTGGATATATTTCTTTTGAAGAGAAATGAAGTTTGACCATTGTGATCAAAAATTGGACAAAAATTGAACTTTAAAATAAGATAGGTTTTGGTGTGTGAGATGAAACAGAAAGAAAAATGAAATTTTGCACTTTTTTTATAAAAAGATAACAGTCATGGCTATAAAAAGACGATGAGAAATGGATTACTGTAATGGATTAAAAAGAAATGGATTACTGTAATGAGAAAAATCTATATTCTAATCGAATTTAGAAAGTAAGAGTTTAAAAACCTTTTCACATCACCTACATGATGTCAGATAATGATAGAGCTAAAGAAACGTGGCAAGATCAGGGTGATCACGGATCAACGAATTCAGTATTCGTTTACTATTTTGATTACAAATTGCAAACATACTGTAACTCGTCACAAAATTTGAGCACAAAGTACAGGGTGTTCAGTATTTACAGCGACTTCTTTTTGGTAGATTAGCTCCAAAGTGCCAAGTTCAACCGTAATGTGTTAAGTGTTATTTAAAATATTGAAGCCCTTAATCTTGGCTACATTTATCTCTTAAAAGTTCCCCGATTCGAGATATACAACTCATTTTACAAGCTCTTGAATGAGTGCTAGTTGATCCTTCTCTGGCATTCTGCCATTTTTGACGATTCAACTCAAATTTGATCAAGACGATTCAGTCAAAAACAGTTCTTAATATTATTAAATGGTCTTAAATCATATTTTAACAGAAAATAAATATCGAAAAACTTTTTTTGACAAGTTATTATAAAGAAAATCGCCGCAGCGGAGAGGGATCAACTACCACTCATTCAAGAGCTTGTAAAATGAGTTGTATATCTCGAATCGGGGAACTTTTAAGAGATAAATGTAGCCAAGATTAAGGGCTTCAATATTTTAAATAACATTTAACACATTACGGTTGAACTTGGCACTTTGGAGCTAATCTACCAAAAAGAAGTCGCTGTAAATACTGAACACCCTGTACTTTGTGCTCAAATTTTGTGACGAGTTACAGTATGTTTGCACTTTGTAATCAAAATAGTAAACACACGATTTCTGGTGCACTCAATTCTTCAGTAGACTGCTGGAAACATAAGGAATTGAGTGCACCAGAGATCGTTTTTCTACAAGATTCGAGCACAAAGTATACTTAAAAAATGAATCTACGATAGAATATCGAAACCAAAAGTAAAGGAAATCATTGAAATATCGTTTTGATCGCGAATATAAATCCGAAAGTACATAAACTATTGGGAATAACATCGCATTTGAGCCGATTAACGATTTTTTACATAAAAACGATCACTGCTTACGAGTTTCCATTCTATTCAACAAAAACCAAAAAAATGATTTAAAAAATGACTGGGTAAGTACATGAAATTTTTCATTTTTCAATTTTTATTCGATTTTTAGATGAATCTTTAAGTTGAAAATTGCAGAAATTTCTTTTCTTATCAGTTTTTGGAAGCAAAAATTCTATTCAAAGCTTAAATCTGATCTCTCATACTTATTGGTTTTGGAAAATTTTAAAAATAGATTTTATGAAAAAAATTATAGATTCTATATCTGTAATCTTAAGAAAATTTGAATAAAGAAACCCCTTTTCAATAAAACAAAACAAACAAACAACAAACAAACAACAAACAAACAAAAAACAAACAACGAACAAAACAAATTCTCCTTGAAACTTTTTCTTTTTTTTGTTTTGGAAAGTTTTTTTGAAAAGCTATGAAAAACTAGTTTTTAAAAGTGATTGCTGAAAAAAAAAATCGATACAAAAGAAACCACAACAAAGTTTTTTTTCTAAAAGTCGATCACAAATTTTTCAGAGAAATTTGGGAAAATGTGAAAGTGAAAAAAACGTTTTTTTGATAGGTATTAAATAAGTTTTCGAAGATTTAATAGCTTTTTTTTGCGTGTTAAATGTCTGCTTGTTGATAAAAGAGAGAAAAAACAATTGGCTTGGGGGAAAACATGCGAGTTTCGGTGAAATTGGGGAAAGAGAAAGGAACTTACCACCAATCACGTGTGAAAAGAAATCGGATAAATATAGATTTCCAGCCGTATCACCGAAATTGTTACACTTTGTGCACTCGCAAACGCACCCTTTCTGGCGCACTCATTCACTTTTGATTAGGTGAGTGTGCCAGAGAGTGTGCTCCTCTCAACTGATGCACTCACTAGCCCACGCTCAAGAAATTGTACTTTGTACTTCCACAAACGCTCACTTTCTGGCACACACTTTTCTCCCAGTAACAGTCAGTTAGGTCAGGAGATCGAGTACGCCAACAAGGAAGCGTTTGTGAAGCAAAGTATGGACTAATTTGGCTGCTTATTTCTTGTTGCAGACATTTGAATTATCTAATACGGGTTCTTTTCACTACCAGAATTAACAAATCATTTCAATTTCTAAGAGATTAACTACTCTAGTAACTAGATTATTACTGCAAAAAACCAAAAAAGTGAAGCAACAAGAAGAAAACAAAGAAAATTGTGTGCCCCACTCGGGTATGCTTGATCGCATTCTTTCTGGCACAGCAAGAGAATTCGAAGAATTGAAATTCAGGACAAATGAAAGCCAAACCATTCTTAAATAGATATTCGGATTCACAAAACGTCAACCCTCGGAATAGGCTTAACGATGGCATGTTGGTCTTTGGAGTGACTCTTGGAGCTTATCAAAGAGAAAGAGGTGCTAATTTACAGAAATGGGAGATCAAAATGATTTGAGGGGAATGGAATGGTTTGGGGAAAGGCACGTCATAAGATTGAAGAAATTCAATGAGACTCGACTGATTAGCGGTGGCAATGGGAAGCCCTTTTCCCCCGTTTTCAGCTGAAAGAAATGATAGGGCGCTGATTTATGACGCCTTGCTAGGGGAAACATGTTGAAGTTGGCAAGAAAAAAGAAGTTTCTCAAAGATTTGTGTCATGAACCTGTTTTGAAGTGATTTTTTTGAATCGTTGTGAAGAGCAAAGGATATTTGATACCTACATAGTAGAGTAAAATTTACTGGCCAGTGTAAAAATGCCCAAAAACTGTTGAGATTATGTTTTTGTTTGAGTACTTGAGTGTAATTAAATACAGTCATAAACAAAAGTCTTGTAACATCCAGTTTAGCAAATCTCCAAGTGTAATAACTTTTTTTGCAAAGAAGCGAATTCCCAAACAGTTTTTGGTTTTCAGTTGTCAAAAATTTCTATTTTTATATGCAAGAAAAACTTTATTGAAACGATTAACAAAAATTAAGAAAAACAAATAAAAACAAAAGCCAAAAAAAAGCAAAATACTTCAAATGTTACAAGACTTTTGAGCATCAAAAATACACCCGTTTTTTGTTTTTATTTGTTTTTCTTAATTTTTGTTAATCGTTTCAATAAAGTTTTTCTTGCATATAAAAATAGAAATTTTGGACAACTGAAAACCAAAAACTGTTTGGAAATTCGCCTCTTTGCAAAAAAAGTTATTACACTTTGAAATTTGCTAAACTGGACGTTACAAGACTTTTGTGCATGACCGTACAACAAAGCATAATATATTCTTGCTTGGCAAAACCGTTTTCTAAAGTGGAAAAAGCACTGTACCTACACTACAAACTGAATATCTTTAAATCATTGAAAGATTTTTGCGCGAAAAATTTTGGTTCTGCAAGTTACATTCTGCGGGAAGGCGGTTTTGTATTAAATTTTTCTTGATATCTTTCGCAATGGTGTCAGCTGTTTTTTTTTAAATTGAGAGTACCTTGTGGGTGGGACAAATGCGACCTTTTTTCGCTGGAAAAGGCCTTAGGAAAGGCCATAGAGCTTCAAAAATGTTTTCGTATAAGGGAATCGTATGCGTAGATTCTGAATTTCGACAAATCAGGCCTCGTTGACACGTCAAATTTGGGCTAAAAGGCAAAAACTACGCAACTTCACGCTTTTCCATGTTTGTCTCACCCCCAGTACCGTAAATATTCTAATAGGAGCACCCCCTATAGGAGCGTCGCGTAGTCTAAGTTCATTCTCAAACAAACACTCATATTTCAACACCAGTATGTTTATTGCTACTTTGGTGGTTGGGAGGGGCTGCTTTTATCCTGGCTTAGTTGGATCTAATTTTTTGAGTGATTGTATTGCTACCTTTTATCTATTCTAGGATAATCAAATATGCTTGATAGATTGGTGACTATTTTAGCGAGTTTTTGACAATTCTAGCCGAATCTAATGTACTTTAACCATCAAACACTACATCAAAGCTGCTTACACTTGAAAATCCAATAAAACAAATAAATAATGAAACTTGAAACATGTTGTAAATGCTCTAAAAGTATAAGCATATTTGATTACCCTAGAATAGGTAGATAGAAGGTATCAATACAATCACTCAAAACATTAGATCCAACGAAGCCAGGATAAAAGTGACCCCTTCCAACTACCAGAGTACCAATAAACGTACAATAAACTGTCGAGATATCAGCGTTTGTTTGAGAGTAAACTTAGACTACGCGACGCTCCTGTAGGGGTGCTTCTATTAGAATATTTACGATAATTCATGTTTTTAGCTCGAATATGGACATCGAAAAGCACTTGCAGTTCTTCGCCAATGAATCAAGTGAGTTTTTAGTTTTTTTGTTTCTGATACAAGTCATTTGGTTCTAGACTAGTAAATTATAGCAGTGATTGTTTGGCCACACATCTTTTAATTTAGACCTATTCGAGAATGCCCGTCCAATCAGCGAAAGGCCCTACTTCTTCCCAAGTGCGAGCAACGACGCGAACGATGATAGCAGCCTAGTCAAGCTTGAAACGGATCAGGGAATTACCTACGACAAGATGCTCACTGACTTGATCGCCGCTCAAGCGGCAGGTTCGCCTGGTCGACTGTTCGCGCTGCTTCGGGAGAATGGTTGTATCAAAAAAGAGGTAAAAAAATACGGTTGGTGTTTACGATTCAGCTATTTATTTTTATGGTTTAGTAAGCAGGCTGATAACTGAATGGAGGGCCAACAAGGATGAAACTGAGGCTGTTCGACTGATCGACTTCCACATCGTCTTGAAGAATATCGAAGCAGCACAACAAATTCTCAATGAAGCAGCGATTGATCACGATTTGCTTCGCGTCTTGGATTGGGCTGGTGAGTCGTTGCTTTTTATAATAAAGAGCAACGAGGCTTGAGCTGTGATAATGAATTGTTTAGAGAAAGAAAAAGTCGAACCATCGAAAGCGAACGCCATCTGGGGTGCTTTGTGTTTGTCGCCGATCTCTCGTGCCATCGCTCGAATCTATCAGTGCCATTTGAAGGATAGTGATGCTCTGCAAATGCAAATAGCTGGTCATGCCGAATTCATCAATCTTCAGTAATTTGCTTAATCAATGGAGTCTCAACTTTTGTGCTTTAGGGATGCCTATGTGCTTGCTTCGTTCTGGCTCGGTCATAAACACCCGGTCACAAAGAGCATCTATCAGAAATGGATGTCCAACAATACCACTCGCAAGGTCGATGAATCGCCATCGAAGCAGCTCCCTGATGTGGTCGACATCAGCAACACGGCCAAGGACTTGGTATTTTGTTTGTTGTGTTAAGTTAGCATATAATTTTAGATCTATTCCTATAGAAGCCACGTGTGTCTTCTTCCAATAAACCAGACTTTTCGCTTCAGTGATTCCAAAACGCTACATCTGCGTCAGCTGTGGGTTTTTGATCGCTTTTTAAGCGTTAGTCGAATGAGGCTTATGATATTTTTAGATACATTGACGCAATCATGGTGAGAAATTGGGCCACTGCCGACGCCATTGCTGCTGATATGGGCAAGCGTTTTACTTCATCCGAGTATGCTCAGGTATTGTTCATTAACAAAGTAGCTAACTAATATCTGTTTAGGATACACTTGCTCTACTATCGGCTCTCAGTCAAATTGTGGCTACTGTTTTGGATCGATCGAACAACCAAGAGGATAGTCAAATCAGCCAGACGGTGATGAAGGGCGGAACTATGAAAGACGTCGTCGAGTCTGTGCTGCTGAAGAACACGATTTTTGCAAGAAGTTTCACTGAAGACGATATTGATGAGGTGTTTTTATAAGTTTCAATTTTAAAGACGTGTTTGAGTTGGACAGTGTTGCCGGTTTGGTTGACGGAGTGCTTCGTTCTATTCGCCAAGCTTACAGGAAGTCGGAACATCAAACTCAGCACTCAGTCGGCGAATTCGTTGGATTGGTTTTGGAGTTAACGAATTGTTTTGCTAAGGTAAATACTGAATAATCGCCTTGTTTATATTTATTTAGTTGCTTCTGGATTTTGAAGCGGTCGTTGAATCAATCAGGCCTACTTTTACGACCAACGAGAAGCTTCTTGCTTTCTTCGCAAACGACCTCGGCCACCAATTCAAGAGTGAGCACCAAAACGAACGAATGAAAAAGTTGATCAACAGTCTGCACGACGGCTCCAAGCGCTCTGGCTCGATTGAAGAGGTGACCTAGATATTCATTTTATACAAATTTAATTGACGCTTAGGTGAGGAAGATTGAAGACATCATCGAGGAGGAGGTGCCATTGAAAAATGAAGAAGCTTTTCAATCTACTGATTTGGAAGGTAGGCGTTTCGAGGCTTAAATTGCAAAAATTGGTTTAGATACACCATTGTTGCCGGTGACACCACAACCTTTCAGCCAAATTGCATCAGAAGAAACGGTAAAGGAGGAGAAGGCAGGTGCAACAGCTGAAGTCGCGCCAACTACGCAGATGATCGAAGCAAACATCAAGGACAAGGTTGAGCCGGTGCCAATTTCACAGAAGCCAGTGATGCGTGAAGAAAACGATAGTTCCGATGATGGTTGGGGTACATCTGCAGTCAATGAAGAACAAACATTTTCTCCCGGCGGATGGTCGACAGAGGTAAAAGATTATTTTATGCAATCGTTTAACCATTTTTCTTTTGCCGGTATCCGCGTCGAACACGCAGGCAAAGAATTCGGCACCATCATTTGGGAAAGCTTTCGGATCAACTGACGTTGGCTTTCCCAGACCACAACTGGGTAAGCATTAAAAAATACATCGTTTTTATTTCCTAACTTAGCTGAGCCGGACAACAACCAAGGGTTCCACAGCTCATCGCGTCCTCAAGTTGGGCTCAATCAAGCTCATCCCAACGATGGTGGAAATCAACCACATCGCTATGGTTTTCGAAATGGTCGGCGTGCTGGAGACAGTTTTAGCAGTGTCCGTACACGTAGGCCTTGGAATGTAAATCAATATTGATTTGAACTATAATTCTACATTTTAGGGTAACCATGGTGGCGCTAGTGGCTTTGGAGCTGATGAAGGAGGAGAGGCCCGCAATTAGAACAAGCTTTAAAAATTTTATGATGCATTCGTGCATGTTCACTTTAATTATGTTCGTTTGTTTTCTACAATTTTTTCGAATACACTGTCATAAAATTATTCAAGAATGACTGAAAAAATTTAGATGTTGAAGGACGTGAAAACACAAAGACTAAAGATATCAATAACAAGCAATAATGGGTGCGCAGATCTTTCATTGCAAATGAAGAAAAATATTGCTTGGTACCCAATATGAAGCACTACTGAAGCTTTTCCATGTGCTATCCATCATTTTTGTGTTTTTGCGATTTAGACTTTGGGTCCTTCACGGTTTTGAGACTTTTATTGATCACTCCTGCGAAGACAGAATCTTTATTTCCTTGGTCCCAGAACGAATTTCTTTTTCTGTCCATCGTTGACGCTCACGTCACCTCGCACCCTTCCAAAGAATGGCTTCTAAACCCAGTCACATAATAATTCAAGTTGAAAAGGAAATGAGAATGTGCCTAACATATACCTACTTGAACACACACGTGATCTATTTGACGAACATTTGGTTGTTTCTAGACAAAAATTGATTAAAGTATGTGATAAGCTTCTCACCTGATACAGAGTTTCCGTTAGATATTTTGTTGACGATTCTTGATAGGTGGATGAGGTGAATTGTGGTTCTGTTGGTTTTTGTTGAGTCGAAACTGTCGAAGTCCTAAATTAAAAAGTGATTCCACAACTGTATTTAAAAATTTACCATGTAGTCTTAGAACTGTTTTGTGCATCATCGGGCGGCGTTGACTTATCAAAAGTTCTGTAAACGAGTTTCTGTAAATTCAATTTAACAAACGAACAAACCTTGTTGCAGATTCTGAATCTTCTTTGAGAGTTACACTATAAAAAGAAGTTAAACGTCTGGTTATAAAAAGTTTCCTTACTGAACTTTAATCTTTCCTGGTTTTTCTTTCTCTGGTTTCTTTTCATTTCTATCACCTAAAACCATGAGAATCAAAGTAAAAGAAACGCTAAATTTACCCGGGGTCTCCAATGTCAAAACTTTTGATTGAGCTTCCTTCTAAATTGAATAATTCTCAAATTTATTTATTTATTTTTATTTCGCAAAAAAATAAACCTTCAATTCAGCAAGCTCCAATTTCTTCTGAGGAAGCATCCACCTAAAACATTGTAAAACCATTTGCATAACTGACAAAAAGTATCCGTTCAACGATAACCTACTCATTCTGCACTGGCTGCTGTTGTGAACATCGGTGCAAAGCCTTCTCATTCATTTCTTTCGCCGCATTCACTGCTTGCATCAACTGTTCAATGTCCGTTTTTGTGGCAGCATTATGGACAGAAACACGCGACTAAAAAGAAAAAAATATTAAGTAAGATTTTGAGCAAACTTACGAATTCCTTGTGCACTTTTTCCTTCTCGACCATTTTCTCCCGGAAGTGTCGGTGAATGAAACACAACAAGCAAATGAGGAAAAGTCTGTATGTACTCTTTTTGTAAAAAATATCTAGGAAACTTACAATATCAAGATCAAAATGACAACAAAAATAACAGCCACAATAGCAATAGCCCATGGATTGGTCGGCTGTGCTTGTAGAACTGAAATCAACAAATATTATTGCTTTAATATTAATAAATAAACCTCTGATGTCGGTCTTAAACTCGCGTGGGTTTTCAGGTTCAATAATCACACTCTGATTCATATCTGAAGAAAGGAATCATTTAGTAATTTGCTACTCAAATTACTTACGAGCTTCACCGTTTGCTTCTACTGTATGTACGGTTGATGCTTCCGATTTTGAGTCTTTTAGCGCTCTTCGTTGAGGACGAGGCTCTATTAAACGGCAAATTCAAATAAAACTAACCAATGACACAAAAACTTACCATTTTTCACGCCGGGAATCAAACCGACCAATATTTTGAATGAAGTCTTGACCAAACATTGTGAATAAGATCCCTAAAAAGCTAGATCTATTAGAATACAGAATAAATCATACCATATCGGTAAAATAATGGACACAATCGGGCGGATCTGAAGATTTCCGATTTTCGCAAACAGCCGATGAAACCCCAAGAGGTGAAGCGATGAGTGGAAGGGAAAAATGAGGCAATGAAGCTGGAGTTATCTAGAAAAAAAAACGTTACTTTGAAATCAGAATATAAAAATTACCTTTGTTGGAACATGAATCATCGAAAATGTATGAGGATTTGGATCGATGCCACTAACACGCCACAAATATTTCATAACGTGAGTTACAAGAAGATCAACATCTCTAAAATTATAAGTCCGAATGTTTTGGATAATAAAGTTGCTCCTACCCATTTTCATTTGTAAAAGAAGAAACCGGGACATTCGTGGCAAGTGAAGAAGCGGGCAAGACAATTCTAAAAGTAAATGTATTCTTTTAAATCTGGCAACAAATACCTATGATCTTCAATACTGGTTGATTGTTTCTTTTCATTGACGGCGAATTCATTGTAGATCAAATTGACTTCAGTAAGGGTATTTGAACTTATCCTAAAGCAATAAAAGTATTAAAACTTTCAAAAGACATACCGGTAGCATCTCATAGAATCATCACCCAACATTGAACAAGTAGCGTAACTAAAATTTAATTGGTTTACGAGAATCAAAAAAGTGCAAACTTTTCCTTAAATTCATCAGGCAATTGTAATTTTATCGCTAATGAATCCAAAGACAGTTTTTGGATATCATCAAACGACCATGTTGAGGAAGGAATTCTAAACAAGCTACTAACAAAATAAAATACAAATAACTTACCGCACAATTCTTCGTTCTTTGTTTGACTGATAAAGAATTCGAATATCGGGCAGTTCATCCTCTTGTAACAACTTCAGCGAAGAAACCATTACGATCGGATGTTGAAGGCCAGTTGATGGAGACACTTCACAAGGGCCTGTTGCTGAGACATCCTAAAAGATTTATTTTCAGGAAATGAATAGAAAAGGCAAATTTGAAACGTCGCTCATAGGTATTAGGCAATCCAAAACATCAAACTGGCTTTTGTTTTTTGTTGAAATTGTTCGGCTTTGTTGCTTGGAGCGGTGATCAATTGACAATCGGGTGTCAGAGCAAAAAGAAATCCGGGAGAAGTGAGCGTTGGACAAGGAACTAAACGAAGAAATATAGAAATATACGGATAAAACTGTACCAAATATCGGTTTTCCATTGACGATAAGGAAGTGTAGAATTAGCACGTAGGCTTTCGTGATCCACTAAAATAAAATTAATAAATTGTGCTTTTACGGATGATGGGGAAAGTATGGTGGCATCGCAATCGGGGGGGCAGTTAAAAATTGACATTTAAAGTGAACAACATATTTCAAAAACTTCCGGGAAACGGCGCATCACGTGGTTTCCCAGTTCACTTGCGGTGGGTCAAAAAACAAACTCGCAAGCCAGACGAAACACGGACCAACGAAGCACATTTTACCCCTTTCATCACTCCCGCGTTTCGTTGGCCTGTGTTTCGTCTGGCTTGTGAGTTTTTTTTGACCCACCGCAGGTGAACTGGGAAACCACATGATGCGCCGGCCTCATATCCTCCTATCCGCAAACACAAACACGAATAATACATACACACGTTTTGAAATATGTTGTTCACTTTAAATGTAAATTTTTGACCCCCCCGATTTCGATAGCACCAAAAGTATGACCAAAACTTCATATAATCTTTGAAGTGTCAAAGGTTTTAAAAAGAAAACCAAGAAGATTCAAAAAGAGCTTACCTTACAAAACCGCATAATACACCGAGAATAAGAAATGATGAAATGAAGAGGTCATTCCAGAGATCCATTATTGCTTCTGAAACAAACAAATGATAATTGGCAGTATGCAAATCTCATCGAACATTTTCATTCACTTTGACTTTGAAACAGGCGCCCTGCCCCTACTGGTCGAGTGAAGGGGTGGGAATACAGTATCCGTACTCAACATTTTCTGTCTCTTAAAGCGTGCCCATTTTTTGTTATTTTTTTCTTTACTCCTTCATCTCGATATTTTCTTTTAGCCAATCTATGTTAACTTGTCTTTCTCATCTGACTGCATTGCTTTTAATTTTAATTAGCAGAAACCGTATTTAGTGGCATTTTATACACCGACTTACCCATTTCTATCTAGATATACCCTCCTCTTAAATAGTGTACCTACATTATGGTTTTGTCCTTTGTTCTAAAGTTCTTACGTGTTTTAAAACTATTACCTATGAGTGCCCAATTCTTTCTTTTTATCGATACTGATCGTAGACACGATGAATGGGGCTCTGGTGAAAGAAGAAAAAATGGATTGTGCCGATCTTCAAACACCGATGACTCGAAAGGTAAAATTTTGGTACTTTGGCGATTAGGTTTTCAACTGAAAAACCGACATTTCGATGCGTTTAAAAATTACACTTTTTGCACTTTAAATGCAAATCGCACGGTTATTTCGCTAGCTTTCAGAGTTTTTGATTTTTCTGCGCTGGTACTAAATGACGAAATACAACCCTGTAACTCAAAGTACAACCTATTACACTATGTTGAAAACCCATGCTAAAACTGTCAAGTTCGTGCTCAGCGCCCTCGATTACCCCTAGAAAAGTGAAAAAATCAAAAATGGTGCCCCCCAACCACCAAAGTAGCAAAATTTTTAAAGACGATTTTAAAGCAAGGATACTAATATCGGAATGATTAACCTTAAAAAGTTAAATATTTCGACCGTCGACATCTTATTCTACTAAAGTTTTTGTTTAGATGAGCCATGAATGGAGCCGTGCCGAGACGTCCTCTGCTGCGTTCGAACGAGTCACCGAAGAGATGAGAATGTTATTGACGAGACATCGCAAGATAGACAAATTGATCGCCGAGACGGATACAGCGATCAGCAAAGTCGAAGCGAACATCGAATGGAGAAAACGACAAGAAAAAGTTGAAGCAGCCAAGCCAAAGATTGTCTACGAAACGAAATTCCCCGTCCGATACTTCATTCCTCCATTTTTTCGGGGACCTGCTGGAAATTCATGGCAGTTGACGGAAAAAGGTAAGCTCTTTAAATTTTGTATCCAAGCTTTCAACAACATTTTACTTTTCAGGAGTGGAAAAAATCACCAATCGTCTGCACCACAACTTGAACATGATAAACAAGCGATGGACGAAAGGCGAAATAGCCAAACTCTCGGGTAAAAAAAGACCGATAAACTATTAATATTTTGTTTTAGATGCTATTGGTAAAGAAGTGGTACGTGTGATGATGATTGATGATAGACGTCAAAAAGAAGCACTTCAAGCAAAGATCGACGCCGCGGGACAGGATACTACAATTGCGGACATATTGATGTGGAAGCACGAAATTGAAGGGATCAACCGACGGGCTGAATATTTAAAGAAACAATGGGGCGAATACATGGAAAACGATCCGAAACTTTACGAGATGATTGATTGGGAAAAGATTGCAACGGTTGATTTCGAGGATAAAAGAAATCCCGAAGAATGTCGATACAGGTTGGATCTACTATATATAAAAGAGAAGTATTTGTCTGTCTATCTGTCTGTGTGCACGAGAAATTTGCATTTGGAAAGGAAAGCATATGAATTTGCAAGTACTAAATCCAATTTTTCTTTTAATTTCAAAGTATCCAACTGTTTGATCGAAAATTGCAACTGAAAATTTCTTCTCCTCTTCACTCTCTCTTTTTTTCATTTTCATTTTTCATCTTGCAATTTCAACGCTTATCAACTTTTAACTATATCAATTTTCATGCTTTAGGCGTTATTTTTGACCAGCTGTAAACAGCTGCTTTTGTAATATCCTTGCAATTTGTTTCTTGGTCATTCTTAGTGGCAACCAATTGCAAATAAGTGTTTCTTTATTGCGGTGACTCTTTTGATTTAGTTGGGAAAATCAGCTGGCACGGTGGATCAACACAACGCCTTGGCAAAAAGATGAACTTCTTCGCCTGCATGCAATTATTTATCCGCTTGGTGATGTAATCGATTGGGCATACGTCACCGAACAATTGGGAAAGAAAAGAAGTGCATTTGGAGTGTTCAAGGAATTCAGAAATCAAATCTACAAATGGAAGATGCAAACGGAATGGACAACAGTGGAGGATAAGCACCTTCTTTTGGGTGTCGACACCACTGCAAAAATGAAAAGAGGAAATCTCCAAGTATCGCTACATGACAGGTATAAATATTTAAAGAGATGTTTATCATAACTTTGTTTAGACGATACGTACAACTTGAAGAGAGCATTTGGCAAACGGTCGCCGAGTTTGTGCCAGGGAGAAGGGCTTTCGAGTGTCGCGAAAGATTTCAAAACGTTTTGTCCGCAGACCGGCAGGTACTTGACTATTATTTAGAACGTGATACCCTTTGATTCATTTGTAAAATGTTTTTACAGGTCACTTACTGGACATCACGTGATGATTATCATCTGCTTCGAGCTGTTTATCAATATGGCACAATGCGTTGGAATATGATGGTCAAAGAATGCCAGGGAAGAAATGAGCAACAATGCAAGAGTAGATGGAATAATGTTGTTACTTTTTAAAATAAAAATATTAGCATTTACTTTAGGTTCTCCGACCTTTAAAAACTGTGACGAACAATTGGACAAGAGCCCAAGATGAGCAGATCTTGATCGAATTTGGCAAAACTCCCGAAGATAAACTGGTAAAGTTCTTACACGAAGTAATCTTGTTTTAATAGAAGCTAGAGAACAACTCGAAAATTCAATTGATCAATTTCAGGATATCCCAAAAAAGACGACGGAGTCGATTTCTCAACGGTTCTTGCAATTGGCGATTTTGGAGCAATCGTTCGTCGAGCTTTATGTGAAATACGCCGATCCGGAGAAGATCGATCGGGAAGCTCATCTGGGAGAAATCTACGAATTGCAACAACAATTGGAACTGGATCGAGCAATTGCTGAAAGATCTAACTTTGAAATTATTGTCGAAACCCCCGAAAAGCGGATCAAGGGAATTTCGAAGACCACGCTTCGAGGACGCAAAGACACTCCGGTTAAAGAACAACAGGTTCATAAACCGACAAATAAACACTTGAAATTTGCTGCCGATTTTAGCGATTTTTGAGTTCGTGTACTTTTCTGCTTTCGTTTTATTGTTTATTCATACTGCTTCGTTATGACTTTATTCTTGTTGCTGACTTTTTGAATTTTATTTTTTTATTTTACTTAATAGTTTTTATTGTTTATTCAGATAAATGTTTAAGAAGTTTATGCAGGTGTTGTGACCTGGCCACTTTCGTGAAATTTTAAAATGTCCGGAAGAAAATCGATTGATTGCTTGTAAAATTAACATAAACTTGCCAATTTTGCATTAAGATGACAACGTTCTCAAAATTCTCAACTCGTCATTTCGCATTTCTGTTTGCTTACACATCGGCTTGTAGATATGATGTGAGTTTTTTCCTGCGCTTTTGTAAACTTTGAATCATTCTAATACATTTGTTACTCTTTAATCAAACGAATCTTTTTTTCAGGGATAACGTCAACCTTGTGGCGTTTAATCTCGTTTCACTGTGCTTCTTCATCATTTGTGAGCCTTAATTTATTTCTCAATTATTTTATTTAAGTGGCTACCGGATGTGCGAGTCGAAAAAAGAACCCGAACGATGTGATTTCAGCATCAGATGTGAACTCTCAAAAGGTTTTTGTTTGTTTAAAAACTTAATATTTGTCTTTTTAGAATACGGATGCACTTTCGGAGAAAACTAGTGGAGCTACGAGAACAATGAAAAAATTGGGTGTAGAACAAAAGCCGATCAAGAACAACATGAGTCGAGATGCCACTACGCCAGAAATCGTTAAAGTGAATTTCCTCATTTTCTATACCATTGAAATTTTTGTTTTAGAGCAAGGATGCATCAACTCCGGAGAAAAAGGTGATTATAATATTTATTTGTTGTAAGTTATAAATTGGGTTTTTACAGGCAGATCCTCAGAACACGGAAAACGAACCAAACCTGGAAAATGCTATGAAAGAAACCAAAACGGCCGCTGAAGACGAAGAAGAAGCGAAGAATGTTCGTTGACTTGAGTGACAGCATCGTAGAGTGTTGTTTAGTTGAAAGACAAAAGACGAGAAGAAATGACGACGCTTGTGGCAGCTGGAGCAGCACTACTTGTCCCTGCTTCAAAAGAAGTGCCAACGAAATCAGCTGATGAGTTAGTCCTCAAGACAGCACAAGGAACAACCAAAGGCACAGAGAAGACGGATGCAACGGTCAAAGTGAAGAAATATGAAGGTATCACTTGCAATTACAACTTTTCATAGTACATTTATTTAGGTGAGTTGGAAGTAAACCCTCTACAATTGACGTGGGAACAAAAAGAGATGACACAAAAGTTAATCATTTCAAACAAGAAGGCCGCTCAAATCTACGTGGTCAAGTTGAAATGCTCGGACAACACGACTTTCAAGTAGGGCTTGGATAATTCTATATTGAAAGCAACAGATAAAACAATATTAATTAGTTTTAAGGATTCAACCGGTTTATGGAAGTGTTGCTGTTGGCGGGGATCTAGAGATATTCATCACTCAAACAGTTCCTCCTGCAAAACGACCCAACAAACTTGTAATTGATGTCATCAAATTGGACAAGGTTGGCTTTCACCTGGTTTATGCTTCAATTTGAGACTTTAGGCAGAAAGTGCCAGCGATTCGGGAAAGGTTGCGGAAGTGTTCAAGCGAGAAGACGTTCAAAAAGATTCAATCATCGTGCCGCTGCTCATCAAATAAATTGTGTCTGTCGAATAAAGTATTTTTGCGTTATTGTTGTTCTTGTTGTTGAGGTAGACTCCAACTGTGTACATCAAAGTTTATTTGTGGAATTTTCTAAATTTTGCGAAATAGATATTTTGGCCAGTTCTATGTTTAGCTGTTGCAACCTGGTAAGTAATGTTAAATTGTTTGTTACCATATTAGAATGACACAGAAGAAGTCCTTACAAAACTGATAACTTCGCAAGGCTACACAACCATACAACCACAACACGTAAAAAGTGTGCTCTAAAGGCCACCTTGTCAAATTATTCTTCTTCAATAAAACTTCACCATTGACCGCTTTCATGAATTCTTTCTAAACATTATTTTTAAGAAGATGCCCGATGAAACAATAAGAAGGCGAAAGGGCAATGATTCAACAGTGCAAAGCGAAACAAAGGGAGATTCGGCAGAAGATGAAGAAATGTCGTCAAGTGGTGAATCCGAAGAAGACGAGAATTTGCCTCCACCAGTCCCGCCCGTTGAGCCGCCGCTCCATGAAGTAAGATTTATTTTTATCTCATTGCAGTTTTTGAAAATTTAAGCAGTAGTAGGTTTACTTTGTTTTTATTATGATCTAAAAGTTTGCATTTTAGGTAGGAATCGTCGAAGCACCTGATTGGCCGACTGGAATATCAGGTATAATAGAACATTCGAAAATTGAAACTTGTGTTTCGGAGTGATCACTTTTGAGTTGAGCTTTTTGAGAATGGATTGTCGAACTTTAGAAATACAAGAACGCGATTATGGTCTTGCATTACCAAAGAGACTGTTTGCGATTGGACCGATGGTGGCTTTGGCGATAATATTTTATGTGAGTGAAAAGGATTTTTTAAGTTCAACTCAATATCAGTTTAGGTTGGTACAGTTACAGTGTACATGCACACGATGTGGTGGCCACTTGCCACAATTGGATCATTCATCCATTTCTTTGTAAGTTCTGTATTATTTATCTTAAAGTTTGCTCTAAATTCAGATTTTTCTCTCTTGGAATTACGCAACTCTGAATAACTTCATCTTGGCTGCAAAAGTTGGTGGTGGCTATGTGCCAAAGAAATGGAAAATCGATCCCGAAGTCGAGGTAAAAGCTTTTGCTTTTTGAATTGCTGAATTTGAGCAAATAACGTTGAGTAATTGTTTGGGATCTCATTGTAAAGCTTTATAACACTTTAATGCCTGTTTTAGATTAAAGGCGACATTTCAAAACGTTTACAATGGTGTCGAATCTGTGACGGATACAAGCCGCCCCGTTCTCATCACTGTAGTAAATGTGGTCGTTGTGTACTGAAGATGGATCACCATTGCTGTACGTTTTTTTTGTAAAAAGCAAAGCTAATTTCTTTTGGTTAGTGTGGATCAACAATTGTGTCGGTCATCGAAATCACGCCTTCTTCGTTCGATTCCTCATTGCGGCGATTATTGGATGTGCACATGCGACGATCATTCTTGGAATGTCCATTTATCATGCAATTCATATTGTAATTTTTTTGATTTTGGTTAAAACAACAAAAATTATCAAATTGACTTTTAAAAGCCTTTATTCATCGGTGACATCTTTTTAAAAATTATACCGAAATCATGCATGCTTACATCTAGGGTTTTCTTACAGTCTTAAAGGCAATGTTTTTAGGGTTGGTATCTTCGATTTGGAGATGGAACAGATCCAATTATTGAGATGACGATTACTTCCCTCTTGGGTTCGTTAGTGTTTATTTTGAAATAATTTGACTTTAATAAAATTTCTCAAAGGTTTTCTTTAGTGACTGTTGCTGCTTTGGCTCTTGCGCTCGGTGTCACCGTTGCTCTTTCGGCTCTTCTGTTGTTCCAGGCTCGCTATATTCGCAATAATAAAACCGGAGTCGAGGAGTATATTTGTTCGTTTATCTTTTTAGTACTTTTAATCCTTTTTAACCTTTTAACTTTAACTTTTTAGTCGACAAAGCACGTTCGCGAATGAAAGAAGAGAAATATCGAGGGACAATTTTTGTTTATCCGTACGAGATTGGTTGGAGGAGAAATATTGCAGAGGTAATGAAATTTCTTTTTTGAATCGTTTGTTTCATTTAGGTTCTGGCGAATTTCAAAGGCAAGCAAAGTGGTAATGGCGTTTGGTGGCCGATTCGAGGAGATTGCACGCAGTTTACCTTTTCGGTTAGCGACTTTTACGAATCATTTTGTTTTGCAGTCTTACAATCTATTTATTTAGGAAGAACAACTACGACAAAAGAAATTGAAGCGCAGTCATGCGAGATTTGTTCGGATCACAAAGTCATCTCGAGGCGGCTATTGCGGGTGAGTTGAATAAATCGGGAAAGGAAAGTATTCTTGAGTCCCACTTACCTTGGAATTTTAGTGCGATTCGAGCGGCACCCATCGCTTGCATTTGCCAACCGTTATCCGATCAACCAAGAATGGAAATCAAAGAAGGCGAAACGTGGATTGTCACCGGAGGAAACAAAGTTTGTTGACTTTTTAGATAAAATTATGAATCAAAAGTTTTGTCGTGCACTCATCTTTCATCCCTTATATATTTTAGAGCTTTTTAAAGTCTTACTATTTAGCGTTGGCTTTATGGATTCAAACAAGGATCGGATGCAAAGGGATGGTTGCCGAGAAGCTGCACTGAATTTTTACCCGAACGACCTCATCTTGAATAAGTTTTTTTTGTTACTTTTGCATATTGCTCACTTCCTGATCTCTTCTAGGGATGGATCTGGGTATTTTTTACTTCGTTTTCTTGTGATATGAAATTGTTTGCGGATTTGCAGTTCAATTCTTTGTCAATGACCTTATCTTTTTTTTTTGATCTGTGATATTGTTCAGACATGTTAAATAAATAAAATGTTCAGAAATGCGGTTAGGGAAAATTTTATGACTTCCCGATAACTCGATGATTTCGACCGTAAAATGTCACTTTCACTTTCGGGGTTTCAATGGGAAATTCCCAAGATTTTTTCAATTCCTCAAAATGCAAATGCACCGAAGCCGTCGAGTCTTTACCGGTGGGGCGAATTTTGCGATTGATTTCGACATTTCGTCTAAAACTCTTTAAAGTTCGTAAAGTTTTTTTGCGGCAACTCACTGTTCTTTGCTTCGGTTGATGAAGTAACGAACGAGAAGTGGGCAGGTCACGGTGTAGAGAGGGGTTAACTGAAATTTGGAATGAGATTCGATAAGCTCGTGTTACTTAATGGTTGCTCTATATCTAATCTGGCTTACCGTCAAAATTCCCTGCCAAATCTTTGAGGTCATCAACGAGATTGATGCCATTCGCAATGCCCCATAAAGAAGATTGTATTCGACGAGAAAGAAAGTGTGCACAGCCACCACCGGACCGAATGTTGTCAACACTGAAAAGAAGTGTCAGCTTACTGTGAAAAGAGTAGTGGATTTGTACAGTTTGAGATTACTATAGATTGCAGAAACTGCGAATTACTGTAGATTCATCAATAATCCGATATTGCGTCTAGGATTTACTGTAAAAGAGTCAAATTCGAATCTTTGCAAATTATAAAGGTGGTCGAGATAAAGCTTTATGAGCTCTCTAGAAAACTTAAAACTTTTTTTGAACTTTTTTTGAAGCTATTTTGAGATTATCAAAATTTTTCGTAAAACCTGTAAATGAAAGTCTCAACTGGAATCGCTCGTTCACGTCCATTGTCGGTGCTCTGAATTTCTCGTCTAATTACCATTTTCTTTTTTTATCTAATTTCTCCCTACGACAATCTAAAATAGCTTACACTAAACAGTGATTTTGTTTTACTTTTTTTTTTTTTTTTTTTTGTCTAAACATAGTACACTATAATTTTCGCGTTCACGAACAAACCTCAATTTTCTCCTACAGAAAAGCCATAATGAGAAGACGCCACAAAGGGTGAAAAGGTCGAGAATGATTGTAAGAATTGACATGACAAGAGCTGAGACACGAGTTTGCTGAAATTATAGGCATTGAGATTTCTTTTTTCTAGCCTTTTAATGAAATTGGCTTTGCTTCATTTTAATTTTAAGTCAATTTTTACAGACTTTCTTTAGATTCATGCGAAAAACAAAACAAAACTTTAGCGTAATCCGGTTTAAATCAAACAAGCAAAAGCTCTACAAAAAGTGAGTTGATTTTACGATCAACTACCTACTTGAATTACTGTAATATCTACAAACTTGAGGTATACGGTAGCGGTAGCGGTAAAAAAAATGACACTAAAATCATAAAGATTGGCTTGAAAGAAAGTTATGATGAGTTGTGTAAAAAATTTGGCTCAAAGTAGGTACCCTGGAAATAAGACAGAGTTTGATTTAGTTGCCTACTTCTATTTACCAACAAGATCGAGCTATTAGGTTAGAAAGAAAGTTCTCGGAAAAAGTTTGACTAGAATTTCTTAAAAACGAATCCACAAATTCAAGAAGATTTTATTCTATTATTTATAAATCGATTCCAAGACTCGTAAAAGAAATGAGTGCAGCTTTCTCATAAAATTTTAGAGATTTTCAAAATTATACTACAACATTAGTAAGTCTACCAGAGCCAGGTTTAGACCTAGCTTCTAGCTCTGCTGTGCTTCTGCTCTGCTCTGCTTCAGCCTAGCCCGGCTTCTGCTCTGGCTCTGCTTCTGCTGGCTCTGCTCTGCTCTGCTTCAGCTCTGGCTCTGCTTCTGGCTCTGCTCTGGCCGGCTGTGCTTCTGGCTCTGCTCTGGCTTCGGCTCTGCTCTGCTTCTGGCTCAGCCTAGCTTCGGCTCGGCTCTGCTTCTGGCTTCTGGCTCGCCGGCTTCGGCTCTGGCTCTGGCTTCTGCTCTGCTCGGCTCTGGCTGTGGCTTCTGCTCTGCTCTGGCTTCGCTCTGGCCGTTCTAGCCCTGCCGGCTTCTGGCTCTAGCCTGCTTCTGGCTCTAGGCTCTGCTTCTGCTCTGGCTCTAGCTTCTGCTCTGCTCTGCTTCTGGCCTGGCTCTGCTTCTAGCTCTAGCTCTAGCTTCTAGCTCTAGCTCTAGCTTCTAGCTCTAGCTCTAGCTTCTAGCTCTAGCTCTAGCTTCTAGCTCTAGCTTCTAGCTCTAACTAGATAGACTCAAACTATGATCTGGAACTCGAGTTTTATTGATCTATTTGCTATTTAATTCTATTAAGTTGGAAAGAAAGTTCTCGGAAAAAGTTTGACTGAAATTTCTTAAAAACGAATCCACGAATTCAAGGAGATTTTGTTCTATTATTTACAAGTGGACTCCAAGAAATTACTCGTAAAAAAAATGGGTGCAGCTTTCCCGCAAAATTTTAGAGATTTTTGAAGAAAAGTATTATTTTTCAGCTTAAATTCAGATCACTTTTTGCATCAGAAAACGATAAAGCTTTCTTATAAGATAAAGCTAGCATAAATGAGCAATACGCTCTATAATCTCTATTTTTGGCCAACAAATTTCTTTACAAGGAAGCTGTATTTCAAGAAATAATTTTTTTCATGTCATCTTCTTTGCACTGAGTGTCTTCGCTAAAATAAATGATTCTGAAAAGTTAAAGCATTAAATCAAATCTGTCTTAATCATAAATTTTCCCTATTTTAAGTAATTCATTTCAGATTTTGAATAGGACCCATTGCCTATTCATTAACCCAATAAAAACTTGTCTAAAGTCTCGGTCACTCAAAAGGTGACCAAGTCACTTCAGCTGAAAAATCTCTTTTTTTTCCTAAAGCCAACTCTAATTGTTTTGTCAAAATCTTTTTGAAATATAGTTTATCAAAAAAATTTGGGAAGAATTGATGGCTTGGTTTTTGAGAAATCTCGGTACAAACTTTTTGCGAGAACTTTCTTTGCAACCTAATACTTATCTTTGTCCCGTCAACAAATTACCCCTCCGTCCAGTCGCGTAGTCCCAAAATTTCTTCAGTAATTTATTTCTTATTTGTTTGCTGGCAAGATATAGCTGGGATTTGGGGCTATCGTTTGGTACCTAAGTGCACACTGTAGCAGAAAACGGGGCTGAGAACGAGGTGCTTAAAGTTAGACTACGTCCTCCGGGCGTCTATTAGAATAATGACGGTAATATGCAAATTGATCTTTAACATCTTTGAAGTCGAGATTGTTTGATTCAAATTTTGATCTGGTTTTAAATAGAGTTGAGCTAGAATGAATCTAATAAAGTCTAATAATCTAATCTAATAATCTAATCTAATAATCTAAACCTAATAAAGTCATTTAAACTATTTTCCCTTATCTTTACTAAACTAGAAATGACGGGGAAATTTATATTTCTCGTGTTTTCAAGAGGCAAAGATACGAAAGTACCAAGTTTACAAGCGATTTATTATAGAAAATCGATCTGGTATAGTGAGAGTAGAAATAACTCGATAAAATACAAAAAAAAAACTCACATCATCGTCCTCAACACAATGTATCAAAACGGCGTCATGGCCGACGTCGACGAAAAAGAAATAGAAGGCAACGAAAATGAAAGAGAAGATCTGAAAGAAAATTGTCATAGTTTAGAAAATCCCTCCAACCACAATGGAAAGCATCATTTTTGTGAGCATTTGTTGAGAAACTCGATAAAATGATGGACGAAGAATGGCGATGCCCGCATCAAGGACAAGACAAAACATTGTTGAGGTCAGGGAGAAAGTGTTCGCATACTGAAAATGGGTTGAAAGGGTGGGTTTCTAAAGGCTACTATAGAATTAAGGGCCGTCTCTCTGTCCGTCGTTATGTACGAGAATTTTTCGACTTGATGCGGGACAGTTGTCGTCGAGGGGATAGCGCGGCGGTCTCTAGATCTGGGGGTCGTGGGTTCGGACCTAGACCGGGGGGATGTTGCCGGAATTACTATAGCATTGAGGGCTTTCTCTCTATCCGTCGCTATGTACGAAAATTTTTCGAACCGATAAGGGGCAGGTGTGGTCGAGGGGGATAGCGCGGCGGTCTCTGGATCTGGGGGTCGTGGGTTCGGGTCTAGCCGGAGGGATGTCGACGTTTTTTGGCTCAATTCAATGACTTTTTTTGTGATCATTTAGTGTTATTCATTGAAAGAAGTTGTCTTTGGTATGAAAACGTTAAAAGATTGATAGACAATTTTTATATGCTCTCTCTGGAACTGCTAATGAGTTTAATACCTTATGAGCGCTCGAACTTAGCATTTAAAATCTCGGTCTCTTCGTATTCTTCCATACTCTCCAATATTTTTCCATACTTTCACGCTGGTCGCATAATGATACTGTAGCTACCATTCTTTGTTCCAGCTTTAACTATTTCTGAATTCTTTAAGTAGTGGAATTGAACGGCTTAGATATAACTTTACTGTTAACATTTACAATATTGAAAATAGTTAGCACTTCTACATTTTTAGTACTGAATTTTCTTGTTCCTTACTTTGTTTTAAGCTCTCTTTCAAGATTTTCAAGGTCTGGGTTTGAGTTTTTTTATTTCAAATGGACTCTTGCAATCTATTATTAGTCAATATAATATTAGGTCTGCTAGAGGACCCTCGAGCCATTCACATCACTTTGTCTTTTCTTAAACTCTAAAGGATTCTAATTGTCTTTTTTGTCTCTTTCTTAATTTTCTTTTTATCTCAAAATTTTCTATTTCAGTCGATTTGCTATGAAAGCCGGCTAGCCAATTTAGCCAGTTAGATTTTCTCGAAATTTGTTTCAGTTTTTAGGATCTACTTTCAATTTCTTTTTGTTAAACTGTTCTTTAAGTGGGAGTTGAAGGGGAAAGAAGGGAAAGAAGGGAAAGAAGGGAATTGTCATTAAGCCGATTGTCACACAGTAAAACGAGCGATGCCAAGTCGATCTCATTGATCTACTCATTGATCTCATTGATCTACAATCCGTTCCCGAGCATGATTACAAATTTCTTATGGTATATTAGGATCACAACGTAGTTCGTCATTCTGAGACGGCTGAAATCCAAAACTATAACAAATCGTCTACGACATAGATACTCGTTTTGCTAGAATCGATAAATAAAAATCTTTTAGGGGCTTCTAAAGTCTTCTCTTAAACTCTAAAGGATTCCAATTGCTGCAAATATCAGTCTGTTCCTTATTCAGTTCTTGTCCTTATTCTTGGTTTGTGATTGTTTTGATCACTCTCTTTTTTTTTTATTTCCTTTGACTCATCTTTCTCGCTCACCTGTATCGCTCGAAGCCAATTACATGAAGAGATCGAAAAAACCCGAGCACATGGGTCATTTAGGTGAAGAAAATATTGTATTACTTGGAGATACTGAAAAGAAATTTTGATTTCTAAGAGAAAACAGGTGGGATAATTTGTGAAGGGGAAATCTGTGGATTTTGATCACTTATATGAGCAATTAATTTAGAGAAAAATGAAGAAAACGACGATTTTTAGCTCGTGATTTGTGTATTGAAATCTTATTTTTTCTTAGGATCTCTTAGAAATTCAAATCTTTAAAAGAAACATGTGAAATTGAGCCGAAGAACCCGTAGGAGAGGATGATGATGATCTTCATGATGAGCAGAATCTGAAAGGCTCAATGTTGTTCAGATGAAAGTAAAGCTATAGTTATCATTAGAGATAGATAGATTATGATTATGATAGCCGAAGAACACGTAGGAGAGGGTGATGATGAGCTTGCAAAAGTTGGCACGTTTTAAAAGCTAAGTTAATTTGCTCAGATAAACTAAGAAGAAATGCATTTTATTTTCTTGAGAGATTTGCAAGTAAACAATGCAATGCTTAGAAAGAATGCAGCTTTAATATCTTCTCAACTTCTATTTGCTCTTCTTCTACCATTTTTCTATTCTTTTTAAGGCATCATAGCCTCTCCTAGTCTTATGGGTTAAGGGCTTGATCCAGGTTAAGGGCTTGATCCAGGTTAAGGGCTTGATCCAGGTTAAGGGCTTGATCCAGGTTAAGGGCTTGATCCAGGTTAAAGGCTTGATCCAGATTAGGGGTTTGATCCAGGTTAGGGGTTTGATCCAGATTAGGGGTTTGATCCAGGTTAAGGGTTTGATCCAGGTTAAAGGTTTGATCCTGGTTAAGGGTTTGATTCTGGTTAAGGGTTTGGTCCCGGTTAAGGGTTTGATCCTGGTTAAGGGTTGGATCCCGGTTAAGGGTTCGATCCTGGTTAAGGGTTTGGTCCCGGTTAAGGGTTGGATCCTGGTTAAGGGTTGGATCCTGGTTAAGGGTTGGATCCAGGTTAAGGGTTTGGTCCAGGTTAAAGGTTTGATCCAGGTTAAGGGTTCGATCCCGGTTAAGGGTTCGATAAAAGATTTCTTCTCTTTCCCATTATTGAATTTCTTTTCTTAACAACATTTAGGGAATAGGGATAAAAATTCCCTTCTTTATGTTGTAATTTGATTATTTCATGTTTCATGTCGAATAAACTTTATTCAAACAAACTCACATGAACTTCTGAATATAAATTGAGCACTTTTGTCCAGAAAAGGTAGAGAATGATTGGAATGGAGGCTGTGCAAAGGATTCCCTTCGAAAGAGTCGACCAAAGGTATGGGGATTGAAATGTGACCAACTCTGTCGCCACATCGCAATAGGTTTCCATTATCTGGAGGTCAATGATGAAAATCGATGTGTCGATGATTTCAACGAGTTTAAATGATCCTAATATTCTACAGTAAAAACAAATGACTTCTTTCTAGAAAAAGAACGTTTAAAGAAATCGTTTATTTTGGTGGGAAAATGAAAAAAAATGAAAAAAATCCCCTTTACGCAGAAAATTATTGGGTTTTGAAGAAATGGGCGTCTTTTTTAAGAGCTTATTTTCAAAATATAGTCTGTGTTTGGTGTTTAAAAGAGGAAATGCTTTGGATTACGTTTTTTTTTGACTACAAACGGACTTTCGACTATGTTAGACTCGGAAGATCTTCGTTGGATGAGACTTTGCGTAGGCTAGACTAAGACTAACTTCTGAACTGACTTGACATTCTTAACAGACTAAGCTGAAACTCCCTGACTCAATCCCTGACTACCTAAGCTATTCAAAAACTAAAGCTTACTGAGGTGACTAGCATAGAAAGCTGACTAGCATAGAAAGCTGACTAGCATAGAAAGCTGACTAGCATAGAAAGCTGACTAGCATAGAAAGCTGACTAGCATAGAAAGCTGACTAAAGTCATTCATGAACTGACTTCTGACCTAGCTTAGTCCATAAAAGTATACCAAACTATAAAAAGCTTGTTATCTAGATAAAAGTTGATACAAAACAACTTTATCTATAAGAAGTACTGGTATCCCGGGAAATCCCTGGCAAAATGAGATCCTAAAGTGCTCATGCATGCTGGGAATGAATTGGATGGCTTAAAATTAGGCTTAATCTCAGGCTTAATCTCAGGCTTAATCTCAAAAGATCTTAAAAGAAGAACTATGAAAAATATGGATTGAAAGTTACCAATTGAAACGGAAGCTTTCTAGATTATTTCTGTGATTTGATCTCTCAAAACACCTGGGCTCAAAATGGAAAGCTAAATTCAGTTAAAATTCCAAAATTCACTTTAGAAATTTCTCTAGGGATTTAAAAAGTTGAAGTTTAATTTTAAAAATGACTTTCTTTTTTTTATTGAGACGATTGTGAGACATTCAAATTTACAGTAGGCAGGAAAAGTATTCAATTGATTGAATATTTGATTAGATATTCACTCTAGACACTTAACTACCGTAAGCTGGGAGTTTCTAGTACAAATTTCATAGTTAAACTATTCAAAAACGAAAGCTTTATTGTCAAAAAACTAATTAAAAAATCAATGGGCTCAAGTTCACGGTGAATAATTGAGTACTTTTAGAACTTTTTCCCAGACTCCGGTGCTAGATCTCAATAGTTTCGAATACCCCGTAGATCAGTTAAGTTTCGCTGGAATAAGCAATGACTCCGGTGCAATTCTGATAACGAAAACATTTGAATTCTCTCAACATTGAGACCAGGTGTTAGTCGAGAACGGTAAATTTTCCCCCCTTGAAACCACACCTGTTTGTCAATCATTCTCTCTTCGATACAAACTTTTTTGCCCCTGAATCTCTGGAGAAAACGATGAAAGCAAAATTATCGTCACAGGAATTGAGAAGAGTACCACGCGGCGGTTGAAGAGAAAGAAAAGAGACAAAAGTGTCTCTTTATGAAATTGGAATCTAAAATCATTGCAATTAGCTTTCCTCTAGAAAATGCCAAAAATTGATAGGCGAAAAGTTATTTGAACTGAGCATCGAGGGAAAATTTCGCTTTAATTAGCTTTAAAAGACTTGTTCTCTGAACGTATTTTGCTAAAAACGTACCTCCACTTGGCACACTCAATTCTTTATTTGCTTGTGCCTCAGAAAGGGTGTGTTTACGATTTTTGAGCAGAAAGCACTGTTGTGCTCTTTTTTTTTGTTATAAAAAAACCTAATCTGATTTAGATTTTTGCAAGTTTTTACTTTATAATGATAAACGATTTGAAGCTCAATAAACTGTGAAAGGAACAAAAAAAAATCAATTACACCGAATTAAGCTAAATTATAGGCATGGGAAAAATCTTGTTAGTGACGTTTTTTTTTTTTTAAAGAAAGCGGGGGTGAATGAAAGTGAATTTTGAAGGCTTAAATAACGTTGAAAATCAAGAATTGATTTAATATAATGATTTGGTTATGGTAGGAGTGATTGTGATTGATTCGTAAATCCGGGGTAGGCTAGTATCCGCAACTTTTTTTTGCGCAACTAGGTCATTTGCGCAACTCGTCATAACTTTCTTCTAAGTCGGTCAATCTTTATGCTTTTGGTTCCATTTTGTTGCACTTGTTGAGATCTACAAAATGACACCAAAATCATAAAGATTGGCCCACTTAGAAGAAAGTTATGACGAGTTGCGCAAACGACCCAGTTGCACAAAAAATTTGACGCAAAGTAGCCGTAGTAGTAGTTCTTATAGATCTTGAAGAAAAGAATAGCCTCTCCAGTTACTCACCTCAGTGATCCCAAAATAAAGTGCGGCTCTTGTTTGAGGAAAAGACCTAGTTGCGCAAATGATCCAGTTGCGCCAAAAAAAGTTGCGGAAACTAGCCTACCCCGTAAATCCAACCCGAGACTTTTGTACGTACAATTAATTCTCTAAAAGATAATTAAAATTAAAATAAAATCTCTGCTTTCAAAAACCTAGCGTCTTTAGACTCTAGTTTTTATGAATCTATTTTGATTTGGTTTTATGAGAGGTTCATTAAAGATACTAAAAATTGGATAAACTAGATAAAACTATAGGCAAGATTACTGTAGTTTTTCGACTGGCTAATGGGTTTTCTAAATGCCAGATGGCGCGCGTTTCCTCCTCGATTTGTACTTTGTGATCAGGCGGGCGCACTCAATTCTTTATTTTGCACTATTTCTGCAAGAAGAATAGCTGTGTTTACCTTTTTAAGCAATTTAAAAAAAGCTTTTAGTCCTCTCTAAACATCAAAGATTAATCAATAAAATAAACAAAAAACATAAATCAAACGTCGAGCTCGACGGGCATAAATTTTGAAAGAAAATAAAAGTTGATCTGAGAGTTTTTCATCTTAACTTCAAGGCTTTTGAAGGCTAACTTCAATTAAATGCACCTGGCCTTTTGGGATATCTTTTGGAAATATTGTTGTGATTCAAAAATTCGAGAAAAGGAAGAGAAATGGAAACTTTTGCGAAGTTTAATTAGGCATTGTGAAAGACTAAAGGGGGAAAATGGAACATGGGACTTTTTTTTGATCTTTTTGCGGTGTGTTTAGATGTGTTAATGGGAGAAATAGATTCTAGGATCAGCGCGAGGATCACTACCGTAATACCACTTGTCATAAACATGATACAAAAGATATTTTGTTGTACCGTAATACTGGCATAGAAAATGACCAGTTCTGACACCGATTGAAGCTAGGCTTTACAATTAGGTCAAACCGTCGTCTTCCCCTCTTTTCTAAAGCGTGCCCCAAATACCGCGGTTGGCGCTTCTTTCTGTGTGGTCCTTCCACGCATTTCTTGCTTTGTTTTTTATATTTACGTCATCGAGCTTATTTCACTTACAATAAAACCTCACTTCTTTGGCTCCTCATGCAAATACACGCCAGTCTATTAATGTAAAAGATAAATCACATGCAACCACTCGCTAGGCAAGCTTACTTGAATGACTCTTGAGCTTGAGCTTGAGCTTGGGCCTGAGCCTGAGCTTGAGCCTGAGCTAACATAGGAGGACAACAATGAGCAGGAGAACAAGATAAGCTAGCTGAGATAAGCTATAAACCATTCGTAGAAACGGATAGTGATTTCAAATAGGTTTAAAGTCAAATAATCATTGCTTGGATACCAGCGAAACTTAACTTATCCACGGGGTATCCAAAACTATCGAGATCTAGCACCGGAGTCTGGAAATGTTCCAAAAGCACTCAAACTTTAGTAAAAATTTTTTTGTAAAATTTTCTTTTACCTCTGAATTTCTTGCATTTACCCTTTTTATGCTAGATAGCACAGCTTTAGTACTATGATTACCTATTTACAATTAGATACCGTAAAAGCTCCAAGAGAAGCCTCTTTTTTATTTTGTATTTTTTTTTTAATAACCCAAAAATTACCATGACTAAAAATAGGTATTTTAGACTTTTATTAATGCAGGTTTTTCGAGGAGGAACGCGAGCACATACAAGACGATCAGGCCTGACTAGGAAATGAGATGGATGAGGGAACTAGAGAGGAAACGATCGCTCAATATTCGGAGAACGATTTTTCAGGTGAAGAGAACGACGGTTCTTCCTGAAAGCCTATTCAAAGGAACTCAAATTGGAAGCTGTAAAATACGCCTAAAAGGATTTTCCTATACATACGGCCGCAAAGCAGTATCGAATTGATCGGACAAGAAAAAAGCTTGTGCAGCAAGAAAGGCAAGCAAAACGTTTGAAAGGAGGCTGGCGACACTTGATGTCGATTGAGCTGGAGAACGGGGTTGTTACCAGGAATCTATCACAAAAATGTGTTCGATTTCTAATTTTTGCATTGAAAAATAGAAACCAGCTTTGGAGGAGGGTTGAAAAATAGAAGCCCAGGGGCTTCTATTAGAATAATTACGATACTTAAGTGTTAGATCAGCAGTTTTGTAACGGTTCAGAAGATGAGCCAGAAGATTCGTTGTTTCCATTCAACTCTCCAAAATCATCTTACAGTTAGTTTTGGCCTTCATTGTGATCCGGCTACGAAAAGTTCCGGATCCTCCACTCGGCTCTCAAATGAAAATAGATAGCTTTCTCATTTCAACACAAACTTTATTGCGTAAAACAATACTTCCAGCTAATCTGACAAAAACAAATGATTTGAAAACGAAAAAGAAACGACGACGCGGGGGTGGGACAAATGCGACCTTTTTTTTGCGCACCTGTTTTTTTGCTGGAAAAGGCCTTAGGCAAGGTCGTAGAGCTTCAAAAATGTTTTCATAAAACGGAATCGTATGCGTAGATTCCGAATTTCGACAAATCAGACCTCACTGACACGTCAAATTTGGGCTAAGAGGCAAAAACTACGCAACTTAACGCTTTTCCGCAGTTTTTGCCTTTTAGCCCAAATTTGACGTGTCAGCGAGGTCTGACTTGTCGAAATTCGGAATCTACGCATACGATTCCCTTATATGGAAAAATTTTCGAAATATTTTCGAAGCTCTACGGCCTTGCCTAAGGCCTTTTCCAGCAAAAAAAAGGTGCGCAAATGTCCAGGTGCGCAAAAAAAGGTCGCATTTGTCCCACCCCCGACGACGCAGCGTTTCCATCGACTACCTCCAAATGGTTACGACGTCAATTGGAATGTAGCGTCACGCGAAAATTAACATTTTACGACGTTAAAATTTGCGACAGAAATTCAAATTTAACATGAAAACGTCTCGAAAAACACTTTTCTCTGAAGGTCATTCTCTACTCAGCTACCCCTCCCCTCCCAATAAGATATACACTGGTTATACTTTCTTTGATGAATGGCGTTTTTCCTAGAATTTCTTTTTTTTCGTTAACTTCTGTATAACGCTTGTTCTTTAGAACGAGCAAAAGTCGATGGCGGAGAGTGCTGGTGTGCTGACGGAGCAAAGCATCTTGCCGCCAAGTTTCGTAGGTTTCATGATTTTTTGTTATCTAGACAGTGGAGTAGGAGCTTTGTTCACCTTTTATAGAATCAAGTTTCATTTCCGTATCGTCTGATTAGGCGATAGATTGGCCGTCATAATGCGTTTAGAAAGAAGGACTTAACGATAGTTTTGTTTTTTTCTATAGTATTTTTATTTAAAATATCATTCTAATCAAGGCAAAATTAACGTTTAACTCTTGTAACGTTGAACTCAAAGTCATGAGCGGATTAGTTGCATTCCGAAAGTTTTCATTGCGTGATAAGTCCTTCTTTTTTTAGGAATCCAACTTGTCACCATCGCAAAAAGCAACTTTGGAACGCGTCCTTCTTGCGATCAGGAGCGATCATTTCTATGTTACACACCCGGCCACACGTCGAAATGAGGAAAACTTTCTACTATTGGCTCAAACAGCAGCTCAAACAGCAGCTCTTCCCTTAGACAAGGTGAATTTAAAATATGTGCTACTTAATAATTTTATTCATTACAGACTCATGTAATCGATTACAAAAAGCCTGAACTTCTATGTCTCAACTATCCAACAGTTCTGCTGTGAGTTGTTTTAAAATTTCCGCTTTATGCATTGCAATTCAGGGAGCGAAATATCAAAGACGAGCTATTTCGTGCTGCACTTTTCAAGAATGAGTCGGTTGATATTTCAAAGAATTCACCTGGTATACAAAATGAAAAGAAAGGAATAGGACGTCTCTCCAATACCGCGACTAGGGTATGGTATGGTTTGGATAGGAATATTTAGGCTTAAAACTTGCATTGCAAAAAGTATTACATATAGCGGAGTTACCAGTTAAGAAATGTCAAAGTAACGTACCAACCTACCTACTTTAGCGTTCGAAGAAAAAGCCAAAAATTGTCGGACTCTGGGAAGCAAATAGCGATTCGTTAAATGCCTTCTTGAGGTATGTATTTTTATTATCTAATTGCAAATTGTGAATTTTTAGACTTCTTAGGGATGGAAACGCTAGACGGCAGCAAATTTTTGATACATTAGCACAATGCTTCAAGGTTTTCTATCTAGAAATATTACATTACTCTTATTTAGCAACTTCAATCTTTTTGTACATTAAATGAAAAGGCATGGAAGCATTTTGCTGTTGTAAGAACGTATGCTTTGCGTACCCAAAAGCTACACCAGTACGCGTTCAATTGTGGAGTGTTGGTAAGAATTTTAAATTTAGCCATTTGCCATGTTTGAAGTTAAAATTTTCTTTAAGGAAGTGAATGGTCCACTGGCAAAGTTTCTCCAAAGTATATTCCAACGATACTTCTCTATGCCAGCAAGGATAAGTGATGAATCAAAGGCATGGCTTCAAACTAAAAAAGTACGTTAATTTGCTGATTGATTGATTATCGATTTGCGTGAGAAAAGACCAGTTTAGGTGGTGAAGATTTTCCTAAATCCGCAAAATTCTGACTTGAGGATTCTGTTGCTTGAGATTGTCCAAAAATTTCTTGCCAAGTGAGTTGATTTATTCCTTTATAAATACCGTTGTTTAGGTTTATAAAAGCACACGTGACCAGTTTTGTCGGTGATGCAGAGACTACGATTAAAGAAGCCAAACGACAACTTTTCTTGGTTGGCTACCAAGAAATTCAACTGCTTCACGACTTTTTGCTGGTAAATTTTCTCATAAAAGCAGTGATAATATTATTTTTAGAATGGAATCAATTATCAATCGGAATTGGGATAGATAGAAAAGGGATGTAAGAATGCGAATAGCTATAATATTTAACGCGTACTTAATTTGTGTTTTTGCTTTTTTAGTAGTTTGTGATTGTTATTGCTTTGTAAAGCATTTTTTGTGATAATAGAAGTTTAAACCGTAGAGTTGCATCTCTTTAATAATTCCGTAAAAGCGTTGAATTCTCGTTGCTTGCCTATCTATCGGTTTAAAGTTTTTTTTTGATGACAACGATGCCATAACGACCTAAACATTAGCCTCATTGCCAACTTTTCACTAGCTTGATTGGTAGTAACCTTATGGTTGAGTCTCGAAGCGCTTCCATGCGCGCGGTAACGTTTTTCTTCTCTTGTTGGGGGAACGCAATTCAAATTCCGATTTATCGAACACGCTTTTGAATAGTTATGCATTTTTGGGTTAGGTAATTGTTTAGTACAATCTTTTCATGTCATTATTTGTTGTACTTATGCCTCCGAATTACTTTCAATTGAAAAAAGCATTGAATACAAGATTAGAATTAGTCTAAAGAACGATTTCCGGCTTTTGAAACAGCGTTTTTGGTTTTCGAAGGTGTTAAACAAAAATGAACACATGAAATCCTTTTAAAAGCTAGATTGTCTTTATGGGTGGCAATTGAACCTAATGTTTGCTTTTTAAAAACATGAGCTCTCATTTAGTCTGGTTCGAAAATCTTAAAGTTGCTTTTGTTTTGGCCTTCCATTTACTTCCTAACACGAATTTGTATATATCAATTGTTTTTTAGTATGGACCAAGACGGAGTGACAAGACGCCGCCGCCGGCCAGTAGTTGTTGCTCATAAAGGATATGCTTTACCGGGTAAGGACTTTGTCATTTTCGTAAAATTCCTGTTTTAGAATACACGAACGACTCTGATTCCGATGGTGATCTTGCTGTGCCACAGGTTTGTTTGTTGCGTCATTTTTGACCAACCAAAACTTTAGAAGCGACCTGCTTACAAAGACGATGGAAATATTCCAAGTACGAGTTCTGCAAATCCAATGATTGCGAAAACAGGTTTGATTTTATTTAATATTGAGGGATCTGGAGAAGTAGGATAAACGCATATAAGCACAAATCTGAAGATTCCCGCTAGTTTACTCATTCTTTTAGAAGACGGAAAAACTACATCGCAAGCTAATTCAAAGATGAAGTTGGTGATGGATCTCTTCAAGAAGCATCATCAGAAACGTGGCTTCAACTACTTCAGTCATTCGATTATTGAGGAGATTCGCTTGGCTTCCACCGATCAACCTTTACTTGTTAGTTATCAATTTCAGACTTAATTTTCTTTGATTTCAGGATATGGCTATCGCAATTGAAGGAGCATCGCAAGTTTACAGTTATCGAGTAGAAACGACCATGATGCATTGCAAGGAGACACACGATATTTGTGTTGGAGGTGAATTTTTTATTGGAGACTTCTTTAATATGCAATTTAGCTAAGACCAAAGCAGCAACGGTTGACGAGATTGAAATCACAGAAAACGGGAAACTGGCCATCGATGAAACTACGGCAACGGCGAAAAAAAACGCCGGAAAGCCGAAGACCCAGGTTTGTTTGTAATAAATGTTTTGAAACGGTAATCTTTATAGATGCCAAAGACAACTACCAGAATAGGATGGCGGATTTATGGGAAAATATTGGCAAGCAGCAAGGAGTTACAGAGGTATTGTTGCTGATAGTCATTACAGAAATTAAGTAATAAACGAGTTCTAATAAAATATTTGATAGAATGCATTTTCACTTTAGGGTTTGGAAGGGAAAAAGGAAGAAAATAGCGATAGCGATGAAGAGGAAGAGCTGGAAGACGATGAACCAGAATCCGAAATTGAGGCTTGTAAGTTATTTTTATGAAATAGTTTAATATTGTGTTTAGTTATTCGGGAAGCTTCTTCTTGGAATAGTAAGATGAACATTGCCGAGAAAATCTTTGACGAAAGAGAAGAACGACTTCTCAGCTTGGATCACAACAAGCTTATCGAATCGGTAAGGGATCTTAATTGCAAAACGATTGGGGGGAAAATGTCTTACATTATCGATAGCATGTCTAGTACTATAGGAAATTGTTTTATATTTTGTTTTTTTAGAATCCAAAGCTTGTTACCGATTCTTCATCACTCAAAGTTCGCCGAAAAGAATCTCGTCAAAACTCCTATTATGCTGCTGCCATTTATAATAAGAACCGAAACTATTCTCATCGGATTTTCACGATGAATTGCATTCGAACACAAGACGCTAGGTAACTGAAATACCATTGCATTATTTTAACTTTCTTTAGAAAATTTATTCTACATCCACGGTCGGTTCCCGATCCAGAAGCCAGCTTTCATAAGCCCTATCCGAAAGATTGTTTGGATTCTCTTGCAGGTTCTCTCATAACTTTATATGTAACCATATTTATGCTTAGGTCTTTGTCATAATGCTTTGTCGGATAAGCCTCAATCGTATGGCTATTTCTTCCCAAAAACAACTATCAACACAAAGGACACAGTAGTTACAAGAAACGGTCTCTGGAACATCATTTTTAGGCTCTTGGGGTTGATGGAGAAGAAGAAAACTATTTGCTGGAACAAGATGAACTCGATGATGTGATCACAAATCAAAGAGGTGCAAGTTATTTTATCTAAAGTAATTTTATCATTTTTTTAGAAGATGACACGACGATAATGCCAGATCGCACCTTAATGGATGCAACGCTTGCAAATAGAACTTCGGCTTTTGGAGGAAGTGGACCGAAACGCGTCACACTAAAAGGTCTTGGTGAAAAACAGGTTAGAAGAAAGTGCAATGCCTCTAATTTCGCCTTTGTTTATAGATTCGCATGGCCGACTTAGTTGATACATTTGTGGGTGCTTCGATCGATCCAAAGCTTTCGATGTCATTAGCTGATATGGTAGCTAACTCGACAGTTTTTCATTATTTTATTTCATTATTAGGTACGCGATCTGTATTCTAACGCTTTACCGATGCGGCGCGGAACCAGAACCAATGAATTTAACTTGAAAAGCGACGTAAATGGCGATACAACCACAATATTTGAGGAGGTATTTTTAGTTGAAATCTAACTAAGCAAATTAGTAGTTTAGACTCGTTGCGTGCGACTTTTCGGTTTCGGGCCAATAATTGCACAACTTGAATCGAGCTGGCATGCTGAATATAGGCAGCTGTCTATTACACGCGATGATTATGAAGATCAAATGAAGTAGGAGATCGTCTTCAAGGGCAGCAGTATTTTTTGCTTTCAGTGCCATCAACGAGTTGCCCGACGAGAAGAAAGACATTGCTCAGAGATCTGTGTTGCCTCCTGGTCGTTATAAACTTTTCGCTGCACCACCAGACGCACCGGTAAACTAATTCTTAAGATGCTTCTTTATACTTTTATTTAGCATAACTACCCCCGTGATCCAGCATCCAACAAACCGCTGATGGAAGAAGCCAATCACCTAAAAAGTAAAAAGAAAAGCTAGTAAAGCTGGAAAAGCTTTCTTTAGTTACCACGGAAATGGCAGTGTCATTTGCTGAATATGTAGACGCATTTGACGACTCTGGCGCTGGAAGGTTGGGAAGCGACGGTGAATTTTAGCAATTTTTTGCTAGATTCTTATTCTTGTCACGTGGAAATGTTTTAATTTTCTATTTTCAGCTGGTTTTGACACAGATTTGGCTCCAATTCCCACGGATTTGCTCACAGACAACAAGTAAGTTTTAATTGCAATGAGGGTTGATCCAATTTATTTGGATACACTACTACTTATTTTACGTCGTCCTTTAGCAATGATGCCCAAAAAGATATCCCTCCTCACTTGGACGAACAAGATGCCCCATTTGAAGCCGAGGCCAGAGAGGTTGAACAATTTAATGTCGTTAATAAACTTCTATTTGCAGGAAGAGATTATACCGGATTTTGATCTGCAAAGGATTGGAAAAATTGATGATGCTCATTGGAACAAGAAGGTTGAGAAGCGGACTGAGAAAGAAGAACAACAGCGGAAAGAGACGAGAGAGCAAAAGAAACAAGCACAGGAAGAATTTTTGAACAGGTATCTCGTGCATACCTAGTTGTCTCATACTTCCATTTTAGTTGTAATTTGCCTTACGACGACTTCATTAGCTACCATGATTCATTAGCGAACCGCTTTAATTCCATTCCGAATCGTGAAATCCTCGAGGAAAAATATCTGTTGACAAAGAAGCAAGTCGAGGAGGTAAAGAACTATTTCAAACTAAAGTAACAATTTTTAGATGATTAAAAGCCGTCTTTCCGAGAGCCACAAAGTGCAAGACATCTACGACTACAATCTATTCACGAAACCATGCTTCCTTAATAATGTATCTAGCTGATCTCGATCAAAAAGTATACTAATTTAGGGTCGTTTTGGGCATTGTGATTTCAAGCCGGTTCCAGCACCCGATAAACCATTACGAAAGCTTCCTCGTTTCCCAGGTTAATTATTTATTTTGCTTGTCGTTATATTTTTTTCTAGGATTGGAAGACGACAACTGTGAAGATGAAGATGAGGATGAAAGCCCAGAAGAGATGGCAGAGGCCTATGTGAATTGGATGTCAGCCTTCTCGCTTTATTATGAACCGGATGAGAGGTACCTAAATCTTAACGAACATAACCAGAAAGTGTATTTTAACCATTAACTTTTGCTTCAGGGCTACATTATCCTCAGGCAACTTTCGATCTCAACTTGAAAACGATAACGGTGGGCCAAGTTTTCCAGTAGGGCCACTCGATTTTGGTGACGATGATATGGGAATTGATGACTTTGACGATAACATTGTTGAACCAATCAACGTTTCAAAGCAGAGACGAAAGAACCAATTCACCTTCGAGTTTGTCGTTATTTTAATCCAAAACGTTATTGCTTTTTAGGCACGCCAGAATGTTGGAAGATAATGAAGAACCCGCTCATGAAATCGAAACAGATAAAGAGGCGATGAATGAGGAAGACGCGAGGCTTTTGGAACAGGTAAAATTTCACAGAGCGCTCTATCTTATTTAAATTTAATCTTTAGATGCTCGAACTTGCTCGTGGAGCCAAACAACAAAGGGTGGATACTTTACAAGTGAAACTTGCCATCAAACAACTTCTTGGCAATGATGACGTTTGTTTGGTGTTGTTGAATTATCACTTGGTTGTTTAGTTAAAAGATGGACACTTGAAACGTATTGCTCAGGGCTACTCCAACGAGAAAAATATGCTTCCAATTGCCAACAGGTAAGGGTGGCTATTCTATTTTCATTGTAACTCGATCCAAGGCTGGCGGCACTTAGCGGTTGCTCGGATAAGGAAAACGACAAGATGGAAGTTGATCAGTGCGAGGTTGAAGCGGAATCCACTAACGTTGAAGAGGACACATCAACTCAAGGTGGTCTTGGTTAGTTGTACCATTTTGCTGGCTAGTTTAAAAGTTTTTTAGAGAATAAAATCAAAGAAGCCTTGACTGCTCCGCCAGTTGATGTGGAAGCGGCTGAGGTTGAAGAGGTACATTAACATGCGTTCTGTCTTCTATTTTTAAATTTCTAGGTGGAAGGAATGAACGACGAAGAAGATGATACGCATAACGTCTCACTTCGAGTGACAAATTTTGGTGTTGAAGGTGATTTTTAATGGAAATTTTGTTTGATTCATTAGTTGGATTATGTAAACAATCAATTTAAGGTGAACATTCGTTCTCGTCGCTTGTCTCTATGCTCCCATTGCGTCTTCCGGCTCATGATCGACAGATTCACATAGCTACCACACTTGTTATTGCTCTTCATATGTGCAACGAGAATGTAAGTCAAAATAGTTTTGCTATTTTAAACTTATCATAATTTTAGGGTTTGATCTGCGAGCAGCAACGGTCGTCTTCTGATGGACTTGACTCATCAAATTGGATGTCTGACTTTGTATTTAAGTGAGTTTTCGTTATTTCTTATACATTATCAGAGTCATCTTTAGAAATTCCGACGATGCTCAACCTGAGTGAACTTTTGCCTACTAAGTTTCATTGTTTTATTATGTTGGGTATTTGGTGCAATAATACTTTTGGTGGCTCATTGCCTATGTTTGCTGTTTATTTAGTGGCTTTTATTCTTACCTCAATACAATCCGCATTGATGATTCAAATTACCTTATTTAAAGAAAGTGCTTTATACATTTTTAGGGAAAAATGTCCACAACGATATCGAAGTAGCATTTTTATATTCTCGTTGTCACGTATTTATTTAGAGAGCTTGCGTGAAGTGTGTCAAATGTCGGGTAGCTTTTTGTATGTGTATCTATTTGCAGGCCCAGTTAATTGAAATTTACCCATCATAAACTAGAGATCTCAATTGCCTTTTGAAGAATAAATTTTATCCAAAAACACCAGAACTGGACGAAAGCAGTGTTTTGGTTGTACTAAAATGTTTCAGGGAATCACCAATTGACGACAAATTGATGATTTCACAGAGGCAAACTTTTAATTTGCAAAGGCTGAAGATTACGCGTGATGACACTTGGAAAACTAATGGGGAAATGGGGAAAACAAATATGGTGAACAAGGAAAAACTTCTGTTTTCTTTGCCAAAACATAGATCTACAACGTGTTGACAGCTTACGATTGAGTACATAATGCATTCTTTTCAAACGTACAATCAAGATACTCATTTAAATATTAGTCTTCAATGCTTTTTTGGCTCTATTGCCTTGTTATTGAACGGATAAAATATTAAACATTGTTTTTGAGGAACTAAAGATTTGCGGGTGCAGATTCTCCTATAAATGGCATATTCAAATCTCCCTAAAAGCTCATTTTGCTGAACTGTTGTCGAGTTTCATTCCAATCTTTCACTCCAAAAGATCCCTTGATTTAGATTTCAACTAAGGAATAAATGATTTCATAAAAGTTATTGTGTACAGGGTGCTTCATAATTACTCATACTCACTCTGGAGCTCAGTCAAAAGATAACCGATTGCCAAAAAAAATTTTTACGGGTAAATGTTGAGTGGGTCTCCTGTAGCGGTGCCCATTATCTAATCGATAGGAGCTCACAAACTTTTCAAACAAGCTCTTAAAGTTGAGAGTCGCATTTAGCCTGGCGCGCCAGGCCTGGGGTGGTTTATCCACAGCCTTTAGGGTCACCCTGGCTTTTCTAGTACTCAAGACTGGTTTTAACAGTACACCTGAGTTCACCTAAAGTGATATTTAAACGAAAAACCCGTTCTTTGTTTGTTTATTGACTGGAGTCTAGCCTTTTATTGCCTTTTAGTCTATAGAATATAGCAGACAAAAGATCAAGCGCTAACGAGGAATATCTTTGAATAAGCGATTTTATTGTTAGTATTTTAGTCAAATGCCCAGACAAATTCGTTCACCGGTGACGCATGAGTCTCTGGAGACCTGATAGACGTTGTAGTGAATATGCTAGGGGAAAAGAAAACTCAGAAATCATCAAGATATCAGTTTTTAGCCACTGCTTTACAATCTCAGTTTCTTATCTCAATAAAGTCGACCGAAATAAAGCTGTAAATGAAAAGATATCGAGCTTTAACTCTTTTCACTTTAAGCTCAATTCACTGTCAAATTAAATTCCCACCGTAATTTCCAATCATTCATTAAATGAACGAATTTTTTCCTCAAATAACTTTGTTTTTCTTTTTGGTTTTTCTTTTAAAATCTAATGAGAAAAGTTTCCCAAATGTGTAAAAAATGCGAAAATTGAATTGGTGTGATCGAAAATGGGGGTGGGACAAATGCGACCTTTTTTTGCGCACCTGGACATTTGCGCACCTTTTTTTTTGCTGGAAAAGGCCTTAGGCAGGGCCGTAGAGCTTCAAAAATGTTTTCATAGAAGGGAATCATATGCGTAGATTCCGAATTTCGACAAATCAGACCTCGCTGACACGTCAAATTTGGGTTAAAAGGCAAAAACTACGCAACTTAACGCTTTTCCGCAGTTTTTGCCTCTTAGCCCAAATTTGACGTGTCAGCGATGTCTGATTTGTCGATATTCGGAATCTACGCATACGATTCCCTTTCATGAAAACATTTTTGAAGCTCTACGACCTTTCCTAAGGCCTTTTCCAGCAAAAAAAAAGGTGCGCAAATGTCCGGGTGCGCAAAAAAAGGTCGCATTTGTCCCACCCCCAGACAATGCTCAAGTGCGGTTTTTGGCTTTTAAAACTTGGTCACTTGGTACATTTTGTGGCCAAGAGTTTTTTCTTATTATGGTGAGAATTTCTTATTTCTTATTATGGTGAGAGCTTGTTCTTACTATTTTAGAGTTTGATCAAATTGAGGAAGCTTATTTACCAAAGAGTTTCCAAAGGGAATTTTATAAACTAAAATCTTTCTTGAATCTTACCGTATTTTTCCAGATTCTTCATGGTTTTTTCAACGATTTTTGCCATTTTGGTGACTGTGATTTGTCTCGTTGAAGGCACGATCAATGCTGTTATCATTGGGGCAATCGGTAGGAAATAGGAATCTAGGAAATAGGAAATAGGAATCTCACTTGGGTAGGAAATAGGAATCTCACGCTGAATCAAGAAAAATCGAGCTCACTTTCAGTGCAACCTCACTTTCACTCACTTGGTGCTCACTGAAAAACAAATTTCGTTTAGTAAGATGATTTCTTGGTGAAGTTTTGAGTTTGATAGATGACATGAATCTATGCTTATTAGAAATTTGAATCATTTGAATGATTTAAATGATTTGAATGATTTGAATCATCTGAATCATTTGAATCACTCGAATCATTCCATCATTTGAATCATTTGAATCATCTGAATCATTTGAATCATTTGAATCATCTGAATCATTTGAATCATTTGAATCATCTGAATCATTTGAATCATTTGAATCATTTGAATCACTCGAATCATTCCATCATTTGAATCATTTGAATCATCTAAATCATTTGAATCATTTGAATCATTTGAATCATTTGAATCACTCGAATCATTCCATCATTTGAATCATTAGAATCATTTGAATCATTTGAATCATTTGAATCATCTGAATATAATCATTTGAAAGCTGCGAATCTCTTCTCTAAGATAGACTAATACTCCAAGAGGATTAGCCTTCTAAATTCTTCGAAAGTTTAGAAAAATTTCACTTGTTCACTATGCTCAACTTTGGGTTAATTTTTGCCTCAAATCTGGCTATATTCTAGCTAGTCTAGCTAACTACAAATTCTGCATCCTGTTAAATAAAAATTAGCTGAGATACGCAAGACTGATATCCGATAAAATCAAAAACGATAAACTACTTGATTTATCTTGAAAATTGTTGGAGAAACTTGCGACGACAACGTATTTTTCCCTTTCCCTCCTTTCCCGACTTTGACAGTTTGACTTTTGGAACAGAAAAAAAGAAGAACAATTTGCGAACACAACAAAAACAAGTGTTGCAAATTATCAGAAAAATCAGGATGTTCTATGACCAATTTTTAAATCGCTTCAGACTGCTGGCTTGGCTTGACTCAATCTATAATTTTAAAAAATAGCTAGGTAAACTAGAATCGACTCTGGTCGTCTGGCCAACCGACTGGCCTAGCCTGAACTTAGCTGGTTTGCAAGCTCTAGGACGATCTTAGCTGATTGGCAAGCTCTAGGACGATCTTAGCTGGTTTGCAAGCTCTAGGACGATCTTAACTGATTTGCAAGCTCTAGGACGAGTACCTTCAATCCCTCCGTATCCACTAAAACTTCATCTAGTTCGTGGTAGACTTGGTCGCTCAATAAGTGATCAATAGCGATCATTATCATTATCAATAAATGATCATTATCAATAGCGATCATTATCAATAAATGATCATTATCAATAGCGATCATTATCAATAAAAGATCAATAAGTAAGTCTAGTTCGTGGCCGTTTATGGAAACGATGTTCAATGTACATCCTTTCCGTTGGTAATATGATAAATGATCAATTCCTTTTACTCTGCCATCTCATGTACCTTGTGCCAGCTGTTTTGGAACAGGTTTTGTTCTTAACTGGTTTTGGTTTTTAACTGGTTGAGGTTTACAGAGTTATTTATCAAAAAATGGTACGAATGGACCGTTTCCAAACTTGATGAATTGGAGTTTATTGTCTGGATGGTATGTGACATCGTTTACTCTGGCATATGTCGCGGTGACGAGGTGAGGAATAGAAGAGAACGTTGAGATCGGATTTGTTTTTAAAGTTTACGATGTAAAAGATAAGATATATGTTAGCAAATTAGATAACTGGGTTGATTGTTTTGAGGCTATAAATGGATAGCATCAAATTGATAGACATCAAATAGACATGGGCAGCGGGTCGGGTCGGGTCGGGTCGGGTCGGGTCGGATCGGGTCAAAAGTGACCCGCTGACCCGACCCGGCAAAAATTTTGAGCTTGACTCAACCCGCTGACCCGACCCGGCCGCCAAAACTCGAAAATGGACATGTCTAGCATCAATACTTGATCGAGCTGGAGCTCGAAAAAACTGGCACGATTCTCGGTAGTAAACAGGATAAATGTAAATTCTCGGTTTCTCTTTAGTTTAGTAAAGATAAGGGAAAATAGTTACTTTATTAAGTTTATATGGAAATAAAGACTTTATTAGATTATTAGTTTATTAGACTTTATTAGATTTGAACTTAGGTGTACTGTGGAAACCAGTCTTGGGTACTAGAAAAGCCAGGGTGACCCTATAGGCTGTGGGTAAAACACCCCAGGCCTGGCGCGCCAGGCTAGGAATTCAGCTAAACCCTGAATTCCTGTGCTTTTATTAGATACCGTATTTTCTCTAATAGTAGTGCACCCTGAGCGTCGCCTAAATTGGTCGAAATCTCGAGAACCGCTTATCAGAACCTATCGATGTGGGGTCGGAAAATGTAGCTGACGATGAGATCTTGTGGGGGATTTGAGTGTTGAGCTTCTGGGAAAACTTTGGAAGCCGTAAATAGACATCAACTCGGCTCGCTTGGGTGCACTACTATTACAGAAAATACGGCATTCATTAATTTGAGCTTAAATCTATTCAAAAAGCATCATAAAACTAGGAAATATGCTTAAAGTCAATGAATTGTGATGTCAAAAATCAATTAAAATATTAACTTGTTGGTAGGACAAAGATAGATATCCTATTAAACTTATAAAAGTACTCAAAGATTATTCATTCTTCAGACTTTTCGTCATCGTTCTCCATCAACCGAATATGAGCCGCTCGCTAGCTGTTCTCTCAATGTTTTTCATCTTTTTACTCTCATGGATCATGTCCTATATTGCCCAATTTGAATTCCTGTGTTGTGAGTGAGTTTTTTTCAGGTCTATATGGCAAAGAATTGAACTCTCGACCTTTTGCTTACCGGACAGATGCTTTACTGAGCTATACTGAGCTCTACTGAGCTATACTGAGCTATACTGAGCTCTACTGAGCTATACTGAGCTATACTGAGCTATACTGAGCTCTACTGAGCTATACTGAGCTATCAGCGCCTTCTTTGCTCAAGAAATAGAAAAGACAAGGAAGAGAAAGAAAGAAAGAAAGAAAGAAAAGGAAATAAGACTTCAAATCCTACTAAATTAATAATCTTGTAGATTGATCTTTAACCCGTTCAACTATGGCTATGGATATGTGAGTAATGGTAATTTGACGAATTACTCAAATCAGTATTTTGATTTCCCGTTGAATAACGCTGTTTCAGTCATCACTGTTGGCTGTTATATGGTGGTGGGTTTTAGAGCTAAAGAAAACAAGTCTAGTTTCGTTCTTTGTGTACTTTGGAGTTCTCTGTAAACAATCTTTTTGGTGCAGTTAGCTCAACCTTTTATCTAACAAACAAGTGATTGCGTTCGAGACAATTTTGAGGACAAATTACAGAAGAACTTTTTTTGACTTAAAGTATTTAATTCTAAAAAACAGTTTTATAAGAGTTTTGTGCAGAAAAGAGGCAGAAAAGAGTTACTTTTCTGCACTGCACCTACTTTTCAGTCCGGGAATCGAACCCGGATCACCCGCGTGGCAGGCGAGCACAATTACTTCTACCACTGAACCAACTGCGCACCAAAATGTGCATTGCGTGAGAGGGGTACCGATGGGGCAATGATTATTTAGATACCGTATTTTCTCTAATAGTAGTGCACCCAAGCGAGCCGAGTTGGTGTCTATTTACGGCTTCCAAAGTTTTCCCAGAAGCTCAACACTCAAATCTCCTACTAGATCTCATCGTCAGCTACAATTTTCCGGTCTCACATCGATAGGTTCTGATAAGCGGTTCTCGAGATTTCGAGGAATTTAGGCGAAGCTTTGGGTGCACTATTATTAGGGAAAATACAGAACCCATTTTTCCCCGTGACATCAAATAAGCTGTGTTCAAGGGTTCAGTCACAATATCCTTCTCTCCTAACTAGTCTGTTCCAAGTAAACGCATCAAATTTGACTATCATTTTCTCTCTAATAGTAGTGAAAAAGCCGAGAAAATACGGTATTTATTCCGAATCTAGCACAATCACTAATCTATATCTAGAACTAATCACTAATCTATATCACTAATCTAGAAAATAGAATCAATCGTTGGTTCAGTGTTTCAAAGCCAAAGAAAAAGAATACAAAGTGGGCTCCATCCCTTTTTAATCACAAAAACGAGCTTTAGAGGAAGGACAAGAGAATCAGAGATATTCAAAATCAAAGCATCAAATAAGATTTCACAGAAAAGAGCTACTTTTCTGCGCAAGCTTAAAGAACTTTAAAATTTAAAGAACAAAGAAAATTCTAAAGTTTAGATAATCGGCAAACTGTTCTACATGCGACGTGGTTTCAAATTGAAAACGAATCAAATAAATGGAGCAAGAGAGTACATGTTAGTTCAGTTCAGTTCAGTTCTAAACTAACAAGGAAATGCCAACAAGTCAAATGACATCAGCTATAGACATAGACTTTTGCGCTGATTCCGAATCTGCTTTCCGTTTTTTCAACACAGCACTCTGTCAAAAGTTATAAGCGCTTAAAGTTTTGTATGGAGTCGCAGGAAACATCTGGAGTTTATAAGTTGACAACAAGCACAGGAGTTTATAAGTTGAGGCAAAAGATGGCAAAAGATGGCAAAAGATGGCTTACCAGGAAGGCAGTAGGCAGTAGGCATTCAAGCCTACTGCCTAGACTCTAGAATTCGAATCCGGCTTTCCAATCTGGTTCGAATCCATTCGAATCCTTTTATTCATGTCCACCAAATTCGCTTGTAAATACTTTCAAGATCACTTTCAGTTATGCTTTTCAATTCTTTTTGATCTCTTTATGTTATGTGATTGATTGGATCTCGACTCGAGTCAATGGATACATTTTCGGGGATCATTTGGAATGGTGAGAGTATCAAAGCTCTTTGATAGATCGATCTTTAATAGATCGATAAAATGGCATCTCTTATAGTTCTACAATCCACTTTCAGGTACTCTGTCGGTGTTTTTCTTCTTTTATTCAACTGTGGCGCCAATGGGATTATCTATTTGTGGAGGAACAAAGAAGTGCGTCAATTCACATCACGTTAAATCATTTCTCCATAAAGTAGTTAAGCTTTAGTGTGTAAATTGTTAAAAATAGCGTTTACTGAGGCGTTAATCTGTTTCTAGAAGAAAATTTTCATATAATAGTCAGAATTAGATGCTGTTTTATTTGCAAAAAGGATTGAATGGTCTAGTTTACTGAAGGTATAGATCAATGATCCTACTGTTAGCTCGGGTCAAAGACTAAGCCATGCATAGCTTAGTTCGGATATCTGGTTGATCCTACCAGACTGCTAGCTCGGGTTAAAGACTAAGCCATGCATAGCTTAGTTCGGATATCTGGTTGATCCTACCAGACTGCTAGCTCGGGTCAAAGACTAAGCCATGCATAGCTTAGTTCGGATATCTGGTTGATCCTTCCAGACTGCTAGCTCGGGTTAAAGACTAAGCCATGCATATCTTAGTTCAGATATCTTGTTGATCCTACTATCGATAGATACATCAGTACTAGATCCTCCATTCCTTTTTGTTCAGTTCTCGTCTAGCAAATATCGGATTCTTGACCGCGAAAGACCAAATTCAAAGCTAAAACGATGAGTAGAATTGCCATAAAGCACAAAAGACATAATTTTATCTTACAACAATTACGATAGTGTTTAAAAATTTGAATTTCGCATTTCCAGGTCCGGCACCAAATCTTTCAAACCGCGCTCCCATCACACGGTGTCTACAGCACAAATACGCATTGCTCAACAAATCCGAACAACTCAACTGTCAACAAGATCAATAGCTTTACAAAAGAGCCATAGCTTTTGAAATCATCATCTTTATATCTAAAAAATGCGAACTTTCAAAAGTTATCGTAATCTTGCTTCTACAGTAACTAGTCTCTACAGAAACTCTAGTAATCTACAATAGTTACGGTAGCTTTTGAAAGCTGACGAAATGTACATAATATATCTATTTTTTTACTTGTACTAATCTCATGCTTATTTTCCTTTCAAAAAACAAATGATTTCCTTTCCTAGAGCATTTCTTTCAAAATCTCACCTCAATTTGTCTTTAATTAGGCTTTTTTATGCTAGACTTTTGTGAATTTTGGTTCCTAAAAGACTCGATTAACGAGAATTTGAAAATAATATCACATTTCAATAAAATCTAGAAAATCTACAAATTGAAGCTTTGTGAACAAGAACAGAAGAACAGAAGAACAGAAGAACAGAAGAACAGAAGAAACGTCTGAGGTAGAGGAAGGATTTTAAAGAGAATTTTAAAAATTGACAACAATACAATCGATCTAAAGAAAATCATCAAAAAGCCGTCAATCAAACAAGTTGTATCAATTGAGAAAGCAATTGACAATTCTTTGCGAAGAGAATCAGAATTTCAAGGAGGAGATTAAGGAAATGAAATCAGAGATTTCGTTAATAGTGTTCTACAGATTCAACACTTCCAAGAAAACCATTGAAACAACGTGGCCGTGACCGAGGTGACGAACTGATGTTCCTATTGCTTTTCATTTTTTTTTTTGTTAAACCACTAAAATAGCGTTCATATCTTTGATCGAAAAAAGCATTTATCACACTTTATCGCAGAGTTTAATTCAAGAAAAGTTTTGCTGAGCAAGGAAAGTAAAAATGCGAACTTTCAAAAGTTATCGTAATCTTGCTTCTACAGTAACTAGTCTCTACAGAAACTCTAGTAATCTACAATAGTTACGGTAGCTTTTGAAAGCTGACGAAATGTACATTGAAATGTACATAATATATCTATTTTTTTTACTTGTATTAATCTCATGCTTATTTTCCTTTCAAAAAACAAATGATTTCCTTTCCTAGAGCATTTCTTTCAAAATCTCACCTCAATTTGTCTTTAATTAGGCTTTTTTATGCTAGACTTTTGTGAATTTTGGTTCCTAAAAGATTCGATTAACGAGAATTTGACACAATTGCAATGATAATTTGAAAATAATATCACATTTCAATCAAATCTAGTAAATCTACAAATTGAAGCTTTGTAAAGAAGTTTTGGTACAGACAATTAAGAAATCACTCATTTCATCGAGTTTTGCATCTACTTTGTGTTCTACTTTGAAATGAAAAACCCTGCAAAATTAGCATCGTTTTGTATCAAATTTCTTTTTAAATTTTAAATTTACAAATAAACTTTAAAATTCGATTTTGAATTCGGTTTGATTTACATTTAAAATCGTCTCCAAAACAAGTCACAAATACGCCATTATGTACAGAGTTTTTTTTTTTTTTGGGGATGATCATACTCAAATGCAAATTGATCTCTCTAGTTTATTTTGATCACCCATTCTCTCGACTTTATTTTGATACCTAAGCGCGCTCAAACAAATGTCTGGGCGCCGAGATGTGAGCGGTTCTTTGAGTGTAAACTTCGACTACGCGACACATCTTTAGGTGACGGGGGCTACTATTACAGTTTTATTGATTGATCATTCGTATGTATTGATCTAGTAGACGTGGGCATCAAAAAGAAATCAAAAAGAAAAGTATCTGAAAAACTTATTAGCTAATTGAAATGGGTAAACGAGTGTAAATATAAATAAGATTTTGGGGATAAATATAGATTTCAAGAAATGCTTTTCCTTTTGTTCGAATCGTAATGCTTTTCCAGTTAACTAAAATCAAAAAAGTAAGTAATCAATCTACTAAACAGTAATCAATCTACTAAACAGTAATCAATCTACTAAACAGTAATCAATCTACTAAACAGTAATCAATCTACTAAACAAAAAAAAGCTTAACTTAACTAAGCAAGCTTTTGTCATTCAATATGAATTCAGTTTTTTGTCATTAGCTGCCATTCATCAGTCATTCAATTAGACAAATCGAATTGATCCCATCCGACAAGTTGGATCAATTCAATGACCTAAATCAGCTCGTTATCCACTCTAAATCGTTTCCCGACTACTGTAAAGCAACTAAATCTTTATTTACAACAATTGTTTGAGTTATTTGTTGATTACTTCTAGTCGGGACAAGCTTTAGAGTGCCCAGATGTTTGAAAAAGTTTATAAGCAAGTCTACAAGCAAGTCTACAAGCAAGTCTACAAGCAAGTCTACAAGCAAGTCTACAAGCAAGTCTACAAGCAAGTCTACAAGCAAGTCTACAAGCAAGTCTACAAGCAAGTCTACAAGCAAGTCTACAAGCAAGTCTACAAGCAAGTCTACAAGCAAGTCTACAAGCAAGTCTACAAGCAAGTCTACAAGCAAGTCTACAAGCAAGTCTACAAGCAAGTCTATAAGCAAGTTAATAAGTAAATTGACTCAAGAGAAAAATAATCTTAACACATTCACAACGATAAAAAACTAATAACGATTATTTTCTCAAGTTTAGATTATTTTGCAGAAAGTTCTCGGTAACTTTTTATTAGTTTTTAAGAGAAGATTCAGAGCTATCAAATGACTATAATAGTTTAGTTTATCTTTGAATTTTGATTAAATTATCACTAAAACAGTTAACGACTACGCGATTGTACGCTCAAAAATGACGCGAAATTTTTTCTAAATGAAAATTACGCATGAGTTTATCAGGTTAGCTTAGCTAAAACGATTTTCACTTCAAAAATATCCTGATCTGGCTTGCTGAAATTTCTTTAAGACCTTTGAACAGCAAATTGACATGCTAAAGTTCTTTGCTAGTGCTTGATCAACGAGATTAAGAGCAATAAATCGAGGGAACAAATCCCCCAAAATCTCGTCAATGAAAGGGACAAATTAGAGGGAGAATGAGTCCCTCCTTTTCCCCCATTCACCCATCTCAATTCTTCTCAACATCTCAACAATGACCATCAATTTATTTACAGACATCTCTTCTTTTCTTGCTAATCTAATTCTCTGCTAATCTTTTCCTTTTTGCTCCCCGATTTGTGCTGTGTGGGTGAAAATTACAGTTTAACTGTGTGTTCTCCTTCCTGGTACTCATTTCTAGACAAATTTCTCTGTCTGTAGTGCTAGATCGAGCTTACCATTGAATTCTTTAAAAGATGAATTTGCAAAGTTGCAGATGAAGCTTTTAGATTTAGTTCTGAGTTTTCGAAAATTTCCGTAAACTATCGTAATCTTGCATCGAATTTTTTCAATAATTTAGATATCTAGAGTTTTTCTGATTTCGTGAGGGTTTTTTCTAATTTGTCTTACGTTTACTGAAAGATAAAGAATAAGGTTACGGTAGTGTTTTTCTGTTGGCAAGTTTTAGGAAACACTACAAGCCCTTCAAAAAGCAATTATCGTTATTTTTAGTTGACCAATCTATTATTTACGGGTCAAGCTCGTTAGCCAGCTATTTAGCTAGCCATTTACTAGCCATTTAGCCAACTATTTAGCTAACTATTTAGCCAGCCATATAGCCAGCCATATAGCCAGCCATATAGCCAGCTATACAGCCAACTATTCAGCCAACGATTTAGCAGTTATATAGCCAACCATTTAGCCAACTATTTAGCCAGCCATATAGCCAGCTATATAGCCAACCATTTAGCTAACCATATAGCCAACTATTAGGTTGATGCAAAAGTCTTTTTCATTTTTTTCGTACTTCCGTTAAAAAGTAACAAATGCACCAATTGAACAACGGTTTATTGCATTCGAAAGGCCAATTATTTTTCTGCAAAATGACATTAAAACGAGTTTAAAATGTCTTATGTCTAGATTTTTTTGAGAGCCTGAAGTCGGGTAGTCAAAAAAGGCGACGGCTCGATGATGCATTTTAGACGCTTTAGCTAAGGAAACCAATCTTGATGTTAATAAATAAAAGATAGAGCACAAAAAGTTAGATATTTTTTCAGATTTTCAGAGAAATTGATTCAGCCAATTTCTTTATAGAGGTTTTTATAGATTTTTATGAAAAACCCGTTTTCACTCTCGAATTTGCTTGAAAGTGAACCCAAATTGACTTAAAAAGATGGGAAATTGAACAATAAACACTTTTCATTTAGAGCAAACCATAGGTTAATTGATGACTTTGTTATTTTTCAAAAGAAGTACGAAAAAAATGAAAAAGACTTTTGCATCAACCTAATATTTAGCCAACCATATAGCCAGTTATATAGCCAACTATTTAGCCAACCATTTAGCATAGATCTATTCCAGTCTCACTTCTGTTCCAGTGATTTCTCATTGGTTTCTCAAAGAAACTTACCCTTCAATGTAGACAAAGGTTGTAAAGTTAAAACTAAATTTGGCTTATAGTTAGACTGGTCTTTTACTAGAAAAACTACGGTAGCTAAGTTTTTGTTATTCGCTTCCTTGCCATTGTGATGTGAGGTTGATGAGTAATGAAGTGATTGAGAAGAAAGGAAAGGGATAAGGGGAGGGGAAGGGGAGGGGATGGTCAGCTGTTCGATCTCGTCCTCTCCTCCGCTCTTTCCCTTTTCATTACTATTCTCAAATCCCATCTCGTAGACTTAATCTTTCTTCATTAGATCAAAGAACTTCCTCGAAACATAGGTAATTCTAGTTTCGATTTGAAGTCTCAGCATGTCATTACCATCTTCCATTGCATCTTCTTCAGCCAGCTTCTATTACATCTTCTTCTGCCATCTTCCATTGCATCTTCTACCACCTTCCATTGCATCTTCTTCTGCCACCTTCCTTTGTAGGCTGATTTCGTCTAGACTCAAAAAACAAACGATTTAAATACCCAGCTTTTCAGATTCAAAACTTTCAATTAACCAAAATATCTAGTTGTACCAAAACACCAAAAAAGACAGGCATTTTCAAATTTAAAAAAATTTTCTCTTTTAAAAAGAAAATCAAAATTTTCCTTAAAGAAATTGGTATAGGATAATTTTCGCAATTTTTTTTTGCGCAACTCACCATAACTTTCTTCTAAGTGGGTCAATCTTTATGTTTTGGTGTTATTTTGTAGATCTCAATAAGTGATCTCAAAAAATCGCTTCCAATGTAAAAAATGATTTTTTTTTTAAAACCTGGGGTAGGCTAGTTTCCGCAACTTTTTTTGCGCAACAGGATCATTTGCGAAACTGGGTCGTTTGCGCAACTCGCCATAACTTTCTTCTAAGTCGGTCAATCTTTATGCTTTTGGTTCCATTTTGTTGCACTTATTGAGATCTACAAAATGAAACCAACATCGTAAAGATTGGCCCACTTAGAAGAAAGCTATGGTAAGTTGCGCAAAAAAAAAAAAAAAAAAAATGCGGAAATTAGTCTACCCCAAGAAATTTTAACAAAAGAAACGGATTAGTTTTTCTTCTTTTTTTTTCATTAAATTGTTTTCCTTTTAGATCCTTTCTTTTGTATGATTCAGAAAATGTGTGACTTCATTAGGGATTTTTAAGAGTTTTTCTGAAATTTCTTTATAAACAAAAGAAAAAGTTTGAAAAATTCCTCTCTTGGGATTGATTTGAGTCAAAAAAAATCAAAACACAAATGTTTCTTTTTCTTTCTTTTCTTATTGTACTTGTTTGTCTTGACAATTTTCTTTTGATTAAGGTATTCAGTTAAGATTAGCTGGATTACGGTTATTGCCATGTCAAATCAGGCCTATGCCTGACATAGGTGACATAGACATAGAGCCTGTCAGGCCTATGGAATGCCTCTCCTTTCTGATCCCCTCACAAAGAGTTTGAAATCACACTCTTGAAAATTGTGAAAATTTCTAGAAGTAAACGTAGTGATCCTTATCAAATTTCGGTCGATTTCCATCTCCATCATCTTTTCCTTTATCATTCTTTTACGAACCGTATTAGTAGGGTTTGGAATCAGCTCCCGTCCGGTATCTTCTCGTCTGTAGGAAAATTCAAAATTGTGGAAGTACACGTAGTCCTAGAAGTAAACGTAGTGATTCTTATCAAAATTTCGGTCGGTTCCCAGCATCTCTCCCTTTATCATTCTTTTGCGGACCGTATGAGTAGGATTTGGAATAATATTTTAGATAGTCCGTTCGTTCGTTTCGCTTACAGATAAATGAATTTTCCCACAGACGAGAAGCTCCCGTCTGGTAGCTTCTCGTCTGTAGGAAAATTGAAAGTATCTGTAAACGAAATAGATCTTATTGCCATGTCAAATCTGCCCTATTCGTTAATCTTTTTGTACCTGTGTTTCCTAACTGTAGTCTTACTGTTATATTTTTAGTTTTCTTTCTTTTTTGCGAAAGTATTGTAGGAATATATGCGGTTATGATTATCTGATTCGCTTCTATTCCCTGAATAAAGCATATATATATATATATAATTTCCATTCGATCAGCTCAATTTTTTTGTATCATTGATTGAGCCTTGGGGTTTCTCATTGAATAATATCAGAATTGAATTGATTATCTTGATTATGACTTGAAAATTATCGCCTTGATTTTCAAAAATAACTAGAAAATTTATTTAATTCTATAATTTTTCTAGTTTACAGGGTGCGTCATAATTATTGCAACAAGATACTCAAGGCATTGCACACCAAGAAGTTTCACTGGAAGAAGATTTTTAAACAGAAATAGCTTTATTTAACAGTAACAAATAAGGAGAAACAAGAGATCATTCGATATGACCGCCTTTTGCCTTGGTAACAGCCCTTAATCGGTTCGGATATGCCTCCACTGCGGCCCGAATGTCATCTTGAGGAGTCGCCTTCCATCCTTTGGTCAAAGACTTCTTCAAAGAATCCAAACTTGTGTGTTTTCGAGAGCAGACATTAGCCTCTAAGATTGTCCAAATGGAAAAGTCCATCACATTGAGATCCGGTGAGTTTGGAGGCCATTCATCTTTGGTGATCACTGAGGGAAAGTTGGCCACACACCAGTCCTGAACCGTCTTCTTCGTGTGAGCTGGAGCTCCATCTTGCATGAAGGTCCAATTTTGATTATTATTGGCTTTACACGCCCATGACATCCGATTCTTCTTTAAAACGGTCTTTGAACTCTCTTGTTGCAATAATTATGACGCACCCTGTATATAGGGTATTTTCAGTGAAGACTTTTTCAGTGAAGCCCTTGTAAGTAAAGACACAAAAAGACTTCTTTTCAGTGAAGCCCTTGTAATTCCCATTCAAATCATACGCTTCACTGACCACATTTTCTTGTTAGAAACAAATTTTTATATCGAAATTTTTAATGAATATTTATTTAAAGCACAAGAATGACTTGAATAATCTTTTTGAAAAAGAAAAAGGTCAAGAAAAAAGACTCACTAGTCGGAGCCCGGAGTCGAACCGCTGGGGGCTTCCCGGTTAACACCTATGGATGGCGACGCTAACCACTTAACCAAGAGGCTGTCCAAAAGACCCTCCATAAAAAACTGTTTTGTTTCTGCTAGTGGCGATTTGAAGACGATTTTCGTGACTAGGTTTATTTGCTTTCTATCTCTAGTAAGTAATCGTAAGTAGCTACGGTAGCTAAGCACTGCTACTTAGGTTACTGTAACTTGTAAGGATTACTGTAGCTGATTACTGTAGCTGGAGTGTCTACCGATCTATTGTATCTATTGCATACTTCTCAATTTAAATTTTTTGAAATTTTCTATAAATCTTTACTAGAAACCTAATGATCGTTTTTGAGAAGCGAAATTTTTGAGAAAACAGAGAAGCCGATTGTGCAATTTGATCCGAAAAGGGTCTTGTTGAAGATTTCTTTTAAATGATCTCTTCTCTCTTTTTCTCTCTCTCACACAAAATGAAACTCGAGATCAATCTGCATCTTTTTATTCAAATCCTTGATCTTTTATTGTTCAAGAAAACATTTGTGCCACTCCCCGTACAACTCAATTATTCTTAAACATTCGTTTAAACGTTTTTTTTCAAATTTCTAAAGATCAAAGTTTCTTTTACAAATTAGAAACTCAGCAAAAAAAACATCAGAAATCGACACTTTCCTTTAGCAATTTTACAAAATCATTTAAACTTTGATAACTATTGTAATATTGTAATGTCTCTACTTTTTATGTAACTACCGTAAATACTGTAATAGTACCCCACCCCCGTAATGACGGTGCGGAGCGTTGCGTAGTCTAGCTTTGAGTTTTTCTCGAGTTTTTTTTGAACGAGTTTTTCTCGACACTGGTTCATGCTACAATGCGCGCGTAGGTATCAAAAAATAGCCCTGAATTTCAGCTATTTTTTGATACCAAAGACGCATTTTTTGAAAGTACGGGCTTTGAAGTAGGGCGCCTTGAAGTAGAGCGCTTTGAAAAAAATTTAATACTAAAAACTTTTGCGACTACGCGACTGTACGAGGGGGATTGGGTGCTATTACAGTATTTACGGTAGTTGTTAATCTAGATCTATAGACAATAAACGTTTATTGGATTTAGATTGTGATCGAAAAAGCCACGTGCACACTCATCATCATCACCCCCATAATGACGGTGCGGAGCGTTGCGTAGTCTAGCTTTGGACGAGTTTTTCTCGACACTGGTTTATGCTACAATGCGCGCTTAGGTATCAAAAAATAGCTGAAATTCAGGGCTATTTTTTGATAGAGAAGACGCATTTTTGAAAGTACGGGCTTTGAAGTAGGGCGCTTTGAAAAAAATTAAATACTAAAAACTTTTGCGACTACGCGACTGTACGAGGGGGATTGGGTGCTATTACAGTATTTACAGTATGTAACTATGTAATTCTAATGTAATGTCTCTAGCTTTTTATTCTGGAAAGCATTTACAAAAGAGATTTTCCAATTGTAAGACTTCTAAGCAAGACTTTCAAAGTTTTAAGAATTCAGATCCAAGCCTGGTTTGGTTTGGCTTGGCTTGGCTTGGTTTGGCTTGGCTTGGCTTGGCTTCTAACGGATTTAGGGATTAACTGTGTCTCATAATCTGCCTTTTTTAGATAAGGTAAAGCTAAATTAGTATTGAAACAACCCCTACTCAAAAGTACTTGAAATTTTGAACTTTAAAATTTTTTCCCCGACTTAACGAACTTTTCCAAGGCCTCATTTCTTTCAAGCGTTCACCTTCTGACATCATTTATTTATTAATTACCTAACAAAAATTGTCTATAATTTTATCTTCAATCTAACTAACAATTCAATTCAATTTCTAGTTCTAAACGTGACTTTTCTTGTTTTTATTCTTTGTCTTTCACTTTTTTTGATTCTTAAATAATTATGCCCTTTCCCATTTCACTCAGCGTCATTTTTCGTTATTATTTTCAATTAGCTTTTTTCTTTTTCAGTTCGTTTTTCTTTTTTCAGTCATTTTTTTGAAATTGCTCAATTTTTTGAATTTTATTTTATTCAGTGATGAGCTCGAATCCAGCGAAATGGATCAAGATGAGCTGTGAGTATTTCGAGGAAATCCAAGAGTTACAAGTTGGTTTTATTGAGGGTTATAGAGCTATGAAATGGTTATAGTTATAGAGCTATGAAAAGGGTATCGTTATAGAGCTATGAAATGGTTATAGTTAGGCAAGCTTATGACCGTTTTTTCATGCCCCAGATACCGTAAACCGGCTCAAAGTTGTAACGATCTAGACCGGGTTGCGTAGCTGGGAAATGCTTTGGAATATCTAGAAGGTTTAAAAGATCTAGAACTTTAGAAGACCTAGAAGCTTTAGAAGATCTGGAAGCTTTAGAAGACCTAGAAGCTTTAGAAGATCTAGAAACTTTAGAGAATCTAGAAGTTTTAGAAGATCTAGGACTTTAGAAGATCTGAAGCTTTAGAAGATCTAGAACTTTAGGAAATTTAGAAGTATCTTGTTTCCTGACAGCCATTCAAATTCTTTCAGAGTTCCTACTATTGGTCCACGCAAATCAATTCCTCGACAATCGTCATTTTGTATGCAATCGTTTGCTCGTTTGGCGCCTTCGCGAATCTCTTGGTTTTCCTCGCTTTTCTCAAGACGCCTATGCTAAGAAATATTCGGAATGCGTGAGTTTTTATGAGCCAATATGTCTTTTGTGCTTGAAATTGTAAACACAAATCCTTTCTCGTGCACTGAATTCTTTCTTCTTTACTTTCTTTCCTCGTTACTTTCTTTCTTCTGAATCTTTAAATGAAAGAAAGAAAAAAAATAGAATCCAATGCATTAGAAAAGATTTGTTTAGAATTTTGAGAACAACGTAATTAGAATTTAAAGTTTAAACTTAAAGAGGAAATATTTTTTGAATAAAATTTCATCTTTCAACCAAAAAACAATTGTTTTTCCTGTTTTTAAGTAGAAAAAAAGGGTTTTTGAAGGTTGTTGTTATAACATTGTTATAATGTTGTTATAACAATCAAATTAACAATCAAAATAAATGATGGATAGATTAAAATTGAAATTTGCCAAAATATCTTACAGTAACTTTTGAAATGTTTTCAAAACATTTCAACTAATTACTATTTACAGTTTCATTGTGAATCTCGCAATCTCTGATTTCCTTTTGTGCTCATTCACTGCTCCGGCTACCCTCTATTTATTCGTCAATCTTTATTGGCCTTTTGGAGAGGATTTATGCAAAATTGTGGGTTTTATCGATGCTGAACTTATTGAAAAATATATAAAAAGTTTTTTTTGCTTGTTAAGCTTTAACAGAATATCTTTAAAGATTTAAAGATTTAAAGGTTTAAAGGTTGAAAATAAAGCCGAATTTTGAAGTTTTGAACTGCAAAAGTTGCACAGAGTGTACAGGTTCAATTTTGAACTTAAAAATGAGCAAAATTTTGTCACAAAATGACACAAATTCGATTCTAGAGCACAAATGAATCCTTTTCTTAAGGTGGCTTCACTGCAAGCGACGAACACTTTCGTCTCATCGCTCACTCTCGCATTGATCGCTGTTGATCGAGTGTTGTTGACGTTGTGTCCAATCAAATGGTAAACTTTATTAAAAGAAAGTATTGTAAGATTGATATGATCAATCTAAGATCGATATGATCAATCTAAGATCGATTTGATTAAGCTAAGATCGATTTGATTAAGCTAAGATCGATTTGATTAAGCTAAGATCGATTTGATCAATCTAAGATCGATATGATCAAGCTAAGATCGATATGATCAATCTAAGATCGATATGATCAAGCTAAGATCGATATGATCAAGCTAAGATTGATTACAAGCTCTAATCACTGTAATATTCTTGCTAAAAGAGTAGAATAATAATAGAGAAATTTAAAGTTTCTATTTCTATTCTATTTTTCTATTCTATTTTTAGGCGTGTCGCTTCAACAGGACCCTCAATTTTCTATGGTCTTGTTTGGTTGATTTCGATTCTCGTTGCGGTTAGTTTAAAAAAAAAGGATAGGTTTAGATTATTTGAAACAAAAGAATTGAACTATAAAATTGATCTATTTCAGGCACCGTACGGTTTAGCGGTGAGCGCAGTTGTCCCAACTTTCACCCCATGGTCGATGAAGACAACCGCTTCTTTGGTAACTAGTTTCTGAAACATTAATGGCTTGTTTATTGCAAAATTGATGGCTAAAAAAAACTTTAATGGCTTGTTTACCGTAAAATTGATGAAACTTTTAATGGATTTCTATAAAAAGTCGTAAATTACAATGGAGTGCTTGCTTTAAAAAGTAAAAATTATGCTTATAATGCTTGCAATAAAAAGTCGTGGATTAGAAAAGTGTAATCGACTTGAACTGGTACGAATTCTTGATGAATTCTTGGTGAATTCTTGGTGTATTCTTGGTGTATTCTTGGTGTATTCTTGGTGTACCAGTTCTCAGAAAGCCCAGTTCCAAAAAGCATAAATTACTGCATCAGAGAGTGGTCAGTGTGGTAATGAATGAGGAAAAAGGGGTGTTTAACGAGAGAGAAAGTGAATGGGAAAAGGAAATGGGGACACTAAATGAATGCAGGGTGCAAATGGGTCATTTTGGAGACGAGATCGACCATATGTCCGGGTATTTGAGTTTACTGGGAACATGGGGATGTTCAAGCTCACAGAAATCGCTCAAGAATTGAAAGCAGACTACAAGATGAGCATTTCTCATGTTGCTAACTTATCACCATCTTCTCAAATTCAATCAACGTTGAGAATTTATATAATCCCCTGTAGAGGCTGAATTTTGAGCTGCCCCTGAGCACCTGAGCTGCCCCTGAGCACCTGAGCACCTGAGCTGCCCCTGAGCACCTGAGCACCTGAGCTGCCCCTGAGCACCTGAGCTGCCCCTGAGCACCTGAGCTGCCCCTGAGCACCTGAGCTGCCCCTGAGCACCTGAGCTGCCCCCTGAGCACCTGAGCTGCCCCTGAGCACCTGAGCTGCCCCTGAGCACCTGAGCTGCCCCTGAGCACCTGAGCTGCCCCTGAGCACCTGAGCTGCCCCTGAGCACCTGAGCTGCCCCTGAGCACCTGAGCTGCCCCTGAGCACCTGAGCTGCCCCTGAGCACCTGAGCTGCCCCTGAGCACCTGAGCTGCCCCTGAGCACCTGAGCTGCCCCCTGAGCACCTGAGCTGCCCCTGAGCACCTGAGCTGCCCCTGAGCACCTGAGCTGCCCCTGAGCACCTGAGCTGCCCCTGAGCACCTGAGCTGCCCCTGAGCACCTGAGCTGCCCCTGAGCACCTGAGCTGCCCCTGAGCACCTGAGCTGCCCCTGAGCACCTGAGCTGCCCCTGAGCACCTGAGCTGCCCCTGAGCACCTGAGCTGCCCCTGAGCACCTGAGCTGCCCCTGAGCACCTGAGCTGCCCCTGAGCACCTGAGCTGCCCCTGAGCACCTGAGCTGCCCCTGAGCACCTGAGCTGCCCCTGAGCACCTAAAATGATTTAGTAAAAATGATTTAGCTTTATATTTTGTATATTTTTTACAGTATGCAAGACTAAGCAGGTGTACTTTGTGCTTAAAAATGGAAACACACTCTATTTCGTGCACTTTCATTCCAATTCTTCACTTTTACTCTCTAAGAGATAACTATTGCTAAGAGAAAAATGAAGAATTAAGTAAAATTATAATATAATTACATTAGTATAAATCTAAAGTATCTTTTTTTTCAGCTCGAACATTGTGATCTCGAATTTCCGGTGATTTGCCGAGAGGACGAGGTGAAATGGCGACAATTCCCCGTTGGGAAACTTGGCTATACAACGATTGGTGAGAATTTGCACTGAATATTTACCGTATTTTGCTCTAATAGTAGTGCACCCAAGCGAGCCGAGTTGGTGTCTATTTACGGCTTACAAAGTTTCCCCAGAAGCTCAACACTCAAATCCCCCACAAGATCTCATCGTCAGCTACATTTTCCGACCCCACATCGATAGGTTCTGATAAGCGGTTCTCGAGATTTTGAGGAATTTAGGCGAAGCTTTTGGTGCACTACTATTAGGGAAAATACGGTAAATAATATAATTATATGTAAAGCCCGTAGCTAGCTTCAAATTGATCGGCATTTTTTTCAGTCTTCGGTGTCCAGTACTTGTTACCATTGACCGCGTTGCTCTACGCCTATCTTCAGATTGGAACAACGATAAAGTAAGTGCTATTTAGATATTAGATATTAGATATTAGATATTAGATGTTAGATGTTAGATATTAGATACTAGATATTAAGGATGTTTAACTTAGAATATAGTAGATAATATATTTATTATCTACTATATATTGATTATCTACTATATTCTAAGCTAAATAAGCTATAAGCTAAGCCTAAAAATGGGAAATGTTTTGCAGAAATCGCTCAAAAGTCATCTTGCCAGCAGATACAAGGCGACGATCGATTGTACAAAGTAAAAAGAGGTAAAGAAAAAGGGTAAAATTGTAAAAGAGAAAAAGGAGTACAGTAAAATGCGACAAGAAAACGGTATTTTTAAAATATTCATTCAAGTTAGTCAAGTCAATCAGTCAGAGAGTCAGAGAATCACTAGGCAAAGTTTGAGTTAAACGAAACTGAAGAAAAGAAATGTATAAAGCTTTCAAAAAAATTTATAAACCTATTTGTTAGGCTTGAATTCTATGTACTTATGCATCTAATATTTCGTTTTTTTAAAAGCATGACAGCATTTTTTTTAAAGTCATGACACAGCCGGGAGTCGAACCCAGGTCTTGTAGGTGGTGTGGATCGTAGACAAGCACGCTGCCGACTGCGCTACGTTGACAAAAGACAAAAGACATTGCTTTTCAGCTGGTATTATATATTTCTTGGCTAGAATTCTATTAGTTTTTTTCTAGAAAAGCTCTGATTCTCTTGGCGATCCTTGTGCTGATCTATGCTGTTGCGTGGGCACCCGCGAATCTCTACAGTTTATTCGCCGGCTTTCAACTGATCACATATTCACAACCAATGTAATTATACGAACAATTTTCTTCATTACCATATTCTAAACTTAAATCCTAACATTTTTAGCTACATTTTCTGCCATTTAATCGGCATCTCGTCGGCTTGCGTCAATCCGATCATTTACGCGCTGGTAAACGAGAATTTTCGAACGGCTTTTAGGGAAATGTTTTGGTGAGTGGATAAGTATTCGATAAGTTCGAAATCAATGAGAATTCATTTGCAAAAAACTTACCGTAAATACTTTAATAGCACCCTTGTACAGTCGCGTAGTCGCAAAAGTTTTTTAGTATTTCATTTTTTTGCAAAGCACCCGTACTTTCAAAAAATGCGTCTTTGGTATCAAAAAATAGCTGTAATTCAGGGCTATTTTTTGATACCTAAGCGCGCATTGTAGCATAAACCAGTGTCGAGAAAAACGCGTTCAAAGCTAGACTACGCAACACTCCGCAGCGTCATTATGGGGGTGGGGTACTATTACAGTATTTACGGTAGTAAGGCTACCATAAATCCTAAGATGCTACCGTAATCTGAATAGACTAGCAGGTTCTCTGTCCTAGATATTTGTAAACATGAAAAGCACCTACCGTAAATACTGTAAAAGTACCCCACCCCCATAATGATGGTGCGGAGTGTTGCGTAGTCTAGTTTTGAACGAGTTTTAGACTTACAGTATTTACGGCACCCATTATCAAACAAGAAAATTGTTTTTAAAGATACCTTTTTAGGTGGTTACCCTTTTCTTCGAGACATCGAAAATCGGAAGAGCCGACGAATTGTGTTGTCTTTTCGAATGCGAAAAAGGTAAAACTTGAAAAAAGCTTCCAAAAAGTTGACAAAACTTGTAAAGAATTTTTTTTGCCGTTGACAATTGAAGATTTTTCGTGTTTTTCTCAGCAAAAACCCTTTCATTTTGACTATTTTAACTACCATCCGATAGAGAAACAAATTGCGCGTCGAATGATACAAAAATCAACTCAAAATATAATATCCATGTAAAGTTATGAGGCAAATGGTTAAGTCTTGCCAATAATAGGCGGGATTTAGGTTTTTTAGTCAACAACTTTGCGTGGATATTAGATTTTGAGCTAATTTTTGTATCATTCGACGCGTAATTTGTTTCTCGGTAGAATGATAGTTAACACGTTGACGACATTGTCACCTGATGCTGTCTGACACATATTCGTTCGCCTGGGACATTGTCACCTGATGTCAGGTGACATTTTTTGTCGAAAAAAACAACGTTGTCCCATGCGATTGTTTGTGCAAAAACGCCATTGTCGTCAACGTGTTAAAATAGTGAAAATCGAATGATTGATGCTGAGAAAAACATAAAAAAAAACCTTCAATTATCAACGCCAAAAAAATAGATGTTTTTGTTACAAGTTTAATAGACTTTTTGATATCGATTTGATTGTCAATAGGTGCAACGGGGAAAACGAGATTTGATCACTTCAGCCAAGAGATAGAGCTTGTAGTTTGTAGTTTGTAGTTAGGAAATTCAAGCTGTAGAAAGAGATCCTAAAAAGTAGTCGTTAAATATCTTTTCTCCATTGTACACCTATTGACAATTAGACGGAAAAAATGAAGAAATGATCTATTGAAGTTTCTAAACTTTTTTAAAAACGATCAAAGTATTGAAAAGATAGAGAACAATCACTAAAACGTTTAGATAGAGAACAATCACCAAAACGCAAGTGTATTGATTCGTTTATCCGAAGAGAAACAGTCAAATCATCGAGAAAGCATTTCTTTATAATAAATAAAAATAATTTCAAGAAATTTCTGAATTATTTATATTATGGATTTTTTTTTAAAAATATCACTTAATTTTTCTACATTGTTGATTGTATTTATGTTGATTTTCTCAATTTGATACCAATTCTATAGGGTGCTCATCGATTTTTTTTTTCTTGTTTCTTTTATTGTTTATCGAGATTTTTGTAGGATAAACGATCAAATACACTTAGGAAAACCTCGTCGACATTATATACCGTATTCTCTCTAATAGAGGTGCACTCTCTAATAGAGGTGCACTCTCTAATAGAGGTGCACGCTCTAATAGAGGTGCACTCTCTAATAGAGGTGCACTCTCTAATAGAGGTGCACTCTCTAATAGAGGTGCACTCTCTAATAGAGGTGCACTCTCTAATAGAGGTGCACTCTCTAATAGAGGTGCACTCTCTAATAGAGGTCCCCGGGGCCCCTAATGGGGCCGGGTCCAATAGGGCTGGCCCATGGCCTGGTGCCCCTTAGGTGCACCAGGTGCCGTGGCACTCTCTGTAGTGCCTCCCATGGTGCCTCTTGTGTGCCCTCTAATAGTGTGCCCCTCAATAGTATTGCGGTCCAGGAGGGGGTTGAAAAAATAGTAATGCGCACTACTATTAGAGAGAATACGGTATATGCTTTATTCAGGGAATAGAAGCGAATCAGATAATCATAACCGCATATAACATATTGCTACAATACTTCCACAAAAAAAAAGAAAGAAAACTAAAAATAGTACAGCAAGACTACAGTTAGGAAACACAGGTACAAAAAGATTAACGAATAGGGCAGATTTGACATGGCAATAAGATCTATTTCGTTTATAGATACTTTCAATTTTCCTACAGACACCAGACGGGAGCTTCTCGTCTGTAGGAAAATTCATTTATCTGTAAGCGAAACGAACGAACGGACTATCTAAAATATCATTCCAAATCCTACTCATACGGTCCGCAAAAGAATGATAAAGGGAAAAATGATGGGAACCGACCGAAATTTTGATAAGAATCACTACGTTTACTTCTAGGACTACGGGTACTTCCACAATTTTGAATTTTTCTACAGACGAGAAGATACCAGACGGGAATAAATAATAATAAATCATAATAATTTCTCATAATAAATCAAAAGTTTAGATTGTAAAGTTTAAGTTTTAATTAAGTTTTAATTAATTAAAAACTATAAGTCTAGTCTCATAATTTGGAATAGAAGAAGAAAGGAAACAACGTTTTTTTGCTTCTTTTAGTGAAGCCTCAAACGGTTCGACTCCGGCCTCCGGCTAGCTGGCATCGTGAATCGTCTTTTTTCTCGATTTTCTTCTTTTTCATTTTTCAAAAATGATTATTCAAGTCATTCCTGTGCTTTAAATAAATATTTATAAAAAATTTCGATAGAAAAATTTGTTTCTAACAAGAAAATGTGGTCAGTGAAGCGTATGATTTAAATGAGAATTACAAGGGCTTCACTGAAAACTCTTCTTGTTTCAAAAATACCCTATATAAACTAGAAAAATGATAGAATTGAATAAATAAATTTTCTAGTTATTTTTGAAAACTACCGTAATAAAGGCGATAATTTTCAAGCCATAAACAAGATAATCAATTCAATTGTGATATTATTCAATGAGAAACCCCAAGGCTCAATCAATGATACAAAACAATTGAGCTGATCGAATGGAAATTATATATACAGTGGTCCACAAAAGTAATGCCCCATTGCCATCCAACAATATGTTTTGTAAGGAAATCTTGCAAAATCGACATTTCAGAAAAAGCGTAGGGTATTTTTATCTAACTATAAGACTCGACTTTTCAAGAATATAAGATTTATCCGTATACATTACATTTTGCAAAAAATGGCAATGGCCTTTTGAATGGCAATGGCCTTTTGAATGGCAATGGCCTTTTGAATGGCAATGGGGCATTACTTTTGTGGACCACTGTATATGCTTTATTCAGGGGGCGAATCGAAGCGAATCAGATAATCATAACAGCATATAACATATTGCTACAATACTTTCACAAAAAAAAGAAAGAAAACTAAAAATGGTACATTCACACGTTTCAGCGCCGATCTCTCAATCTGAATGGGAATTTTGGAAATAGATTTAGGAAGTACATTTACGAAATACATTTACACGAATATTGTGCTATCAAAAAAAGACACACAAGCACAACCAATTTGTGCAGTGCGTGAGAGGGTACCGATGGAGCAATGATTATTTAGATACCGTATTTTCTCTAATAGTAGTGCACCCAAGCGAGCCGAGTTGGTGTCTATTTACGGCTTCCAAAGTTTTCCCAGAAGCTCAACACTCAAATCCCCCACAAGATCTCATCGTCAGCTACATTTTCCGACCCCACATCGATAGATTCTGATAAGCGGCTCTCGAGATTTCGAGGAATTTAGGCGAAGCTTTGGGTGCACTACTATTAGAGAAAATACGGTATGTCTAGTTTTTTGTCTTTCTAATTGCTAGTAGTATTCAATTCACCTTCAATTCAATTGCAGGGCGTGAGAGGGCACCGATGGGGCTACTTTTCTGCACCTACTGCACCTACTTTTCAGTCCGGGATCGAACCCGGATCGCCCGCGTGGCAGGTGAGCAACTGAACCACTGAACCAACTGCGCACCAAAATGTGCAGTGCGTGCGAGGGGTACCGATGGGGCAATGATTATTTAGATATTTTATTTCGAATCTAGCACAATCACTAATCTAGCGAGAAAATACAACAAATAGAATCAATCGTTGTTTCAGTGTTTCAAAGCCAAAGAAAAGTAATACAAAGTGGGCTCCATCCCTTTTTAATCACAAAAACGATCTTTAGAGGAAGGACAAGAGAATCAAAGATATTCAAAATTAAAGCATCAAATAAGATTTCACAGAAAAGAGCTTTTTTTCTGCGCACAATTCTATAGGGTGCTCATCAAGAATGCTCATTCTTGTTCCTTTTGTTGTTTATCGAGATTTTCGTAGGATAAACGATCAAATAAACTGTTGATCAAATAAATTGGAAATTAGCCTTCGTTTGAAGACTTTTTACAGTTGTACAGTACAGTACAGTAGCTTTCTTTTGTACTTTTTCCTCTCTCTTTTTCCTCTACCCACTTTCTGGCACACTGAATTTATCATTTCAAAAAGAGAAACGCCATTTTATCAAAACCTTTTACCATTCTACTTTCAAAATCTTTCATTTTAAGGAAATTACTCTTTTTTTACGGTGCCAGAAGCGCGCGTTTGTGTCTGAGCACAAAGCTCAAATGCCATTCAATAATTTTGCACAAAATGGTAACCCACCCTTTCTGGTGCACTAATTTGGACAGTTTTATGTGTGGGTTTATGAATTCTGTATCTAAATCTTCCCAAATGCCATTCAATCGAAACAATTTGATGATTGTCACAACAATTCCCCATATCAAATGACCAATCCAAAGTCCCTTCAATGCCTTCAATTTTCGATAAACAATCGAATTGATTAGAGTTTTTGGATCCAAAAAAAAGAAAAACTTTCCCCCTTTTCCCCCTTCGATTTCCCCGATGAAGATCAGGTTTATTTTAGTGTTAAAATCGTTTGAAAATTGATTTTCGAATTTTTAGGATGACCGATTTTACAAACGTGTTTTTATTTTTCTCGCAAATGGTTTTCGGTCAAAATAGCGGCGATTTCAATCAACAGAAAATCATGGAATCACAGTGGGTTTAAGAGAAATGATTGGGATTTAATGATTTAATGATTTAATGATTTAAAATATACATCTGTAAGGTAAGTACTTTTATAATTGCTTTTTACTGATGATGTTATTCATTCATTCATTTAATGTTTTAATGGTTTATTGATTTAGTGATTTAATGGTTTAATGATTCAATCATCTAATGATTTAATGATTTAATGATTTAATGGTTTAATGATTTAATGGTTTAATGATTTAATGGTTTAATGATTTAATGGTTTAATGATTTAATGGTTTAATGATTTAATGATTTAATGTTTCAATGATTTAATGGTTTAATGGTTTAATGATTTAATGATTTAATGATTTAATGATTTAATGATTTAATGATTTAATGTCAAGGATTTAATGGTTTAATGGTTTAATGGTTTAATGGTTTAATGGTTTAATGGTTTAATGATTCAATGGTTTAATGATTTAATGATTTAATGATTCAATGATTTTATGATTATATGTTTTAATGATTTAATGACTTTAAATATACATCTGTAAGGTAAGTATTTTTATAATTGCTTTTTACTGATGATGTTATTCATGATTTAAGGCTGAAGATGCCATAATTACTAGATTTCAACTTCATACTTTGCATTTTACTATTTCCTCTTGCAATATCATTAAAAGTGTTTAGAAATGTTTTGGCATTCGGCATTAAGCGCATTCGAACCAGCAATCAACAAAAAAAACTCACGCGCCAGCATACTAGGACAACAGATCAAATTAGGATTAGGACAACAGATCAAATTTAAGGGAAGGCCTGCAAACCTTATAAACCTACCGAAATTGGGTCAAATTTTGTACACCAAATATCTCGCGTTACAGAACTCTTTCGGAAAAGTTAAACCCCAAATAGGAATGAGCGTAAAAAACTCTATCAGATAAGCTTGTTCTCTTTCGAAAAGCCCACCTACATTCCCTAGTTAGGAAAGCTAGCAAAAGATTTGCGTGCAGCAGCTAGGATTGCTAGGATTGCTAGCTTTGTTTACATTTTTGAGCACAAAGTAAAAGATTAAGCCTGATCCAAACTAAAAAGAGTCTGTGACAAAAGTGACAAAGAAGAATGGAAATAATCGATCTTTAGGATCATCAACTCGACTTTTGGATCATCCACCTATGATCGCCAAATTTTGGGCGATTCCCCAACCACTCTCTCAGCTTTTCTTCTTGTTACACATTTAGAGAAAATGGTTTTGAAAAAAACAAAACATTCAAACAAATCGAAAAATCATTTTCAGGATGATGACTCGCAAACGTTGACTTTTCATGGATCATTGCAAGTCGTTTGTTTTAGAAAGCAAAGCTTTTCAACCCTTTTTTTCAACCTTTTTTCAACAAAGCTTTAGATTTATTCGATATTTAAACTTTTAGAACTGGAAAGACGAGCGCTTGAAATGGAATTCAAGTGCTTTTGGTGGAGTGACATCATACGGGAGATCGAGACAAGAAATCAAGAAAGAACCATGGATACCACAGCTGTACTTCACAGAAATGTCAGTGATTTGTTACTGTCAGTGACTTGTATCAAGAAAGATATCGATTCAGAAACGAGAGAGTGCTTTAAAGGCTTTAAAACTACAATTTGTCACACTTTAAAATCATCTGAGTATCAAGATTTTGCTTTCAGAATGAACAGCCGTCCCCGTCCCACTTACAATGATTTGGTGATGCTCTCGTTTCTCAACAATGGAATGGTTTTCATGACGGTGAAGAAAAGTTATTAAGATATGAGATTGAAATTCTTCTATCACAGAATCGGGTTCTTTCATTTTTCAAGTCAACAATGAGCCATCTAGCTAGCTTTATTTTTAATTGAAATAATTAGATTTTAGAGCATCGATTTATTATACGACAAGATATCTTTTCAACTATTGTAAATATTCTAATAGAAAAGTTTCTATAGGAGCTTTACGTAGTCCAAGTTTAAATCAAAGAACAATCAAAGAACCTACCGTAAATACTGTAATAGTACCCCACCCCCATAATGACGCTGCGGAGTGTTGCATAGTCTAGGTTTGAACGAGTTTTTCTCGACACTGGTTTATGATGTAATACGCGCTTAGGTATCAAAAAATAGCCGTGAATTTCAGCTATTTTTTGATACCAAAGACGCATTTTTTGAAAGTACGGGCTTTGAAGTAGGGCGCCTTGAAAAAATGAAATACTAAAAAACTTTTGCGACTACGCAAAACTGTACGAGGGCGATGGGGTACTATTACAGTATTTACGGTAGGTGATTGTTGTGATCTTGTTTCGTCGCTATTCAATTGAATAAAGCATATACTATTTGACTTTTATTTGACTACTTTTAATCTCAAAGATTTGTGCTTAGAAGTAAAAAAAAGAGCTTTTCAAGGTCATTTGTTTTACAATTGGTTTGGTTTCTTTTACAACTGTACGAGGGCGGTGGGGTACTATTACAGTATTTATGGTAGCTAAATTTTACAGCATTTTGTCAGTGATTATTGATTGTAAAGCCTTTAACGCAATACTTTCTGCAATTAGTTTTTGACATAGTTTATTGAATTTTAAGGTTTAAGTCACTGATTCTTCGAAACTGTCAACTTATTTCCACAGCAATTATCCTCATTTCAGTTTGATGTCTCTTTCCGTACCACTTGCCGTTTCGATACCACCGAATTCCCATTTGATTACGCCTATTGTACTTTTCACATGTTTACAGCTTTCCCGGCTAGCATGTATGTTAAATTTAAATGTAAATCTATATAAATCTAAATTTATATTATATATCTAATGCTAATTAGATATATAATTAGATATATACTACATTGATACACAAAAATCTTCAGAATTCAATTCCACGATCGAGTTTTCTTCGGTGATGTGAGAGATTTTCGAAACATACGAAAACAAGTGAGAATATAATACTTTTCTTAGATATTTAGCTAGATAATTAGATAGTTTTTAGAAGCATTCATTACCGAAAACGTTAGCTAAACTCTCTAGGAACTCCTCGAGACGGGTCGCTTTCAATTGCTCAACACCACCGGCCACCATGTGCTCTTCTTAGGCCAGAAACCTGTGGAAAAAAATCCAAAGTGATATCTGATATCATAGATTATAAATATCTATATCTAAATATTGATCTTTTAGGTACGCAAAGAAACATCTTCGTTCTGTCGTCGAGTTCAACATATTGTTGCAACGGAATTTCCCCATCTATGCCCCAACAATCGTCATCCCGTTGCTCGTCGTCGCTTTGTGAGCTTCAATTTGTGTTCAAGATAAATAAGCCTTGTCTTAATAACCTAATAATCTATCTAACCTACAGTACTTATAGTTCTTTGATAGTTCTTTTATAGTTCTTTTATAGTTCTTTTATAGTTCCTTTATAGTTCTTTTATAGTTCTTTTATAGTTCTTTTATAGTTCCTTTATGGTTCTTTTATCGTTCTTTTATAGTTCTTTTATAGTTCTTTTATAGTTCCTTTTATAGTTCCTATATCTACTCTGTAGTAAAATCTAACTTACAGTACTCTCGTTCATACCCAAACAAAAAACAAACACAGTGCTCTCATAGTTTTCAATAGAAAGTTAACATTTAATTTGATTCCTATGGGTTTCCCTTGGATCTAGATGAAAACAAGAATACTTTATACAATACTAAACTTGTTTAAACTCTAAAATTCAATGTTTACAATTGAAAAGTACCAAAAAACCCCTGAGCAAAGCTAGCTGAAATTTAAGAGACTCAAATGAAAACCTTTCAGCTTATCCATGATGTTATCCTGGCTCCCTGCATCTGGCCTCTCATTGAGATTGTCTCTTCTTAGCATTTTAGCTCAAGTTTTTCAATTTCCCAATAAAATAATGAGATTTTTTCAGCTAATGCTTGGCACAATCCTTGTCGAAGCGATGCCTGTTGATTTCAAGTCAACACCAAGAATTGGTAAGTGTTGAAAGGAGACAAAAAGACAAAACTTGTCGTGCTTGACACCAAAATATTGCTCTAAGGAGTTGAGTGCGCTAGAAAGGGTGCGTTTTTGAGCACAAAGTACACCCCTATAGAGTTGAATTGAATTCTGGCGTTGAAAAGCTTCTGAGGTTGAATTGAGTTCAAAAACTTTGACCAATTCAATCCGTTTTATAGCCTCAAATGAACAGAATTGATGTAAAGCAAGAAATTTGAGCAAATACCTTTAAAATTTGATTTTAAACCTTTTCAGCCACTCAATGCGCGTGGATTCTCTTCCTTTCGATGGTTTGTGTCGCCAGAAATGGTTGCGAGATGTGGCTTGAAAAGGGTCATTCTCCCTTGAATCCCCACAAATTCTCATTTCACATTCGTCTTTGTCGTCTCTTTTTTAACATTCTTTTCACTATTTATGTCATTTATGTGGCTGTTTGCTTGATTTTTCAAAGCCCAAGCCCGCCCGATGTGGATTCGATTTGAAAGCTTTGAAAGCTTTGAAAAGCTCGCTAAAACTCCTCTAATAACTACCTTTATTTAAGACTTCTCCACTTCCAAATCTCTTTTTTTGCTTAATAAATAGATTTTTCAATTTTTGACACTAGAAAGCGTGTGTTTCCACTTTTTTTTGAGTAAAAAAACAGAAAAGAAAGGAAAAATTGTGACCAAAAATTTTTATTTTAGCAAATCAGCGATAATTGTTTAAATTCAGGCAAAAATTAGATTCTTTTCTTTTATTGCATAAACAATTCCATTCTTATCGTTTTCTTTGAGACTTGAGAGGAATTCCTTGGCGAACTCTCGGCCAGAAGTATTATATTGGATTGGTGAATTGAAAACTGCGGGCTATTGCCATATGTGACAGTTTGAGCACTTTCTTCAAAAGAAACCCATTTTGGTGTCAATGGAAAAGTTGTAGAGAATCAAAAATCAAGCTTATATCCAAATTTTCGGAACGATTCAAAAACCGGTTTTCAAGAAATGCCAAATTTACGAATTTTCACAAATGAAATGGCGGAAAAGGAGGGGGAGGGGACGGGAGGGGGTTACGGTATCTGTCTGTCTTTCTGTCTGTCTTTCTGTCTGCCTTACTGTACGGGTATTTTTTCAGCCGTATTTTGACCAATATTTCATTTTGCATGAATATTATATTTTAAGTTGTTTTTGGTGTCATTCGATGCGTAATTTCATTCTGCATCAAATGATCGTTAAAATAGTCAATATATTGGGTTGGTGAATTGAAAACTGCGGGCTATTGTCATATGTGACAGTTTGAGCACTTTCTTCAAAAGAAACCCATTTTGGTGTCAATGGAAAAGTTGTAGAGAATCAAAAATCAAGCTTATATCCAAATTTTCAGAACGATTCAAAAACTGGTTTTCAAGAAATGCGAAATTTACAAAGTTTCACAAAACTTGCAAGTTTTAAGCGAAACTACAGAGTGTATCTTTTTGGAAATTTGGCTATAAGCCTAATTTTTGATTCTCTACAACTTTCCTATTGACACCAAAATGGGTTTCTTTTGAAGAAAGTGCTCAAACTGGGACATCTCCAGTCCTCCATTTTTGAGTCCCACACTTGTCTCACACACAAACCAAAATCCTACTACGAAAGAGGAATCCGCGAATTGCCTGTAAAATGGGCAGAAGTCGTCAATAATAATGGAAATTATTTGGAATGAATTCATGGTTTTATGTTGAATTTTTATGTCACCCACGACAACGCGCGCTCTCATGTTGCAAAACTGATTCGCTCTAAAATAAATAGCCTTGTTTGGGAACTTTTGGCGCATTCCCCATATAGTCCGGACCTTTTGATTACTATTTATTCCGGATCATGAGTAATGAGCTTGCGGGAGAACACTTCGATTCGGAAGAAGCAGTCAAAAATTGGCTTTGAAAGTTTTTCGATTCAAAACCAAAATCCTACTACGAAAGAGGAGTCTGCAAATTGCTTGTAAAATGGGCAGAAGTCGTCAATAATAATGGAAATTATTTGGAATGAATTCATGGTTTTATGTTGAATAAATTTTAGTTCAAAGTCCGGCAGTTTTCAATTCACCAACCCAATAGATTACAGTAGTTAGAGTGTTTGTTACCGGATTTGGGCACTTGCCCCAAATAAAAATCACCTATTTGTTGAACTGTTGTACAACAGTTCGATAAATTTCTCGAGCAACAGCTGACCACATTGCTTATCATGGCTTTTGGCAAGTTAGGCTTTGAAATTCGATTTGAGCTCTTAAGAGGCGAGCTATTTTTCGAGAATGATTTCCTCTGCACACGTGCTGTTCCCTCTCGCCAAAATAAACAATGTTTTTGTGATTGGCCGTTGAAAGGGCTCTAAATCACTCAACTCAAACAAACGTCAACTTTTGAGAATTTCGAGTTTCTATTCTTGTTTTCATACTCGGCACATGTTGCAACAAATACTCAAAGCAATCGTTCTCGGTGTGCACCTATTCTCATTGTCCTTAGCTAAACCGACGTCGGAGGTGACGGAGATCTCGATTGCTGAGAAGTGGTGCAAGTAAGTGTTTTGCACCTCGCAAAGACAATCATCCCAAGGAGTCGTCCCAAGGAGTCGTTTTCTTAACTCGTGTTTGAAAGCTTTCCTTGATCGAGTCAGAGAATTCCTTTGTAAAATCTTTGAGACGATGCGATATTCCCAGAATTGAGACAATCTTCTTCTCAATTAAACCCATTCGTCATTTCGCACAACGTTATTTCGTTTCTCGTCGTTTCCTTTGTAGTACTCATCACTAAAAACATCAGAAATTATTAATGAACTATTAATATTCAAAAAAAAAATAGGAAAACATGTTTAAACAATTTTAATTAGAGCACAACAAATATTCAATAATTATGTCTGTTACTGTAGTAAAGCTTAAAGCTAGTTAACATTAGTTAACAAAGCTAGTTAACAAAGCTAGTTAACAAAGCTAGTTAACAAAGCTAGTTAACAAAGCTAGTTAACAAAGCTAGTTAACAAAGCTAGTTAACAAAGCTAAAACTAGATAACAAAGCTAAAAAGGTGCACAAAGAGCAGATTATAATTATCTATAATTAGCTTTTCTTTGTCTTTAACCATAAATCTTTTCGATTTGTGGATTTGAAAAGTTTCAGAGAGCTTCCGAAGAGAATCGAGAATTTTCAAATGCGATTGAAGCGGATAAACGAAACGATCATCAATTTGGATGACTTGGAGGATATCGAGAGAAACATCGAACAAGCGGCCATCGATTTGGGCAAATGGTTAAACGAGGCCAAAAAGCGCTTTTGTGCCACCGACGAGCAAAAACGATACCGTAAGAAAAAACGTTCAAAAAAAATTTGAGCGAGTTCTCCTTAAATTCTTTCACATTTTTCACGAACAATATCTAGTTTACAACAGTAATAGGTTTGATAATTAAACACCGGTGCTACTACTGTTTCCCTACACCAAAATCAGCAAAATTTGTGGATAGGTTACCGTAAATACTGTAATAGTACCCCACCCCCCTCGTACAGTCGCGTAGTCGCAAAGGTTTTTTAGTATTTCATTTTTTTCAAAGCACCCGTACTTTCAAAAAATGCGTTTTTAGTATCAAAAAATAGCTGAAATTCAGGGCTATTTTTTGATACCTAAACGCGCATTGCAGCATAAACCAGTGTCGAGAAAAACGCGTTCAAACCTAGACTACGCAACGCTCCGCACCGTCATTATGGGGGTGGGGTACTATTACAGTATTTACGGTAGGTAACTTATGTTTGTTGTTTAATAGAGTGTAGATTACCTTTCAGTAAACTAAAAAAGAACAGCAACAAAGCCTACAAAGCACTTTTATAGACTCGACTCTGCACCGTTGTGTGAATGGGTTAGAGCTGGTGGACAACGTGGAACGGGAATGCAATTTCACTGTCACTTGCCAGTGAGTTTGTTTGGCTTAACGTTTTGCATTCAAACACCAAAAAAACCTCTGGACTCGGCTATGTGGCTCCGTAGTTGGGTCTAAACTTTGGAATAACTCGAGTCTAACACCCATTTGAGAGGAAAGATGTCACTATTGCTGTCATTTTTGCTTCATAAATAATAAATGGAACATGTATCGGTATATAGAGGTCCTCTCGTTTAGTGTCCTATATAGAGGTCTATATAGAGGTCCTAAAACCCGCGCTCAAAAAAAACGCGACATAAATATTACGTCCAAAATTTCAAACGAAAATTTTTTTTTTCGAAAAACCTTTTTTTCAAATTTATGGGGGTGACTAATTTGCATCAAATTTGAGCCAAATCTTGCCTTAAACGTCCAAGTTCGATTTCTTTTGGCTTTTCCTTTTTAGCAATTATGTTGCTAAAAAGTTCTTTCTTCTTTTTCAAAAAAGCAAACAACTCGGGTAATTTTTTAAAGGTTGGACACTTTATAGAAAAAAAACTACTCGTTATCCATTTGATATTGTTCCACATGTTATTACTGATTTCTGTTGCTCGCAGCGCAGAGTTAATCTAAAAATAAATGCTCTTTGATAAAGAACTAAGTTAAAGGAAAAGAAGCGAAAAAATGAAAAAAGCATCAATCATCAAAAATTCCAAGGAACATTCTTATAACAATTAACTTATAAGTTAGCTAAGTTAGTTAAGTTGCTTATAACAATATGGATTCGAAAGAATTTGCATAAATCAATTTGTTCAGCTGTCGCTTTTGATCGACCATTGATCGACTAAAAAAACAATTATGCAAATTTATTCGGTTAATTGTTTAACCACGAGGAGAACACTCTAGTTGTATAGAGACATTTCAAAAAACAAAAAAGTGAGATGCAAGTGAGATTCAAAATCGAATAGAAATCTAAGTCCACCAAAATAGGGTGATCTTTATTCGGTCGATTCGGAGCCAAGAACGGATAGACGGTCACAGTTTTTTAGTCGATCAATGGTCGGTTAAAGCGACAGTTAAACAAAGTTCTTCTATAGCATTCAAAAATTGATAGAAGCTCAACTCACATTTTGCATATTATTGAAAAAAAATGGTGCAAATGATTTGCAGATTCTATCCGAATTTGAACGAGTGCATGGTAAAAAGACTGGGTGATGCTTGTGGAGGAATGAAGGGACGAGCAGCCTACGCCTTCGAAATGGAGCTATATGTGAGTGAGGGGAATTGCTATGAAGAAACAAACAAACAAAATCTTCTAGTTTTCAGAAGAAAAGAAAAGAAAGGTTATTAATATGATTGTCGTGCTGTCGTTTGTTACTTTAGCTTTGATTACTTTTAGATCCATGCCAAAGAGTCATCGGAATGCAAAACGGAATTCTTGTCTTTCTTGACGAAAATCCAAAATGAATACAAAGGGGTTTGGTGATGAGGAAGAAGGATATCTTGAAATGTTTTTCAATGAATTTTTTCTGAAATACTAACAATATCTCTAATTCTCCACAAATTTAAGTCATGCCTTAGGAATAAAATGAACAAAACAGCAAATTTTGAGCAAACAAAAATAGGTTTACGATGAGAGTTACGATGAGATTGACAAACAAAAACAACTCTCATCGTAAACCTATTTTTGTGAAAGTTCTTCAGACAAATGTCTCTACTTTCCGCAAATTTTAGGTGACAAAGTCTTAAAGCCTCAAGCATTCAAAAAAAAAGTTTGAGATCCGCGAAAACCATATCCAAATCGATTCCCCTGTTGTTCTTTGAGCTCGCCGATTGCTCGTAACACATCGATCAAACGGGACAAAGCGTTGGCAGCAGCTCCGCCCCTCTGGCGAAAGGGCTGTTCGTTATGACGTCGTTTGAGGGTTCTTTCGTCTTGCATCAGTTGTGAGGCCAGAAGAATCATCCCAATGCTCGCGTCTTCTCTAGCTTCTGTCAACGCTTTCATTTTTTCTGCCGCTTCTACTATCCTGAAGGCCCTTTACATCACCAAAAGCGCGTTCCGGTCGACGAGAAGTTTCTTGGCTTGTTCTCGGCTTTCGTTGGTCCCGTCGTCAAGCAGCTACAACAAATTTTGGTTCAGTTTCACTTGGATATTGAACGATCGCTTTGTGAGCACGAGTGGTGGCTTTGAAGCGGGCTTCAGCTTTACCGCCAGTTTCTCCAGTAGATGCGCTTCCAAAGCCTCGAGTTGAGTCTTGCTCCTCTCCGGCTTGCCCGACATCTCCCCTAAATAAAAAAAAATACAGCACAGATAACACCGTAAATAATAAAAGGAAAAATTCTCGAACAAAATACTACTACTAGCTACAGTCATGGACAAAAGTCTTGGCGGCTCCTGGGTGGCAACTTTCAAACGCAAATTTAGGAACCTTCCCGAGAGGCTATAAAAAAGTTGTCACAAGTATTTTTGAGCGGTCATTGCAGCTAAAGGCCGACCTACAAAATATTGAATTTTTCGCCTCTATGTATGTGCCGTCAAGACTTTTGTCCATTGTTTTTGTGACCTTTTTGTCTTTGACGCTTATTTTTGTTGTCTAAAATAAACTTTTGAGTTCAATGCTTGGTCATAGCTAAAAGTAGAGTAAAAATGCTCAAAAATACTTGTGACAACTTTTTTATAGCCTCTCGGGAAGGTTCCTAAATTTGCGTTTGAAAGTTGCCACCCAGGAGCCGCCAAGACTTTTGTCCACGACCTGCTAAACGAATTGACCAAAATGAAATTTATCGCAAAGTCTCTTTAAATACACTGAACGGGCGCGTTTTAGAAAGCGCCATCAAAAGGGCTACGGTAGGATGTAGACAAAATCGTCTGCTAGTGAAAGCCACGCTGTACACAGATGAGTTTAAGCAAAAACAAACAAAGCTCACATGCTAGCCCCATGTTGGGGTTTGTGAACAGTTGCTGGAATCACTTTGCCATTGATTAAAAAGGATGTTTGGTCGATGCAAGAATTAAGAATGCAAGAATTGCAGGTCGATGCAATTATTGTAATTGATATCCATTATCGTGCATTGTGAACGAGTAAAACCAAAAAAAAATATCGTTGTTTTGATCGAAATTCATAATGAAACCCTGAAAGGATAAAAAAAAGTCTCGATTGAATATCTTAATACCAAATCGATATCGATGAAAAGCATGATGGATCAGCAAATGATGGAGCAGTAAATGATGGAGCAGTAAATGATGGATCAGCAAATGATGGAGCAGCAAATGATGGAGCAGCAAATGATGGAGTATTTTCTGTGAGTGTAAAACGTTTCCGACCTTTCAAATTTTCACATTTTGTGCCGTTAAACAAAAACAAAAACTTTTTAAAATAAACCTCCCGTAGGTTTAGTTTAAATAAACCTAGAAATCCACTATTTTCCTCAAAAAGCTTTCTCTGTGACATCACAAAAAAAGCAGAACTTAATTCATCGTAATTTTTTGGATCGTTGTTAAACTAAAATAAATAAACTTTTTTTATTAACGTAAATAAATTTCTGTTTTATGGACACGTTGCTGGTTTCGGATTGTTGTAGCATCCCCACATGCCGATTCGGCTCTGAAATTCATCAAATTTCCTGATATTTATTTTAAATTTTACAATTCATTAATTATTAATCATTAATTGATAAGAACAATGTTGATTTAAGATCTTGTCAATCAATCAACTAAACAAACTCACTCCCAACATACGCCAGTATTGATCCGCACCACACGTCAAGATTGAGGCTCCTGCTGATGAGGAAGTGATCTAAACTTTTCTTTTCTTTCTTTTCTTTCTTTTCTTTCTTTTCTTTCTTTTCTTTCTTTTCTTTCTTTTCTTTCTTTTCAAATAATTTAACTTTTATTGTCGACTGTGAACTGTAAATATTGTTAAATAGAAATGATAGAATTTTTCGTTCACTTACCGATCCACAGCCTGTTAAGTTGGCCACTGTTGCCGAATTCGCGTAATCGTACACGTAGAAGTACATCTGAAAAATTCTTTCCAACTTTCAGCAACTTAAACTTTAATTTGAACTTGTTATTTTAGATTTAAATTTAGATTTAGATTTAGATTGAAATTTAGATTTAGATTTAGATTTAGATCCAATTAAATATTTTTATACATCAACTGCAAAAGCATCTAAATTTCTGCTATAAAAAGGTAAACTGAATATGCTTTGCTCTATTATGAAACTCACGGATTGTGACGGTGTTGGCGGTTTGCTACTCGCGCAAACAAACGTCGCCTGCAAGCAGTTTTTCGCATTCAATCTATAAAACTTTTTATGCCAATGATATGGTATAAATGATAAAAACTCACGAGATAGTGATGTCCATTTTGTATGTGTTCGAGCGTGGATCGCGTGGATTCGAGTAGTAATGGCTTGAGAAGTCCTGCTTGCACTTTTGGCAACCTGAAGTTGAGGGATTGTTTTCAATATCTAGTTGTTATTGGACATGAGGGAATTCGGTCGGCTAAAACCGGTCGGTCGAAACCATTCTCCAAACTCGATTTAAAGCTGAACCATTTTTTCTGAGCCTAAACCGCAGTTTCAATTCAAAAGCACGGGCATAGAACGACCGACCCATGTTAGTTGTTATTTACGAGTTTTCCTCAAAAAGTTTTTACCAGGAACAGTAGTTGTGGTCGGTGGTCCCGTTGTAGTGGTTGTAGTGGTGGTTGTGGTCGTCGTATCAGTTGTGGTGGTTGTCGTTGTTGTCGTCGTTGTTGTCGTGGTCGTTGTAGTTGTCGTTGTCGTTGTCGTCGTCGTGGTCGTTGTCGTCGTCGTTGTCGTCGTCGTTGTCGTCGTCGTCGTCGTCGTCGTTGTTGTCGTCGTCGTCGTCGTCGTCGTAGTAGTTGTTGTTGTAGTTGTCGTTGGGGTAGTGGTCGTTGTCGTCGTTGTTGTCGTTGTAGTAGTCGTTGTTGTCGTTGTTGTCGTTGTTTTTGTCGTTGCTTTTGTTGTAGTTGTAGTGGCTTTAGTGGTCTAAAACAATTTCCGGTATTTTCCTGCTATAGCCACTACCTGTACCAATGCTATTTATTACAAAGTTTGCATCCAAAATGCATACAATAAAGTCCGAAATGTATAAAAGCGTTACCAAAAAGACTATCTTGATGAATTTGATTTTTTTTGAAGACTTGTAACATTTTGAGGGATTTAAGACGGTAAATGAGAATTTTGGCTGAAAGAAAGTGGCTGAAAGAAAAAGATGGTAGTGTTTATAAAAGGAAAACAGGAAAAAACGAATCAAGAGTAAAACATACGGTTGGGCAGGATGGAAGAGCACGAACGGGATCCGGGGGAAGCTGAAGACCGCATCTTGTGGTATTATTGGACACCACTGTGACCTAAAATTGCATAAATCAAGCTCCCAAGTTTTAGTACCGAGTAGGAGTAGGGATTAGGCGAAAAACGGCTGTGTATAAAAAGTTTTAAAACAAACAACTGGATTTCCGCCACAACAAGGAGTGCTTGTATTGCAAGGAGTTGTCGGGCAAGCGATCATTTGCGATGACGGTCCACTGAAATGACTCTAATGTCTAGCTGTATTTGTCTCTATTGTTATTGAAATTTTTAGCTCATTTCTAGCTCATTTCAAGCCCATTTCAAGCTCATTTCTATTTCTTTCATTCTATTTCAAATTTCTCAAAAACCCCACGTGCAAGCACATCCATAAACTGTCGATTTGCAAGTTCTTGTCTGATTCGCCGTCCCGCACAAACCACACGTGGCTGTACATGTGCCCGGGGTCCAAGCCGACCAAATTCCCCCAGGTGGACACGGACAATTGTTGAGAACAGCTGAAAATGTTTGTGCTTTCCCCACTCTTTGCAAATCCTTTTTTTACCAGTCATTTTACAAGTCGGTGCCACGTAGTCACCAGCTGGTGCTGTGTTTGTCACATTTCCACACAAGTAGCGCTTTTGAATCTGATTCGGATACTAAAATTTAAAGTTTATTTATTTCCAAAATAGAAATGATCAATGAAATCTTATCAAATTAAATATATTTGAAAGTCCGGCAGTTTTCAATTCACCAACCCAATAGGCTTGCTTATAGACTTGCTTATAGACTTGCTTCTAGACTTGCTTCTAGACTTGCTTCTAGACTTGCTTATAGACTTTTTCAAACATCTGGGCACTCTAAAGCTTGTCCCGACTAGACGTAATCAACAAATAATCAACTCAAAGAAGTGTTGTAAATAAAGATTATCAAAGCAAAAGTTATCAAAAGCTTTTAAAGTTAGCTACAAGACTGAGAAAATGGATTTTTGGTGGTTTTTCGATTGCGAAATCGGTGTTAGCCTGAGCCGAAAAGGATCGGTGTTAGTTTTTCATTTCGGATTCAATTTTGACAAAGTTTTCAAGAAGCGCTTTGATTCGAATTCAGTTTTGACAAAATTTTGATGAGCGATTGTTAGAGAAAAGCCTACTTTCGTGTAGGGAGATTTGCAGGCGTCTCTCGGAAAAGGACAAGGAGTGTCACCGCAAGGTTCCGTTCGGGAATAGTTTCCACTAAAGTTTTTTTGAATTCTTTTCAATTTCCATAACATCTTTTAGTTGTAAAAGTTCAACTTCTGCTTGCAAGCTGAACCAATATCTTTTTTTGGTTATCAATATCTCAAAACCAACCATCTACTTGTTAAATAGATAGTTTTGTTCACAAAAAGAAATTCCTCTTCTCTGTCTCTGTTTTCTTGCTGCGATTTTCGGCGAAAACGATCGATGAATAGAAAACTCACGTGCACGGACATCCGTAAGACCAAGAGGTGCATGCTCTCGTTTGAATATGATTCCCGAAAAGTCCACAAGTGTCCGAACATGAAGTGTAGTTCGACCAATTCGACCAGATACCTAAAATTCGCAAAATTTCAATGAAAAGTCTATCTTTTGACCTTTTTCATAATAAATTTCATTGTAAAATATTTGGCTAATGAACAATGATTTGAATCTGATTTAAAGAATGAGTAAAGCAATTGATTTTTTTCGATTTCTTTCGATTTGTTTCATCAAAATGTTTTTTTGATTGACTCTAGGTTATTTATGAAATTAGAATGATTACTTTTGCAAAGTTACAATCAAAAGTCTTTATTTAGCCTGTTTATGTTAAGTCTAACAATAAAGATAAATTTTGTTGATAGAAAAGTCGTGTGTCAATTGTGAAAATTGGGGCTAGGCTAGTTTCCGCAACTGGGTCGTTTGCACAACTCGCCATAACTTTCTTCTAAGTCGGTCAATCTTTATGATTTTGGTTTCATTTTGTAGATCTCAATAAGTGCAACAAAATGAAACCAACATCATAAAGATTGGCCGACTTAGAAGAAAGTTATGGCTAGTTGCGCAAAAACAATTGCGGAAACTAGCCTACCCCGAAAATTGACTTACCTTCAGGCGGACAACTCGTACAGTTGGCAAGTGCTTGTACAGTGCAAACTAAATTTTTTTGGCTTGCCTTTCTGGTTTTCTGATAAAGAAAAACTTTGACTTTCCTTTACTCTTATAAATTTTCTAAAAAACTTTAGACTTTTGAATCATTTTAAAATCTTTTTTATAAGTTTAACATATAAAGGGAACAAAAAAGTTCGTAGCCACCATGTTTTTCGGTTAAATTCAGCTTTCAAAATAACAAAAAACGCTCAAACGCTGAATTTTCTTCAAAACTTAAAAAACGTTTGTAATTCTAGCAAGTTCATGTGAAATTTAAGACTTTATAAGTAAAGAGATTAAGTCTTTTAATTGACAATCTATCGTCAAACTATCGCCAAACTATGACAAACTATCGCCAAACTATCGCCAAATAAACAAACTATCGCCAGAATCAACCCAAATGCTTGGCCGCTTGATTTTCTCTCAAAAATCATCTGAATTTTCTGAAATTTCTAATTAAACATAGTCACTCAAAAGGAATCCTATTTTTTAAAACTCTTTTCTAGAAGAATAGCAAAATTAGCAAGCGAGAAACGCAAAAAGGTCTCTAAATTATAGCTCTAAAAAGTCGACGAGTCCGAATCGGATTTCAAGTTTTTACTGTTGTTTCAAAGAAAAGAAAATAGAGAAGATAAGAAAATAAAGAAGAAAAAACAAAAAAAGAAATAGATAAGATAAGAAAATAGATTCGTGTACTCGTTCTGTTCTGTTTTTGCGGAAAAATGCTCCGAAATTACATCTAGATTTCGAATTTCTAAACTGTTTTTCAAAAAATTCTTTTATTGGCCTAAAAAATGAGGTGACTTCGAACTTTTGTTTCACCCTGTAGTTTAACAGAGGCTGAATCTAATTTTATAAGTTTAACAGAAGCTCAATCTAGTTTTACAAGTTTAACTGAAGCTTAATCTAGTTTTATAAGTTTAACGGAAGCCCATTCTAGTGTTATAGGTTTAGCGGAAGCTTAATCTAGGGCTATAAGTTTAGCCGAAGCTCAATCTAGTGTTATAAGTTTAATAGAAGCTCAATCTAGGTTGATAAGTTTAACGGAAGCTCAATCTAGCTTTATGAGCTTAACCGAATCTGAATCATAAATTTGAACCTAGGAAATTTCATAAGCCAGTCTAAACCATTAACCAAGTTTAGCATTTAAAACATAGAAAAAATTTTCCTCACCATTAACAGAAAAGAACCGTTTTTCAGAAAGGAAAAGTCGCTCACCTAGTGAAAGCACGACGAAGACAACAGTCCGAAGCATTTTTGAGTGAGTGGCTCAATTAAAGTAGAGATCTATCACGAGCACAGCCTTTTATACTCATGTTCTGTGTTCAGCTCAAGTGATCAAACTTTGCCTTTAGAATTTGAACGCCCACTAGAACCAAATAGATTTTTTTTCATTGTTATCTTGTTGCAAACAGGAGCGCTCATTTTTTATGAACCTTTTTTCAAATGAAATTCTCTATGCCCACTCGTTTCGTCATCAAAGAACGACTGTTCGGAGTTCCAACGATAAAGACTTCTCGCAGCAGGGGATCTGATCCCTTGTGATCGTCTACTTCAACAAATTTCCAAAAAAACCAAAGCAAATTTTTGTTTTGCTAGAAGCATTTTCGTTTCTGTTTTCTTCTAATCTACCAACCATTTTGATTGATTTTTAATTTTTCGTTTTCGCTCAATAAAGCCTAAATAGCTCAAAAATATTTGAAATTTCATCAATTTTACCAATTCTAGAATTCCAATTCTAATTTTACCAATACCATTTTACCAATTTTACCAACTCCCCTTCAACAAATGACTGAAAAAGATTTAAAGCAAACAAGTTTGGCAGGGACGGGAATCGAACCCGACGCCTCCGTTAAGACAGTGATTTTGTAGACGGGACGCTAACCACCTAGACTACGGGCAACTAGTCGAACCAGCGACTAGACTAGTCGAACCAGCGACTAGACTAGTCGAACCAGCGACTAGACTAGTCGAACCAGCGACTAGACTAGTCGAACCAGCGACTAGACTAGTAGACCCAGCGACTAGACTAGTAGACCCAGCGACTAGACTAGTAGACCCAGCGACTAGACTAGTAGACCCAGCGACTAGACTAGTCGAACCAGCGACCCTCAGATCAATAGCCTTTCCGCCGCTTTTCGCGATTTTCCTTCGTTTTTCTCGTTTTTTTTGTTTTATCATTTTTTTGATGTTGTTAGAAGGCTTTTTTCAGGAATTTTTCACGAAATCGTTGAAAGCAATTCCGGATAGTTCGTTCGGTCACGAAATCGGGTCCATAAACGTCAGTAATCTCTCGATGAGCCTGTGCGGCATTGGGCTTTCCGTTGAATGCATACAAAAACAGGTGATACAATAAAACTGGTGCTGGTGCTCCTCCGATTCAACTTGACACGACATTCCTGATACTTCAAACGAGCAAAGAATTAGATTGATTAAAGTTCAATTCAACTCCAGTAATTGTTCAACTCAATAGATTAAAAGACGAGTGTATTTTGTGTGCAAAATTTTCTATTTTATTTCTTTCTTATTCTCAGAAACTTATTTCTCTTATTCTTCTTCATTCGGATGCTTTCTCATTCACTAATTATTGATTTCACCTGTTTTATTGTACCACTAAAAAACGAATGAATAACTTTCATCAACTTTCATTTTTTTTCTGAATGACTTTACTTTTTATTAATTCTAATTACTTGTCTGAATTTGTTTTCTGAGTTTAGAAAAGAAATTCTTTTTGAAAATTTTGGACCGTGACCGTTTTTAAGCTATTTTAAAATAGTTAAAGGCATTCATCCCGACTCCTTTTTTCTATTCTCGTTGAATTCGGCTCCCTACGGGCCTCCAGGGCCAGAGGGCCTCCAAGGCCAGAAGGGGACCTTTTCTCTACAGTGCGACAAAACATACCCACCCCTAAACATTTCCCGCTCCTGCCAGTGACAAAAAACTGAAACGTAGTTAGATTCAGGACCAAAATAACCCTTAAACCCCAAAAATCGTCGACATAGCATGAATAGGGAAAATGTAACAGCCAAAACGAAATTCACCCGGTGCAAACCTCGCCACCCCCATTTTGGTGTCGTTGTTGCATTTTGTTCAATTTTTATGATAACAAGGTTTATTTATAACAATAACAGTCTAATATTTTGTTGCTGGTCCCTGGCGACTGATCACGTCAAATATTCGACTCGGCATGCTGTCACTAGCTTCTTGTGGTGCTTCTTGGAATAGCATTCCACTCGCGGATATGGCATCTTTGGTGCTTGAACATTTGCGTATTGTGTGGAATTGTGATAACTCGACGAGCAAGCTTCCCACAGATTCTCAATGGGGTTGAGTCGGGAGCACGCAGGCCAATCCAGAAGGGCACTTGTTTTGACTGAGCCATGATTTGGTTGCTCGGCTGACGTGGATGCTGGCGTTGTCTTGCTGTGGGTGAGTTGATGTTGTGGAAGACTTTGCAGATTGGAAGAAGGCTGCCTCGAGCACATCGTGTAATCTAGTGAGTTCATCTTGGACGTGACAAGACGTTTCCAGTTTTCCATGAGATGAGGGCGCCCCAACACATCACCGAACCCCCGCCGAAGTTTCGCTTTGAGAACAGTATGGATTCTTGCGCAAGTCCGCCAATAAGAGTGTCCACCTCAGGCCCATCCAGGTTGACTTTTTCTCGTCTGTGTAGATGATCTGAAACCAATAATTTGTTTTCTAAGTTTAAATACCTGATTCCAGTCAGTTGCCTGTTTGCGCGGCAAGAGCAACCTGTTCTGTTTGTGGATGACATCAAGCGGGTGCTGGCTTCATCACCTGACGTGTGAGATGTGGCGAAGAGTTGTGGTTCTCTGAACACTTTGACACTTTGACACTGGAAGTTGCAAATCACGCTTGATTTCATTTGCCGATCTCGTAGAGTTTGGGCTTTGCTTCTGATATGGCGTTCGGCCCGTTTGGAGAGCTTCTTGTGACGACCATGCGCATTTGAAGTACCATATTTGGTGGGCTTTGAGGTAACGGTTGATGCGTCCTTGAGCGATTGGTTCGATGACTCATCTCGGAAATTGCATCCAGTTGCTGCATGAGATCGAGTTGGCCTGCCCCCGTCAGAGAGTTGAGTTGCTTTCGGCATTGTGTTTTTGAAGTTGAGTAAGACAAAGTAGCTCTTTGCCTCCTTATAAGGAATCTGAAGTGAAAGGGCGGGACTTATGTTTGCCAGGGCAGATTTAGCTTTAAACTAGAAAAAGTATGAAATGACACCAAAATTTGGGGGGTGGCGTATGGTTTTGCACCGGGTGAATTTTCGTTTTTTGGCCGTTACATTTTCCCTATTCATGCTATGTCGAAGATTTTTGGGGTTTAAGGGTTATTTTTGGTCCTGAATCTAACTCGTTTTCAGTTTTTTGTCACTGGCACGGAGCCGCAGAAAATTGAAATTTAGGGGGTGGCGTATGGTTTTGCTCCGCACTGTACTCCAACTTTTCAGTTTCCTCTAAAAGCTTCCACAGTTTCTTTTTTAATCAAGTTATTAAATTGTGGAATCTTTTAGGCCTTAATGTTCGTGATTTTCCCACCTTGGCTAGATTTAAAGCCGCAATTTCGGCAATTCATTTGACTGCTCTGTGATTCTTTCTTCAGGTATCGATTTATCTTTTGGGTGTGTTTTGAGTGGTGTTCTTGGGTGATTATTGTGGCCTTGTTTTCTCGGTATTCCATTCAATAAAGCATATACTATTTGACTTTTATTTGACTCTATTTGGCTTTTATTTGACTTTATTTGACTACTTTTAATCTCAAAGATTTGTGCTTAGGAGTAAAAGAGCTTTTCAAGGTTTCAAGGTAAATCATTTGTTTTAAAATTGGTTCGTTAAATTTTAAACTTTAGATTTCTTTAGACTTTAGATTAGATTCGAGCAGATTTTCGGGAAGTAATTGTACCTCAATTTGCGTCGTTCTAATTTCATTGGACCATTGAAAGTAGTTGGGATTTGGGCTCAGCAGAATTGACGAACAGAAAATAAACTAATGAAAAATCAATGTCGGAATTCTTTTCAAAAAGGAATTCTTTTTCAAAAATACAGTGTGTTTAAAAGTATCTAGAGACTTTAGTCACGTCTTGTTCTCTAATTTTTCTCCGACTTATCACCGATTCCCAGTGGATTTCATTAAACTTTTGAAAGAATTTGAGATTTGAATTGACGCATAATTGACGAACAGGCAATAAACTAATGAAAAATCAATGTCGAAAAGGAATTCTTTGAAAAGTGTCTAGAGAATTTGTTCAAATGTTGTTCTCTAATTTTTTTTCAGATTTTTCACCGATTCCCAGTGGATTTCATTAAACTTTTGAAAGAATTTGAGATTTGAATTGACTCATAATTGAAAAACAGGAAATAAACTAATAAAAAATCAATGTCGAAAAGGAATTCTTTTTCAAAAATACAGTGTTCAAAAGTGTCTAGGGAATTTGTTCAAATCTTGTTCTCTAATTTCTTTTTTTTTCTCCGATTTTTCACCGATTCCCAATAGATTTGTCTTTTTTCTTTTGTGATAACAAATTGCTTAGTGTTCTCTGAAATTCCTCAATCTTATCGCAAACTTTTAGAGGTTTCAAAGCTGTTATAGCTGTTATAGATGGACGAACAGGAATGCAAAGCGATCGCGAGTCCGATGACCGCCTACTTTCCACTTCGAGTAATGCTTTTTGTGCAGGCGATAATGGGCATTTTCACGATTTTTCTTTCACTTTACACTCTCAGCCTCTATCGAAAAGTTTATTTTCATATCAATTGCAAGGTGTGCTCAATTGCAAGGTGCAAGCCTCATCTCACAGTTAATCTTCATTTAGTTGTTAGTCATTTTACTCCTTTTTCTCTACATGATCGATGGGGCCAGTTTGGCAACTACTATGGTAGGTTTTTGAGTGTTTATCAAATTATTTACGATTTCTATTATTGTTCTAGCTGGGTGTTTTGAGGGTAACGCATAGTTTGAGCTCTCAAGTTAAAGAGATACCTTCCCTCTCCTTCTGCGCCCATCCTATACCCCTGTAAGAATAAATAACTTCGCTAAAAACTAAATAACTTCGCTGCGAGGCAACTCAAATCTACATATTTCAACTCCATGCCTGAAAACATTTAAAGCAAAAAAGTTTGGAGCAAACGGGAATCGAATCCGGCATCCTCTTGGGGCGGTTGTTTTGGAGACCGAACGCTAGCAAAAGATATTCTATCAATTAGTTGAATAGCTTAATGGGAAAGGGAAAAATGCAAAATTTCGCTTTTTGCATCCATGACGCAGTAGGTAGCGCGACCGTCTCTCGCCCACACAACCACCCGTAGGTACCCTGTAGGCACCATTCGATCCCCCTAGGTACCCTGTAGGTACCATTCGATCCCCCGTAGGTACCCTGTATGTACCATTCCATCCCCCGTAGGTACCCTGTATGTACCATTCCATCCCCCGTAGGTACCCTGTAGGTATCATTCGATCCCCCGTAGGTACCCTGATTTTTTCTTTTAAAAAATTTAAAACGTGAGTTACACAACTAAATAAAATTCTCTATCTAGCAAAGAAAAAACTATTTAAATCGGTTCACTGGGGGCTGAGATTTTGGCCGTACGATTTGAAAATTTGAAAAAGCCTAAGCGAAACTATAAAATGCAGTGCTTTTCTTGCAGTATGGTAGAGTATTCCATCGAAAATATTGCCAGTGCAAGTCCAAGTTGTTTAGAATTTACCCCAATCCGAACCAGTTTTAGGTTAATCAAAGGTTAATCAGTTTAGGTTAACAAAGTATGGTCGGCTAGAAGTCGGCTAGAAGTTTTGATTAGATCGAAATGTACAGCAGTTGGAAATACGGCAGATCAAAAACTTGTGCACCGCCAGGACTCGAACCAGCGACCAGGCAACTGTTGCTAACCATTACACCACAATGCACCTGATCTCCTTTACTCCAGAAGGAGTTAACTCGAGACCAGTGAAACCGTCTCGTCCAGAGAGAAAGGAAGTTAACTCCCTCTGGAGTAAAGGAGATCAAAGGTGCTTGTGGTGTAATGGTTAGCACAATAACCTGGTAAGCGAAAGGTCGCTGGTTCGGGTCCTGGCGGCGCACCAGTTTTTGATCTGCCGTATTTCCAACTGCAATACATTTCGATCTAATCAAAACTTCTAGCAGACCATACTAGGTTTTTTGTTCTCCTCAAAACTTTATCATTTCAGTTCTACCATATCATTGTCCTCTCGATGCCACCCTCGTGTTCGTCTCTCGTTTCCCCTTTGCAATGTTTATTGATGAGAGGACTCGCGAACACGTGCACCTACGTTTTTACTCCGATTCATTTTGCTCTCAATCTCGAGAGAGTCATCGCACGTTTTTATGGCACTCGCTACGAGCAAATGGACGCGAAAATTGGACTCATTTTGGGCGTCTTTTGCGTACGTTGAAAACATATATAAAGAAAAAAATTTTTTAGATGTTTTTGGCAACTTTCGTTTATGCATATGTTGCCTCGCATGAGCATTGGGATTCCTCGAATATGGTTCCATATTGCACAGTCGGAAATCAGTAGGTTTCTGATCAAAATAGTGAACAACAAATGAAATTTGTTATTGATTTTGATGCTACAGAAATTTTCTGTAGTCTTTGTGCTCAATATTTAGCACTGTTGCTGCGTTTTACATTTAAAAATCGTTCCAAAGAAAGAACGTCTAAGGAAAGACGTGAAACCACTACGGAAAAGTACAAATCCCATCCGATTTTTGTCTTGCCTGAATATCTTCTCTTCACGAAATATGTTTACATATTGTTAAATGGATTCATTCTTTTCTCTAGTCAGTTTTAAATTTGTTTTCATTTGACAAACAAACTTTTCGTTTGTTCGTGAACGAGCCATCATTCAAACTGATTCCTTTCACATTTTCCTATCATTATTTAGATTTATTCAAGTAGCACATTGGGTTAAAGTCAAATACAGATAACAAATAAATTGTGATTGATTTTAAAAAAAGTACAATAAAGTAGAAAAGACCAAGAATCTTAATCTTAAAAGACTAAGAATCTTGTCTTAACAAATAGATGTTAAGACAAGAGCTTTTTACTATAATCTTTAGCATTTTAGCTGAATTTTTAGCTGAATTGGTGTTTGATCTTTGAATTATCCATGAATGAAAATGGATAATCAAAATTCTTCACGAAATATGTTTACATATTGTTAAATGGATTCATTCTTTTCTCTAATAGTGCACCAAAAGCTTTGCCTAAATTCCTCGAAATCTCGAGAACCGCTTACTAGAACCTATCGATTTGGGATCGGAAAATGTAGCTGACGATGAGATCTAGTGGGGGATTTGAGTGTTGAGCTTCTGCGAAAGCTTGGGAACCGTAAAATCGTCACCTTGCCCGAGTGCATTACTATTAGAGAAAATACGGTAATTCTTTTCTCTAATCAGTTTTCAATTTGTTGCTTTTCGTTTGTTCGTGAACCTCATTCAAACTCAATCCTTTCACATTTCCCTATTATTATTTAGATTTGTGCAAGTAGCCCATTGCACATCGGCGCGAAATAAGGCAAAAATGCGTTTTCTATCGGCTTTTTCTGGGAGTACCTTTTTTAGATGCGGAAAATTGTGCTGATTCCGAATCTGAAGGAATTTTTCAAATCCCTCTGACAGAAATTTTTTAAGGTGAGTTTTAGCGGTTTTTTGGTCATTTTGTATGGGAGATTTTGTGGTACCCTGCAGTTTGGGGCTCGTAGCTCGACAACGAGGGTCTAGAACCAAAAACGAAGGGATAAGTTTTATTCTAGAGACTCTTACGAACATTTTGATGCAAAAATCATGCAAATTTGCTCAACTCTACAAAAAGTTATAACATCTAAAAAATCTAAAAAAGGTACTCCCAGAAAAATCCGATAGAAAACGCATTTTCGCGCCGATGTGCATTGGGTTAAAGTCAAATAAAGATAACAAATAAATTGTGATTGATTAATTAAAAAAAAGTACAATAACGTAGAAAAGACTAAGAATCTTAATCCAAAGAATGTTAGATGTTAAGACAAGATGCTAAGACAACTTTTTACTATAATCTTTACCATTTTAGCTGAATTGGTGTTTGATCTTTTGTTGATTATCCATGAATGAAAATGGATAATCAAAATTATCCACTCAATTTTCATTTTCAGATTCACTAGAGATAGTGCCACGCAGTGTATGCTCGTTCTTTTATTCGTCGATTTTCTCGGAATACTCTTGAGCATTCTCAGCTATCGGAAAGAGTTTCGATTTGAGCAGTAACTTTTGATTTGAGCAGTAACAATAACTTGCCTAATCTAGAACTATTCAAGTGAGTTACCGTTTTTAGAAAAACGTACGATATTCGAAAACGTTTCACCGCACTGGAGAGACGAGAAACGAACGGTCTTCTCTTACCTTTTTCCGTATTTCATGCAATCACTTATTTAGTTTATGAAATTTTATATTTATTATGTGAGTTCATCATATTCAATAGAAAGCGTCAGTAAATTTTAAAAAAATCTCTTTTTAGGTACCAGAGTTTTGATCAAATATGCGCCGATCGTTCAGTATCAAACTTTGTTCATCGCAATCAATGTGAGTTCATAAATTTGAAAGCAGCAACAATTTAACAACAATAACAACAACAATAACAACAACAACTACTACAGTTTGTTCCCTATTACACGGTGATGTCGAATATGGTTCTTGTGCTTTTGCTGAAACGATTATCTCGACAAAAGAAAGCCGATCTCGAGGCTCATCTCCGAACGTACAGAGATGAGCAAAAGATACACACAATCTACACGTTTGGCTGGTGAAAGGGAAATCACTTTATCGTTTATCACTTATCTTTTTTTTTTTTGTTTTGCAAGCCCAACAAAAGCTCGAATTTTTGCTTAGCAATTTGGATATATGTACACAAAAATTACACGTTTACATGTAAAACACACTTTTAAATTCCTCTATTTCACCACAAATCTTTCGACTTTTTGTTTCTATAAATTTGTTTTGATATTAAGAGCTGAAACGAGTTTTGCAGATCCCGGAACTGGGAGAATTTTTGTACTACTCGGCTAGGGTTGTTAAAGTAATTTTTAAAAATGTTATGGTTCTTTAATTCTATGTAAAATTACGCGTAGTCGGTACGAGTTGCTTAAATGTGTTGATGAAAAACTAATTCATACCTAGATATTTCGATACCTTAGATATTATCAGAATCGTTTTCGATGGAAAACCCAGCCTTCCTCAACACACACAACTATTCATTCAACAATTCATAAGAATCCCCCACAACGAATACGTATTCCTCGTTGCTCCCTCCCAAAAGATAATACCATAGCTTTCCTTATTGTTTTGAGGTTTTGAGGTTTTGAGAGGTTTTGAGACGGCTCAGGTAAAACTTGTTGTCATCTTGGGGAGAGGTCTGATGCGTTACGAACCCTGTTCAAAGGACATTCTTTTTTATGGGCGGTGAAATAAATAGTTGTTTATAAAATCGATTGCCACGTAGAATTGCCAAACATAAAATCGATTGCCACACAAAAGATAATACCATAGCTTTCCTTATTGAACATTCCCATTCAAGCGGTATCCATTAAAAAATAGCAGGTCCACCTTTTTTGTAAACGATTTATGAAGCAATGTGTTGAAATCTGTTGTGTGACTCACAATGTTATCCAATTACTGGTCAACTCGTGCATGAGCCATTTCTGAGCCATTTCTGATGATGAGGCTCATCATCAGAAACCCTGAAGCAATGGTTAGCTAAACAGTGTTTCAAAGGATTTTGGTTAAAGGGATGTACTCAATTAACTCTAATTATTTTAACCAAAATTATTTGATTCTAATGTCACTAGCATGGATCATTCGTGGATTTTATGTGCGTGTAAAGTCTGCGTAGAAACCCAGTAGTCGGTCTAAATTTTCGCAAGGATTAAAACCCACTTTTGCCAATAACCAATTGTTTTGTTGTAGAAAAAAGTAGAAAAGATTTATCAATCTTTCCATTTGGGAAAACTCGATGATTCTGAGCTGAGTCAAACAATAGGAAGTGACGGTTGAATAGTTGTCTGACAAAAAGTGAGACAATTGACTTTAAAGTGGCTAATTCCTTTGGATTTTACATAAGTCAGAAAATGATTGTGCTTTTTCCACCAAGATTACCACAATCAAATCCCTTTTTCTCAATAACCAGTATTTTCATTTTCATTTTTTTTTACAAACGCCTACAAAAAAAAGTGAGCACTGTGTGGCAATCGATTTTATAAACAACTATTTATTTCACTGCCCATAAAAAAGAATGTCCGTTGAACAGGGTTCATAACGCATCAGACCTCCGCCCAAGATGAAAACAAGTTTTACCTGTACCGTCTCAAAACCTCTTGTCCTCTTGGGGGGAGGTCTTCTGCGCTATAAATCTTGTTGTTGTAGTTTGGTGATTTGTTGTGATTTTTGTGATTCGCAAACTATTATTTATTAAAATAAAAAGTTTAAATAAAAGAGCGAAAAGTAAGAATCATGAAAAATTAGTCATATCAAAAATCTAAATAAAAAATCTAAATAAAAAATCTAAATCAAAAATCTAAAAACATCAAAAGTTTGAATAGAATTTGGAATGAAAGAAAAAAGAAATCCGGGAATGTTTATCACAGTTATCAAAAACAAATAACAAACTTTGTGCACGTGAAATTGGATGAACACTCAAGCCAAGCCAGCTTCCCTTTTTGGTTCTCCACTTCTCCACTTACGATACGATTTCATAATGTCAACTTTACGATAGAAATAATAGAGAACACCCGCTAAGAAGACTAATCCAAAAATGACAGAGATCAGAATGTAAATATTGAAATTTGATAATACTGGAGTGACATCCCTTGCCCGAACATGAGCTGTCTCGTAGCCGATACAATCACAAACAAGCACCTCCTGCTCAGCGATCATTTTCTTGCCGGCACTCACGGAGTATTTGAATTTCTGAAAATAGGGAGATTGGATGGCTCTATGCAACGTGAAATCTTTTTTTTACACAGGGTACCGAAAGTGGATGGGCCATAGTTGTGGGGGTTAGTAAGGTCGAATGCTGTGACTGGGACATAAAGATTGATATTGACAATGATGTGATTGTCAGCCAGAAAACCACATCATTATCAATTTGACGATGGGTAAACAAACTATTTCCCTTGTACAAACCTGTGTATGTTGTCGATGCACGTCTCTGTGACTGATTTGTGTTTGACTCTTCGCCTCCTCACTTCCACTTCCGAATTCCCGGGCATAGTCGAGACCGACCTTCACCACTTGAGGTACTTCAACTCCATAATGATCGCTAACAGTGTGCTGGCTGTGAGAAGATTTCCTTTGCTCCGTCATCTTCTCCACTGCTTTCCCGTCTGTCATTCCGATATTGATTTCAAAGACGAACTCTCCTGCTTCCTCCATTTCTTGATTGTCATGAGTGCCCACCCGGTGCCATTTCAATTTGCAAGTCTCTTTTCTGTGGAGACAAGTCCCATTTCGTAGCCAAACTGGGCCGGTCACATTCATTGTGTTTTTTGGAGAGATGGCCTTGCTGATCTCGAGGATCTCATCATTTCTCGAACGCATTGATGGAACCAACCAGATTCCCATTCCACATTGATAAACCTAAACGATAGAGAGATTTTAGGTTTGATAATAGGTCTGCCTTACAGTTAGTACCATCAATGATTGGATTTGATATGTCTAAAATAATGAACAGCTTGATACCGCTAACAATATGCTTGCAACTATAGTATTTGATCAAAGCAAATGTGGTCAAGGTCCCCTAGTCAAGATTAAATGTAGACATGAAGGCTAGTCCTTCTCTCCACAATTTTAAAACCTCCAAGCTCAAGCTAATTGAGCTGCTGATCTGATTTTATTGGTAAACCTGGTTCACTTTTTAGGTTATCTTTTTAGGTTCATTGTTTCTCCAATACATACCTTTGTGACGGTTTTCTGATGATCAGCCAACAAATGCACGAGTTGATCAGTAATTGGATAACATTGTGAGTCACTGCGAGGATACACGGGAAAGATGAGCACTTCAGTAAAATTTGGAGGGGATTTGGGAGGCGTCCGCATCATGAGATAAAACGAATGAACCGATTGACCGCCCAAACCTTTCACTTCGGCCTCTTCTTTGGTGATCTCAGTATAGAAACTCTTGTGATAGTTAGCCTTGTAAATCGTAAATCCCGTATGATTTAGATTTAACCATTCGAGACTTGGCAAATTGGTAAAAATGCCCATTTCCCAGTTTACAGGAGTCTCGTTGTCTATTGATGAGTCATATCTAGCAGCAATACAGTTTGAAATTAAAAGACTGATTATTAACAAATAATGCATCGGTTAGAAAGGTATGGCTCTTTGTTCAGAAATGTTCAGTTTATAGCTGGCGATTCTATTTTCTTTTGCAATTCTACTTTCTTAGCAACATCTGTTTCCTCTTTTGCAACCTTATTGCCTTAAAGGGGGGGTATTAATCGCGGCCGGGTGACGATAAAAATTTTTTTACGGCAACCACCTGTTTTTTTATTTTAATATCGCTGATTTTATTATAAAAAGAATAAAAATCACCCGGCTAGAGTGATTTGATGGGTTTACAAATTTTTGGAGACGCTGCAAGGCTTGGAGGAAAACAAGATCGTCACTCATCAGCACCTCAGCACAGTCTAGATCGATTGAGTTTTAGTTGCAGATAAATTTAAAAACAAAATAAAAAGCACAAAAAGTAATAAAAATAAATTGTTAATCTATAATTCTTCCTCTTGCTCACTTTCATCTTCGCTCAAGTACAGCAGTTCGGCTCAAGTACAGCAGTACAAATCGGCTTCCTATCTTATCAATTTCCAGCGCATCTTCACCAAAAGTGACTGGAGCTCCTCCATCGTAGGACGTCTTCAGCGCTTTGATTGACACAATTAGATCTTTTTTCATTTGTGGTCGCTTATGGTTTTAGTTTTCTCAAATAGGTGCCTTTTAGCTGAGGTGTCTGATGAGTGACGATCTTGTTTTTCTCCAAGCCTTGCAGTGTCTCCAAAAATTTGTAAACCCATCAAATCACTCTAGCCGGGTGATTTTTATTCTTTTTATAATAAAATCAGCGATATTAAAACAAAAAAACAGGTGGTTGCCGTAAAAAATTTTTTATCGTCACCCGGCCGCGATTAATACCCCCCCTTTAAAGTCAACCTGGAAATACGATTAAAGTTGTGCAATTTAAATCAAATCCTCTTTTTGATTTCCGCTTTTATGAGATCAATTGAGAGTGACTAATTTGTTGAAAAAAGTACCAATTGACGTAAGCGATCAGTGCTTCTTGGTCTTGGTTGTTTCTGGATCTTTATGGCAGTGAATCACAATTTTCGCAATGACAAGGCAAAAAAAAAGGCGTTTTCTATAGGATTTTTACGTTGGAATAGCCAATTGACGCAGAAAAATGTGCTGAATCCGAAAATAAAAGTGGTTTTGAAATCCCTTTGACAAATTTGTTTAAAATCGATTTTTAGTGATTTTACCGTGTTAAATTTCAGCCATATTTTCTCGTCGGAGCAAAATTTTGAAAACAAAAGCCTAAAACGAAAATGTAAATTTCTCTTTTCTCTCGGGTTTTCTCTATCTTTTGATACGAAAAAAAATGTTTCACGGTTCATTTTTTTGATCTTTGAAAAGCATTTTTTTTGTAGACAAGAAGGCTAGTCCTTTTCTCCACAATTTTAAAACCTGATCTTTTGGGAGAGAGCAACGAGGAATACGTATTCGTTGTGGGAGATTCTTATGAATTGTTGAATGAATAGTTGTATGTGTTGAGAAAGTATGCGGTGGGTTTTCTTCTAAAACTATTCTTGTAATATCTAAGGTATCGAAATATCTAGGTATGAATTAGTTTTTCATCAACACATTTAAGCAACTCGTACCGATTACGCGTAATTTTACATAGAATTAAAGAACCGTAACATTTTTAAAAATTACTTTAACAACCCTAGCGGAGCAGTAAAAAAATGCTCCCAGTTCCGGGATCTGCAAAACTCGTTTCCGGCGCACGTCGCTATCGCTCCGAGTAGGACAAAACACGGGCAAGCCCCACGGGGGCTGTGGCCCCGCAGTTATTTGAGTTAATTGTTTGAGTCAAAGTTATTTGAGGCAATCGGAATTTTCAAAAGAAATGAACCTCTCCTTTTAATGGATACGGCTTTTAACAATCAGAGTTTACATTTCTAACCGTAGAGAGTATTTTAGTCTCATTTAAGATTTAACTTCAGCTTTTAAAATCTTGAAAATATGGTTAATTTTTGAGAATACCCTCTTTCCTAGGGCCGCCTTTTTGAGAGTCTCTTATTTTCAAGCTCTTAATATCAAAACAAATTTATATCGGGTTGATGGAAAAGTCCTTTCGGATTTTTTGGGAGAGTACCTTAAATTTGTCGAATTTTGACGTTTTATAGCTCATCCTAAAGCTGAATTCAAGACGGATCGATTGGTAAAAACCGTTTTGAGATATCTCTTTTCTAAAAGTTTTTACAGCTATTTTAGTAAAGGGCGGCAGAGCGAAAAAATGGCTGTTTTCACGTTTCGTTAGTTTTCCGTGCAGAAACCTAGGCTAAAAACATGTGTTTCGTGATCAGCGTCAAAAATAACCCCTAGACACGCATTTTCAGAATCTTCGCAAAAAATTTTTGAAAAATATTGTTACGGGTGGAAGTCGAACCCTCAGATCAATAGCCCTTCGGTCGCTTTTCGCAATTTTCCTTCGTTTTTCTCGTTTTTCTCAATAGAAACAAAAAGTAGAAAGATTTGTGGTGAAATAGAGGAATTTAAAAGTGTTTTACATGTGTAAACGTGTAATTTTTGTTTATATATCCAAATTGCTAAGCAACCATTCGAGCTTTTGTTGGGCTTGCAAAAAAAAAATAATTATATGGAAAAATGTATTTCCCTTTCACCAGTCAAACGTGTAGATTGTGTGTATCTTTTGCTCATCTCTGTACGTTCGCAGATGAGCCTCGAGACCTCGCGAGTAACGTTTCAGCAAAAGCACAAAACCATATCACCGGGAACAAACTGTAGTTGTTGTTGTTGTTGTTGTTGTTGTTGTTGTTGTTGTTGTTGTTGTTGTTGTTGTTGTTGTTGTGAAATTGTGGTTGCTTTCAAATTTATGAACTCACATTGATTGCGATGAACATTGCGTTTCTCGTCTCTCCAGTGAGGTTTCATCTCCAAATCGGACATAAATTACGCGTCATTTATTTAGGATGGATAATTTTCTCTTTCGAAGTTCTTATCAATACGTGTGCTTTGTGATCTTTTCTTTTTTGTGGAAAGACGTTCGATTAAAAATCAAATTCCTAATCTTTCGATCTTGCGAAATCGGCTTTCTTTCTCTTTCTGCTTTTCTTTTTGAACAAATGCGTATATCGAAAGGAGATAGAGAAACGAGAAGGGTGAACCAATTGAATGGCTCGAAAGTTAACGACTCGAAATGGAAGTTAGCAACTTATTCGCCTCAATCAAACTCTTTCAAAAGATTTTTCTCTTAATTTTCGACTTTTTCCATTTTCTATTGTCAGTTCACATTAACATTTGAAGATTTTTGCATGTCCACTAACCTGATTCTAATATCATTGATTGTCACAATGTTGCACATTCTCAAGATATCATTGATTGTCATAATGTACACCTTTTTGCATACTGCTTTCATCTGCCACCGTTATTTGAAAGCTCGATTTCTACAAACATATTTTCCAAATGTTTTTAACAAAAAACCTTTCCAGTTTTAGAACTCTCGCTTTTTGAAAGAAAGCGGAGAAGAAAGAAAGCTGAGAAAGAGAAAATGACGGGAGATAAGCTCGAGTCATCCGCCAGAGGCAAAGTAGCCGTTGTCACAGGCGCCAACACAGGAATCGGCCTGGAGATCGTTCGCGAGCTCAATCTGCGCAATGCCAAAGTGAGCAGTTGATGAAGATGAATAGATTTGATTCTTGAGGACTTTCTTCACTTCCAATGAATTAATGAATTAGTAGTCCTTGTGTTTAATTCTTTATTTCAGGTTTACATGCTGTGCCGAGACGAGAAACGTGGACAGGAGGCGAAGACGGTGCTTGTCGGGGTGGGGTTTTAATCAACCCTTGACTACCAATTGAACTTTGACAGAACATTTATGAATATGTACATAGATGGGCTGCGATGCTAGTCGGCTTCTAATAGAGCGATGTGATCTCTCAAGTTTCGAGTCGATTCGAAACTGTGTTAGAACCCTCATGGACTGTGAGTTTTTCAGTTTAACTGGGAACCTATGAAGTCGAACGAAATACAGATGAAAAGACAATCGACATCCTTGTCAACAATGCCGGTATCATGTGCTACCCGAAATACGAGATGACGATTGATGGACATGAGATGCATTGGCAGAGCAATTACTTGGGTGAGAGCTGAGCTGAGCTGAGCTGAGCCCAATGAATTAATCGGATCGAATTGGGTATTCAAACTAACAATTTGGTTAAAACAGTTAAAGCTAAGCCTAAACAAAGAAAGAAACCAAGAATTTAAATCAAAAAGTACATAAATCGAGAAAATTCTGTTTCAGGTCATTTCCTTTTGACCGAGTCATTGCTACCGGCAATGAAAACTTCGACTGCGGCTCGGATTGTTAACCTTTCGTCAGCACTGCACATGAAATCGGATAGGATCGATTTGTCGCAAATTGACGAGAAAAAGCAATTCGGTCTCTTCAAGCCCTACTATCGATCCAAACTCGCCAATGTGAATATGCGTAATATTATGATATCTCTTTGACTCGAAAAGCTACGAACCACTTTGCACTTTGCGGAGACTCAACTTGAGTAGTGCTTGAGTAGTGCTTGCTTGAGTAGTGCTTGTTTGAGTAGTGCTTTGAAATCTCTTTCATCAAGTTATAATCCCTTATCAAAAGTATGTACTCCAAAAGACAGGCTTCTAGGTGATGCACGCTCGAGCCCTAACGCAGCGTTTTCGCGAAGACGGCACAAATAATGTGACGATCAACAGCTGCCATCCCGGTTTGATAGAGATTTAAATCTATTTCGTCGACATATTATTCATTTTTTTGCAGAATAAATGAAAATGAATGAAGAATTTTTGTTGTTTGTAAGAAAGAAACAAAAAAAACTCATAAAGTCGTTCTTGCAAAAATAGCTTTCAGGCGTTGTCAACACGGAGCTGAGCCGCCGTTTCGTTATCGCCAGATACATCGCTCGACCTTTCATGTGAGTCGAGCTCGACCTTTAAATCGAAACTTTACTAAACAATTCAAAAGTCTATAGACTCAATTTCATTCCTTACAGGTGGCTATTCGCAAAAACGCCTCGCGAAGGCGCACAGACGGCTCTCTACTTGGCTTTATCGAAGAATGTCTACGGTATCAGTGGAAAGTATTTCAGGTTTATTCTGGAGATATGATTCATTTTCAAAATAATATCCCATTAGTCAACAATCTACTTTAGCGACAGTGCCATCGCTTCGGAGAATCCATTGGCGTTGGATGATGATGCGTGTCAAGACCTTTACAACTACAGCCTCGAAAAGTGTCTGCTGCAAAAGTAAACAAAAAAAAAGCAACGATAAATACATTTAAACCTGAATCATATCTTTTCGAAGAACAAAAAATTATTGACAAAATGTTGACTTGACGATTTTCAAGGTTTCTTGACTTCGATTGCCCCAAATTCTGTACAGCTCTTCTATTTTATTATTCCTAAACTATTATTCTTTTTCAGTGAATTGAAAGTGCTCATTCAACTTCTGCAGCTTTTTCTTTTTAGATTATTAAGTGAAAAGAAGGCAATTCCAGATTTGATCCTGATTATTCAGTGACCTGAAAATTGATTTTATTCTTTTCTTACTTTAATCTATTTCAAAAAGATCTCAAAAATATTCACTTAAACTTGATAAAACATTTTGATAAAAGTTTTGCTGAATTGCTAACTTTGCTGGACTTTTTTTCATTTTTCAACAACACAAACCCTTTTTGCAAAACATTCTATTGTTTATAGCTAAATTCTTTAAAAAAAAACTAACAAAATTAGATCTTCAATTATTCAATCTCCATTTGCTATTTTCAAGAGTGTCAACGGGATCAGTATTTCAGGTTTGTTATGGGGAAAATGATTCATTCATCAAGGATTCATTTTCAAAATAATATCCCATTAGTCAACAATCTGCTTTAGCGACAGTGCCATCGCTTCGGAGAATCCATTGGCGTTGGATGATGATGCGTGTCAAGACCTTTACAACTACAGCCTCGAAAAGTGTCTTTTGCAAAAGTAAACGAAAGAAAAGCAATGATAAATACATTTAAACTTGAAACATATCTTTTCGAAGAACAAAAAATTGTTGACAAAATGCAATACTTGACGATTTTCAAGGTTCCTTGACTTCGATTGCCCCAAATTCTGTACAGCTCTTCTATTTTATTATTCCTAAACTATTATTCTTTTTCAGTGAATTGAAAATTGATTTTATTTTATTGTTTTATTGTTTCCTTGCTTTAATCTATTTCAAAAAGATCTCAAAATGATTCACTTAAACTTGAAAAAACATTTTTGATGAACTCAAACTATTTTTTTAATGATTACTTGCATTCTTTTTTATTGAAGTTTTATTGAAAAGCCAAAATCACCAAAAGAGAGAGCGAAAAGAGCCTTTTTCTGCTCTTATCTCTCAATTTCTTTCGCAAGTTTTGTTGGATTGCTAACTTTTTCTCATTTTTCAACAACACAAACCCTTTTTGCGAAACATGTTCGCTTCTTCGCATGACCCCGACGAGTTAACTGTCGATTTGGGAATCTATTGCGAGGGTGATGACGACGAATCATATCAACACCCCGAAAGAATGTACTATATTTTTGAGATCAAAATCTCATATGAACAACCGGAAGATCTGATTGAGGCCACTTTCAACACAATCAATCAACAACCGCATTTCTGCTGCAAAGTTGGCAATCAAGTGTTTGACGGATTGTCGGAAAAACAATTCAAGAATCTTTTCAAAGGTATTGTTTGAAATTTTAATTGAAATTTTTTCAATTTTATGCTAAATCTTTGTTTATCTGTAGAAAGTAGCTGTAGGATCTGTAGAAAGTAGCTGTAGGATCTGTAGAAAGTAGGCTGTAGGATCGTGTGTTCCTCACGAGTAAAAGTAAAAGAGTTTTTTTAGTAAAAGACTTTTTAAAACGCACAATTGGGAAAAAATTACCGTACTTTTAGCAAAAAATGACGCAAAAAATGACGCAAAAATGACGATATACGACACTTTTTATATACGACATTATATACGATATATACGACACTTTTTAAAGATACTCAGCCGTTTAACTGATTTGGTGGGAAATTTCCGTCCAATGTAAAAATGATTTTTTTTCGAAAAACCTGCGCAAAAAATTGCTTTTATATTTTTTTCGTGCAGGCGCACTTTTTAGAAAACGCATTACTCGACAATTACTCGAGCTATTACTCGAGCTATTCCTCGAGCTATTCCTCGAGCTAGTACTCGAGCTATTCCTCGAACTATTCCTCGAGCTATTCCTCGAGCTATTCCTCGAGCTAGTACTCGAGCTATTCCTCGAACTATTCCTCGAGCTATTCCTCGAGCTATTCCTCGAGCTAGTACTCGAGCTATTCCTCGAACTATTCCTCGAGCTATTCCTCGAGCTATTCCTCGAGCTATTCCTCGAGCTATTACTCGAGCTATTACTCGAGCTATTACTCGAGCTATTACTCGAGCTATTACTCGAGCTATTACTCGAGCTATTACTCGAGCTATTACTCGAGCTATTACTCGAGCTATTACTCGAGCTATTACTCGAGCTATTACTCGAGCTATTACTCGAGTAATTACTTACTCGCGAGGAACATACTCTAGTAGAAAGAGTGAAATGCTTAAGCTGACTTGTTTCTTTTTCCGAACGCTTACAATTCAGTAACAAATAAGATTTTTAAAAAGAAATTCTTTTTTAGAAATAAACACTTGTCGAAAGTTGAATATTTTGTTTTCGACACGAACCACCGGCTTGAGAGAACGAATTCACATCGAACGTTTTCCATTTCAACTCGAGTCGATTGAAGAGCTCGACATCGGCTCCGAATTCACCAAAATCCAACAATTCTATCCGATTTTTGCTCTTTTTAGTCAAATGACAGTAAAGAAGGAACTCAGTCTTCAACTCAAGTCCGGTTTTAGTCAAACGACAACTGCGAGAAATGGGCTGGATTTTGTGGAACGGGTTAGGCTTCAAAAAAAAAAAAAGATTTAACATCATTTAACGCCATTTCTTCATTTGAAAACATGATGAAAACATTTTTAGATTAGTCCAATGATTACGAATTGTGAACGTGTGACTGTTTACGGTGAATGCAATCACGATCCGATTTTCGATCAAGCTTGTCAACAAGCACAAGTTCGTGAGATCGTTCGTCGATAAACCAAAAAGTTTTTACTGGTGAAGAATAAATTGCTTTCAAATGAAAAATTGTAGTCAATATCTTGCACATTTTCTCACAAACCGAAACACAAACCCCAAAATTCTCTTGATTTATTTTAAAGTTTCGATTGTATCTCTAAGGAGAAAAAGCTGTAATCTTCAATTTAGCTGATAAGTTTTTCAAGCTGAATTTACGCTCAATGTAAACTCAATGTACGCTGAGCTTTCCGCTGAGCTTTCCGCTGAGCTTTCCGCTGAACGCTCCAAGCGGTCAAGTATTGCATGACAAAAAAAGCGCTGACAATTAAATTGCTGACACTCTGTACATTAGAATGGTGCAAAAAATACTGAAAGCTTTTCTTGAAATATTTGTCACTTTGCAGAGAAAAGAAATGCAAAATTTGAAAGCTAGCGTCTTTTATAAGATGATTGTTCCAGTGGTATGGCCATGAAATGGTTCTCAAAGAAATCTGTTCAATGGGAATCCTCTCTGGAACGGCGCAGTAAACAGTCAAAAAAGTTGTGGAAAATCTTTGAAATTCTCAAATCAGTTATTGATTTGTGTTTTAATTTCTATTCTAATATCACTTCAGATGGAAATTCAAGAGCCAACCGTCGAAATCTCGAGGTTTGAGTCGTATTATTCGATTCGGCTTTATTCGATTACACAATCAGTTTTCAATTTAACCTATTCCTAAATTCTTTATTTCGTTTACACAGCTCGTTTCTTTATTTGAAAAAATAAAGACGAAATGTCACTAACGCTCTGTAAAGAAATCGAAATACAAAAGCTTGTTACTTGAAATTTTTTCGTTATAATGAAAAGCACGAAAACTTCTCAGTAAAAAAAATGATTGATGTAATCGAAATTTCATGTAAACTCATTTAGAAAAGTTCATGATCTCGACAAAACGAACAAGATGCGATTCTTTATTCTTCTCGGTCTCTTGCTCGTTTTCCTCCTTGGGCTCATTTTGTGTTTGATTCTGTTAGTGTCTCGTGAAAAGAAAGCATCGAATCAAGGGGTTTCAGACTGTTTATCTTTCATCGAGACACCGTTGATTTAAATGGCAGACTGGCTACAAAAGTTGATGAAATGTTTCTTTTTTGATTTAAATTTTGATATTGTTAAAACAATTTTGATATTTTTCAAACAATTTCAGAAATACGACCCTCAAAAACTATACTCGACGCCCGTGTGAGCCGCATTGGAAACAAATGGGCGACTTCTGCTATTATGTAGGCAGTGGAAATGGGAAAATTTCAATTCGAACCTAATTCCATTTTCATTCTCTTCGCCGACTGCTCTGAGATTTTCTCTACAGATAGAAATCGATATTTTCAGCTTGTAGATAAAATTTCAGAGTAATCGGTCAAGAAACGACCGAGCTATAGCCATGCTATGAGGTACAAATACAAAAATTGACAGCTTAACAATTTTTGACTTGTACATACCTTTAATTTCTAACAATTTGGTATCATTTGATAGAAAGTTGATTCTCATATTGAATGCAAATAAAATCCGAGCATTTTTGGATAAAGATATAAAGATATAGATATTTTGGATAAAGATTTGCAAAGATAAAAGCAAAATATTGAGCTCAATGTAGTCGGTAATTTAGCGGCTCAATCAGCCTGGGAACAGACGAAGGACAAAGCGTATGATAAGGTCCGAATAGCCGAAAAGAGTAGAGAGATTCATAAGCTTTCAAGCTAAGTTTGGTTCTACGATTAGCTGGATATTTTTCGAGGTAAGATACTGTAAAAACTAGGAAACCGGTACTATCGTCAAAATTCACACATAGAATTGTCGAACTTTACTAGTGTCGAACTTAAAGTCTAAAATAACTTAAACATGATCGCAAACTGATCGCAAACTGATCGCAAACTGATCGCAAACTGATCGTAAACTTATTTTAAAGGTTTCCTGGTCCGAAGTCTTGCACACAAACGCCGAATCGGAGTGCAAAAAGATGAACAGCCATCTCGCATCAATCCACAACGACGACGAGAATCATTTCATTTACAGTTTTGTGTACAATGAGAAAGAGAGTATAATCAAAGTTCAGTGCTGCTGAAAAAGTACGATTTGCTCGGGATCATTGGACTCGTGGTTGGTACAGGCTTAGCCCAAGACAAAATGGAGTCCAAGTCGAAAAGAAACCTTTCAGCGAACGAATGGATCAGGTGATCACAGTAATGGGACGTGGAAATGGACCGATGGAAGCGATACTCACTACTCGAATTGGAAATATTTCAGCCCTGAGCAGCTTGCGTTAAAAGACTGGGTGATGGTATGTGATTTCTACTGTAAAAATAGGTCAAATAGCTTGTTATCATATAGCTAGCTTCACACAAAATCACACAATGAGAAAAAAGAGATCTTAAATCTCAGCAAAATCAAATTTAGATGAATCTTAAATAGAACTTAAATAGATCTCTCTTAAATCTTGAAGATCTTAAATCCCAGCAAGATCAAATTTAGATAAATTCTGAAGACGGACGGTGGTCGAATTTCTCTCCCGAATTTCTGCATCCAATCTGCAAGAAACAGGCTTTTATCACAAAAAGTTTAACTTGAATATGGTCAATAAAAGATTCTAAGAAGGGAAAAAAGCTATATTTTTAACTTTAAAGTCACAAAGTAGCTCAAAAACATTTAAACACAAAAAGTAAAAGAATAGCTTGTTTTTCAACTACAAAATATGAAGATGAGTAAGATTTTGTGATGATTCGTTCAGGGGTTCCGGGGCATTCAAGAGGAATTCGAATCGATAACTTTTTGCAACAAAGCAAGCTCCCGTTCGTCACAATTTGTAGCGCTGCCAAAATTTTGCTCCCGCTCATCATATCGTGTTTCCACCGTTCACAAACAGTGTCACCAGGAAAAGTCAAATCTATTAGAAAGCGAAGAAAAGATCATATGGTCGCGTCCGTTTCCTTCCTATTTGCGTTGCTATTTTGCAATTATTCGCGTCGCATTTTCCGCCCTTTTCTCCCTTCCCAAAATTGTTTTTTTTGGTCTGCGGGTTGCTTTTGCCTTCTTTCTGGGGGGGACTTGGTTGTTTCTTTTGATGCGCATGCTGTTGTTGTAATGGGTATTGTTGCATTTTGGTTTTGTACTAATAAACAGTAAAATTATAAATTCAACTTACTTTCTGCTACCCTTCAGGTTTTAAATCCTGTTTAGATAACTGGTTTAACATTGTAGAGAGAGAGCTTACTAACATTTGTGTCGCCACCCACGAGTATTAATCTTGTGTTGGATACTGCGCCTTCTTTTTATGTTGTAAGCGCTTTGGGGGGAAACCCATTTAACCTTCTTTGTGCAATTCGGCTATTCTGAAGCAAAATCATCCTCGATGATAAGGTTAAAGCGGGTCGCACCCCAAACTACAGTGGTCCACAAATGTATTGTCCCATTGCCATCCAAAAGTTTCTTTCGTACGAAAATCTTGCAAAATAACGATATTCCCAAAAAGTGTAGGGTATTTTGCTTACCCATAATACTCTACTTTTCAGGATTATAAGATTTATCCGTATACATTGCAGAAAAATTAAAGTACAAAACAAAAACAATAAGTTACTTAAGAAATGGATGGATGCTTCACCAGGACAACGACCCGAAACACAAGTCGAGACTGATGATGGGACGGTTGGTGACACTTCAAAACGGTACCAGAGCTCGTCTGCCCGGATGGTTTGCGGAAAATCGTGTTAAATTGATCAATCCACCTCCCTACTCACCGGATCTCGATCCAATTGAACATTTGTGGTCATTTGTGAAGTCGCGCCTCAAGGGAAGGAAATTCGATTCGAATGGGTTCACATTCAACGTCTTTGGGCCACCATCCGCCCAAGTCTTTTAAAAAATCTCATGGATTCCATGCCGGATCGACTCAATGAAGCGATAAAAGCAAAAGGAGGACCAGGCAAATATTAATTTTTTGAAAAAATTGTTAATTCTTTGCAAATGGGACATTACTTTTGTGGAGCTATTTCTTAAGTAACTTATTGTTTTTGTTTTGTACTTTAATTTTTCTGCAATGTATACGGATAAATCTTATAATCCTGAAAAGTAGAGTATTATGGGTAAGCAAAATACCCTACACTTTTTGGGAATATCGTTATTTTGCAAGATTTTCGTACGAAAGAAACTTTTGGATGGCAATGGGAAAATACATTTGTGGACCACTGTATATATCAATAAACTAGTGCTATTAAAAATCAAATTTAGATGAATCTTAAATAGAACTTAAATAGATCTTAAATCTTGAAGATCTTAAATCCCAGCAAGATCAAATTTAGATGAATTCTGAAGACGGACGGTGGTCGAATTTCTCTCCCGAATTTCTGCATCCAATCTGCAAGAAACAGGCTTTTATCACAAAAAGTTTAACTTGAATATAAAGTTTTATTTGTCCAATTAAATGTCTTTGAATCAAAATTTTCGAATTTAAAAGATCAGCTGTTTTTTTTTACACCTGACACCTGACAATAAAAATTTTAAGTTGCGTACAAAGTTATTAGGTGTGTGAAAAAGTAATCCACGTTTTTTATTTTTATCTGATGACCAAATAAGACGCTGTCTTCTTGAAAACCCTCGTTCAACCTCTTCAGAAATAGGCCTTACAATAAATTGTGATGGGTCAACCGTAAGGAAACGCTTGAATGCCATGAATTTTATGAAAAAGTTGGACAAATGGATACCGCATGAACGATAACGCGCGATCACATGTCCCTTTACAGACTCGACAAAAAATCCAGAGTGTTGGATGGAAGGTTTTACCACATCCACCTTATAGTCCAGACCTTTCTCCATCTGATTATTATTTATTTTTGTCTCTGTCTAACTTTTGGCCAATAAACGGTTCAATTCCGAAGAAGATGTCAAAACCGAGGTTGATCTTTTCTTCGCCTCTACGGACCAAGATTTTTATTATCGTGGAGTGTCTTTATTTGTAGAACGTTGGCAAAAGGTTGTTCTTTTGAATGGTGATTACTTCATTGAATAAAAATTATTTTAACGAAACTTATGGTCTTTTATATTTAAACGTTAAAAACGTGGATTACTTTTTCACACACCTAATATATTTGTTTTATTTGTTATAGTTATATTTGTCCAATTAAATCCTTTGCTCAAAATTCTTTTAACTTTTTTTAACAACTATCTTTTAAAGTTGGGAAAATTGTGTTGAATGATTGGATCAAAATTTTTGAATTTAAAAGATCGGCTGTTTTTTTACAACTGACACCTCTACTAGGAAATGATCTGTGAAACTTTTGATAAACGATTTAGAATAGCAGCACAAGCTTATCACTTGAAATCTTGAAGATAAAGAAAAAGTGAAAAGGATTATCTTGGCAGTTATCTTTAAGTTGTTAGGATTATCTTGGCAGTTAAAAATTTCTCGAAATTTTCTCGAAACAAACATTCACTCAAAATGAAAGCTTTTCTGTGCTTGCAGCATTCATTTTTTGCTTCAAATTGGAGCTCAAAATGCAGTATAAGAACAATTACAGTTAGTTTTTCATACAGCAAGATTTCGGGAAGATCACAGATCTCTCAGGGTGAAAGATCGTCACGATCGGAAGATCACAGATCGGAAAATGTAGCTGACGATGAGATCTTGTGGGGGATTTGAGTGTTGAGCTTCTGCGAAAGCTTGGAAAACGTAAAATCGTCATCAACCCGGCTCGCCGCGGTGCACTACTATTAGAGAAAATACGGCATCTATGTTATGCACTCGATCTCCCTTGTTGCAGAGAGAGTTAACTCTAGGCTGTGTTGTAAAACTTTCCTTTTAAATAGATATTTTAATACTATAATATTAATTAACAAATAACAACAATAACAAACTTTAACCTTTACTTGATTTCGACTTTTTACAATCTCCAGCCTACTGGTACTGATGATACTTTTCAATTTAAGTTCACGGATATCAAGAGAACGAAATTTGTAGAGATAAGGAACCAAATTTAGAGAGAAAAGAACCAAATTTAGATAGATAAGGAACCAAATTTGTGGAGAAACTCCAAACTTGTGGAGTACAACTTTTTGTGCGCAAAGATCTGAGATCAATTCGATCAAAATTGGTTAGTCAAATGAAAATGAGTACATATCGATGATGCCTTTATGCATTTATAACCAAATGATTGAGAGAAAAATGATAGATTAGACCAACGATACATCGAATTTTTTCACAACAATCAGAAAAGTAAACGAAAAAATAGTCATCTAAAAGTAAATTTTGATTTTCAAATACCGTATTTACTCGAAAAGAAGACCGGCTTCGATTCTATAATCGATTCTGAGCGTCTCGAATAAGATTTACTTGTTTTGAACTTTTTACAAACTTCACTGTATTGGGACTGGTGATACTTTTCAGTTTAGGATTAGACCATCGATATCAAGAGTATAACATTTTGTGCGCAAAGATCTGAGATCTGAGACCAGTTCAATCAGCTCGTTCCACTTCAAGAACTGTTTCACGGTCGAAAACGTTCAAATTCTACAGACCAATCAATCAAAATCTCTTTTTTTAAGTAAGATTTAAAATTTGCCCTATTTTTCTTTTGTTCCACTCACTCGACTTCCTCTCGTATTTAATGGATAATCAGAGAGAAGTGCTGCGTAAAAGTACATTTTCTTGTTATCACAAAACTTTTTCTCTTTCGCCATATCGAAAAGAGCTTTCTTTTTAATGTTTTATAAAAGATTTTAAAGATTTAACATTTAATATTTAACATTTAACATCAGGAATGCGGCTGTCATTCCTCTTTCTGTTTTTCGGAATTTTCCTTATCCTTGTGACGGCTTCCGAGGATAATGAGACGAGTGAGGAAAGAAATGAGAAGTCGAATGAGGTTGACAATGATGCTTCAACGAGTATTGAAGGTGGAAACAGATCCTTTTATTTATCAATTCATCAATTCTTTGCTTGCTTAACGTTTAAAAAAGATAGAGTGGCTTGATTGATTTTGTGTCGAGGATCGAACCCCAGTTGATTAAAAAAAAATCACAGTGTCTAGCTAAAACTTAGCCAACCAGGCACATGTCTAGGAAACGGTAAACTTCGCTGATTGTCGGCGAAATTGGAAACATTTGTTATACAATACATTCTTCGTTTGTTAAAGCCTATTTTAGACGAAGAATACGACGAAGATGACGATGAAAGCAATCCTTTTTCATTTGATGAAGATGATGAGGATGAGGATAGAGAAGTCGACGAAATCGTTGACTCGAAACCGATTGATTACGAAGGAGATCCGATTGGAGAGGTTTGCTTTTGTTTTCAAATTTCCTCAAAATGTTATTTATAATAATTTCCCACTAAAAAACAAAGATTTAATTTTAGTGGGAGGACGAGGAGCCATTAGAACCATTGGATCTCGATTCAGAAGACGAGGAAGAGCTCGGTGATGACAAAGATGACTTTATCGAATTTCATAAAACGTATTTTCCATTTTACAACTTTTCTAGAATCTCTTAGAAACTGAAAACAGCCAGAAATAGCAGAAATTTCAGACTATCAAGTTGCTTTCAGATTTAAAGAGAACGTGAAAAAGGCCAACATGAAACAGACCGTCCAGAACTTCAAAATCAACAACAAAGAGCTCAAAGAGTTGCAAAATGAGAAGAAAAATTTCAAGATTGGCAAGAGTCCATTCATGTACATGTCACAGAAAGAGATTGATGGGGTGAGTCCTTTTTCAGTCAGTTTAAATGATCATTGCAATGCATCAGAGCTTGTGATGCATAGAGCTTGTGATGCACAAGAGCTTGTGATGCACAAGAGCTTGTGATGCACAAGCATTCATTCGTTCATTCATTCATTCATTCATTCATTCTTCATCAAATCCCATTTTCAGCTATTCGCTCCTGATTCAATGTTTGAGAATCGACCCAAACCGACGAAAATGCTCAAATCGGGATTGAAAATGATAAAGAACGAGCACAAGGTGTTGAAAGTTTACTTTCTCATTGCAAAAATATAATTTCAGCGATCAGCTAGAGGAGCAAGAAGACAGGTAACTTCCGGCTTTTTTTTGATTTTAGTAAGAAACTTATATTGTACAACTTTTAAGAGAAATTATAGAAATGATAGAAATTTCTAAACAAAGAGAAAGAAAGTGACCAAAGAAAGGTCACTTTTTGCTTGTTTATCCCAGTTTCCTGCTCATGATAAAGGCTCTAATCGTTGCTCTAATCGTTTTTCTCTAATCCAAACACTTTTTTCAATAACAGCCCCGACGACGCACCCGCAAAGTGAAACTTCCAAAAAATTTTGATTGGCGCACGAAAAATGTGCTTTCACCAATTCGCGATCAAGGCAGCTGTGGAAGTTGTTGGGCGTTCAGGTTTGGAGTTCTTTTTTGTTGATGTTTCTAGTGTTAAAGTTGGCTCAGATGAATTGATCAGATGAATTGATCAGTTGAATTGATCAGATGAATTGATCGGATGAATTGATCAGATGAATCAATTCATAAAATTCTAATAGTTTTCCATATGCATTTACATTTGCTTTAACTTTAAATCAAATCAAAAAGGTCAATCAGTTTAAATGGCACTGATTTAATCTGTTTAAAAGATGTTTGATGTTCAATTTGAAACACATCTAATCTGAAAAGCTGATCAGATCAGAAACCGATTCAAAGCTTTTCCAAGCTTTCAGTCTTTTAATCCTATCTTTGCAAGGTTTTATTCCAAGGTTTTTGATTTTATTCAATCGTTCAATCGTTTATTTGATGTTAAATGAAATTTCCTCTCAAATGGTGTATAGTTAGTTAGAATTGGAGCCATGGGCCCTAGCCGATAGGTTGAAAAGTTCAAAAATTAATCTTAATTTTAATGTTTTTGCTTTATAGTTTGCTTAGTCTAGCTCCAATTCGAAAAACAATCGATAGGAAATTTGATTGAACTTGATGAACTCGATAAACTCGATAAACTCGATCAACCCCGTGAAGTCGAATTTCTAGATTGCTAAAAGTTTCTACATACGCTATCCTTTAGCGCCACCGCTCCGATCGAAGCAGCTTATGCCCGAAAGTACAAAAAGAAGATCGACTTGTCGGAAGAGGTAAAGCCAAAAACGATTATGTGAAAATTTCTTCCAGCAATTGCAATGTGTATACAACGAGGGCACAATGTGCACGGGAGGGCATCCAGAAACAGCTTTGAAGTGAGACATTTTTGCTTACATTTGTTTACATTTATTTACATTTGTTTAAAAGCTAAAAATTTGAACTTTTTCTGCTTGGATTGGCCAACTTTTGATTCAAATTTGAGTAGTTTCGTTGATTGTTACTTGATAAAACAGGAATGCTGGTAAATCAGGATTTCCATTACTATCAGAATCCATTACAATCAGATTTTCATTACTATCAGAATCGTCAATTTCAAATCGACTCTATCAATAGCTCTATCAAAATCTACTTGAAAGTTGATGAAAAAGAATTGTCTGAATCAGATAATATTAAAGTAATTTTGAATTGAAAAAGAGTAACTCAAGTGATTTGAAGTTAAAGTCAAATTATTTCTCTATATTTCAGTTATTTACTGAACAGCAAAGGTCAAGCCACGGAGAAGTCGATCCCCTACAAAGGGTGCCGTAATTCGACGTGCAGGAGAAATGTTTGTGATTTAAAATTTGAATTTCAAGATTTACCAGATCTTTTGATTAATATAACAACCAGGAATAATCTACTTTTTTTTCAGATAAACGTTGCTGTACAGCTGGAAAGTTTCGCCGATTTGAAACCCTTTCAAATGGCCAAAGTCAAGCACGCCTTGATCAAGAATGGACCGATTTCTTTTGGTTTATTGAATAACATTGTTTTAGTTGTTATTTGATCAAAATAGGAATGCATGTGAATCAGGATTTCCATTACTATGAGAGTGGGATTTTCGATGCACCGTGTACATCAGCGAACAAAGGAGGCCATGCGATGACGATCGTTGGATACGGTAATTGAGAGAAAGCACACTTTTTTAGGCTTGGATTAATATCCAATCCTTGACTGATGAATCTTTGACTTTAAAGTGATTTCAGGTGAAGAAAATGGGACTCCTTATTGGATTGTTCGGAATCAATGGGGAACAAATTGGGGAGAAAAGGGATACATGCGGGTCAGTCTGTTAAAGCATTCGACTTCTGCTTTTTCGCAAACGACATTTGTTTATCCTAGAATGCAGATATTTTTTGTTTTTACAGTGGATTCATCTAAACTTTAGCAAACAAAAGTCGTTTGCGAAAACGAAGAAAGTACCGTCTACAAATTTGATTTTTGATTTATTGCAAGTGATCTACAAAGATGACGCAAATCGGTTTAGGCTGATACAACGCTGTTGAGGCTGATACAAAGCTGTTTAGGCTGATACAAAGCTGTTTAAGCTGACTGACACAAAGCTGTTTAAGCTGACACAAATCGGTTTAAGTTGATATAAAGCTCCTTAAGCTGACACCAAGCTGTTTAAGTTGACACAAGTTGTTTAAGCTGACTGACACAAAGCTGTTTAAGCTGACACAAAGCTCTTTAAGCTGACACAAAGCTCCTTAAGCTGACACAAAGCTCTTTAAGCTGACACAAAGTTAAGGTTAAATAAGTTAATTTCAAGCTGGTTTTATATTAAAATCATTTTCAGGTGATAGCTGGTGTGGACTTGTGCGGGATCGAGTCGAGATACATGTATCAAGTGGCGGTCAAATAAAGAAAGAAATCAGCAACGATCCTGAACTATAGCTTTTTTAGAAACGATTTACAATTGTATTTTTACGAAAATAAACTTTTTTGAAAGTTTTTTTCACGAAGATATTTATTTTAATGATAGGGGAAAGAGATTTCATAAAGCTAATGAATAGCAACAACTAGTAAAAGAACTAACTATTACTATTATTCATTCATCAAATAGGCCTTCAGATTGCCACTGATGGTTGTGTGCTTGATTTCGTATTCTGCGGTCCTCTCCTTTTTCGGCCCACCCCAATAGCCTTAGGAACCAGTTCCTGGGCCGACAAAAAGAATATTAAAAGAACTAGCTATTACTATTATTCATTCATCAAACAGGCCTTCAGATTGCCACTGATTCTTAGATAAGTTCTGTTGACTGTTTCCAATTCTTAAAGTTTTATTCTTTTGCAAAACAAAATAAATATTGGATTGGTGAATTGAAAATTGCCGGCTATTGTCATATGTGATAGTTTGAGCACTTTCTTCAAAAGAAACCCATTTTGGTGTCAATGGAAAAGTTGTAGAGAATCAAAAATTAAGCTTATAGCCAAATTTTCAGAACGATTCAAGAACTGCTTTTCAAGGAATGCCAAATTTACGAATTTTCACAAAACTTGCAAGTTTTAAGCGAAACTACTAAGTGTATCTTTTTGGAAATTTGGCTATAAGCCTAATTTTTGATTCTCTACAACTTTTCTCTTGACACCAAAATGGGTTTCATTTGAAGAAACTGGGACATCTCGACATCTCCAGTCCTCCATTTTTGAGTCTCACACTTGTCTCACACACAAACCAAAATCCTATTTAGATTTAGAGTCAGCTTACTTGGGCCGCTTAGCTTACAGCCCGATCCTCCCTTCTGATTACTATTTATTCCGGATCATGAGTGATGAGCTTGCGAGGGAACACTTCGATTCGGAAGAAGCAGTCAAAAATTGGTTTTGAAAGTTTTTCGATTCAAAACCAAAATCCTACCACGAAAGAGGAATCCGCAAATTGCCTGTAAAATGAGCAGAAGTCGTCAATAATAATAGAAATTATTTCGAATGAATTCATGGTTTTATGTTGAATAAATTTTAGTTCAAAGTCCGGCAGTTTTCAATTCACCAACCCAATAGGTGATTAGTTTCAATGATGTATTGCTGGAACAACATGAACCACATGAATTGGGTTGGTGAATTGAAAACTGCCGGACTTTGACGTCGCTTTAGTGGAATTTTGTGTGTGATCGTACCTGGAGGCTTTTATGTGAAACTTTTCTAACACTATATAACCTCAAAACTCTTTAAAGCTTTCATTGTAAATACACGATATGGCTGAGTGAAGAGAAGAAGCAAAGTCGAGGTGACCACTCCATGCAATGTCATGAGAACGGTGGCCGCGTTCAGATACGATTGCGGAATGGGAATATCTGTCGCAAAAAAACCTAACCGATTAGCAACCACGGGAAAACAAGGGAAATGAAGGGCAACATTATCTGTAATTGCAAGTCTTGCAACTGTCATTTTTGCAAGCGAAATTCAATGTCATTTTTGCGTTTCTGCAATGAAATGTGTAAAATTTTTAAAGCAATTTAAGCAATTTTGCAAAATTTTATTAGACATCGTTTGCCTTGAGATTCGAGAGGAATTTCTCGGCGAACTCTCGACCAGAAGTACTGTAACATAGTTATGAGATAGATTACGATAGTTTTATTTAGAAGAGTCTTTATTACGATAGATTACGATAGTTTATGATAGATTACGATAGTTAGAAGAGTCTTTATTACCGGACTGAAGCCTCAGATTAGTGGCCAAACAGACCAAGCTCTATTTACCGCAAAAACTAATAGAACAAAGCCCCATATAGGAGCGTCGTGTAGGCTAGAGTTTACTCTCAAACAAACGCTCATATCTCGATACCAGTATGCTTGTTTCTGCGCGCTTTGGTATCAAATTAAAGTAGAGAGAATGGGTGATTTTTTGAGATATCATAGATTGATTGAATTGATTGATTGAAACTGATTGAAAAGTGGCAGAAAGGCGGGGACTTTTTGTAACAATTCTGAGTTCTGACTGGTTTGGGGCGTTGTTTTGGGTTAATGAAAAGCTAGTCAAGCTTTAGACTAGTCTTTGGCTTGATTAGGCTGTCATGGAAGGCTGTAAAGGTGTAAGCCTGGGATTCTAGGGGTACTGTGCTTACCTAGAGTCCTGCACCACTTGTCTAAAAGCTACAGATATCTAGAAGTACAGTAGTCTGACTTTAAGTTGGCTTTTAGCTGATGTACACCTGGATACAAGCTACAGTAGTCCTGCAAGCTACAGTACTCTTAGAGACAAGCTACAGTACTCTACAAGCTGCAGTAGCAACCCCCCATATAGGAGCGTCGTGTAGGCTAGAGTTTACTCTCAAACAAACGCTCATATCTCGATACCAGTACGCTTGTTTCTGCGCGGTTTAGTATCAAATTAAAGTAGAGAGAATGGGTGATTTTTTGAGATATAACACATATTTTTAGAATTAACCAGCGCTTAGAAAAAATGATTGAAAAATAGCAAAAAAGAGAGCCGATAGTCTAGGAAATTGTTTGTTGTTTAAATGACTTACTACGTCCAAAAGAGAACGATATTTGTGTCGGGGAGTGCTTGTTTCGAGAGCAAATCTCGATACTCGTCATAGTCTCGACTTGTCTAAAAATTACGATATTAAAATGTATTTTGATTCCAGTAAGATTAAGTGTTGATCATCGCAGGTTTTTATTCGAAATTCAAAGTTGATTATTGGTTTTGTGTGATGCATTATGATTATTTGTTAACGTTTGGATAAGATGCACAATGTGTTCATTAAACGCTTCATTAACGGATTGAACTAACTAACTTACTTACTTACTTGACCTTCTTACTGACATGAAGAAAGATCTGCGTAATCTCGGGAATTACTTACTTGAACTTACTTACTGACTTGAGCTTACTGACATGAAGAGAGATCTGAGCAATCTCGGGAATTACTTACTTGAACAGAGATCTGCGTATTCTCGGGAATTTCTTCAATTCTTCCCTCGAATGCTGCAAATTTTTGCGTTTTTGGTTGAGCGAAAATGATTGCGTGATCGAGAGGGGAAATCGCTTGGATTAGCCCGTCACGGTAGTAGGAATCCCATCTGCAAATTTTGATAGATTTAATAACAAAACATGGTACAGTAATGTCTATAATATATTGGGATCGGATCCGAGCCTTAAGTCAACAGTTTTTGGACAGTGATTCAACTCAAAATGACAACTTTTATAGCCATCCAAAGTTAAGTTTTACATTGGCCAATTAAAACAGGAAATTCTCTATCGAATTATATAGAAAAATCCAAACAATAATAAGTTGCTTTCCATTAAAAAAAGATAAAGTAAGAAAGAGAAAAATATTTTCTTTACATATATGACCCGGATCCGTCCCTAGATTCGGATTTTTTCCAAATCAGATCTTCAGATTCAGATCTTTTTTTGAACCAGTCTCTGATTGAGATAAGTAAAGAGATAGACTGGATTGTAAGCTATCGCTTGATGGGTTATCTTAAATTAGACCCACTATAAGAACGGTTTGATGCTGGACTTTATTGGGAAGTGATATAGAATTTAGATATAGTAAGTTAAAATTATAAAAACCCTTACTTTAACTGATTGTGAGCGGGAATTCCGGCGACGATGCGCGATTGCGAGCCGAGCCGAGATCTGAACAATTCTTGCTACAATTCTTGCTACAATTCATAATAGAATAAGATTTCCTAAAGTATTTCATTCTATTTCTACAATATTACTTTAACATTAATATGCTGTATAGTATTTTTATCGATTCAAAGCTTTAAGCTCACCGAAGCGCTTTCAGTGTAGCGTGTATGGCGGCCGGATGGTAGGCGTAATCCATCCAAACCGATACACCGCTATTTGTAGAACCGAGCTAAATAGAAGAACTAAATATAAGAATTAAATATAAGAGCTAAATATAACAACTAAATATAAGAGCAAAATTTGCTTGAGGGATTCGTTGATAAAGCTTAAATCGTACCTTTGTCAAGCGATCCTTTGAGCCAATGAAGTGTGACAAAGCTTCGGCTGCTATTGATGGACTGGAAACTGATTTAAAATAGAATTAAATTTAAATGACAGTGCCTTAAATGTAAATTCAGATTAGATTTAGGTATTATTTAGATTTAGGTATGAAATTTTGATCAAATCTTTGTACTCACTTAACGCCAGCGTGATGAGCGGCTGCAGTGGCGGCCAGCGCGTTTAGAACCTGAATTTCTTTGCTTTCGATTTGCATATATAGAAATATTAAGTAAACGAGATAATCGAACTTTTTTGGAAAAAGTCGGTTGGAGAAAATGATGGCTGTTTTTAAGTAAGTAAGTAAGTTCAGTGGAAGGAAGTAAGTAAGTAAGCTCAATGGAAGTAAGTAAGTTCAGTGGAAGGAAGTAAGTTCAGTGGAAGGGAGTAAGTAAATAAGTACAAGTAAGTAAGTAAGTTCAAGTAAGTAAGTAAGTTTTTTGTTTTATTTTGTAAAATTCTTAAGATGTATCTTTGCCTTTTTCAAATTTTTCAATAAAAATTCGTTTTACTTTCGTTTTTATGTAAAATAAAGCCATAGATCTTCTATATTTTCAAGTAAAATTTACAACCAAATCCGTTCAGCCGTTTTTTCTGAATTTTCTTTTAAATAAAAGCCCTCAAATAAAGGATTTTGATCACTCGGAATAAATTGAAATTTGTAGAAAACGATTGAATGAATTTTACTACCAATTTTTGCTAAAAATGTAATAAAGATTGATCTTTCTTTAGCATAGAAAGTTAGTGTCAAATTCCCATCAAAAAAAAGCTCCCAACCGTCGATTCTTGCCAATTTTGCTTACTCGCTTTTGTGTTCCCGAAAGACCCCAAAAAAACGAAAGCTTTTCTAAATTGCTAACAACCATTTTGCAGAGAGAATCTAGATCTTTTCTAAATCTATCAAAATTTGCAGATGGGATTTCTACTACCGTGACGGGCTTATCCAAGCGATTTCCCCTCTCAATCACGCAATCATTTTCGCTCAACCAAAAACGAAAAACTTTGCAGCATTCGAGGGAAGAATTGAAGAAATTCCGAGTTTACGCAGAACTCTGTTCAAGTAAGTAATTCCCGAGATTGCTCAGATCTCTGTTCATGTCAGTAAGAAGGTCAAGTAAGTTAGTTAGTTAGTTAGTTAGTTAGTTCAAGTAAGTAAGCAAGTTCAAGTAAGTAAGCAAGCTCAAGTAAGTAAGTAAGTTCATGTCAGTAAGTAAGTTCAAGTAAGTCGTGTTTGTGAGGATCAAAATAGAAACAAAAAAAAAGAAAAACAGAAAAGTGCATTCAAAAGAAAAATGATTAAATTATTCAATGGAAAGTGATAGAGCTGAAAAATTGAGCTCAACATTAGGGAAAGTTAGTGAAAAATAGGAAAATTAGATAGAAAAATGAGATATGGTAATTTGGCGCAGAATAGAAAATGTCTCAAAAGACGATAAAGCTAATCATTTTTAAAATTATCATGTAAATTTCTGTATCAAAGTAAGTAAGTAAGTAAGTTCAGTGGAAGTAAGTTACTAAGTAAGGTCAGGAGAAGTAAGTACGTAAGTAAGTAGGTCCAGTGGAAGTAGGTAAGTAAGCAAGTTCAGTGGAAGTAAGTAAGTTCAAGTAAGTAAAATCAGTTAGTAAGCGTGCAAAGCGTACTTCATTTAGTGCATTTCAATCTTTGTAAAACGAATTTTTAATGAAAAAGTTCGGTTATTTAGTTGATTATTTAGTTGTTTATGTAGTCAATTATAAAGTTTTAAGCTTTAAACTCATGAAAATATCTTTCTCTTTACTTGATGCTCCCCGAAATTCTTCCAATCGACCACACCGAGCGCTTCGCCATTCAGCAATATTTCAAAAAGCGATCCATCTTCTTTCAAAAGTCGAGCTGTCCATCTAAATATTCGTGTTTTCGAAAAGTAAACAGTACTTTTCCATGGCAGCTATTTAACTGTATATCTTTTTTGCAAATCACTAACTTTCCTCCATCACCAAATGTCTCTTTTGGTGTGTGCACTCCTCTCTCCATCACTCGTTGCAAACTTGCCGAACTTTCTGGGTAAACCAATAGACCGTCTGAATTTGTAATTGAAAAAAAAAGGAATTTAAAATTTATTGAAAACACAATACCATTCGGGACAAATTGGGTAAGCGTGTGAAAAGCGCTTTCGAGAGCGTTCAAATTCGAGTAAACACTCGCGTGATCCATCTCCAAATTGTTCATGATCACCTAAAATTTTTTAATAAGCATTTACTATGAAAAATGTTTTAAAAATCACGGATTTTTAACCTCCAACAGATCTCACTCACCGTTTTTGGATGGTAGTGCCAAAATTTTGGGCCTGCATCGAAAAACGCTGTCTTGTATTCGTCAGCCTGGAAAAATCTTGCTTTATTGAGGAAAACTGGACGGGGATTTGGAAACAGGATTAAGAATTGCATATTTTGATAATAAAGAACACTGAAGAGTGGTTTTTTAATAAAAAAAAGTGAAGGAATTGATTAGAAAAAGTAGATTTCTGAAGCAGAGATTGAACCCTTGACCTTTTGCTTGACAATTCCTCTAACCACTGAGCTATTCGGTACCTTAATTTGCCAAAAGAAAGAAAAAAAGAAAGAAAGAAAGAAAGAAAGAAGACTTTTAAGATTTTCCTTAAAGAATACCTCAATGACAAAAAATTTCGACTTAGGATTGAAGTGGCAGAACTCGCCGAGGCTCTCGTTTAAGCCACCTGAAAGCTTTTTGATTTCAACTAAGTATCAGAATATACTGTAATCTCTATGCAAATAACAAACCAACGATAAATGATGGTTCAAAACCGGCATATCGAAGGATCCATGCCAACATTCCCGTAGTTGTCGTTTTCCCGTTTGTCCCCGACACAGCCAAAACCCAACGATCACTGAAATCTCAAGTTCAACCACTAGAATTGAGATTTCTTTTCAAAAATCTTTCATAATTTATTTATTTGAGTCGATTTTATTACTCAACTGGCTTAAATGCTTTTCTTCCTTTCGACGTCAAAAGAATGTCAAAAAAAATGAGTGTAAAGCAATATTCTTTGCGTGCTTGGCACTCTTCACTCAAGACACTTATTTCTTGTTTCGAGATATCTGATCTCACTTGAACTAAAAACACTTTATTCAATAGCCGACTGACTCGGAATCTTTGGGCTCTCACTTGAGCAACTTTCACACAAGATCGACAATTGAATTAAAAGTGACGATAAAAACAGAAACAATTTCGTCCTAATTAGGACACAACTTTCACACGATGAGAGGAAAGCAGTAAAAAAATGAAAGATAACAAAAAACAAATGAACAACAGTTGCCTTATATAGGCTTTAACACAAGATACTCAGCTAACAAGCTACAAAACAATAAATGATTTGGGGCGCGAAATAGAATAAAAGCGCACCGATTTCCTCAATACTTTTCCAATTTTTAGGCTGTCAGAGTTGGATAACTTTTAGTGACTATTCGCCACAATGAGCAATTGACTTTACTATTTGATTTTTACTAATAATTTTAAGAAAATATAACAAAATGATTGTTTACCCCTTTGAATTTCTTTTTTTTTTCAAAACTTTACCGAAGAAAGTATTCTCCAATAAAATGCGCGGCTGATATGTATGAAATTCGATTCCTCAATATGTACTCAACAATCTCATCGCCTCTTTTATGATTATTTCCAATAATCACCAAATCCGGTTTCGTTTCTTTGATTTGTTCAACGTGATAACCCTAAAAATAAAAATAAATCAAAAGTTAGAATTTTTAAGTTCAAATCTTCACCTCGATAATATCAATCGAGTGCTTTTGAAGGAGAGTGGAGACTGGCGGGATCGCTCTCCAATCACAACCAGTCACCGTATGACCTAAGGCTCTGAAAAGCAAGAAAAATCTGTCAGAGCACGACTTTATCACTTATCAATCATACTTTGAGCTTAAAAATAGAAACACAGCCTTTCTTGGGCCTGGAATTCTTCATCGGACAAGTTGAGCTCATCAGAGAAGTGATGAGAGAAAAAACAAGAGCTCAACGCGGCAGAAAGGATGGGTTTTCCAATTTTCCAAAGTTATCCGTATTTTGTATAGAAATGAAATGAAATCTAGAAAAATTTAGTCTCACTTTGCAATGATTGCAATCGATCCAGTCAAGCGGCCACATATCCCTAAAATGTGAATGCGTTTCGGAGAAGTTTCAGCGAAATTCAATGTCATACTGGAGTTTCTGGAATGAAATGTAAATGAATATAAAATTCTTAAAGCAATTTTGCAAAATTTTATACTCTTTAGCAAGTTTTTTCCACTCTTTATCTCTAAATAAAATGAAAAATGACCCGTTTTGAGGGAACTTTTCCCCTCATTTCTCTCAAAGTTTTTGTTGCGATTTGAGGAAAATTCTGTGGAACACTGATCCGATCTGAGGAAAACCCTCTGTGTTCGGAACTTATTTTGAGTCTTTCAAAGCATAAATCTCTCTCTTTTGATCATTTGAATAGAGCGAATCTTTACCAAGATCGCTATTTTCTAGAAAACAGATCATGATGAGCAAAACACATGTATAGCAAGAAAATTCTGTAGATATGAACCCATTAGAATTTTATTTACATGATTAATTTGTTACAAACAATGTACAAGTATATTGAAACCGTATTGGAACCGTATTGGATGAAAAAAAGAACCGTATTGGAACCGTATTGAAAAGCCGTATTGGAACCGTATTGGAACTAAATGTAGAACTAACTAAATGTAGGAAAGAAGAAAATATAGCCATATCTGAGTTCTAGTTTCTGAGTCGAGAGGTCAAGGGTTCAATCCTAGATTATTCGTTCTTTTTTTCCGTCTACAGGATTTTCAAAAAAAAGTCAGTTCAGCTCGATTGTTCTCAGAATTTCTAGTAGCTTCTGGTGGTTGTTGTGGTGCCAAAGTGAATATTTTAGGCGGGCAAATTCTTGATACTTTTTCACGATCTCATGACTCCCCAATACAGGAAATTTCTGAGCCACCATGGTCACCACCACCATGAGACTTTTGCCATAAAATGAAAACTTTCTACTGGCATCGTGGTGCAAAATAAACACTATTAGGATAGTTACAAATTTTAACCATACACTTTATTGATCAGCGTTTTCTTGGAAAAATGCTAATTGTTGGTTAGAGCATTAATTTGTTGCTTTAGGATTCTACCACGTGAGGTGGCAAGGTGACAATTGCGAAAATGAGAGCAATGCATGCGGTAAATGAAAAAAAGGTCAAAGGTAAAGGTATAGATATTTATGTTTTCGTTCGAGTAGATATTAGGTTGGGCAAAAAGTCTTTGGACATTTCATTTGAAAAGCTAAATAGAAATAACCAATTCACCGATTGACCTACGGTTTGCCCCGTTAGAAGACTTACTATTTTTCTAAAAAATAGCTTTCAAATTTTATGAAAATGTTTTGTCTCTGGTTTTTTTATGGTGGCGCGAGGGCGGATAGTCAAAAAAGACGACAACCCGAAGACGCAATTTAAACACTTTGGTCCAAAGAAACCTATTTTGCTATCAATAGATAAAAGATAGAGCTCAAAAAGTTAGGTGGATGACCCAATTTTCGCCAAAAACGAGGTTTTGCACTCGAATTTGCTTCGAAATGCACCTAAATTGTCTTAAAAAGATAGAAAAGTGAATAATAAATAGAACGGCTCATTCCCCCAATTTCCACATCTCGTTATTTAACTTCTTTTTCCGTTTTTTCATTATAAAACACCCAAAACGCTATGATTTGATGGGATTCTTCAATGGGGATTAGGACAAATCAAATCAAAACAAAATTTTATTCAATAGTAAGGGGGCATGGAATGGTAGCACAAATTGCTTTAAGAACATCCTGTTGATCAGTTGTATAACCCTGGCTTGCGATGTAAAGTCCATTTCTCGATACAGATGATTGTCTATCGGCGGAAGCATTGGAGAGAATCTTGTCAACTATCTTTGCAACTCGCTCAGCAGTGGATCGACGAAAGTAAGAGCGAACTTCATTGGAGATGGTGGAATTCTCGAAAATCCATTTCCACCGGTCGTGTCGAATACCGCGTCTGACAGAATCCGGCATCAGATTGAAAGAATGTTTTCTAAAATTTATGAAATTGAAAATTATATAGAATTTAAATCTAATTGCTAAGGCCTTAAAAGTTAAACTATAACAACTCAAATGTCAAATCTTTCATAGCTTCTAGAAAGAAGCATGACTTTAGTAGAACTTAGATATTTAGTTTATAATATTTGAAAAAGTAATCAGAAAATAATTTCACAAGCTTCTCAAACCAGTCGATAACACCAACATGGGCTCGTTCGTCAAGATATGTTTTGAAATTTACCTGCACATAAAGTTTCCTGCTTCTTTTTTGGCTCCAATCAGTTGAACAACGGCGTAGAAAATTTGCTGCGATTGCTCGAACTTTTCCTAAAACAAGGAGTCTGAAAGTCAAAGTTCAGCCATACCTGCTTCTCGAGTACTAGCATAAAGTGATATCCAAAACAGCTCTAAAACTTTTTAGTTTATTATTACAAATCAAAGCCAACCTGCATCATGACCCAATCAACTGCACCCGGTAAATTGATGTCGGTAGCCAAAAAGACAGTGTCCTCGCCTAAGGAAAACATTATTTATATTTATCAGTTCAAACATACCTTGTAAAGTCGTAATGCTCTTATGGATTTTCATCAAATGTGGCATCACTTCTTGAAGGGCTCCTTGCCATCTAAAAATTTATCTATTCGTTTACCAAAAAAACCCAAACAAACTACAGTCGACAGTTCCCACAAACAAGATGTCCGCTTTGGCATTGCAAATAGGGTGGAAGCATGTATTCGTCGGAGCAGTAAGTTTATTCAATTGAGCCTGTGAGATCTTAAGACAAATCAAAACACAATTTATTATAAACCACAATTGGAGATTACACAATTACATGTAATCACAATTCAACGGATGAATGATGATATGATGAACAAGTGCGAAAGAATTGAAAACACTCATTAATCGCTATCGCTATCATAGGGATGTCCAAGAGTGTCACAAATGGTATAAAGTAAATTCCGCTGAGTACTAGTAAAGTTTTTAGAGACCTTAACGTGGAAAGCTGGGGGCCCTAACTTATTATCTTTGATGTCCTCAAAATTGTGTATATTGCGACTAAGGCGGCCGAAAAATTGGATAACTATTCCTCCAAGTTTCGAAGCAGTGAGCACCTTAATAGAACCGTAATGTTTAAGGAGATGATGCTGGAAAACTTGATCGTTGTTGCTAGTCCATTTCCATTTGTCCCTCCTGCTTTCCGCTTGATTTCCGGCGATTTTGGCTCTAAAATTTAAGAAATTGAAAATTAGATGGAATTTAAATCTAATTGCTAAGGCCTTAAAAGTTAAACTATAACGACTCAAATGTCAAATCTTTCATAGCTTCTAGAAAGAAGCATGTGTTTAGAAGAACTTAGATTATAATATTTGAAAAAGATGAAAAAGTGAAAATAAGTTCACAAACATCTCGTCCTGGAGCTTCTCGATGATTGATCTCGCACATAGCATTGATTCCACTTTGAAGCGTTTCGTGTTGACTTTCTCCTAGAATATTGACATTTTATCAAGAATTTATAGTATTAAAGAACATACCAATTGCCTTTCTAGCTCTAGAATTTTGTCTTCCTTTTTCTTCAGCTGTTTTTTCACCTCTATTAGCTGATCATCCTTCCAATTGGTTTCTTCCCTAAAAAAAAGATAGCATAATATACCATAAATTATTTTATTTAAATACCTTTCTTCGTCCGAATTGTCTGTCTTCTGCCTCTTAGAGGGGGGTGGCTTGAGGGAGGGCGTCGACATTGAGCTTATCTAAAAATTTAACAACATACCGTATTTACCCGAATAGAAGACCGGTCATCTATTTTTTCAATCACCCCCTAGACCCCGTCTTCTATTCGAGACGATCTTTTATTATTTTATTATTATTTATTACTCACGAAAATTTTCAGGAAAGTAACCAGCGTTTAAAAACACTTTTTTATAGAAATTTATTTTAACATTTAACAACAACAACCTTTAAAACAACATTAACAACAATTAATAAGAACATAAAAAAAGCAGTAATAACAACATTATTCTTCATTCTCACTGGATTCAATGTCATCCTCTATTAAATCCGGATCTTGCAAAATTCCATCAAGTCCCTCTGCGCTCGAGATTGAATCGTTTTCACTCTCATATCCATTGTTTCTATCCTCGTCGGAGTCGATATCTTGACAAAGTTTTGCTAATCTTCCCTCCAATCTTGCAATATCCAGCTTGAATCGACCACTCTCAACAGCTTCCCATAGTCCCAAAATTTCGATCTTCGAGCACGCAATTTGTATTTATCCGTATTGAAAGAAAGTTCAACTGTTTAAATGGCACCTTCTCTTTTCATCTACTTAAAACCTTCGTCGGAACTTTTCTCAAGATGGGGCAAGTCAACATCGACGACATGATGGGTCGCCTTCTCAACATTTGAATCGCCGGAGGACGTTTGACATTTGATGCGTGAGTGCTTTTTGCTTTCTTTAAAACTTGACCGTTGTTTTGGAATTTTAACGCGCGGTATTTTTCTGGCTTCTTTGGCTTGTTCTAGGACGAGTTTTGTTGCTTAACAACAATTCGAAATTAAAGAAACTTTGCAAAAGGCTTCATTTTAATTGTTTTGTTTAGGTTTCAAAGGACAAGCTGAAGTCGCTGTGTTGCCTAGCAAAGAATGTCTTTGTGTATTAACCATCACTCACCGAAGTTGGGCCAGCGATTGTTGTTTGCGAGGATATCCATGAACAGGTATGCTTATTTGAAAGTACTGTGTTTGTTGTTGTTGCTTTTTAGTATTCCTACCTCTTGCGCATCTTCGAGAAGACCAATTTTCCACCTGACGCCAATTTCATCTTTTTGGACGACTATGTTGACCGTGGCCAGCAGAATATTGAAATCATTTCGCTCAGATTTTGCTACAAAATCAAGTGCATATTATCTTTATGATTATTACAATCAAGCATACTACTTTGATTTAGGTACCCTGAAAGCTTCTTCATGCTTCGCGGCAATCACGCCTGAATCGTTTACGGTTTCGATGAGGAGTGCAATCGTCGCTACAAGAGCCAGCGTTTGTGGCAATATTTCCAAGACACTTTCAACTGGATGCCTCTTTTCAGTCTCGCATTCTCTGCATGCACGGTGGGATCTCGCCACAGATTCAGCAAATTGAGCAGCTGCGGTAAGTTTTTTTTGTTACTTGTCTATTCAAATTAAAAAACTTTGCAGTTTTGATTATTGTCGCCATTTTAACCCGTAAATTCATGCATCAATTTAGAGTAAGCAGACGCGTAGGACATTGTGCGAATCTTAAATATTTAAAAAGTGTCCCCCCCCCAACATAATCCTCTAATAAAAGTCCCACTGCCCTAAAGGAGGGTCGCGTAGTCTAAATTTACTCTCAAACAAACGCTCATATCTCGATACCAGTACGCTTGTTTCTGCGCGGTTTGGTATCAAATTAAAGTAGAGAGAATGGGTGATTTTTTTTGAGATATAACACATATTTTTAGAATTAACCAGCGCTTAGAAAAAAATGATTGAAAAATTGAAAAATCGGCTTTTTTGCCACTATGCCCCAAATATGTTTTACATCTCAAAAAATCACGCATTCTCTACTTTAATTTGATAACTAAGCCCGCAGAAATAAACGTATTGGTGTTGAGATCTGAGCGTTTGTTTGAGAGTAAACTTAGACTACGCGGGGCTCCTATAGGGCGGTGGGGATTTTATTAAAGTATTAAAGTATATCATTCTTTTTAGAGTCTCTCTATTTGTTGCTTTTTAGGAACATCGCTTGGGCTTTACTACAGAAGGATGTCATTTTCTAATGGTCTGATTGGACAGCCACCAGGTAAACTAAATTGTAGAAATTGTTGAAACTTTTCTTTAGGTGAGGGTACCGGTGGTGGTGGATCTGGGAACAACTTTCATATTTCGACTTCACGAGAAAATTGCAATTCGCCCGTGCCATTGCAGGTAAATTCTGGCAAGCATCGCATTTCGGTAAATTTCGGCAAGCTTCAGAACTTGGAAAAATGTGATTCGCTGGCGTGCTTTACTTTTGAATTCGATTTCTTCATAACGATTGTTTTTTAGGGAATCGCTACTCCGCAGACGCAAAAGAGCATGGCTCGCGTTCAAGGAAGCGCTCCTGCGGGTAATTTTTAAACTTTAGGAACGGCCATCACTTTATAATTAATCAATGATAAGGCGAAAGCTTATCTAGAGGTTCTGGAGTGGCAGATATGGACGTAATATTGTATAATTCATTAACGTCATGCTTTAAAGAACATCTTTCTAATTTAACTCTAAAATTTCTGTTAGCTGGCGTTTTCATTTTCTTTTCTAAACTCATTCAAGGCGGTTCTATCCTTTTTTATTCGCTAGACATGCCTAAATTGCTCCGGAATTTGTCAAAAGTTGGCAAGATAGTGAGAGAAGTATTTTGGAATCTAAAGAAGTTGTTTAGTTGCCGCTGCCAATCCCACGACTGGTTCTTCCACACAAAGTGTGGCACCTGTGACAGCAGTTGGACCAACGGATTCGCTGGATTGTAGTGCAGAGGTAAGTCAATTTGTTTATTAACCGTTTTATTCTGTTTATCTAGGTTTTATCTGCCTTTGAATGTCCGGTCTGCCTCGAATACATGCTTCCTCCCTATTTGCAATGCCAAAGCGGACATCTTGTTTGTGGAAACTGTCGACCGAAGCTACAGTGTTGCCCAACATGCCGCGGCCCTACACGTATAGTTTGTATTTAGTACAAGACAAATTAAAAGTTTAGCAAGCATCCGAAATCTTGGACTTGAGAAGATTGCAAACACGGTGAAGTTTCCCTGCAAGTTCAGCAATTCTGGATGTGGATCGATATTTCATCATTACGATAAAGTGGACCATGAAGAGACGTTTACTAGAGAGTTTACTTTAAAGGTGGCGTATAAATGCATAAAGTACATAAATTTATGTAACAATTTGTTCTTTACAGACCCTACAGCTGCCCTTGCCCTGGGGCGTCGTGCAGGTTAGTCTTGTTTGTGGAAAGCGGACATCTTGTTTGTGGGAACTGTCGACTGTTAGTTTGTTTGGGTTTTTTTTTGGTAAACTAATAGATAAATTTTTAGATGGCAAGAGCCCTTCAAGAAGTGATGCCACATTTAATGAAAATCCATAAGAGTATTACGACTTTACCAGGTATGTTTTAACTGATAAATATAAATAATGTTTTCCTTAGGCGAGGACACTGTCTTTTGGCTACCGACATCAATTTACCGGGTGCAGTTGATTGGGTCATGATGCAGGTTGGCTTTGATTTGTAATAATAAACTAAAAAGTTTTAGAGCTGTTTTGGATATCACTTTATGCTAGTACTCGAGAAGCAGGTATGGCTGAACTTTGACTTTCAGACTCCTTGTTTTAAGAAAAGTTCGAGCAATCGCAGCAAATTTTCTACGCCGTTGTTCAACTGATTGGAGCCAAAAAAGAAGCAGGAAACTTTATGTGCAGGTAAATTTCAAAACATATCTTGACGAACGAGCCCATGTTGGTGTTATCGACTGGTTTGAGAAGCTTGTGAAATTACTTTCTGATTACTTCTTTCTAGAAGCTATGAAAGATTTGACATTTGAGTTGTTATAGTTTAACTTCTAAGGCCTTAGCAATTAGATTTAAATTCTATATGTCGTAGCCGCTAACGAAATTCAGCCGCTAACGAATGATTCGTAATCGGCTAGCCGCTAACGAATCATTCGTAAACGGCTAGCGAAAAATTTCATTCGTTAGCGGCTGAATTTCGTCAGCGGCTACGACATATATAATTTTCAATTTCTTAAATTTTAGAGAAGCCCAAATGCCAAAAGCAAAAGGACGATCAACCAAGCGCAAGCCCAAGCCGCCTAATCGGAGGGAGAAACGGATGTGGACTTGCAAGAGCCATACAGCTTTCAAGCGTTTTGCCCATCATTATTACTCTGGTCAGGTTCTCCATGATGGGAAAGTTGCACAAATGGTTATCGACCTTTTCAAGCGCCTTTCAATCATTAATCATTTTAGGTAATTTCAATATGTGGTCCAAGAGGAAGAAAAACGACAATTCGGACGAAGAAAGGTATTAGGTTGGTGCAGATGAAACTTCCGTCACACTTGTTGGTTTATATTTTGAACCTTATAAAAGTTTTTATTGAAGATATTTGTCTATCTGAAAGAGCGTCTCTTTCCGCGTCTTTTGATATCTAAGACTTATGCGTTTTACTTAATTTGAAGTAATTTTTAGCTTCTAGAAAATGGTTGACGAAAAATTTCGAGTGCGGGTTTGCTTGTTGTATGATTTTAAACAAGGCAGAACGCCTGCGGAATCTCTGTGCAAAGCATTCGGCGATGTCGTGTTGTCCGAACGTCAATGCCGGACTTGGTTTCAGCGCTTCCGAGACGGTGATGAGAGTTTGGAAGACGAAAAACGCGAAAAACGATGAGTTGAAGAACGCTATCGAATCGGATCCATGCCAAACAACTCGGGAGCTTGCAGAGCTGTTTGACTGCGACCATACAACCAATCTCCGCCATTTGCACGCAATTGGTAAGACGAATCGGTGTGGAAAATGGGTGCCACATCAGCTCAGCGACGCAAACAAAGCGACTCGAGCTACAATGGCTGGAATTCTCGTCCGCCGCGCAAAGACCGCCGGTTTTCTCGACTCCATTGTTACGGCAGATGAAAAGTGGATATGTTACGACAACACAACAAGAAAACGGCAGTGGTTGGACGCCGGTGAACCGCCAAAACCGACTCCCAAACCGAATATCCACGGAAAAAAGGTGATGCTTTGTATTGGTGAAATAGTAAAGGTCTCGTGTATTTTGAGGTGCTGGATTCGGGCCAAAGAGTCACGGCGGATCTCTACAAAGCCCAATTGAGCCGCGCGGACCAGGCATTGCGTCGTCAAGGTAATAACACGGCGACTACAAAATTCCTCCACGATAACGCTCGACCCCACACCGCAAAGATCACTCAGCAGAAAATCGAGGAATTAGGCTGGGAAGTTCTGCCTCATCCGCCATATAGCCCGGACTTGGCCCCATCCGACTACCACTTGTTTCGGTCGATGCAGCACTCTTTAGCAGAAAAAAAATTCAAAAACCGCGAAGAAGTTGAGATCTGGGTGTCCAACTTCTTCGAGTCGCAGTTGCCCGAGTTCTTCGAAAAGGGCATCCATTCTCTGCGTGGAAGATGGCAAAGAGTCATTGATAATGATGGCGAATATCTTTTGGATTGAGGTTCTGTATTAGGATTTTTATAATAAATTTTGTTTATGGTTCCAACGGAAGTTTCATCTGCACCAACCTAATATTTAAATAATATAATTTACTGTATATTATGCTACCGTTTTTTAGTGATTGCGAGAAGAAGTGTCAGAAGCTTAAGCAGCAGCTGAAAGAAAAATAAAACACAATTCAAGAGCTTCAAGCGGAATTGGTACGTTCTTTAATACTATAAATTTTTGATAAAATGTCAGTATTCTAGAATGCGAATGCCAGGGAACGCTTCAAACTCGAATCAATGTTATGTGCTAGATCAATAATCGAGAAGTTCGAGGAGCAGATGTTTGTGAACTTATTTTCTGATTACTTTTTCATCTTTTTCAAATATTATATTCTAAGTTCTACTAAAGTCATGCTTCTTTCTAGAAGCTATGAAAGATTTGACATTTGAGTTGTTATAGTTTAACTTTTAAGGCCTTAGCAATTAGATTTAAATTCTATATAATTTTCAATTAAACATAATAAACAATTTTGATGAGTCTCTGTGATTTCTGAACCGTGTCCCTTTTGTCACAAAATTTTTTTTCTTTTGTGATTTACAATGATGTGTTTTAATAAATGTACCAAATGCTGTTTTTCATACGAGCCGTCACAAAGATCTTTTAAATTTCCAATAAATTTTTACTTTAAAGAAAAACTGAGTGTGGATTCGAAAATAGAATTAAAAGTTGCATATTGTGAGAGATTTTCATGGTTTTTGGGTAAGCCAGTAGCGAGAAATGGTCGTGGTACACGATGAGTGTTTAAAATGTTTTAAAAACAATAATTTATTATTATAATTATTCTCAATTCTTTTCCTTGGCCGCCGCAATTGGACAATAGAACTTTGGACGATATTTTGGCATTGTCGGTGTACTGAAAAATCAATTTTTTTTTACAAGCAAAAAGTACACTTACTTTTCCACTGGTCGCTCACTGGTTTCAATGGAAATCGTGAATGAAACCTAGAGAATAACTGTTTTCAAAAGATTAAAGCTTTTTTTTACTTTATTATTTGCAATAGTGCTTTGAATATTTGAGATTTGAGATTGATCCTTTACAATTGAGCTATTCTCTTTTCCAAAGATTGTATTTTTCTGAAAAAAAATGATTATAATGATCTATAACAAATGAATAGCTAAATATTATATATATTTACTAAAGGGTTACCAAATTTTGAAGTCTTGACTCAATTCCACTAAAAAACGAATCACTTTTCCCTTGATCAGTTCTTGAGTCGGATTTCTTTGAAGTCAAATATTTAACTGAAAAAGCTTTTCTTGATCCTTAAAAAGATTCATAAGATAAAAGATTTGATAGGGCGCTTTTTGGTAATCGATATGTTGTGCCAGCTAGGTTGCTCGAATTGTTGCTTGAAAAGCTTGTTGCTTGAAAAGCTTGTTGCTCGAATCCAACACTTAAAAGCTGGGTGTATTTTTTGAGTTATTGATGAAAGATACGATTGTACCCATTTCCTTTTAGCTAATTCCCTTTTCTTACCAAATTCAATCAAATACAAAATCCCGATCCAAATCAATTTAAGCGCGAAAAGGACGACTTCGGCCAGTGAGATCAACGACATTCCAAAGCATAAACCCATCGTGCCACCGATTTGACCTATCAAGGGAAAAGATCATCTGGGTTTTAACGCTTACGACTTTTAAATGCTTATTTCAAAATTTACTAATGTTATATTACGTAGGTTGTATTAAGTACAGGGTGATCGCGAATTAAGGCGATACCTTTTTGTGGAAAAGTGGCTGGCAAACGCCTGACTTATTGCCAAAGTGCTAAAGTGTTATAGAGAAAAATAAAGCCCTTCATCTTGGCTACATTTATCTACAAAGAATTTCCCGATTGGAATTATACAACTCATTTTACAAGCTCTCGAATCAGCTTAAATCGGTCTCTCCCCGGCGATCTGCCATTTTTGACAAAGAATCTTTTCATCGAGAAAGGGATTTCTTGAATCAAACTTGTGATATTTTACTTTAAAAGTATCATTAAATCAAAATATAGCTAGAGAAGCTTATACAGCAAGATCATCTTGTCAAATGGTGATTCGAAAAAGCTCAATTTAACCTTTCTTTCCACTTTTTAAATGAACCCAGAAATCAAGCTCAATTTTGGTTATGAAAGTTTGAATATATGATTACTAAGCTTTGAAATAAGCATTTAAAAGTGAAACGAACTCAAAACGGCTGAGATGCAATTCCCCTTGACCTCGCTGAAGAGAGTATAAGAGAGATCTCGATAGAATAAGCTCACCATCACGAAATTTTCCCTGAAAGATTGCTAAAGAGCTAAAGAATATTATTAATGCAAAAGATAATGAATCGAATTTTTAAATCGATTCAAATCTTTACCTCACATATTTCCCAGTCCATGTCTTGTTTCGACCGCGCAACCATTTCTGTGCTCCTTTGCTAAACAATTTGATTCAAATATCTCAGTAAGGTAGGAAATGATTCGTGTGTTCAAGCTTTCAAGGATTGAGAACTCTCTCAAACTTGAGTCATTAATCAAATTGAATACAAGAATAATTATAAGAAGGAAATAGAGACTAATCTTACAAACTTTCGCGTACATTAAATGACCGTAAATGATTCATCATTCTTTCATCATCATTTCATGTTAACTTTTTTCGGTTTTGCCGTTGGCAATCCACATATTTTGACCGTATCTTAGCTGGGTTTATTTGATAAACGTTGAATTTACTTTTATTCAACTCGAAATCAAATTTTCTATCAAATGAAAGTAAATTCAACGTTTATCAAACAAAAGCCCAGCTAAGATACGAGCAAATTACCAATAACAAATTACCAATTTCGCAGATTACCAATAACAAAATCAAAAAAAGGAGCAGAGTTAACATGGCTGATGACAAATGATTCACAAATTGCTAGCCTAAATGTGCTTATCAACTGAATATCTGGTTTTATGTCTACTTTATTTTATTCGCTCTTTAGCAAACGTGTTTTTAAACAATGATTCATTGGTGCTAATGTTAACGCAAGAGCGTTTAAAGAGAAAAATTTTGGGGACGCATTCTAAAATGCCCTAGCTACCGTAATCCGTAATTTTCATTGCTTAAAGCCATTTTCCATTGTTTTTATTCATTTCTCACCGTTTTTCTTTGCCATTTCATCGCAAATTCATCAAGATCAACTGCTATAACAGAAATTACTGTAAATACTGTAATAGTACCGCACCCCCATGTAATAGTACCGCACCCCCATAATGACGGTGCGGAGTGTTGCGTAGTCTAGCTTTGAACGAGTTTTTCTCGACACTGGTTTATTCATCGCAAATTCATCAAGATCAACTGCTATAACAGAAATTAAGTGTTTCACAAATGTCGAATTGCCAAAACTTTTAACGAAACAACAACAGAAACAACAATGACGTCCCGGTTGAAAGGTTGGTAAATAGTTAACAATTTTAAATATTCTTTTGTGTTTTTTTTTAAAATTTGTTCGTCCATCTCCCTGTAAAAGTCATTAAAACAAAGGGAACAGTTCCAGAAAAAAAATCAAAAACACTTACCGTAAATACTGTAATAGTACCCCACCGCTCCCGTACAGTCGCGTAGTTGCAAAAGTTTTTTAGTATTTCATTTTTTCAAGGCGCCCTACTTCAAAGCCCGTACTTTCAAAAAATGCGTCTTTGGTATCAAAAAATAGCCCTGAATTTCAGCTATTTTTTGATACCTAAGCACGCATTGTAGCATAAACCAGTGTCGAGAAAAACTCGTTCAAAGCTAGACTACGCAACACTCCGCACCGTCATCATGGGGGTGCGGTACTATTACAGTATTTACAGTAACTTCGGCTATAGCAGTTGATCTTGATGTATTTGCGATGAAATGGCAAAGAAAAACGGTGAAAAATGAATAAAAACAATGGAAAATGGCTTTAAGCAATGGAAATTTTAACAAATTTCGGCTTATAGCTCTTTGTTCAACGATGTGATCCGATTCTGTGAATGTTCATAACGAAAAACTAAAGTTAGAAACGATAGAGTAGATAAGTAGATGATTACATTCGTTTTCGAAAGCTCACAGATTTTAGAAAAAACATTAGCCAAATTAGCTAGTGCAGTTTCGTATGCGTCCCCAAAATTTTTTTCTTTAAACGCTCTTGCGTTAATGTTAATTTCAAAATTTCACCTGAATCCAAATCCATACGAGTTGTAAGCATGATACTCGTGATTTTCACATTCCATTTGACAATCAGAGCAACGATTCGACAACTCGATTGTGCCTAAAGAAGTTCACTTTAACAAGTTGTTGCAACAAGTTATTGTAACAAGTTACTGTAACAAGTTTAGTTACAAAGTTGCGTGACAATGCTACTTAAAAGTTAGAGAAAGCTACGGTAATCTGTCTCTAATCTCTTTTTTAAAGAGGAGCTTTTAGGAAACACGTTTAATATAATAAAATATCTACCAGCATGATCATAATTAACATTTCTTTGCAAACATTTGTACAAATCGAGTGGAGCGCATGTCTCGAACACTAACAATATATTTTTATTCTTATTTTTCACTTTTCAAACCATTCAGCGTATTGTAAACGTAAGGAGCACAACCGCAAATCTCATTGAAATGTCTGAAAAGTCTCAAAAACAAAACAAGACTTGTATCTACCTTGCATGGCAAAGAACTTTGCAATTTTTCCGAGAATACGGCAAATTGGGTGGCGGTTTGAAGAGCCACTCGTCCGTGCAACGACCCCAATCCCATGAAGGGAGGCGAATGAACTGGAGGTAACTTTGTGCTCTAGCTCTAACAAATCCTAGTTTTCTGGTGGCAAACAGCTAGCGTTTGCTAGAGCACAAAGTACATCACATAAAGTACAATTACTACGCTCAGTACATTGAAAATCAATCATTTAGCTATTCAATGTGATTCAGTCAAAACTCTACCTTATCAATTTCAATACTCGAATAGACACGACTGCCCGGGCTCACAGAAATCCCCTCTGTTGTGATGAAAGAGATCATTCGGCGATCGTGAACATAGTATCTATGAAACTCATAGTCAGTGTTGTTCGGACTAACCTGATGGGTCAAGTCTGACGGGGCTTGGACTTGGCTTGGGCTTCCAACCTGACTGGCTTCCCGCTTCCAATCTGACTGGGAAGGGTCAAGGAAGATCAAGGAAACAACTGGTCAATGCTTGGACCTGGCTCTGATCTCACTTACAGGCCTGGCTCAGTTTAACAGCCTGATAGCGCTCTTGAATTCTGATCATGAACAATTCTGATCTCCATCTCCAGCCTTTCCCTTTCAACAGTCTTCCCTTTTCCTACCAGAAGACAAACTCACCGAAATCCATTTTCAAAAGCATTCATGAACACTGGATCGGTTTCATCTAAGATTTCCTTTGAAAAAAGAATGATAAAAAAAGCTTACTGCATTTGTGTGAGTGCACTTCATCGAGTTGAGAGTCCAAGATCAAATGAAGGCTGAAACGCCAAAACTAGTCACTTTCCACTTTATGCTTTCACATTTTCGTTTTCCTATACTTTCTCCTTAATCAAACTCACCCATTGTACTCTCCAGGGGAAAGCTGTTTCCGGTGAAATCCCTCCAAACTCAAGTCAATTGTGAAGCATCTTAAACTCTCGACAAAACCCATTTTCCCATTTCACAAACTTTCCCAATGATGTCATTGTTGGTTGTGTGTGGTGACAACAATCGAAAATTTGGCCAGCAAATGAGCAAATCTTGAAAATATCTTCACAATTGTAGCTAAAGTTATTGATTGAATCAATTATTTGAATTGAAGCTACCCTCCCTCCTCAAAAAACGTTTTTATATCAAAAGTGATATTTTCTTGATTGATAAAAAGAAGATATTCAGCGTGACCCTTTTCGAGATCTTTTACCTGAAATAAAGCATTGATTAGCTTTAAAAAGGATCAATTTCTTTTGAAAGAACAGCTTTCATTGAACAGCTTTGATTCATTGAACAGCTTTGATTCATTGAACAGCTTTGATTCATTGAACAGCTTTGATTCATTGAACAGTTTGATTCATTGAACAGCTTTGAACAGCTCTTCATTGAACAGCTTTGATTCATTAAACAGCTTTCAACAGCTCTTCATTGAACAGCTTTCAACAGCTCTTCATTGAACAGCTTTGATTCATTAAACAGCTTTCAACAGCTCTTTATTGAACAGCTTTCAACAGCTCTTCATTGAACACTGTCAACCATTCAACTATATCAAATCCATCACCCACATCAGCTGTCCCATAAAACGATTGCAATTCTGCACTCGATTGCATCAAATAGTTAAGGACAGAGTGCGTGAATTTCTTCGTTTCGTTCAATTTCTGGATGTAACTTTGCTTTATCGAGTTGTAATTGCAAACAGTGACGAGCGGGAATTGAAGACCTGTTTCTGAGGTTTTAAAAGAAACCTAAACTTTTGCACTTTCAACTTTAAGCGATTTAGATTCTTTTACCTCTGAAATGACGGGTTTCTCTAGAAAATCATCAACAATTAGATACGTTTGAGTGACGAGGAGAAGCACACAAGCAACCATGATTAAATGCCAGAAATAACGTTGAGTCGCCTCAGCTCGATAGGCTAATAGAGGACCGTGAATGGTGGCGATTCCTAGAGAAAGATTTTGAGGAATTGCAAAGAAAGTTTTAGACTCAATATTGTAAGAATCATACTTCATATTCGGTTGCCTGGCTTGGCCTGACTCACAAAAAGTCCTTGGAAAGCAAGGCCTGGGTCTGGCTCTGATTCTAGCTTTGCCTTACCTTACCAGAGACATTGAGTAAATTGAATATATTTACATCTGAAGGGAATTTGCCACCAAATCATTTAAACGGCTGAATATCTTTGAAAGGTCATATATATTCTGTCCTGTCTGTCTGTCTGTCTGTCCAAAACGTACGGTTGATTTTGAATGGAAGTACGAAGTGGAACGAAAAGATTTTCTGGATAGTCTAATATAAAATTGAAATCCTAGAACAGTTTTTATGAAATAAACTGACAATACTTGCGAATTTTAACTATAAAACTTATAAACGAGACTAGGACAAAAGTCAGCTCAAAGCCTGGGCTGAGATAATGGCTCAGGCTCAAGCTCAGGCTCAGGCTCAGGCTACAGGCCTTGCTGACCTCAGGCTACAGGTTACAGGCCTTGCTGACCTGTAGCTGGTCAGCAAGGCTGGAAGTCAGCTCTTGTTTTGAAATTACTTTCAAAACAACCCTGAAAAAACAAATGAACTTACCGCAGAACTTCTTCGCCGCCTCATACCAGTGATTCGGTTTTTCATCATCGCTTGTTTGAGGTGTTTTCTTGATTGGAACTTGTACCATCAATTGAGCTGCTCTTTCACGAAGACCGTTCGGTTTACTAGAGAAAAACTTAAGATATAGTTCAGTTGAAAAGATGAAAAGTTGAATTATTCATAAAGATTTTTCATAAACAACTCACCCTTTCACACATCGATTTTGAGCCCATTTCGGTCGAGGTCGATCTCCAAAAGTCATCAAATATTGAAAAAAAAATGTCTTATTAGACAGGAAAATGTGTCAGAAAAGAGTGAATGACCCATTTGTTTGTTTGTTTATTTCTAGAAGAGATTAAATTGGGGAAGACAAAAGACAGAAAAGACGTGAAATGATTAAGATGGACTTGATTGGGATCGTCTAGAGGAATTAGTGACGAGTAAACAAAAAGGGGACAAAAGGTTTCTTTGATGACGTTCTTTGAAATTCATCATCAATCCAATCTTCATCAGTTCATCAATTCTTTCTTTCTTTTCTTCTTTCTCTTGGAAAGTACCGGATAGCTCAGCGGTCAGGAGCAGTTGCCAGGAAAGCAAAAAGGTCGAGGGATTAGTCCGCTCTCCGGAAATCTACTTTATCTTCCAAATTCCTTCGCTTCTTTTTTTACCATCGAGGATGATTTTGTTTCAGAATAGCCGAATAGCACAAAAGATTAAACGGGGTTTGTCAAAACCCTCACAAGAACACGCAACATCCAGCTACCGCTCGAGTACACAACGGATTGACGCTTCGTCGATGGCAACACAAATACTAGCAAATTCTTTCTTCTATAATGTTAGATCTAGCTGATCTAAACTAGCGATCTAAACAGATCTAAACAGAATTTAGAACCTTAAGAGTAGTTTGAAAGTAGATAGGATTTATAATTTTACAGTTTATTACTACAAAAAGAGAAGCCAACAATACTCATTACAAAACAGTGTGAAGAGAAACATCAAATCCCAAAAGAACGAGAGTAAAACTCTAAACCCAAAAGAAGTGAGACACACAAGTTTGCCGAAATATTAAAAAAAGAAATTTGGGGGTAGAAAATGAGGAAAAAAAGCGTCACAAATTAAATGCAAATAGGAACGTAACGTAGGAAACGGACACATCATTGTCATACTATTTGTCGTCGGCGTGGTTCCAAACTCAAATTTTCAAGGACCAGATCGAACTCTACTATTCACAAAAGCACCTAGATCAATCAGAGTCAGCCTTGAGTCAGCCTTGAGCTAGCCTTCAGTCAGCCTTGAGTCAGCCTTGAGTCAGCCTTGAGTCAGCCTTGAGTCAGCCTTGTGTCAGCCTTGAGTCAGCCTTGAGCTTTCTAACCGCGCTAGACCTGATCTAACCGAGCTCTGACCTACCCTGACTTTCTCTTGGCTTACAAACCCTATAGTTCATGCCTCAATAGTTCAAATATTCATTTGCTTTCTCTTTGTTAATCATTTACTCATTTGTAACTTAAAAACCAATGTACAAGAATTTATTAAATCAAAAAAATGAAAGACAATGGAAGACACAATCTTTGGCAAGCTCAGGAACAATGAATCTTAAACATTAAAAGACCTGTGCTCTAAAGGATCTCTAAAAACTATGCAAAAAAAAATTTGGTCAACTTTTTGGCTTAACAAAAGCTAAATAAGTTATTCCCGTTGTGGAGTGTCTCCATGAATAAAATCAAACGTGAAAACGGGTAGATCTTCCGATTCAAAGCTTTGAGTCTTTTCGAATTTTGGTGGCACGGTGAGATTGCTGAAAATTTGTGATTTTATGAGTTTTTTATTTGTTATTTGTTACACAAGACTCAAATAAATTGCTTTCTAAAATGCGTTAACTTTTGAAAGGTATCGTAGTCTTGACTCCAGTCTACTATCTAGTCAATCTGATTCTAAAATCCTTCAAGAAATCTAGATAAATTGGATACAACTAGACTTGCCTTAACGGTATCGTTAGCTAAAGCAAGATTATGGTAAGTGTTAAGTATCAGAAGCCGTAGATCTATCTTCTCGCCTAAAATGCGTTAACGTTTGAAAGCTATAATAGCTGAAATCTAGTCTGACTAGAAATCTTGACTCTAGTCTACTATCTAGTCAATCTGATTCTAAAATCCTTCAAGAAATCCTATAGATAAATTGGATTCTTAGATTGAATTCTTAGATTCCAATCCTATAGATTGGATACAACTAGACTTGCCTTAACGGTATAGTTAACTACAATAAGATTATGGTAAGTGGATCAGAAGCCGTGGATCTATCTTCTCGCTTGTTAAGCCAAGTCTAGATAAAGTTAAAGACAGGATTACGATGGTTTTTCAAAAGATGTCACATTTTAGAAAACATTGGTTGAATACATTCTAAGCTCACCTAGCTTTTCGTGACGATGGCGCTTCTTCAGTGATCGGCGCGTCCGGTTTTATGTCTTCAAATTGAACACTTTTCGACTTTTGGAGATTCCCTGGCACGGCTAGGCAACTGCAAAACGTTTTTTTAGACTAAAAATCCGATACGCACATCATTTCGCCACTCACCTCGTCAACTTCGGTGACATCTGATCATCGATTTCTCTCTCATTCAATTGAATACTTCTCGATTTGAATTGCAGCGGACTTTGCACATTTAAAAGGCTAAATTCCGATAAATTCTGATAAATTCCGATAAATTCCGATAAATTCCTTAAAAAAACCTGTTTTTTGACGGTTTTCTCTCGTTTTCCTCTTCCACATCAAACAAAATGCTCTTTGATTTGAATTTCAACGGACTCTGCACGGTGAGATTCGAGGTTTTTCTAGAAAATAGTCATTTAAGCTAGAATCTTATATTCTATTAGGTTGGTAAAAAAGAAATGAGCATCGTGTTTGTTGATTTGTATTTTATTCACAGTAAAAGATTTTTAAAAAATAGTTTATTGTATTGGAAAGAGCGTGTTCTTGCGCATCGTTTGATATATAATTTGTCTATGTTTACTTTGTTTTTTTACAAGAAAGAGTGCTTAGAAAATGTCGGATCAAATATTTCGCTTGCTGGCCTGCTTGTGGTATGAATTTAAGCAAGGCAAATCGGCTGCTGAAGCTCATCGCGCTCTATCTCAAGTGTTTGACAAAGATGCTCTATCCGAAAGTCAGTGTAAACGATGGTTCCAGCGCTTCTGAGACGACGACGAAAGCCTGGAAGATCAAAAACACGGGAGTCGACCTCAAATCATCGACAACGACGCATTGAAGGAAGCCATTGAGTCGGATCCACGCCAAACCACTCGCGACCTGGCAGAACAGTTCGGCTGCACTCATGTCACCATTGAGAACCATCTGCATGGCATGGGCAAGACGAATAGTGGTAGGATAGGAAAAAACATTTTCCGAATAGGAAAATGGGTACCGCATAAGCTATCCGACGCAAACAAGGCGACACGCATCGCAATCGCCGGAATTCTCACTCACCGCGCCAAGAACAGTGGGTTTTTCGACTCCATTGTTACGTCGGATGAGAAGTGGATCCAATACGACAACACAGCAAGAAAGCGGCAGTGGTTGAACCCCGGTGAAGCTCCAAAACCGACTCCAAAACCGGACATCCACGGAAAAAAGGTGATGCTTTGTGTTTGGTGGAACAGTAAATGCCTGGTGTACTTTGAGGTTCTGGATTCGGGTCAAACAGTTACGGCGAACCTCTACCAAGGTCAATTGGACCGCGTGGACCAGGCGCTGCGACGTCAAGGTGTGGATACGGCGTCGACAAAATTCCTCCACGACAACGCTAGGCCGCATGTCGCAAAAATCACCCAGCAGAAAATTGAAGAAATGGGCTGGGAAGTCCTGCCTCATCCGCCATACAGCCCAGACTTGGCGCCTTCCGACTACCATCTATTCCGATCAATGCACCACCCTTTGGCCGAGAAAAAGTTCAGGAACCGCGACGAGGTCCAAATTTGGGTGTCCAACTTCTTCGAGTCGCAGCCGGTCGAGTTCTTCAAGAAGGGCATCCATTCTCTGCGTGAACGTTAGCGACAATGACAAAGTCATTGATGCAGATGGCGAATACCTTTTGGATTAATGTATTGTTATCTTATTTTTATAATAAAATAAACTTTTAACGAAAACGCGCATTTCTTTTTTACCAACCTAATAATTCTAAAAACAAACCTATTCGGTGCTTGAATCGAAATTTTCCTCTCTCCAATCACTCCGACGATCTCCTTTTCCCCGCCATCTTTCTCTGCCAAGTCGATTTTCAACTCCAGCTGAATATTTTCCTTTGTTTACAAAAGGATTACTGAGATAAAACTTTAAAAAATATTATTCTTAATACTAGAGCATTCATTTAAAGAGAATTTATTTCAACTTTAGCTGAATATTTCTTGTTTTATAAAAAGATAATGTCTACAGATGTCTACAGATTTACGAAGTTATCCAAATCAGTCAATTCAATTTTTTGCATGCCTTAACTCCATGACGTTTACATTTAAAATAAACAAGAAAACATTTTGGGGATACGGTGTTTACATAGCTTTTTTAAAAAATTAGCTACTTTGAACTCACCAATTCGGGATTTGGCGGTTGCTCTGATCGAGAGCGACGACTCAAACGAGCTCTACCACTACCAGATGTCATCTAAACGAATTCTCTTTTGAAACTTTGTAATATAAAACCTTTTCCCACCTCATTATAGAAATTATCCATAAACATTTGCTTGTTGCTCGAGATTTTGTATGGAGAACGAGGCGGGGGAGTGTCGACCTGAAACATTGCTAAAAACATTGCACAAACTCTCCATAACTTTCTTCTAAATGGGTGAATCTTTATGCTTTTGATCTCATTTTTTAGATCTCAACAATTGCAAAAAAAACCATAAAGATTGGCTTGAAAGAAAGTTATGATGAGTTGTGTAAAAAATTTGGCTCAAAGTAGGTACCCTGGAAATAAGACAGAGTTTAATTTAGTTGCCTACTTCTATTTACCAACAAGATTGAACTATTAGGTTGGAAAGAAAGTTCTCGGAAAAAGTTTGCCTGGAATTTCTTAAAAACGAATCCACCAATTCAAGAAGATTTTGTTCTTGAAGTTTATAAGATTTTGATTGTAATTTTTGACAGAAGCTAAAACTTATTCACTTTTCTAATACTTTCTTGATCAGCTAAAATCTTTAGCGTCATTCTATTAGATGCATTGTACCGATTCTTTCATGTTCTTAGCAACTAACATCATGCAGAGATGGATCGGTGATTTCATTGATCGACACATCGGCCACTTTCCTCTTCATCGACGATTCACGGAAACGAGTCGACAACTTCTTAAGGCGACCCATTGCAGAGCTAAAAAAGACAATTTAAAACCTTCAAAACATTCGCAAACCGATCAGATTGTATCTTTTCTTTATGCCGTTTATACTCCAAAATCGTCTCCTCCAAATTTCGCTCTTTTTCCTGAAATTGTCTTGTTTACTACCGTATTCAGCTTATGACTTAAATTCTCTTTTATTCTTAAATCAATAGCTTTAGCTTTAGAGTATTTTCACCTCATCATTTCTTCTTTTTTCCAACATATATCTTCTTCGACTCTTCGAAATACAAATCCACGTCATTTTATAGAGAAAAATGATGATCTCGACACAGGTGATGACTGACATTCCATAACAAAGACCCATATTACCACCAATGTTACCTAAAAGTGAAAATTTCGTTGTTCAGTTGGATTTACGTTAGAAAATGCTTAGAAAATTAAAAAGTTCATTGATTGATTGATTGATTGGATTATTGGTACGACTATTCTGAAGAACTTGCAATAATACATTCATCGACTAGAGTTTATGGGATTTGTGTCAATCTTAGTCCTTATGTCGCTATGGCCAAGTGGTTAGACAAGGTTGTATCCCGGTCGGTAGGTCACGGGTTCGATCCCGGTGCTAGAAAGTTTTGTTCTTTTTCCATCAACATTGTTTTTCTTTGCAAGAGCTTTAGAGGTATTAGAGCAGTATTTGTTTATGTCACATTGTTGAATCGTGGCTATTTTTATTAGAAGTCTTACTGAGCGCCGTGGAGAGATCGCTTCCCTTGACTTCTTGGAATTTTGTGTAAGCCAGCTCACGGTAGAACACCGACATCATCACGAAGTTTTTCCTGGAAATATGATGAAGTTACCCACAATAAGTTAGACAGTAAGTTACACCATTTTGGAAACCAAAAGCAATCTGAACAGGAGTTGGAACTAGGGCAAGTCAAAAAATCTTGCCGAGACTCGAACCCGGGACCTTTCGCTTACCGGACAAGTCTGCTAACCACTACACCACAGTGCATTTGGTCGCCCTTGCCCCAAAGGGGGTAAACTCAAGTATGTTTCAAGCAAGTCCTTCAAGCCGAATCCAACCCTGGCTTTTGAAGAGCTCGCAAAACTTTCAGCAAAGCCAGTAAGACTTTAAGCTTTAACCCAACAAGCTACTGTAACTTTACAGTACTTTTAGAATGTCTTAATGAAATCCTTTACTCAATCCGGTGATCATCCCATTCGTTATTCTGTTCTTTCAGCCATTTACGTGCTCCTTCCGAAAAGTTGAATCCATACGAGTTGTACGCGTGATATTCCCAATTCTCACACTCTGGCGGGCAATTCTTACAAACCGATTCCAAAGCTGAATACAGTCTTTATACATTAGATTTTTTTAAAAGATTCAACCTTTATACAAATGCTTTCTTCGACTGTTTAAGCATGAGTAGAGCTCGAGTGGAGTGCAAGTTGGATAGACTGAAGAATGATAAATAATGATTATGAGTCAGTATCAGATCTGGATCCTAATTAAAGCCAAATCGTGTAACAGCTTGATGCTCGAGCTTGATGCTTGATCAGTGCTTGATCCTTGATCAGTGATTGATGCTTGATCAGTGCTTGATGCTTGATCAGTGCTTGATGCTTGATCAGTGCTTGATCCTTGATCAGTGCTTGATGCTTGATCAGTGCTTGATGCTTGATCAGTGCTTGATCCTTGATCAGTGCTTGATCCTTGATCAGTGCTTGATCCTTGATCAGTGCTTGATCCTTGATCAGCGCTTGATCCAAATAATATTCCACTGTCGTTAGCTGATTGTACTTATGTTTAAATCTACCTTTTATCGAGTTGTACAAAAATGGGGCACACCCGCAAACTCCGTGAAAATATTGAGCTCGACAAAGTGCATGACAGTTTTTTCGAGAGTACGGTAGCAACCTGGCTAGAGATCTGAAGACATAGAACATAAAAGGGTTAAAATATCAAACTTTTTTCTTAAAACCAACTTGTATTTTTGTGGCCATCCTTTAACACATTCACCCCAATCGGACGAGGGAAGACGCTCAAACTGGAATCATTTTACAAGCTAATCTAATGAAATGTGAAGCAAAACTAACTAAAAGTTATCTTAATAAATGTAAATATAAGTATTTAGATAGATATTTAGATAGATAAAAAGATCGTGTTGACATTTACTTGTTAGTTAGTTACTAGAATAGTTAGAAGCAGAAGAATCTCATTGTCAGCGAACGTACTGTAAAATTTTACAGTGCTCTAGCATGGCTATTCTATATTATTGGAAAGAAAGTTCTCGGGAAACATTTGCACAGTGATTTCTCAAAAACCAAGCCATCAATTCTTCCCAAATTTTTTTGGTAAACTATATTCCAAAAAGTTTTTGACAAAAAAAATCAGTGGGGTTTAAGGTAAAAAAAGAAGAGATTTATTCAGCTGAAGTGACTTAGTCACTTTTTCGTTGACTAGCCTTTAGACAAGTTTTTAATAGGTTAACGAATAGGTAATGGGTCCCATTCAAAACCTAAAATCAAGTACTTAAAATAGGGAAAATTTGTAATAAAGACAAATTTAATCTAATGTTTCAACTTTTCAGAATCATCTATTTTAGCAAAAACACTCAGTGCAAAGAAGGTGACACGAAAAAAATGATTTTTTGAAATACAGCTTCTTTGTAAAGAAATTTGTTGGCCAAAAATAGAGATTATAAAGCGTATTGCTCATTTATGCTAGCTTTATCTTATAAGAAATCGTTTTTCTGATGCAAAAAGTGAGCTGAATTTAAGCTGGAAAATAATACTTTTCTTCAAAAATCTCTAAAATTTTGCGGGAAAGCTGCACCCATTTTTTTTACGAGTAATTTCTTGGAAACGACTTGTAAATGATAGAACAAAATCTTCTTGAATTCGTGGATTCGTTTTTAAAAAATTCTAGGCAAACTTTTTCCGAGAACTTTCTTTCTAACCTAATTTCTTGTTGTTCAATCTTGTTGGTAAATAGAAGTAGGCAATTAAATCTAAATCTGATAGAAAATAATAGAAAATAGAAAATAGAAAAGGTTAATGATTAGGTTTTAAAGTTTAAAGAAAAATCGTTAGTCATTAGATAGTCAAAAGTAACAAATGGGCTTTTATCCGCTTGAAACCCTTAAAATTGAAAATCATAAGGTCTGCTTTCTAAAAAAAAAGTATTTAGATATTAATTAGAAAAGCGTTTTGATACTTTTCTTGAGATTATTTTTTTTTTCGTTTCCCCACTTTCTCTGTCTCGATGCTTGAATAGACTCGACTCCCAGGGCTGACCGATATCCCCTCTGACGTGATAAATGACATCATTTCCCTGAAAATGATAAGATTTTGCACGAATATTTTCGATCACTCACCGATCGTGCACATAAAAGCGAAAACCGTTTTCGAAAGAGTTCGTGAAAACCGGATCGGATTCGGCTAAAGATTGAGCGATTATAGGGTACTTTTTGCCCAATCATAAGCACATTCTTTCTGGTGCACAGAAATCTTCATTTTTTTCAAGGAATTCAGAAATAATTCAGAAATCAGTGTGCCAGAAAGGGTGTATTTCCATTGCACAAGGTACAAAAGTCCACTCACTTCCACTCCCGCGGTAGATTTGCCCTAGTTGCGAGTCGAGCACGATTTGAAGGCTGAAAATTTTTGATAATTTGGATACACCCTATACACCGTATCCATAGTATCAAATATTCTATTAAATTCTATTAAATTCTATTAAATAATTATGATATAATATCTAACAATGATCAGAAGTGGCCGTGAGATTTCGGCACCAAAATCAGATCCAAACACCTATCGGATACGGCGAGTACGATGGTGCTTTCGGATTTTGTTAAGGATCGCTGGCTTTCGAGAAAAACGACTTGAAAATTTCAAAGTCTACTCGAAAACGAGAACTTCTTTCGGCTAGATGAGATGTCTCCTCTTAGTCAGCGGGTAGAGTTCTCCCCTCCCATTTTTAGTGACGCGACGTTCCCCGTTCGTTAGAACTTAACGCTACGCTGACCGTTGATGGCTCAAAAAAACTAGACTTTAATCATTTTGTGAAGGAATTGCATCTTTGTTGATTGATTTATGTAGTTAATTTGTTGTTTTGGCTTCTAGATTTATGGATAAGATTGTTGAAAGCTAAAAAATAAAAAAAAAAAAAAAAAAAAACCAAAGTAGGTACCCCCCTTTTGCGGCTCTGCTTCGGTCCCAGTCACCACCATTTTATTTTGCTTTTTTTCCAAACTTTGTATTTGATATATTTCAAGAGTTATAAAACTTTTAAACTTTAGTTTTTATTCTATTTTATTTTAATATTAGTTTATTTTAGCTTTCAACAATCTTATCCATAAATTTAGAAGCCAAAACAACAAATTAACTACATAAATCAATCAACAAAGATGCAATTCCTTTACAAAATGATTAAAGTCTAGTTTTTTTGAGCGCAAAGCATCAACGGTCAGCGTATAGCCAGTATAAAGATGTTAAAAGTTCTAATCGAATCAGGGAATCGAGTCAGGGAATCGAGTCAGGGAATCGAGTCAGGGAATCGAATCAGGGAATCGAATCAAGGAATCGAGGCAGGGAATCGAATCACGGAATCGAATCAGGGAATCGAATCAAGGAATCGACTCAGGGAATCGAATCAGGGAATCGAATCAGGGAATCGAATCAGGGTCACCAAAAATGGGAGGCGAGAACTCTACCCGCTGACTAAGAGGAGAAATCTCGTCTGGCCAAAAGAAGTTCTTTTAAAGAAGCGTGCCACGCTTTCGATTAAAAATCGAAATTTCAAAGCCATTTTTCTCGAAAACTAGCGAGTAAGATGATGATTAAAGCCTAGTTTTTTATCTAATCTAATAATACTTTTGCATACCCATTATATTCCCCGGGTGATATCTGTTTGTCCATCTCGTCCGAGTCGCGCAGGTCCACCGTGTAGCATCTATTTGTAAGAATAGGAAACTCATTTCACCAGAGTTTCAATTTTTCCGAGCCAGGTCAGGCCTGGAGTTGCTGTAGGCAGTTCTGGTGTTGTAATAGGTCGCCTAGGCTTCAGCCTGACCTAATCTTACTTCGCTCTGGCTTGGCTTACAGGCTCTAGGGTCATGTTGGTGTTGAAAGATTTTTAAAGCCTATTACAGCTGTAGAATGTCTCAGAATGGCTCTGCCTTTTCAAATCACATCGTTCACTCACTTCCCAAGCGATGTAATCGTTTCTTTCACATTCGCGCAACAGTTAAACTTCTGACCAGCAAACGAGCACAATTTCATCATATCCGAGCAGTCATAGCTGGAAAACAATCAACTTTATATAATAAAAGGCAATGAGCAAGCTCATTTGCTGTAATGAGCAATGAGCAAGCTATAATAAAAGGCAAGCTCATTTGCTTTCTGATACTTTTTGTACTTGATACAAAAGGCTTGTAACAAAATTTTGTAAATTACAAACCCTCCATGCTCAAAGAAATCGTTTACAGAATAGTCCGGGTGTTTCTCTTTGTAATACTTGTATTCTTGATCCATTTTTTGGAGTTCCGAATCCTGAAAGAGTGTTTTGTTTTATCAGTACATCAGTACTATGAACAAATAAAAAAAACCCCTCACATTTGTGGTACTGAGAAACGCTTGTAGCTCGGCGTTCGATTGAACGAGATATTTATAGAGAGTATCCGTGAATCGACCCGATCCATTCGCGTTCTCCAGATATTTTTGCGTGATCGGATTGTAGTTGCATAGAGTGACAAGAGGGAAACGGAGACCTCCCTCGGATCGTTCGAATGTCACCTTTGAGTTTTGGGTTTTATAAACAAATGCAAACCTTTAGAACTATGAATAGTCCATACAAGCTATGAATTGTCCATACAAGCTATGAATTGTCCATACAAACTATGAATTGTCCATACAAACTATGAATAGTCCATACAGTGCGTTTCATATTTCTTTGGGCATCCTTAAAAATGACGGTTTAGAGAGATGGGAAACGGCTACTTTAGTTAATTTTTTTTCATTGAAAAGAGCATGTTTCAAAACCCTAAATAACACCTTTCGGGAAATTACTGTAGCCAGACAAAACTTTTCTAGAGTTTTTCTAAAAAGCGACCGTTTCAAATTTTTTTATTCTTTTCTAATCCGTTTTCTATTTTGTACCGACTTTAACCGATAATAATGCTACTTTGTACTCACAAATGTAAACACACGCTTTCCGATCGTTTAAAATTTACAATTACTTTGCAATACTGAATCGCTACTGCAAGAAAAGTGAAGTAAGTTTGCCAGAAAGGATGCGTTTTTGTTTTGAGCACAAATTTTATTAAGCTCTTTTTTTTTATTGAAATCAACCCACTTTAGCCTCAACGGGTTGCGCAAGATGAGTGCTGACAATGGAGTAAACCTTGAAATTTCAAATTTAAAACCAATTTCCCTCATTTACTTGATAGAAAAGTAAACATCCGGACAAAACCATCATGATCTGCCATAAACGTTTGTACATTTTCTTCCCTCGATACGCCCTCAATGGACCGTGCATTGTTGTGATTCCTGAATATTCAGTGAAATTTTTTTCGAAAAGAAAATTTTCGAAACAACCACAAAAATGCTCGGCTTCTCGTCCCCATGAGCCGCCCTCTTCGACCTAGAAATGAGGAATTGAATGTGCCAGAAAGAGTGCGTTTACACCAAAATAAAGACAAAGCTTTAGCTGTCTTTAGTCAGATATTTGTTTAGTTAAAATTTCTACACTAATACCTGTAATCGCCTCAAATTCTCGACGGGTATCTGCACGACTAATTGTTGAATTGTGTTCGTGATCGATCTTTTCGCTTTTTCTCTAAATTCTTGTTCTTTTTAAAGAATTAGATTCATTTCGATTCCCCAAGCATTATCAAAAGCAAAGAAAGTTGTTAGAATTTTGATAGAGATAGGAAAGAGAATAGAATTTATTGGGTTGGTGAACTGAAAACTGCGGGCTATTGTCATATGTGACAGTTTGAGCACTTTCTGCAAAAGAAACCCATTTTGGTGTCAATGGAAAAGTTGTAGAGCATTAAAAATGAAGCCTATATCCAGATTTTCAGAACGATTCAAAAACCGGTTTTCAAGAAATGCCAAATTTACGAATTTTCACAAATGAAATGGCGGAAAAGGAGGGGGAGGGGACGGGAGGGGGTTACGGTATCTGTCTGTCTTTCTGTCTGTCTTTCTGTCTGCCTTACTGTACGGGTATTTTTTCAGCCGTATTTTGACCAATATTTCATTTTGCATGAATATTATATTTTAAGTTGTTTTTGGTGTCATTCGATGCGTAATTTCATTCTGCATCAAATGATCGTTAAAATAGTCAATATATTGGATTGGTGAATTGAAAACTGCGGGCTATTGTCATATGTGACAGTTTGAGCACTTTCTTCAAAAGAAACCCATTTTGGTGTCAATGGAAAAGTTGTAGAGAATCAAAAATTAAGCTTATATCCAAATTTTCAGAACGATTCAAAAACTGATTTTCGAGAAATGCCAAATTTACGAATTTTCACAAAACTTGCATTTTAAGCGAAACTACTAAGTGTATCTTTTTGGAAATTTGGCTATAAGCCTAATTTTTGATTCTCTACAACTTTTCTATTGACACCAAAATGAGTTTCTTTTGAAGAAAGTGCTCAAACTGGGACATCTCGACATCTCCAGTCCTCCATTTTTGAGTCTCACACACAAACCAAAATCCCACTACGAAAGAGGAATTCGCTAATTGCCTGTAAAATCGGCAGAAGTCGTCAATAATAATGGAAATTATTTGGAATGAATTGATGGTTTTATGTTGAAAAAATTTTAGTTCAAAGTCCCGCAGTTTTCAATTCACCAGCCTAATAAAAGAAGAGAAAACTATTCAAATGATCACTCTTCCAACGTCTCATTTCTAGTTACTCTTGAGCTAAATATCCTTTTTATTTTGATTTAAATTATAAATCTTTTGATGTTTTATAAAACTTTGAATTTTTACCTATCCGGATGCACGAGAAATTTCCCCAAATCGCCGGTGCTGTGACGACGCTTTTGTTGATTGTCACCCATATTCTAAAATGATTGATTATTTAATTATATTGAGTAATGATTAAAAGCAAAGTTCGAAGCAATTAAAAGCAATCAAATACTAGAAAATTTTTATTAGTAATCGCTGAAAATCAGTGAACAAAACGGGGATTTAAAGCTTTAAAGCTTCAGCACTTTAAAGCACTGAATAGAGTAGAGAAGGTGATTTCTTAAAGCTTCTTAAAGCTGTTGTTCGAAAAAGCAATAACCAAAATTTAACTTCAAATTGTAAGCTATTCAGTTAAAGGAATCCAATTCAAAGTTTAGATCTTCAAAAGTTTTACTGTACTTTTGAAATTTGTCTTCTATAAGTTAAGGGAAAAGTCAACTCGTGAGAAACAAATCTGAGCTACACATTGGTACTCAAATAGTACTTACTTACCGTAAATACTGTAATAGTACCCCACCCCCCTCGTACAGTCGCGTAGTCGCAAAAGTTTTTTTGTATTTTATTTTTTTTCAAAGCGCCCGTACTTTCAAAAAATGCGTCTTTTCTATCAAAAAAATAGCCTTGAATTTCAGCTATTTTTTGATACCTAAGCGAGCATTTTAGCATAAACCAGTGTCGAGAAAAACGCGTCCAAAGCTAGACTACGCAACACTCCGCACCGTCATTATGGGGGTGGGGTACTATTACAGTATTTACGGTAAGTTTAAATTTTATATCATTCAACTTAGGCTAGTTTTAGATCAGTGAAATCTAATTAGACTAAAAATTTTAGTGTTTAAGTCTTACAATGCCATTTTCTTGCCTATTTTCTTTCTCAGAAACAATTTTTTTTCCATTTTTTCCCTCAATCAACCCTCAATCAACCCATTTCCCTCATCTAGAACACTTCAGAGAATCAGAGACCAAAAAATAACTTTCAAAAGAATTGTTGACAATTTTTTCTAGTAGAAATCATTTTATTTGTTTTCACCGATGTCATTCTACAAACAAAAGAGTGAAAATAGTAAATTGGAACCATATGGGCAATCTTAAGATGAGAGACCCGTTGTTAAAATGTTGAAATGTTGATTGAGCATTGAACTCGACTAAAAGCGTCTTTTAAAAGAAATCTATCCTAGAAAACTACCGTAATCCAATCAATTTTTATATCATTAACTAAGTCTTGTAATTCCTCATTGAATAATATCAAAATTAGCGTGATTAAATGAAAACTAGCAGCTTTACGGTTTCTTTCTGAATATTGGCATCTTTTAGAAAAGACATTAGTTAACTGGGGATATAGTAAGCTATAGTAAGCAACTAAAGAGTTCCCCTTCTCATAATTTATTCAATCACTTGTCACAGCTTTAAATAAGTCTAGGGCATCCGGGTCTTGGGTTGACCTTAGTCACCCTTGATCGTTTCCTTAAAAGTTTCAAATATCGAAATCTAATCCATGGAAAATGTTATGTGACCTCCAGATCAGCGAAAAAGTATCGAAAAAGTTTATGGTACTGCTTTAAATATCTAGATATAGCGTCGAACTCGTTTTCTCATTTCCCAACCCTTTTTCTTAATAGTTACCAAATTGCAATCAAATTCATGTTCTTAAATGACCTCCAGATTAGTGAAAAATCATCTAAAACCTTATAGTACTCTTGCGAAATATAGAGTCTATTTTGAGCCACCCTAACTTATTCATTTCTTTCTTAAACACTCATCATTTTGTTTGTAGTCGGAGTGAGAGGAAAATTGAAGAGAAAACAGGAAAAGACAAACGAGGAACACATGGTGTCATTGAAGAAAGAAAAAGGGAGATAAAGAGGCAAACAACATAACCACAACTCCTCTTTGAAGGAAAAAAAAATGAGAAACACTTGTACTACGAAAGCTTTTAGATTCTATAGAGAGCTAGACTGATTCCTGGCTGGTCTAGACTAGCCAGGATTCAGCTAGACAGGAATCACGGATAAAGCCAGGATTCACGAGACCGTGAATCCTGGCTTTATCCGTGATTCCTGGCTAGTCTAGACCAGCCAGGAATCAATCTATCTTTTACAATCAATAAAGCAAAAAGCGACGTATCAATTAACTTGTTTCTCATCTATAAATCTATCCAAAGATTACTGTAAAATTGAAACTGAAAAAGCTAAATTTCAGCTTGTTTTGCAAAAGAAATAATCACAGATTATTTGTCTCATTATTGTTATCAAAACAACAATGACACAAATGATCTGTGAGTTTCCGTTTTGAGAATTAAATCTTTTCAGAGAAATCTTTTCTCTTTTAGAACCAAGAAAAGTCTGTATGGAACTTTAAAGGCATAAGAAAATAGAGAGAATTCGATAATTTTTGAATCCAGAAAATCGATTCAGAAAAATTGAAAACCAGTGAGCCGGATGGCGAAAGTTTATAGAGAAATATGTCGAATATAAGCACTGGAACTCGGGTTGATCAAAAACTCGTGCGCCGTTGGGACACAAACCCGCGACCTTCCATCCACCCGGCAACTGTGCTAACCCCTACACCACAAAGCACTTGTTGCTCCTGCCCCAGAGGGAGTTAAGTCAAGCATGTTCCATGCAAGTTCTTTAAGACAGATCCAACCCTGGCTTCTGAAGATCTCGTTTGATCCAGAGGGGGTTAAGTGTGGAGCAAAAAGTAGAGCTGAACTATTTCAAATCATTTCTTTGTTTATTGCTTTTCAAGGTGTGACTTTTGTGGGGTAATTCGAGAGTTTCACGGAAAGAACCTTTAACTTTTAAACCGTAAACAGATAAAGGAGAGAGTTTTTTTTGCTGTGGAATGAACACCAAAGTGAGGAAATATGTTGAAGTCTGGAACTGACTTTAAAACGTTTAAAACGTTTTTTTTCAAACAAAAATCTACTAGTGATGATTTTGGTTTTAAAATGTTCTGCTGAAAATTCAAAAAGAAAAGAAAGTAGACGGAGAATTGGCTTTGACATTGACTGGTGTTTGTTGTACACAAGAATCGAGACAAAAGAAAAGCAACGGGCCTTAAAAATTTCCGGATTCTCTTTTTGACGTTGATAGGACATGAAAAAAGGAAACATGCTCATGCTTTTGTGAATAGAAAAACTTCAAAAGATTATGTAATGTCAAATATTAAAAGCTGATGAGTAAACGGTTGATTTCCGAATGAATCCAAGACTATAGGGAGCAGGGACCGATTTTCCAAGCAAAGCCTTTTGTTGGCTTTAACTTTGGCTTGTACATTGGCTCATAGCTTTTTAGAACTGCTCCGTTAAAGAGTGGCAAGTCTAGTTCTTGATTTCATTTAAAGATTTAGAAGATATTTAAGCCTAGACCAATGCCAATCAGTATTGGTCAGGCCAGCGGTGAGTTAGACTAGCTTAGCCAGCTAGCCAGATCAAAGCCCGCTAGCCAGATCAAAGCCAGCTAGCCAGATCAAAGCCAGCTAGCCAGATCAAAGCCAGCTAGCCAGATCAAAGCCAGCTAGCCAGATTCAGCCAGATCAAAGCCTGATCTTCAGATACTTTTTATGCTCTCAGATAGATCAGAAGATCTTTCTATGGCTGACTCAGATACTTTCCGTGAGCCAAACCAGGTCAGTTCAGGAGATAAAGCCAAAGAAAGATCTAATTTAAGGAAATCGCTTTGGAAAATCTCTGATTTATGTCATAAACTGATTGTTTAACTCAAAACAAAAATACACGATCAGTAGTGTTCATTGTAGACACATTGTAGTGTTCGAAATGTTCGAAATGTTTTACTTGAGAATAAACTTTTGTCTAGGGTTTCAAATGACATACAACTTTGAAGAGAACCCTTGTTGTACAAGATCTTTCAGAAATGGATAGGATTGTTGGATTGTTGGATTGTTGTTTAAAGAATTTTATACATATGCATCTCTAGATGACTATGATCGAGCTTGTTTTCTAAAACTTGGATCAACTTTCGAAAACTATCGTCATATTGCTTTAGTTTTTGTCAAATCAATTAGATATCTTTAAAATTAGTGAATCTTTACAGAATGAAGCCAAAAATAGATAAATTGAATAAAACTAGAGCCAGATTACAAGTTGACTAGAGAAAACTAGAGTGTTGACACTTTTTAGAAAGCTTAGTCAAGAGAAAAGCGCACAGCTGATTACAATATGTATAGCTGATCATGATCAACGAAATAAACAAGGCTACACACAAAAAAAGTGGATCTGATTAATTGAGAGTCGAGGGGAAATGATCGAGGTCGATCACTCACCCTTCACCCACAATTGGACCCTCTCTTTGACACGAACACACAAAAATTTCTTTAGACAAAAAGCTTTAGGCTTTCTTTTTGTTTCAAGAGCACGGTCAGCTGTCCACAACATTTCCCTTCACCTTGAACAATTGCCCCAATAGCACTACCACATAAAACAGAAACACATAATGGGATTGTTCAGTGTAATTAAATGCCAAAGTGAGCAATCACTTTTGAAATTTGAATCTATGAATACTAAACTTATCAGTAAGGCTATTGAATGCAAAGTAGGGTTGTTAGCTTTTGATAAGCTAATTAGTATTCATAGCGGTGATTAACGAAACGATTAACAACGAAATTACCCTTAAACCCAATGGGATTATTGAAGGCTGAGTATTTGTTTATTTGGACCTTAAGAAGGCTGGCTAATTGTAAGCTATACGTAAATTGAAAAGCTGATGACTGAATGGTAAAAAAAAGATTCCTTAATCAAGCTTCTGGCAAGTCTATGTCACTTGAAATCTAGGGAAACTGAACTTATCAGTGAGGCTATTGAAGGTACAAATTTTTGTCTAACAGTGTTTTTGAAGAAACCTTGAATTCCAGAGTTAAACAGATACAATTTTGATGAAAAAAAAAAAGCTTGATCTAGTCTAAATGAGTCTTTCTTCAGGAAGTTCTTTCCTTTAACTTCTTTTCTTTCCTTTCTTTCCTTCAAGAAATTCTTTCCTTTAAATCACTCTACAAACTAAAGAATTGAACAATTGAACAAAACAAAAAAAATCAAGAAACAAGGGTCAATTGTGTGAAAAAAGATCAGAAGTTGATCAAAACCATTTTAATTATTTTCATACAAGGATTTGGTTGATCCATTATTATGTCTACCTGTTTTTCGGTGTGAAAATTTTCTACACAAACTCATTGTGCTCGGCACAGCACATCCAGTTTAATTACCCGATTTGTGAAAAAGCTAATGTTGCTTCAAATAGCAAGCCAATCTCCTAGAGTCTCGTTTTCTATTGGAACTCAATTGAATCCAAGAAATCTATACGAAAAAGAGACTCGAATTGAGATTTGTGGAGCAATACAGTAGCCCCAGGTGTAACTGCTTACAAGAACAACATCAAAATCAAGAACAACAACAACAAAAAGCTATTCTAAAGCCTTTATTCAAATGCTAACGGTTCATAAATAGTTTCCAAAAGAATCGAAGATCATTTGAAGGGCTTTTCAGAGACTCCCCCTTCCCGTACACTCAATCGTTGAGGCTTTCCCCTTTCTCTCTTTCTTTATTGTGAACGGATGTCTTTTTGTGTCTTCAAAAATACGAGAACGGGACTCAACTTTTTGCTCTTGCTCAAGTCAAAAAGAGACTCAGAAAAGCGTAAAAATCACGGGCACGAGCCGCAAAAGTTTTTGCGGGCAACTCAAAACCGATGAGTGTTTTTTTTGTCGTCTATGAAGGCTGAATCTAAATGTGGGTAAACAGACAGCTGTTTTGCAATTGAACGAGAGACATATTGCTACAATATAATAAGAGGAAATGGATAATAAGAACAATGAACCAATGAGTATAGGAGCCCAGTGTAGATACCGAAACAATGTAGTTGAATACCGTCGTACTCATTCAACTACCGTATTACAGTTTGCGTACTGTGATACGAGAGCAGAGAACCGGAATCGTAAAACATGAAATTTGAAATCATTTGATCAATTGCGCTTAAACCGCAAGCAAAACTTGGTCTTGTCAAATAGGCGCATTATCGAAAAATATCATCGATCATCGCGGATTTCTCTATTTGGAAAGGAAAGGAGAAATTTTGTGAAATAGAAGCCGAAAAAAGGAGTTTTGCCATGTGTTTCTTTTCCTCATTCATTTATCGTTCAAAAGTGATTTTATCAACAAAACAATAAGTGACAAAGTACAAGATCACAAATTAACAAAGCAAAACCAAATGTAAATAACCTGAAATTAATGGCAAACCAAAACGAGAGCTCAAGATTTGATCTCTTCAAAAAGAAAAGAGATGGCGCGATTAACAATGTGACGGAAATTCGAAATGATAGGGATGATGAGAGCAAAGGAAAATGTTCATCAAACGCCCGTTGACTCGATTTGTGCAGCGGGAAATGATATTAAGGGATCAAAAGATAGAGGGAAACTCAGAGAACATGGAAATTATCGTAAAACTTCAACCAATGATAATTCTATTCAAAATTTCGACCAGGCATAAATGTGGACTGCGTTTCCAGCTAAAATGTTAAGCAGTAATTTAAAAATGGCCAAACAAACCTCGACTGAAATATCACTAATCGCTGCGAAATCCGAACAATCGACACCGCGCGGGACTGTGACTTTAGCAATGATCAGAGACTAAAATCAAATTGGTTAGAAATCCGTTTCTGAGACGTACCTAACAGCAAATGAGTAGTAATAATAAAAATGTATTACCTTCCTAACATTGAATAATTCTCGATTGAGTCCGCCAATCTCTAAAGGGGTGGCTGTGTCGAGAATCTAAATAAATCATTTTCGAAACGAAATTCAATTACCTTCACCGCTGCAGACGCATGATAATATTCAGCGCCGTCTTTGTAGATCACTGTAAACATTATCACAATACAGTAATGAAAGATTAACCTACAATAATCGGCTCCAAAGCTGATCCCAGAGCGTGGAATCCATCCAATCTCGCGTAGGTGTAGATATAGTGCAAATCTGCGAGCGAGTCGATATTTTCCGTGTTGTTGGCAGAGATAAGCCCACAGATCCAAGATATTCATTTCTTGTTCCTGAAATACGTAATAGAACGGCTGAATGTTCAAAAAGATGAAAGTTCATGCTAATTAATAAAACCATACTTTGTAAATGGAAGTGATAACGTTCGCTTCAGTCAGATATACGAGTTCTTCAGGCCCTAATCGCAGCCGCTTGTCGATAGATTTGAGCACTAAAAGGAAATGACTTTTTTTTCTTTTATGAAGAACCCACTTTCAGAACGTAATTGCTTAAAAGTTGCTAGTTTTTCTTCGTCATGTTCGCTGTTGGTCGATCTAAAATTTGTGCGCTCATTTGCCTATTCTGCGATCAACTTATAATTTCCTCTTGAGCTCGAATGAAAAAATTTACTTACATGATATCATTTTCTATCTGCTCGCAACTCGTCGTTGAGCAATTCTTTAACGTTTCCGGTACTGCATCAGCAAAACTGTAATTGAAAGGATATGCCTGAAAACATCATAGCACTGACTTCTTTTCTGGTAAACGTTGACAAGGTGGCTCTTCTTCGATATTAAACTGGGTCCCATTACTAAACAATTATACTTAGCATTTAAAAAATAATATATGGCTTTACCTAGGTCCATTTTGTCGTGCTCTTTTTCGTTTTGGTTCGCTACAAGCAGAAGAATTTTGAAAATTCAATGAAACTTGATAGCTGAAAGCGGTTGTTAGCAGGGGAAACGATATGAATTGATACCTAGTCTCAGCCCGTCGAAAACCTTCGCCCAAATAGTGTCCAAATCCACCCTAAAGAGAAAGTTTTACATGAAAAATGAACATGAAAATTACAATGAAAAAGTTTTACACAAAAAAATGAACAGATTGGCTTTGTAACAATTTTAGCGGTTAATATCAAAATTTTAACTAACTTCTTTGTGTAGAATTTGCCCCTTTCTTTCTTCTGACACAACTCCTATTCCTCCCCAGACGTCGACCTAAAACTAAAAATTTTCCGAAATTTTAATTTTCTCACTTCGGCATGCTCGATGAGGTGGGGCATCGGGAAATCTCTCGATGTGCCCTTCTTTCGGTCAAATTTTAACAAATCCATCTAACCAAAAATCAAAAACCATCTATTTGCCCAATTCATCAAGAGCAATTGTTTAAGGTATAACATTTAATATGCATTTCCTGCAGCTAACAACGAAATACTTCAAGCTTTTATTGCATTGCAATTTTCATGAGATTCCGTAATTAATAGTAAGTACCTACAATTAATCTATAATTGAAAAATCCCGAAGTTCAAAAGCAATTTTATCACAGACAAACGACTAATAAAATAAATACTCGATCATTCTTTGTAGCCAGCTACACTCTCTATTTCTTTCATCACTCGAAGACAAATCTCTTCTTGATACGGTAGAGTCACAACCTGAAGTAACAAATGATAACATCTCGGTTAAAAACTCTACTTGTACAGAAGTTGGTAATCCCTCACAATGTGCTGCCGCGCGTCGCATGTAACTCAAGGCAAGGTTCCATCCTAAAGCCGAATAACCCGAGAAGATTCTCAAGCACTTACCAACTGGGAACTTTGTTTCATCTTTCAAATCCCGATCGTCTTCTTCTGTGACTTTACCAACGGGAACGACTCCTAGAAACAAAGCTAATGCAAAGAAAAGCGAAACTTGTACTACCTGCAGGGAAATCCAGTAAGTTGAATAGTGTTGTCGAAACGGCACAAAACCCAAGATTCGAGGGCCAATGGTGCTTCACAGCGGGTACTAAAGGAAAATGTATATGGAATTTTTGAAAGGAAATTACTCGGAAAAGCTGGACAGACTAGAGCATCGATGCCCAACTCACGCCAGTACTCGATGAACTAAATATGCAAGATAAATTCCAAAAGAATTGGCAAACCAGCTGATGAAATATTGTTGGTATAATATTCATACCTCTTGTTTATAATCATCCGTGTCTTCCTGTGCTTGTCGTAATTCCGTTAGAGTCTTTAGTTCGGATGCACAAACAAGTGAAACCTAAATCCCGTTAAATCAATATTTGTACAAATAAAAAACCTGTGGTGAAATAAAGGAAAAGATTAGCTTCAGCAGAGTCCGTCCGATTGATGGCAACTAAAAACATTTTAATTGTAAATTAACTCGCCTTGCAAAACCCACCGAAAGTAGGCGAACGAATTCCTTCATATGATCATCGACCACATCAGCTTCGTAAAGTTCTTTTGTGTACTGGCCACCATCAGGTAAAAGGTTCTAATAATTTTCTGTTTAAAAAATTGCAACATGATTGCTTGCTTTGAAAACTAGCATTGCCATTTTCTGAGGATCCGGAACAGAGAATTTAATCATTTCATGACCTTGAGCACGCAGCAACTTAACGGTATCTTTTACTGCTCGTTGCATACTAAAAAAATGATTAACTCTACATTGAAATTTGTTTATACGCTGGAACTGGTGCAACATATCCATCATCTTCAAAATAACCAATTCGTAGCGGCTTCTTGGATGTTACGGTCTAATATTAATTTGTTTTATTTTATTAGAAGCATTCTTTTACTTGCAAATTAAAGGGAACCGCCGGGGTCGTGGGTGAAATCAACGAAAAATTTGAATGACCCAACGTTTCCTTCAGAAGTTCAATCTGTACAAAAGATGTAATAGGAAAATAAGCGAGCCAAAATACCTGCTCGGTCACACTTCTTGTAAAATAGCCAAAGCCCAGACCGAGCCTGCCACGACCAGGAACTCCACCATGCGAATGTAAAACAACCATTCTTTCTAAACAGAATTTGAAAAATCCAGAAATTTGGAATTTGAAATTTCTGCTACCGTGAATGACCCAACCCACCTTGACCACATTTAAGAGCAACACAACCGGAGAGCGCAGCCGGGATTCGAAGACTTCCCCCGACATCTGATCCAGTTCCAAAAGGCGTTCCATGGGCTGTCACCAAGCAGGCTTCACCACCAGATGAACCACCCGGGGTTCTAGAATTTAAGCCATAAGTCGATATAAAAAACTACAACCTCGAGTTGTCGTGTGGATTTCCAGTAGTTCCGTAAACAGAATTTGAACACACAAATGAAAGCAAACCCTAAATGTATTGCATAAAAAATCAAAGAAAATCATTTCATACATACCTGTGGAACATTCGTGAGGCAAAATGGAACGGCTCCCAAATATCGTAAATGGGTCACCATTGTGTTCTCTCGCTGTTTCGGTTGCTCGAGCATTTTGCCAAGACCAATATGACAATCGTATCCAACAAGCTAAAAAAGATTACTAAAAAATACCTAGATTTAACATACATGAAAGTTGCTTTTCACGGAGAAAGGTACCCCATACAGATAAGGCTTATCCTTCTTTCCAATCCATTCTTGGTCAACTTCTTCTGCATATTCCATGGCTTCCTAAAAGCCTTATGTTTAAAGGTATCGTTAAAAAGTAAACTACCGTAATAATCTCAGTGATTGGATTAAACTTTTCTTGCACTTGAAGAGCTCTTTGGATGTAGGCAAGTAAAGCATCCTTTGCTGTTATTTCCTCTTTTTGCAATAATTCTAAAAGGATCGTGCTTTTTAAAAAGACTGGGTAGTTACCACGTAGTTGATCAAGACCGAGACTTGAAATTCGAACCCATTCATCCCGTTGAGTTTGAGTCGCTTTATCGACCTAAACATTAAACTAGGTAGAAATAAACCACTGAATTTTACCAATTCTTTCCAATAGAGAAATCCTTGCTCGCGTCGTTGCTTTGCGCGAGCGATAGCTTGCTTGCGCGCAGATTTTAAACCCCACGGCTGAAAACTTATTATTGAATACTGTGCCTGCAAACTAACCCAAACAACAAGAAGCTCCCAAAGAAATTTCAATATGTTGGAACACCAAAGAGCATAAAATACGATTATTGTTGGTAAACAATTGAAATATTCCTGAAAACAGCCGGTTGTTTAATCAATCAACTTTCATACTAACCAGAATCGCCAACATTTTATGACACGGATTTTTAAACACGGTGTTTGACACCTAAAGCAGTGTTTCTTCAACTTCAACATTTGTTTGTTTATTTTCAAAATAAGTAGGTAGTTTTGGATTTATTTACCCGTCAAACTTCAACTTAAATAAGCATCACTGTTTATTCAAAGATATTTCCAACAAGAAAATTAACCACATAACACTATTGAATTTAACTACACTATAAGTAAGAACATAAAAAAAAACAAAGGAATATTTTATTCGAAAACATCTTTTCTATCGCAAATGTACTTGACGATGTCCCTTGGGGTCTTGAAACCATCCGCATCACCATCGGGAATTTCGAACCTAAAAGAGTAAATTAGCAGAGTAAGTTTGATCCAATATCTTATCACCAAAGCAAAAAATACCAACCCAAACTCGTCCTCTAAAGCCATGACAACTTCCACTTGATCAAGCGAATCGAGACCAAGATCCTAAACGTAAAATAATTTTTGCATAAACAATTAGATAGTCTAAATTAAAGTTTTTTATAACATAAATTTTAAATCTTGATAGTCTTGTTTAGAAGTACACCATCAGTCAAGATCAGAGCGATTAGAAAACAAACTTTTGAAAAGCTCGAATCCATCGTTAATTTCTTTGGATCGATTTTATCGTAGAGTGAAAGCACGAGAATAGTTCTATCTTCGACTGTTTTTAAAGTCAATGGTTGCTGAAATCGAACTAATATAAATGAACTAGTTTGAAATCTTTACCGCTGCAGAAAGTGAGCGAACTTGAGACGTTGTCTTCAATGTTGGTGCCAACAAACGGCTTGAGGATGGACACAAAAATCTAAAGACGAAATAGTTCTAAAAAGTTGTCAAAAATTACCTGTTAAAGGCAAAAGCGCTTGACTTTCGTGCTGCTGTCACCGAGACAACTCTTCCTAATTGGATGGCACTTCGGAGCATCCTGAATGAAATTTCAAGTGAAAAAAATTAAACTAGACAGGATATTCTTACTCAAACGAATACAAAAACTTTTTGAACATTTCTGTGCTGAAAAAAAATGAGTGCCGAACTGAAAGAAGACGAGAAAGGATTGTTATTAGTCAAGTTACGGTGCCCGCCTTTTGCAGTAACTGTTATTTGAAAAAAGAAAAATATCAAAAATCCACAAATAAAGTTTGATATAAAATATAAAATACAGTCGGATTTTATTCCAATAACATGAAAGAAAATAATGCAAAATACTTTATTCGACAGACACAATTTATCTGGTGAGCAGTGGCACGATGATTGAATCTTTTTGAACGAAATTGTTCCCGAATCGCTGATACTTTCTGCCTAAAGTTTCAAATTGAAGCATACACCAGGCGAAAGCAAACCTTGTCCAATTTGATGACATCAATCACAAGTGCCACTCGATCTATTAGATCTTGTTTGATACAATCTACAGAACCACAATTCACCTCATTCACCTATCAAGAATCGTCAACAAAATACCAAACGGAAAATCCGTATCAGGTGAGAAGCTTATCATATACTTTAATCGATTTTTGTTTAGAAACAACCAAACGTTCGTCAAATCGATCACATGTGTGTTTAGGTAGGTATATTTTAGGCACATTCTCATTTCCTTTTCAACTTGAATTGTTATGAGACTCAGTTTAGAAGCCATTTTCTGGAAGGGTCCGAGGTGACGTGATCGTCAACAACGGACAAAAGAAGAAATTCGTTCTGGGACCAAACAAATAAATATTCTGCATGAGTGTTCAAAAAATCTTCAAAACAACTTCGTAATCACTCTATCAAGCAGCACAAAAATGAGAAAGTTCTTTGCGTTGTTTTGTTTCGAAAGGAGCTAAGCATTTATTTACAAATCGAGCAACAAACAAACGAGATGAACAAAAACCCCTAGGCTATATAAATACTAAATTTTGAAGAATCATTTTGAGAGAAGTACGGCCACCAAAGCAAAAGCAGTGCTCGCGATGATGAACGAGAGTTCTCTAAACAAGAGTTCTATTGTTTCAGCATTTGGGCTTTTAGTTTAGGAATTAATGAATTATTTATGACATACGTCATCCCGTTTTCAATTTTATTCAGCTGGCTGATAAAATGGGTTGAAATTGTACCCAAGAACATCACCAACACGACTGAAAGTGGGTACTCGGCCAAATCCGAATGAAACTAACCTATATGAAGGGAATTGGTCAATCTCGAATTCGTAGTTAGGTGCCCCACCAGACGGAAAAAACGCCTAGAAAATTGCTTTTAGTAAAGAAAGAAAAGAGAAAAACAACCTTTAGTGCAGCAGATAAAGTTTTCTGTAGCGAGTCCCTGTCACCTTCATAAGTGAATCTCACATCGGGTGGTCTGGCAAAACGATCGGGGGCAAATGAAAACTAAAATAAAACCTTCCTAAAAAGATCGATTCAATTAAGTAAATTCGAAATCTAGAAGCAAAATCACCATTTGGTAAGCCGTTTTACGAGCCTCGTTTTCAAGTTCGTTATTTAAGTACACGTTCGCCACATTAAACGAAGGTTGAAAGACGATAGTTTTTACCTAAACAAAATATACAAAGTTATTATTTTGCAAAAAAGTATAACTACCTCTCCATTCGCTAGATATTTGACAACAAAGTCCTCCAAGTTCATCGGCGGCAACTTTTTGTTCAGATCGTGGTGCTCATTTCTTCGTCTAAAAGAAAACATTTACTATGGAAAAGAATAGAATAGATAGATAAAATTTCAAAATACGCAAATATCTAAAAAGACGATAGAAACCGTTGTAAAAACATACTTCCATAATAATAGAGCATGGGTTGACAACCAAACGACCAGCACTGATCCTCCAATTGCATATCCTCGCCTTAAACGCTCTAAAAATACATTATATTATTGACAAAGTCGATACATTTTGCTTATCTAAAAATCATTATAACAACAGAAAGCTTACGTTGTTCTCGTTTTTTCTCCCCTTCAGAGGTCGGTTTGAATGGCTCGGCTGAAGTAGTAGAAGAAAATCTAAACAATATGTATAATTAGTTGGAAACGTAAAAATTACCGAACAATTGAAGATGTTGCAACATTTTGTGTCTGGATTTGATGAAAAGTTGAAAAACGAAGAGCCAACGGGGAAGCGATTCGTCTGGCTGGGTGGATCAACACGAGACTTTTTAACGCCATCGCTTTCTAAAGAATAGTATGTAGTAGATAAACAACCTTACGCAAGCGCAAAAGAATTTACAGGAAAATAAAGCCAACAATCTCAATTTTAAAATTTTAACGGAAAGTGGTGCGAAGACTTCGACGTCAACAACAGATGTTGAGACCATGATGACTGCGCCGCGAAAATTGCGCTGAAAGACCAGAAGCGAAAATTGCGGCGAGCGTATTTAGCAAACTTTGCGCTGCGCACACAAAACCAAAATTGCGCCGAACAAACTAGCGCTAATTTGCTGTTTTTTGTTGTTGTGCTCTTTTCACTTACGGCTATAGGGGTTTTGTTTGTTAATACAATTTTAAAATGCCATTTTAAAACGCACCTATAATCATTAAAGGTTTTACGAAATGCATCTTCCACAAAGAAACACCAACCTACACACATACACAGACATACTCTCTCTTATAATAAATAAGGATGTAGTCTACATTTAGAAGTTTAAAAAACGAAAGGTAAAGTCTCAATGAAATAGCTTAAATCCTTCGGCGCAAATTTCGTTTTACGAAGGCGGCTCAACGCAAACGCAAATGGCGGCAGTGCAATTTTCGCTTCTGGTCTTTCGGCGCAATCGTCATGGTGTTGACGACGTTGACGAAACCCCAGGTGTTGACGAAATTTTGCTAGTAGGCCCACTCTTTTTTATGCTCTATGTATGTGCAATTAGTATTCTGTCGTTTCACTCGCGTAACGCTCGCTCACTAGTTTTAAAAATAACACCCTCTCTTTCCACCATTACACACTTGATATTGGTTTTTTCCCTCTCAAGTGGCATTCACAAAAATCTGATTCAAAGTCAGTAGTCTTTTATGTTTTTGAAGCGTTTGCTTCATCCACCCTTTTCTTTTACGTTTTAGAATTACTTACCCATCCATTTATTTTAGCATTGGACGATGCCACTGCCGAATAAAGATGATGTCTCTGAACAAGTGTGCACCGCGATCAAAAAGGAGGGCAAATTCGACGAGGTATTGGTTTTCATTAATTTAAGCTTTAGTTATGAGTAAAACGTATGAAGGATTGGTTTCATATTGCTCATTAAATAGAAAACCATGATTTTAAAAGTTTTTAGAATAAATTCACGGGTACTTGTAAATTTCAAATTTAGCACATTTTTAAAACTAAAATATACTGGTTCAACTTACTTTTTAGATCAGACGAGAAGTGGTCGAGAAAATAAAAGAACGCGGCCAGCTGAATCAATTGATGGTTGGACTCTTTATGGTTAATAATAACGATTTGGTATTATTTTAGGATCAAGCGAGGAAAGATGCCGAAGCATATCTAGAAACAATTCCGGACAATATGAGCAAGGAAGAGATACGAGCAAAGCTTCGCGAAGTTATTGGAAGGTATTTTTAAAGTATTAGTTTTTGTGAGTACAGTCAAAACTTCCATAGCGGAAAGCTATAATGGAATGGGTTTTTGTTCCCTGTGAGTGCTTTTCAAGCTTCTAATTTGCTTCATATAAAGGAATTTATTTTCAACTCTCTTGCATTTTGCTGTATGCAGCTGTGACTGGACTTTCCTAGTTGATTTTTATTAAATTAAATTTTTAAGTGAACAATTGCTGAAAAGCGCGAGAATGAAAGTATTAGAGTTTTGAGTTTCAAATGTGTTCATCCGTCTTCTTTTAGATTTGAGCCACAATTAAACCGCATTGTGCAAAGCAGTGTCCGAGAACCATGGGTTGAAGGCTGGTTAAGCAAAGAAGTACAAAGGTCGGTTGTTTGTTTTTTAAATTTCCATTTTCTCTTTCCATACAGAAAAGTTCGATTGGCGTACGGGTTGCCTACTGATGAACATCTCTAATCTTTTTTACTATTTTGATATTTTCCCCAATCACTAAATCTTTATACCTCATTTGATGTGATTTCTTCCATTTTGTGATTTAAACATTCGCAAAGGATTTTAATAATTTACCCTTTATTAGCTATACGAATAAAATATTTTGGTAGTTAGATGGTTCCGCTCGCTGCGACATGTCTGGTCAGCTTGGAGAGCCGGGATCTGCCCTTGCAGCAGCTCTTCGACGACTAAAAGTAATTTTAGTTGGATAAATCTTAATAAGGAGTTTAAGTTTCATAGTATGGCTGTTGATTCGTTTGGACCTGGGACAATGACTCACCTGAGCATTCGCAGCTCGAGCGGAGACTTTGGACTTCTGAAATTTAGAATTTTTAAGACTAGGTATAGGATGGATCCGGGTTTGAAATTTTCTATAAGCTCTACAATCACAACATCACATGTGTTTACCGGAGCGACATCTTGTGTAACTGCGGTGCCCTGATCGACAAATGAGCGCCTGGCTTTCCGAGGAATGCTGTGGCGACGAGGAGTTGCATATGCGAGAATTGTCCTGTAATGGAGTTCGATTACTGCACTCATGCATAAAATATTTATTTTTGGCATCGGAGCAAAACTAGAGGCAAGATTACGATAGCTTTCCGAAAATTACCACTTTTTAGAAAAACTCTTTACTTATTGAAAACACATCTAGTGCTACCGTAACTGTTTTCTGAAGTTCAAATCGTCTACTTGACTTTTCACCTTGGCACCCACCTTTCCTTTCTCTGTATTTTGCAGATGAGATCCGAGTAGAAATGGATTTTCGACGCGAAATCGCCCAAACCAGCAATGACCTCGAACTCAAGACCAAATTTGCTTTCACACTGCTCCTGAAAGTTTGATCTTTGTTTGATATCGACTTTGATGCTTTATTAGTCTCTTCACTCTGACTCAAACCTGTATCTTGTTCGAGATCGACTGAATGTTGCAATCCTCGAAGCCGCGTTTATTCAGCGAATCGTACGCCTGGTGAATTGTGTCCTCGAGGGTGGAGTTGCAGCAAAGAAAACCTGAAAACTCGATGCTAAAGGATTGAATTTTTGATAAACCTCCAGTGTTTGTGTAGCAAGAAGCTAATGGGTATCTGGGGTCCAGAGTGGTTGTTGTAGTTGTGGTGGTGGTGGTGGTGGTCGTTGTGGTTGTAGTAGTTGTCGTTGTAGTAGTAGTTGTCGTTGTCGTTGTCGTCGTAGTAGTTGTTGTGGTGGTAGTGGTTGTTGTCGTAGTAGTAGTAGTAGTTGTTGTTGTTGTTGTTGTGGTGGTAGTAGTGGTCGTTGTCGTTGTTGTAGTTGTAGTAGTGGTTGTCGTAGTTGTTGTAGTTGTAGTAGTCGTCGTAGTAGTAGGCGTCGTCTCCACCTCATACCCAGTGTCAACCGGTGCCGGTGCATCATACCCACTTGTTACCGGCGCTTCATATCCACTTGTGACTGGCTCTCCATACCCATCATTGATCGTCGTCGGTTCATCGTATCCCTGTGTACTTGGCTCTTCATAGCCTACCGTGCTCGGTTCTCCATACCCTTGTGTAACCGGTTCATCGTATCCCTTTGTTGTCGGTTCTTCGTATCCAGTACCAACTGTTGTTTCTTCGTAACCACCCGATTGAATTGGTGGCGCTGGTGCTGTTTTTGGTTCCTCATATCCTCCACTTTCAATTGCCGGTTGTGGTGGAACGAGCACTTCTCCACCAGGCAATGGATTTGTTCCCAATGATGTGAAATCGTCATAGGATTGACGCTTTGTATGAACTGAAAAGTTAGCTGTCTGTTTCGATTTGAAGTTGGTTTCTGGAGCCTAGCTATCTAGGTGTTTGAATCGAAATAGTCTTATAGCTGATTACTGTAACCATTGTAGTGATCAAGGTACTGTAGTTACTATAGCTATTGTAGGTTTTTAAAACAAACACATGACATGAGTATATTTTATAACGCACTGATGACTTGGAATCTATACTAGCTGTTTTCTAGGAGCCTAGAAGCGCGATTACAGTAGTTCTCGAAAAATGATACGTTTTATTAGGTTGACAACTGGAAAGCTGGTACACTTATTCATTGCACTTTTATAGAAATAACTAGTGCACCAATTAATCTACACTTTTTACCAATAAAAAGGCTCATTTATTCTCTAAAATAGATTTTTGACAAATTTAGAAAAGCTTCGGTTTTTTAGATTTCTAGGGGGCAGAAGTTGAGGAAGCAAAAATGATGAACACTTGATGAAACGATTTGAGCACTTTCTTCTACATAAACCTATTTTCATGTTAATAGAAAAAAAGATAGAGCATAAAAAGTTAGATAAATTGTCGTGACGATCTCGTGATCGAGATCGCCACGTATGGAAATGGCCAGCTAGGCACCTATGTGGACGAACGCCTATTGTGCGAGATTTAATATGCGTCGCTATCCGTTCAACTCCATTGTGTGCAAGACGAGACCAACGCCTGAGTTCCGTATAAACGAGCGAGCTGAGCAAGTGAACAAGCTGCCGACGTGTGCCGTGGAGTGTCTCTACTCTCCCAATCTCAAACCACTGAACCAACTATTATCGCTGTAATAAAGATTATATCTAAACCAACAATAATCACTACATAAATAGCCAAATTTTCAGCTAGCTATAATCAAACGTTTTTTTTTATAGTTTCATTTGAAAAATTTCCAGAAATTCAGAAAAACCTTGAATTTTGGCACAAATTCATTTCAAAAGTTACCCAAATTTGAGCAGAAATCACTTAAATTAGATAATATATATTTAGAGAAGTCTAATTCAATTCGCAGTATTAAATATATTTTATGGAGTGTACGAAAAAGTGTAAAAACTTTTGCCAATCTAATAGTTGCCAATCTAATAGGAAACGCATTAGTTAAAAGGAACACAAAGTTTTATGCAACGAACAAGATCTTATTATGGTTCAAAAGTTGATCTTTAGAAAATGCAACCGTTGTTTCTATGCAATGAATGCAATGAATAGGTACTTAAAGTCTAGCCCACCTTTGATCCGCGGAACCTTCGATTCACCCCGGTGAAGTCTTGATCGACTCTCAGCCAGTGAGCCATAAATAAACACGGATAAACCGAAAAGCAATATCGCCAATGACTTCATTTTATGACTCAGAAATCAGCTGAACGGAAGTGTTCTTTACCAAGTTGCGTGCCTAAATATATGCGATCTTGAATGGATAGGGATACTTCAATTAGAGGTCATCTCTCCCTTTTTAACTTACAATAAAACTTTGTTCTCCATTTTCCTCTGCAAACAAGCATAAGTTGTTTGCTCTCTTTCTTTCTCTCTTTCTTTCTTTCTTTCTCTCTCTCTTTCTCTCTTTCTTTCTCTCTCTTTCTCTCTTTCTCTCTTTCTTTCTCTCTCTCTTTCTCTCTTTCTTTCTCTCTCTTTCTCTCTCTCTCAAACTCTTGATGAAAAGTAAATGATTTAAAAGGTTGTTCATTTGTGAAAAAGTTTTGAACTTTCTCTTTTGAAGTGAAGTTGAGATGAGAAATTGGCACACGCCTCCTTTTTCTCTGAAATCTTCTTCTTTTCAGTTTTTGTCTTGCTAACAAGGCGTTTCCATGTCGCTCATTCTTGCAAATAAATGACCCTTCGATTTTGAAAAGAGTTTTTCTAGTGAGACTCACAGTGAGACTCACTTTTCGATACAGTAAATTCTACCAGTTATTTGTTTGAAAAGACTTGATGAAGATTGAAAGCAAAGAGTTCATTGAACAATAATATATTGAGAGAAAGAAGAGGAAATGTTTCTAGAGCTAAAGATTGGGTTGAGTTTACTTCGGCATCTCGGCACTAGACTCTTGTTTGACTGCCTTAAGACTTAACTATTGAGCAGTGTGCTATTCAGAAGTTCCTATCAAATGAGACTCAAAATGGATGTCTATGAAAGCAATGAGTACGTTGTAAATCTGTGAGGATTGAAATTTCGATAGAAAACTGATTAGATGATGATACTAGCCTAAGCGTAAACAAAACTAGGCTACTGTAAGTCACTGAATTTACTAGCAACTTGGCTACTGCACTTAAATACTGTACTTTAATGGACTGCTTTACTGGATTTCAAAACAGATTTACTGGAAACGGATTACTGTACTTATATTGGTGTTTGTAGAAGTGTATTAGCCTGATTATGCGTGATTTGGCTACTGTACTTTACAGTCTTAATACCGGAACTGAGTTACGGTTAGCCTTGTTTTATTCTTCATAGTTTATTCACAAAAGAATCGATAGGCTATTGCCGATTCATTGTTTTATAAACTGTCAAATGTTATTTTTGTAGTTTCTAAAAAATTTCAAGTTTCAAGCTTTTTTCTCCTTTTCTCCGCCAACATCTCCTCCGACAATAATCCGACAGGTTGGCGACAATAATCTGACATCCCTATCACCAAAAAAAGCTTTTTCTTTTCTATCCATCTCAAAGCTTTCCTTTACCAATCGTGATTTAAGGAAAATGTTTTTTTTTTTGACAAGAATCGAGATCAGTATCGAGCAACAAACAAATGAGATGAACAAAAATCCCTAGGCTATATAAATACAACTCTTGCGAATCAGTAGAAATTGATCTAATCATTCATTAATCTCTTCCGGAATGATTCAAGAAAAAGATTAGTGAAGCGCTTTGTCAGCAAAATTGGATCTTTCTTCGGAAAATGAAAACAAATGGGTTTATCGGTCTTGTGTTTTAGTCATCTTTCCAAAATCGTTAAAGGAGAAAAGACTAAAAGTTGAAGTATTTACAAATCGAGCAAAAAACAAATGAGATGAACAAAAATCCCTAGGCTATATAAATACTAAATATTGAAGTGACATTCTACTTTTCAAGCATGAAAGGGGTGAACTGCATTCAAAGTATAGATTTAAAATCAAATAAAACTGTAAATCTAGAGTTGAACTGCAATTGTGCAAGAACTAGACAAGAACTGGACAAGAACTAGGCGAGAACTGGACAAGAACTGAACAAGAATTAGACAAGAATTAGGCAAGAAGTGGACAAGAATTGGACAAGAATTAGACAAGAACTGGACAAGAACTAGGCGAGAACTGGACAAGAATTGAACAAGAATTGGACAAGAATTAGACAAGAATTAGACAAGAAGTGGACAAGAATTGGACAAGGATTGATCAAGAACTGAACAAGAATTGCAATTGGAATGGCTTGCAATCCAAGAGTGAAACCGGGTCCAAGGGCAGGTAAGACCAGAGAAGCACGTCAAGCCGGTCCAGCTCTCCAAGACTTGAGCCAGGTCAGAAGCCAGTGCCTTTCTGGTGTGGCGTTGCCTGGCCGCTGAAAAATTGCTTTTTAAATAACCCTAGTCAAGAGTCAGGTTCTGGTTTGCCTTGTAGTTGTTTCAGATACTTTATGGATCAAGCTGGAGGGTCAAGGCTTACAATCAGATTTTCAAAGCCACGGTGCAAGCTAATCCTAGACAAATTTGTTTTCTTTAGTTTTTGATTGCTCGAAAATCAAACGATTCTTTCCCCAGTTCCCGTTTACATTTACATGACATTCTGTGAGTGTCGAGGCTGGTTTAATTCCAAAAACGACACGAGATTATCCTGCCCATTCTTATTCCCAAAAAAATGGTTATGAAGAAAAAGGAGGGGGGGAAGAAGGCCTTAAGAATTTTTCTTTTCTGATTTTGATATCATATTGGGAGATAAGTCTGTAATTCCTTTCATTCACACCCCTTTTCCCCGTCAACTTGACCATGCGGCTTAAAACATTGCGATACCCAACTCGCTCGTCTTTTCAACTTTTCGAAAAATTCCCTTGTTTCTGTTATTTTTCTTCTTCTTCTTTTACTTCAGCTATCATTTCTTTTCTGATATTCTTGTTAAAGACGAAACTTTACACGGCTTGCAAGTGGATTTCCCTTTTGTGAAACAATTTTATTTCTGATTTACTAATTGGATTTTAAAAAAGATTAAAGAGAAGGTTTGTGATGAAAGTAAAAAGATAAGATAAAAGATAAAGATAAAAGAAAAAGATAAAAGCAAAAAGATCAAAGCAAAAAGATAAAAGCAAAAAGATAAAAGCAAAAAGATAAAAGCAAAAAGATAAAAGAAAAGGATAAAAGCAAAAAGATAAAAGAAAAGGATAAAAGAAAAGGATAAAAGAAAAAGATAAAAGAAAAAGATAATAAGATAATCAAAATTAATTATTCAAAAATAAAAATGGTTTAGAGCTTTTTTGACTTATCATAGGGCCTGATGCCGTTCCCCAGTTAAACATTTAAAATTGAAAAATCAGAAGGTAAAATTCTGGCTTAGTTTAGAAAATTTAGCACTGAAAAAACTCTAAATGAAAAGAATCTAAATAAAATGAGAATAAACAGTTCAAATTGAACTAGATCAAAGCCAGCTCAGTCGGCCAGTCTTTTGGCTGACTAGAACTAGCTTTTGGCTGACTAGAACTAGCTTTTGGCTGACTAGAACTAGCTTTTGGCTGACTAGAACTAGCTTTTGGCTGACTAGAACTAGCTTTTGGCTGACTAGAACTAGCTTTTGGCTGACTAGGACCAGCTTTTGGCTGACTAGGACCAGCTTTTGGTTGACTAGAACTAGCTTTTGGCTGACTAGGACCAGCTTTTGGCTGACTAGAACTAGCTTTTGGTTGACTAGGACTAGCTTTTGGCTGACTAGGACTAGCTTTTGGCGTGAGCATTGAGCCTGCCTGACTTTGGAATAACCATGTCTAGTTCTAAGGATTCAGTAAAGCTGCCGTAGTCACTACAAAAAGCATTCAGCTGATAAGCTTGCAGCTTCATTAAGTTCACAAAGTCAAAATTACCTGTTAACTTATATTCAGGACCTGTTAATTAGGACCTGGCTATCAAAATCACAATATTAAAACTAAACTACAGTGCAGTAAACTAGCTAATTAAACTACTAAACTCGAGACAACGATTTTGAAATTCTAAAACAGGTCCTTGGTTCCTGCGTAGCTGCCCAGCGAAACGCAATCGTTGACCGTTCAGGGCAGCTACGTAAGGGTTTAGGGCAGCTACGTAAGGGGTACTTTTTAGAATCGTTAAATCAAGAGTCGACTGTACCGAGTTTAATCAATCAAATCTATCTTATCCAGAAACACACCGCACTCAATCAGTCCATGTTGTTTCGTTGTTTTTTTCTCACCGCCACTCTCTTTTTGATCTCAAAGCTTCCCTTTTCCTCATCGGATCTCCGTGCCGAGCTTTTTCCACAATGTAAAGACTGTGAGTGATATTTTTGGATGGCCAAATCTCTAGTCAAATAATTTCTAGTTGGCACAAAAATCGATAAGAGCCTCTGCCGACAGCATTATTTCGTTTTCGTCTTCGTTTTGCTTCGAAGTGCCAATATTTCCGGGCACAAAGAGGATCCGCAAACGTGGGTGAATATCTCAAACTTGAAATGAAAATTTGTAATCAATTTTCTGGTAAAATTAGCCTAAAAAAGCAGCGGACCATTACTTTGCCAATAAATCTAAATTTGAATAAGAATTTCTTAATTATTAATCTCTCCAGACATTTGGAAATCACGAAGAACATTCTCAGACCGTGCCTTGACTTCGAAAGTACAACAACCGGAACGAAAAGGTTTTGAAAATTCGTTAATTCTTGAGAATTGTTTATTTTCAGTGTTGTCATGTTCGCCGATCATGATTGGAGTGAGTTTTCGAGAATTTTATTGTCAATATCAAAGCTTTAAATCTTTCAAGACTCTATCTAGATCTGACCCTCTGATTTTCCTTGGATTTATAAATCTAGATCTTTTTAAACCTTAACAAAACTTAAAAAAAGCTAGCTAGCTACTTAGTTAACACTAAAATTTGCATTGATGAATAGAGTGTGTTCCTTGCGAGTAATGCGTTTTTTAAAGCGCACGGGAGTAGGACAAATGCGACCTTTTTTTGCGCGCCTGGACATTTGTGCACCTTTTTTTGCTGGAAAAGGCCTTAGGAAAGGCAGTAGAGCTTCAAAAATGTGTTTATATAAGGGAATCATATGCGTAGATTCCGAATTTCGACAAATCAGACCTCGCTGGCACGTCAAATTTGGGCTAAAAGGCAAAAACTACGCAACTTAACGCTTTTCCACAGTTTTTTTGCCTTTTAGCCCAAATTTGACGTGTCAGCGAGGTCTGATTTGTCGAAATTCGAAATCTACGCATACGATTCCCTTATATAAGCACATTTTTGAAGCTCTAATGCCTTTCCTAAGGCCTTTTCCAGCAAAAAAAGGTGCACAAATGTCCAGGCGCGCAAAAGAAAGTCGCATTTGTCCGACCCCCTTAATTTAAGCTTTAGTTATGAGTAAAACGTATGAAGGATTGGTTTCATATTACTCATTAAATAGAAAACCATGATTTTAAAAGTTTTTAGAATAAATTCACGGGTACTTGTAAATTTCAAATTTAACACACTTACAGTACCGAGCAAAAGTCTTGCAACATCACTTTTTCAAAAAAATCGATGAAATTTTTTTATAGAAAATGCCACCCGTTCGTAGGGCTTTTTTGTTTTTAATTAGAATAATACATGTACACTTTATTTACAAAAACAAATTTGAAGTTCAGCGCAAAACAAAAAAGTAAATGACAAAACTACTGAAAAATACCCTAAAAACTGGGTGCAAAAGTCTTGCAACATTATACAGAAACATCAAAAATTAATATTCAATCGGTTCACCTTTGGCCAAAATCACTTCATTAAGTCGTTTAGGCATTAAGTCGACTAATTCGTGAAGAATTGCTGGGCGAATTAAGCTCCAAACTTTTCGTATGTAGAACCATAAGTCAACTTTTGTGTGAAAGTCTTTTCCTCGTAACTTTGTCTTCACGTAAGCCCATAAATTCTCAATAACGTTTAAATCAGGCGACATAGGGGGCATATTGACCAACAAAACATTATTAAGGGCAAGCCATCCAGGGAGATCGGCTTTTCCTCCATTTGAGAGACACACCGTGGGACCCATCATGGGCTTGTTCTTGTGAACCGGCGAATTGTCCTGGTAGAGAAACCATCTAGGAGCCATGTAATCCTGAGCAAATGGAAGTAGACATCCTTCTAGTATTTCCATATACTGGCGAGCATTCATGGTTGACTGGATGAGGACGAGTGGACCTGCCACATTTTTTGCCATCGCCCCTAGAAAAAGGCAAATTAATGCATGTATTAGAAATGAGGCTTACCAAAACACATGATGAATCCTCCGCCAGCTCGCATTGTAGGTCGCACATATTTAAGGAGTACTCGCTTTCCAATGGGTCGTCTGATCAAGTGGTTGCCTTTTGGAGAAAAGATATCCACTTTTGTTTCATCGACAAAAATCACGTTGGCCCAATCCTGCTTTGTCCAACTTTGGTACATCCTGGCGAATAGAAGCCGTTGTTTCCTGTGGCCAGCGGTCATCAAAGGCTTTCGTACAGCCCTCTGGCTATACAGTCCTGCTTGAGTCAATCGTCGAGAAACGGTCCATCGAGAGATATCCTTGTTTGCAACATCCTTGATCAGCCGAGCTCCCTCAGTTGATGTCATGTTCGGATCCTTCTTGGAAGCCATCACAAGTATTCGATCCTCTTTTGCTGTTGTTCTTCTTGGCCGTCCTTTCTTCTCTCTTCGGTGCATAAGTCCAGTTGTTTTTGCTTTTGAAACAATGCGAGAAACCGTCGAAGGATCGCATTTGAAGAGATCGGAGACAACGGCTCGAGAAATTCCTTTTTTTCTTGCTTTCATGGTTTTTCTCTTTCGGGAGTCGTCAATTAGGTACCTGGCATCTGAAAAAAACAAAAATTAGTGTAAATTAATAAATTTGAAAACAATAAAAATGAGAAACATAGAATGTTGCAAGACTTTTGCACCCAGTTTTTAGGGTATTTTTTTGTAGTTTTGTCATTTACTTTTTTGTTTTACGCTGAACTTCAAATTTGTTTTTGTAAATAAAGTGTACATGTATTATTCTAATTAAAAACAAAAAGCCCTACGAACGGGTGGCATTTTCTATAAAAAAATTTCATCGATTTTTTTGAAAAAGTGATGTTGCAAGACTTTTGCTCGGTACTGTATATAAAACTCCTTTTAAAGATATTCAGCCATTTAACTGATTTGGTGGCGAATTTCCCTTCAAATGTAAAGATATTCAATTTACTCGACGTGTAAAGAGGATTACGCGTAGTTTACTCGACGAAAAACGTCGATTGAAGCGAATTTTACTCGAGTAATTACTTACACGCCAGGAACACACTCTATTGATGAAACTCTTCAGAAATCGATCAAACCGAGACACACGGGGTGGATGAAGTGATGAAAATGGCGAACTTGACCTACCTATACGACTATATTGTCATCGATAAAGAGTTTGTTTCGAGTATTTAACATTACCGACTTGCAAACAGTTTCATTTTTTCACAATTTTTCTTCTAGCGTCAACAGTGTCGACGATTTGGATCAGCTAATCATGGGGGCCACAGATAAAATGGTCGCCAATCCATCCGATGTCCAATATGCGGTCATTTTCTTGCTCAACTCGCCTGATTATTTTGGTCAGTTTTTTGGCGACTTTTTTTTGATGATTTTCTGATTTTGTGCTAGAAAGGATGTGTTTTTAAAAAGAAAGCAACTTTTGTTGTAAGTTTAGTACCAAGAATCTATTGAAGTTGAACTTTGGATGTTTTTTTGGTACTTTAGAGGTTTTTGGTAATGTTTTTGGTACTTTTTTGGTTCTTTTTTGGTTCTTTTGGCACTTTTCAACTTCAGAATTTCAACAAGTTTAGCTTTAAAAACTTGGCTTAGGCTTAGGCTTGTTTAGAAGGGCAGCTAGGAAAGCTAGGAAATGACTAATGCTTAATTTTTTTGAATCTTGCTTTGAAATAATGTACTATAGAATTCTTTTCTTTTTTCTAGTGATGGATCTCTTCGGCGCCTCGGTGAAAGATTTTGGTTTCAAGACGATCAAGAGCTTCAAGTATGCGAAAGTGATATCGCGACTCATTTTCACTTATGTATGAAAAAATACTTTTACAAGTAAAATTTCCTCATTTAGCGCCACAATTTTCAACTCTCCACAACGATCTATCTCGATTATCTCAAAGACGTTTCTGAAGGGTATTTCGACTATGTGAGTTCATTTCTGCATATGGCACTGATCAACCGCCTCGGTGAAAGCTGTTTTTGCGAAATTCTAGTACTAGTTTGAGTACTTTCCAACTAACCTTTTTTCTAAAACGCATCAAGTTTCGAAAAATATCGGAATATTGCCCTTAGTCTTATCCAATCTATCTTATTTCTCTACAAAAAGACGTAAAAGTATTATGATTGGATGGCTAGGTTTGACTTAACGGTTCTAGCTTTTTGTAGTAAGATTGCGATAGTTTTTGAAAGTAGTCATGTTCTAGAAAATGTACTAGAAGAAAGAAACACTCTGTGATAATCTTTAGGAGATTTATTAAGTCTAACTTTTAGATTTATTAAGTCTAACTAGCTGTCAAAAGCTGTCAAGTAACGTTTTCCATTTTGCCAAATGTTTGTTTTACTTTAAAAAGCTTAACACATTCACGATGGGCTGTGCTAATGGCGATTATTTTTGGTGTCAAATTTCTAAAGACTTTTGTTATTCATTTTGCAGAAAGTTCTCAGTAACTTTGTACTAGTTTTCAAGAGGAAATTCAGAGCTATCGAATGACTATAATAGTTTAGTTTATCTTTGAATTTTCATTAAATTATCAGTAAAACAGTTAACGACTACGAGATTGTACGTCCAAAATGTCATCACGAATGTGTTAAGCAAAGCTCTTCATTCTTAAAGTTCAGGTTGTCGACGAGATGACCGACGAGAAATCGATTGCGGAAAATTATGGAATGTGCACCGGATACCGTAAGTTTAACTAACTGTTCGTGTCACAGCTAAACTAGAAAAATGGTTGTTACAGTTGAGTATCGTTATTAAAATATAGTATGCAAATTCTCTAGGTAAGCCAAAAGAGAAAAGTAGTACACTCAACGTTTGGGTGCCCTTGGTGGCGGTTGGTGGCACACTTCTACTCGCCACTATCATCTGCATTGCTCTCGCGTGGTTTGGGTGAGTTTAGATTTCATTTCTTAATGTACTTCTTTTTTATTTACCACTTTCTTCTTCTTATCCCATTGTAGAGTTCTGAACGCGCCGGCTCGTCGCCTTCACGATTTCCTCGAGACGAAACTCGACGTCACTGTTAATTGGCTTGATGTTTGGATTTGGAGAAATTATTTGCAGTTGAATAGATTTTTAGGTGGAAGACGGAGAGAATATGTTTGGATCAGGTGGAAGAATCAAGAGGTAGGCGTTATTTTTGTTAAACTTGGTCTCGGGATAGAAACGGATTTGAGTCAATAGCATGGAGCAATAGCAGTCAATGGCCTTTCAGTGAATCGTTCCATTTCAAGATTCTTTGGCAGCTCTTTTTTTGAACTCTAACATTTTATCTGATCCAGGAAATTACTCCAACTCAAAGTTCAATGAGAATTGAGGCTATTTCCTTGATACTACTGAAGAGTTCTAAGTTCGCATGATTCTAAGCCAGACAACAGCCCGTCCAGGGTTGTTTCTGGAGCAAGATTTACCTCTAAGTGAGATCTAAAACATCCGACCCCAAACTTTTACAAAATTGCCGTTTAACGTAGAGAACCACGTTGCAATACTTGTCTAGGCAATTCGAATCAAACGCCAAAAAGTAGGAGCTGACTTATCTTGATGCTTGAACATCTTGAACATGATCACCGTATCACAAAGCTTTTCTAAATACAGATCCTTTCCAGGGAAGAGTAAAGCGTTTTCTAACATTCTAGCGTAATTTTGTGAATGGTCCAGTGGATTACGCGTTTGCTTCTAAAACCAGTCACTGTTAGGTCGCAGGTTTGAATCCGGTCAGAGTCAGCACTTTAAGAAAGAATTTTTTGAAAGAACTTTGATATACGTATAAGAAAGAATTTTGATTTAAGTATGGTAAATAATGCTTGCAAACATTTATTAAAGACAAAATAAATGTTTTTTAAACATTGAAATCAGCTAAAAACTTAGCAACAAAATGTTTTATAAAATAAAATGATTAGCTCCTTTTATAAACCATTCCAAAACCGCGTTTTGGAATGGGCATTACTTGATGTTTTAATTGACGCTTACTCAAGTAATTACTTGAGATACACACACTCTGTTTCAGGGTAAACGATGAATGGGAAGTCGATCAATTGACCCTTCACGTGAGCAATCAAAAACTTGGCAGTGGTGCCTATGCTTCGGTCTACAGTGCCACGCTCAGCGGTCTTCCTCCAGTCGTCAAAGCGTTTCCGAATCTACAAGTTAGAAAGTTTCAATAAGATTAAGCAATTGTTAAGATTTCAGCAAGCTGGACCATTGTTTATGGGTGGAGATAACACGATTGCTGTCAAGAGTCCACATGTGCATATCTCACCACAAGAGAGGTTTGGTTAAAAAGAAGAAAAGGGATGGACTTTGTGCTTAAATTTGTAAACGCGCATATCTTCTGGTGCATGGAATTCTCCATTTTTCACACAATAACGCTTCAACGCTACGAGAAAAATGAAGAACTCAGTGCGCCAGAAGTGCGCCGTCTATAATTTTGAGCGTGCAAAGTACACGCTGTACTTTGTTTTCGTATGCAAGCACACCCTTTCTGGTGCACTTAATTCTTCATTTTTCTCGTAGCACGTAGTTATTGCGAGAAACAACTGCACCAGAAGGGATGCGTTTACAGTTGTTTTTTTTGCACACAAAATACACTACGGGGATCCTAAACGAACGGTTTTTGGCACACCAACTTCTAAAGAACAAAGAGTACTTGAATTTTCAAATTTCTCAAATCTAGACGAGAGTTTTTCCGTGAGATTGCTTTCATGAAGAACCTTGACTATCATCCGCATCTTCTTTGCATGTTGGGTTGCTCAACCGATCCAAAAACGCCAATGATTCTTCTTGAGCTCTGTGAACTCGGTGATTTACATTCAATTGTGAAAAAAATGGCCAAAATCGAGAAAAGAGACGGGAAAATGGACGATGTTGAAATAGAGGTATTGTAAGAAATTTTATTCAAGAAAAACTCTTGTTCTAGAAAGCGAAAAATGCGCTGAAAGTGGACGATTTTGTGTCAGTTGCGTGGCAAGTCGCTGATGCGTTGGTAATGGTTTAGAAAGTGTTTTCTAAAAAAACACTTATAGAAAAACTTTAGAAAAACCTTTACCACACTGCTAGTTTTTAAAAAAAATGAATTTTAGTGCTACCTTGTTGACAAACAAATCATTCATCGAGATATTGCCGCCCGAAATGTGCTCCTTAATTTGAATAAAGTTGCCAAGGTGGGGATTTTTGAGAACTAATTCTCTACTGTGTGGTTTCTGAATCTATTTTGAATCATTAAAGCTCTGAAAACTAAAACAAGAGAACAAATAGAATCAAAGACAGACTCAATCAAAGACAATATTGTAAATTACTGTAAATTACAATATTTGTAAATGTACAACCTCTCCAGTCTAACTATTAGATTAGCGAAAAAGTTTTGACACCATTTTTTCAATCTCTTTCTAAGCCTCTGAAAGTTCAAGACGCCCACGGCTATTGGGATTTGCTTACTCTAGTATACTATTATAACCACTGAAATATCGTCTTATCGTTGTCTTTATCGTTATTTTTTTTGTCTAAAATTAGATCATGATATGTCCCTTCATAACTCTAAAAATCTATTACGATGATCTCATGAAAATGAAAATGAAAATGAAAATGAAAATGAATAATACTTATAAAGAAGAATCAATGTCTCTATAGACTATTCACAATTAGCTTTATTGTATTTAAAAGAGTAGCTTTTCCTAACAAGATTAATCGAGTGACTGTGATAGATCGACATTAATATAACTTCTAGAAAAGATAAGAAATAAAAAAAACCCCCGCGAATTAGATGGATAGCCTTTGTATAATAAAATTCAAATAAAACTATTAATTCGCCGCCATGGCTGACTGCTAAGAGCTAAGGCTAAGAGCCATGTATCTTAGTCGTGAAGTCATGGGTTCAATCCTGCTGGCTAGTTCTTTTTTCCATAGATATCGGCTTTTTCCCCTACATTTAGGACTTGTGCTTGCGTATTGTTTATACCAAAATATTCGTGTGAATAGATTTTCTTTAATTAGGTTTATGGGGGCTGAATTGAGTTGAAGGGTTGAACCGAAGGGTTTGAAATGACAGTGTATGTTTGCAGCGATCGCTATTCTTTTTGAGTATCATCATCAATCAACCATCAATCAAAATATAACATAAAAATCAGTATTTAAGTCTAAATTTAGATGGATTAAAAAGATTGACGAATCCAAAAATATTGACTCTTTAACTTTTCTTTCCGAATCCGAATTTAATAAAGAATTTTTCAATCCAACGCATAGCCTATCATTTCAGCTATCCGATTTCGGTCTTTGTCGTCAATCGGACGAAATGTGGTACTCGTCGAGAGGAGGGAAACTCCCGCTACGTTGGATGGCGCCCGAGTCGATTGAAATGGCCGCCTTCTCAGCGCCTACCGATATGTAAATCTTTAAACTAGCAAATCTAGGATTATCTAGAACTCTAAATATCTCTTAATATTCAAATTCCAGTTGGTCATTCGGCGTGCTTCTCTGGGAGGCTTACTCTTTCGGAACAGTTCCCTTCCCAACTGTGGCCACTGAAGACGTTCTCTCGCATCTGAAGAAAGGGAATCGCTTGCATGCACCCGATAATGCACCACCGTTTATGTAACTTTTTTAGATTAATTTAGATCTAGAGTGATAATTTGAAGTGTTAAATTGAAAACTACAGTAATCTGTCGAATAGCTAAGAATAGACAGTAAGTAATAAGTGCTAAACAGCTTTCTAATACAGTAAGATTACGATTATAGCTGTGTATTTCTTGTTAGCCTATTTTCTAGCTACTTTTATTTAATTATTCTTTTGGTCGGATTCTAAAGGATTTACAAAAGATACAAAAAGTAGATAGATTAGATAAAAACTAGAGTCAAGATTACGGTAGTTTTAGAGTCAAGATTACGGTAGTTTTAGAGAACGATATCATAAGAGGATTTCAGGGCAGCTTTAATGGAATCTTGTTGGGAATGGGATCCATCATTAAGGCCGACAGCTGAGAAAGCAAGAACTACCTTTTATGAATTTTTGGAGGCACAAGGAATCGCTCATGGATACACGATGGCAATCGCGGAAAACGCACCCAGCTCATCACAAAGCTCGAATACACTTGCTCAAATTCATGAAGGTTCCCCGCCAAATCAAGATGAAAACCATAATTGAATTGAAAAATATAGCCCATTTTCCGCATTTCTTCGTTTCTAATAAAGTTTTGTGCTGTACTCGCAAACGAAAAAGTGAAAGCTTGCAAAAGTTGAGGACTTATTTCCAGAGCAAGCCTTGATCTTGCTCTAGACTAGCTCCTAACTCTAGCCTGGCTTCCCTGAACCTAGCCTGAGTCTGATGTGGCTGGCCCTAGCCTTGGCCTGGCTTTATTGTATATATATATTCACAATTAGTCTGGCTTTACTGCAGGAAAGATACAAGGGAAAGAAGCCTGAACCTGCCTAGTCTTTTCTAGGTTGCCTTAGCCTGGCTTGTAAGTGTAAAACCTAAAAGAAAAAAGAGCCCAAAAGACTAAAACCCGATACAAAACATTCTTGATCAGGTCTGGTCAATCAAAACTGATCTCATTTAGTTTATTTTAACGTTAATCTTGAATAATGATTTCTTTTTTTTTGACAAATGCTTTGCATTTTACAGCAATGCTTTTATTATCAACATAGTTAAAGAAAAAAAATCAAAGTGAAAAGAGATCAGAGATCATAAATCATAAATCTGTCATTGTCTAAATGTCTAAATGTCTAAAAATATCTCATACCGTATTGACATTTTTGAGCCAAGAGAAAAGTTTTTTTTGTTTGTTAGTTTTCAAAAAAGGAATACCGGTAATCACAAAAGCAGGGGAAAAAAAGTGAAGTTTTTTGTACAAAATGACTGTTTTTTTGAATGTGATAAGATATTCAGTTAACGAAATTCTAATTCAAAAAATCAGATAAGATATTCAGTTAACTAAAGCTTAAAATTTCTCCATCGGATTGAACTCTTCTTCGATGGCTTCTTCAGCGTCTTGACCCCGATTTTGTTGTTTTAATGTTAATTGGAAATAGGCACCCTTCTTCGCCATTAGCTCTTGATGAGTGCCTGGAATTGAATTGATAAATTTGGCTAATCAATCAGCTTTACACATCAGCTCAATCAGCTTTAAACAACATTCCAGAAAGCATGCGTTTCCAGCTTTAATAGCCCAAAGTACACCAACGTCCAGTTCATTGTGTACTTTGTACTCGAAATTGGAAACGAATCCTTTCTAGCGCACTGGTTTCTCTTCTTCCTCCTTTGCCTAAAGCTCACTAGCTTCAGTACACTAGATTTCGTGCGTTTTTAGTTTCTGAGCACAAAAGTACACCTATTTTGTGATACAACGGTCCAGCATACTTTGTGCTCAAAAACGGAAACGCAATCTTTCTGGCGTACAAATGTCTCAATGTTCAAAGCAAGAAAACCCCTGCGCCAGATAGGATGCGTTTAAGAGCAAAAGTGCACCCCAGTTGCTTGTTCTGAAACTATTCTTGACAACAAACCCTCTTCCACCATAAATCCTCCACTCACGACCATGATTCTGTGCGCATTGACGACAGTGGAAAGACGATGAGCTATCACGATACACGTTCTACCCTTTGATGCAGCATCAAGCGCGTCTTGCACAAGCTGAAATCTCATTTTGTTAAACTTATTTGTTAAACTTAACCAATTGCTAAAACTAGCTTCAATTTTTTTTCTTTTAGACAATTTCAGTCAAACCTTTTCACTTTCTGTATCCAAGGCACTCGTCGCCTCGTCTAAAAGCAAAATCTTCGGATTTCGGATCAAAGCTCTTGCAATAGCGACACGTTGCTTTTGACCTGAAAACATTCAAATAATTTTTTTAATTTATAGACTAATCTACTATATATAAAAGAGCTATCTGTTTGTCTGTCTGTTTGACGAATAAAGCTAAAACTTCTTTAGAAAACCTTAGAATATATTGTAGTTGTGGCATTTAAAGAAATTTTGAAAAAAGTCAAAATTGAGTGGCACTACGGGGGTTCGAACCCAGGTCGTGTGGGCTGTAGACAAGCGCGCTCCTCACTGCTCCGCGACGACAACAAGCCCACCCTCAAAATATCCCCAGAAAAACCCGGCATTAGCCTTTTTCGGCTGGTAGGTAGCTCTATCTTCGAACTAGTCCTGATCGAAATCTTGGAATTGGAATCAATTGTTGTCATTGTTGTCATTGTTTATTGAAGAGTTAAAGAACCCGATTCTGAGCTGATAGTTTCAAAAATCTCTGTATCACCTCCAGACAATTGTGTTCCTTTATCACCGACTCTCGTATCGTAACCATCGGGAAGTTCGCTGACAAATTTGTGAATATTCGCTTTCCTCGCCGCTTCGACAATCTCCGCGTCAGTGACCGAGTTTTGCGGTAAGCCGTAGACAATGTTTTCCTAAAAGAATTGAGTATATGTTTTGAATATCGAAAGGAATACGGATACTTGAAAATCTCTTTAACCCACCTTCACCGAGCAATCGAAAAGAATCGGCTCTTGTGACACCAAGGCAATATGTTTTCGGAGATGAACCGGATTGACTTCTCGAATGTTTTCCCCATCAACTTCTACCACTCCCGTGTTTGGATCGTAGAATCTTTCGAGTAATGAAACGACGGTACTTTTCCCGCAACCCGATGAGCCGACAAGAGCCAGTGTTTGACCGGGATTTACCTCAAGGGAGAGGCCTGGAAAGGATTTTGTTTTAAAGATATAGCCAAAATCTAGACTCACCTTTTAACACTTCAATCTGATCTCTTTGCGGATAGCGGAAACGAATGTCGTTGAAACGAACAGCTCCGGTGATTTGCTGAAAATTATAGAGAATCTTGGCTACTGGCTAATTCATTTGGCTTCTGGTATTTTGATTTGTACTTTTATCTAGATAAATAGATTTAGTTATGATTCGAGACTTTAACAAATTCAGATTTGAAAGTTTTCGACTCAAAAAGTCAAAATGCTGTTAATTTGTTAACTAACAAATTCCCAGCTTTCTATTTTTCGCTATCAACTAACCGGGAATTTCCCTCCTTTCGACATATTGTCAATTTGTGGCTTTTCCCCGAGCATTTTGAAGATTAAACCAGCTGCGAATTTTGCTTTTGCGTATTCGGGGAAATATGCAGACGCAAAACCGATTGAAGTGGCCGAGAATTGAATGGCGAACAGCACTCTGAAGATAGTTGGGGTCAAAATTTGTAAAATAACAAAAATTCACCAATTAACCTATGTTTTTCTCTAAATAAAAAGTGTTTATTGTTCAATTTCCCATTTTTTAAGTCAATTTCGGTTCATTCAACAAGCAAATTCGAGAGAAAACCGTGTTTTTCATAAAAATTTATAAAAATCTCTACGAAAAAATTGGCTGAATCAATTTCTTTGAAATTTGGCTATATATTGACTACAATACTTAACTTTTTAGGCTCTATGCAAAAAAATAATTGGCCTTTTTAATAAAACAAATCGTAGGTCAATTGCTGTATTTGTTGGTTTTAAACAGAAGTACGAAAACGAACGAAAAGACTTTCTGGACAGCCTGGCTTTACAAAACCTTGCTGGCTTTGTTCTTACTTCTTTTACTATGATTAGTTTGAATATAAGTGAATCTTCAACTATTTTAGAAATAAATAAAAGAACTCAAATTCCTCACCTCAGCACGTCGATCGGATTGCTCACATGGTTCGCCGTGATCAGCCAGCCGCCGAAACGGAACTCGGCTGCGAAAATGTAGAACATCAACGAGTTGCCAATGGCGAAAGTGACTCCCTTAAATAGATTTCATTAATCCACAACTAGATTTCAAACCTGTAACAGTGCTTTGACGAAACTCGATCGATGCGGTCCGTCCAAATGATCACAGAATTTCTGATGCAGCGTCTTCTCCAACGTCAACGCTTGAACCGTTCTAATATGTTCCACAGCTTCCATCGCAATCTGAATTCAATTCTTATTTTATTCTGTAACTCCATATCTACCTTTCCCGCAGTCTCCAACTCTTTCGTGTCTTCACCGCTTTTCCCTTCCAACATTTTGATCTGAAGTGCCTCGCCGATACCCATCAACGGGAAAAGAGCCAACACTAGAATTTGATTTTGAAATTTTGTTCTCCTTTATCTACTAGAGTTCTTGAAACTCACTCAGTAAAGCCATTTGCCAACTGTAATAGAAACCGATCGCAATTCCAGCCGTCACTCCAACTAAAGCATTAAAAACCGATCCCAAACGGTAGTCGATTGCCTGAATTGTTAAGAATTTTTGATTAAATCTAATGAAACGAAAGTTTAGCTTAAAGGGAGGACAACAATCGATTCTAAGTGAAAATTCTAAGTGAATCGGCCTCGATTGTTACCCTCCCTTTAAGAAAACCAGTATTTTTGAATTTTCTAATAGCTTAATTTGGTAAAGTTGGTCACTTAAGCTCTTGGAAAGCTTTGTTTTCTCGATTTTTTGATCAATTGTTCTGAAATTTCCCTGAGCTTGTCTTTCAAAAGTGAACTAAGTCTGGAAAATTCCAATCCAAACCTATCCCAGTTTCATTTTCTCGATTTCTTGGTGATATTCTTCTGAAATTCTGTTCACAAGATGATAGTTTTGATTTTTATTTGTGAACAAGATTTCAGAACAAGAATTTCAGAACGGAAACAGCCATGAAAACGAAAGTGGAATCAGAATCGGATTGTAATGGCCCGGTTGAGCAAATCAGTTGAGCAAATCGATTGCAAATCGATTACAAAACCATTACCAACCTTCCTCAACCATCTATGATCTCATTTCCAATTTCAAACTCCTCACCGATTTCACATTTGGCGCATCCGACGCTAAACGGGTCGAGATTTTCCCGGGCGAATGACTCGGATGATCGAAATAGGCTCCATCTTGACGTAAAATGTTCCGGAAAACCTAGGATTTTATGATAAATATTTAGAAAATCATATTTTACAAATGTTTACTTTTGATCGAAGTCTCATCGTCAAACGTTCAGCAGCGATCCCATAAAAAGTCGCCTGGAAAAGCATGGTCAGTGCCTCAACAGCAGCCAACAACAAGAACATCAACGACCACATGTGACCGTCTTTTCGAAGTTTTGCTTTGTCTGGCTCGGAGAACACCTAAATCATATATTATAAGATATATATGTCGCAGCCGCTCGTGATTTTCAGCCGCTAGTGATTGAATCACCATCGGCTAGCCGCTAGTGATTCAATCACGATCGACTAGCCGATGGTGATTGAAAGTTTTTAATGAAACATTTGGAATACAATGCAGATAGGAATTTAAATCATATATTAAGAGATATATTGAATTTAAAGGACGCGATTAGTTGAGATGTACTTTGTGCTTTTCTTTCTAAAACAAATCTCCTAATGTACTCAATTCTTCACCATCATTCGTTTTTCTAAAGCTTTAGCGCACTAGAAATGGTATGTTTACATTTGAAAGCACAAAGTACATCAAAAAATCAAGCCAGCTCAACAATTCAAGAATAAAACTTTTCAAGCCTTTCAAACCTGCATAATTTGGGTGAAGAAGAGTGAGAAAGCTGGGAAGACGACTCCTTGAATGATACAGGCAATCGTTCCTAGCACCAACAACCACCATTCCGGTTTCGCGTACTTGAGGATCTTGAATAGATTAGCTTCCTGGGCTCCTTCCTCTTTGGCTTCTAAAATGCAATTTGTTTGGATCTATTAGATGATAGATCTAATAGATCTAATAGTTCTATCATCTAATAGATCTAAATCTGTCTAACTAATCATCTAATAGATTTAAATCAATTAGATGACTATTTAGACAGTTTTAGACAACTCTTTAACAACCAAACCTCTCTTCAATCTGTCGATATCCTTCTCATTCTCGGGGATTTTCTCCACTTCCTCCAATTCTTCCTAAATTTATCATTGATAAGCACTTGTCATTGTTTAAATTTAGATATAAATAAATAAAGATAGATACGAATAAGTTAGATGTGTAATTATCTAGAGATTAGCTATGTTTTCAGTCCAATTTCTCACTGATCGATATCGAGTATCGACTTTAGTTATTGATTGGCTTATTGTTAACTTTAAAATACATGTCGTAGCCGATTATGAATGAAATTTTTTGGCAAATCTTTCTAGTAGAGCAACCCTTTAATGTATGAGGACAATATTATATCATCTTGTAGCGAATTCAATTCTGCGTCGATTGGTACCAAATTTGTGAGTTTAGGTTAAAAATTGCCGGCGCTACAACGTTTCATTCAAAATCGGCGGGACCCCTGTAGCCGATTATGAATGAGTGGGTCTAGGAGCGTCCAACCATCAAGTATTTAGTATCATTCAACGCAGAATCATTAATAATTATGTTAAATTTCTTAAATTAGAAAGATTGAATAAAAAGAAAAAAAATTAGAGCAAAAAAACTGTTTCTTCAAGAGAAAACTTTGAAGCCCCATAATTTTTTTCTTTTCATCCAATCTTTCTAATTAAAAAAATTTAACATAATTATTAATGATTCTGCGTTGAATGATACTAAATACTTGATGGTTGGACGCTCCTAGACCCACTCATTCATAATCGGCTGAAATTCATAATCGGCTATGACATATAGATATCTATATATATATGTTACGTTACAAATAGATATTTATATATGTTACGCCCAATTTTGAAACCTTTTATCTTCAAAAACTCTTTTTTTCTATCTAAAAAAACCATTTTGCAAAGAATTTCATCAAATTTTACGATCAAATCTAGTCAAATCAAACACAATTCTTGTTTTTTGCGCAGCATTAACGAAAGGTTTATCTTAAAACTATCGAAATTACGCTTTATTAATATATTAATCAAATTTTAAACAATAATTTACCAAAAAGATCACAAAAGAAATGGATCTTTCTTTTATTTTTAAAGAAACTTATGCAAAAACTATAATTTGTTTAGCAATTTTGTGATTTTAATGTAAAAAACATGTTAAAAACATTGTTAAAAAGGTTTCAAAATTGGATAATCTTACAAAATAGATAATAGATAATAGATAATAGATTTAGATTTAGATTTAGATATTTCTTTATCTACGAAATAAATAAATGTACCTCATCATCGTTTCCTTTCATCGATCCACCCGATCCAGTAGACGTTCTTCTGCGCGATGATCTCGAGATTTGTCGTCCGGCAAGCTTCTTCTTTCCTAAATACTTAGGATTTTTAAACTGCAGCTCAAAATAATTGAAATCTTTACCTTTCTTCGTGTCCTCAACATCAGCGAAAACCTGCGCGTTGACGAGCTCATGGTAAAGACCTTTGCGCTCAAGAAGCTCGTCGTGAGTTCCCATTTCGACAACTGAATTTGACTTTTATAAATACTCTAATAGAACGTCGATAATGATGAGTGTACAGTCGCGTAGCCTAACTTTAAACGTCTCATTCTTCGCGCTGCTTTAATCGCTTTAGTATTAAATGATAACGCTTGGAATACAATATTTTTATTAAGAAAGATGATTTTTGCATATACAGTCATGGACAAAAGTCTTTACCCCTACCGAGGTCAGCTTTTAAAACGCGAAATTTTTCAACTTTTTAACAAGTTTTAAAAATTGTTTTCAAAGGATTTTGTAGCATTTTTACTCTAGTTTTTATATCCCATAACCAAAAGAAACAACGATTTATTTTAGGCAACAAAGAACGACGTTAACAAAAAAAAACCCTCAAAACAGGTGGACAAAAGTCTTTACCCCTCGAACAAAAAGTGAGAAAAAACCGAGTATTTTAATATTTGGTAGGGCCTCCTTTTGATGAAATTATTGCTTGAATCCTTCTCGGCATCGAGTCGACCAAATCCTGTAAAATTTGAGGACCGATCTTTGTCCAGACGTGTCGAATGAAGTACCATAGCTCAATCTTGGTATTGAAGCGTTTTCCCTTCAATTTCTGCTTCAAAAACGCCCACAAATGTTCGATAACGTTCAAATCCGGACTGTAGGGAGGAGCAGATACGAGCTGAACTCCATTCGATCGGAACCATCCGGGTAGACGAGCTCTACCACCGTTGGCAAGGCGAACAACCCGTCCCATTAGCAGTTGCGACTTGTGACATGGAGCGTTGTCCTGGTACAGCAACCATCCTTGTCCAATTTTTGTGGTCGCAAATGGAAGAAGATCTTTCTCCAAAATCACCTTGTATCGTTGAGCGTCCAAAGTTGAATTGAGAAGAACGAGCGGACCTGGTGAACTTCTAGTCATCGCTCCTGAAAAAAAAAGTCAATAGGCATAAAGATAAAAGTTTCTTACCCCACAACATGATTGATCCGCCACCAAATTTGACTGTCGCACGAAGGTATTTGGTGCTATATCGTTGTCCGACAGGTCTCCGGATCAAATGATTGCCGTCGGGATTGAAAAAGTTGATCTTCGATTCATCGGTGAAGATGACATTGGCCCAGTCGTTGCTTGTCCAACTTTGATACTTCTCGGCAAAGTCGAGTCGAATCTTCCGGTGTTTGGCGACCATCAGGGGCTTCTTGGCAGGTCTTCTAGTCATCAATCCTGCATGAATCAAACGTCTGCTTACTGTCTTTCGATTGATGTCCTTGTTAAATTGATGCTTGATTAATCTGACTCCATCGGAAGCATTAAGATTTGGATCCTTTTTGTGGGCCAAAATTAGAACCTTGTCTTCTCTTGGTGTTGTGACGGGTGAACGACCTGTTTTGAATGCTCGGTGAAGAATTCCAGTCGTTTTTTCTTTCTTGCAAAGCTTTTTCACCGTTTCGGGGCTGCATTTGAATACGCTCGCAACATCCTTTACTTTGTCGCCTCGTTTCCTTGCTTCCACAATCTTTTCTTTGTCGGGAGTGGTCAGATAGGCTCCAGGCATCACTAGAATTAAAAAATAATAAAGCATTGTTATGTGAAAAATAACGAAACAACAGCAAGAAAATAAAAAGTTGAAAAGGGGTAAAGACTTTTGTCCACCTGTTTTGAGGGTTTTTTTTGTTAACGTCGTTCTTTGTTGCCTAAAATAAATCGTTGTTTCTTTTGGTTATGGGATATAAAAACTAGAGTAAAAATGCTACAAAATACTTTGAAAACAATTTTTAAAACTTGTTAAAAAGTTGAAAAATTTTGCGTTTTAAAAGCTGACCTCGGTAGGGGTAAAGACTTTTGTCCATGACTGTATTTATATAAAAATTCTAGTAATTTGTAAGAAAATTTAGCTTTAATTTAGAAAATCAAATTTATTCACCTCTGCCCTCTTTCATCGCGATGATTCGATCCGCGTTTTTGATTGTCGAAAGTCGGTGAGCGATTACGATCGTCGTTCGGCCGCGAGATGCCTAAAAAGTACAGAATTTTTCTTTTCCTAATTTGTACCAGCAGGAAAGCCGCCTCCCGTAAACTGTAAACTAAGATTTATAACCAAAACACTTTATTGATTTGTAGCTGATGAGCAGAATGTGGATGTCTCTTTGAAAATTGCGAGTTAAAAGAGTTCGATGTACAAGAGAGATTACTGGATGTTCTAAACCGATAAGGTGTTTGGTTATAATGTCTTAGTTTGTAGTTATGTCTTAGTTTACATGTTAACTCTAATATGACACCACGATGTCAGTAGAAAGTTTTAATTTTATGGCAAAAATCCCATGGTAATGACAGGCAAAATAGCTCAAAAATTTCAAGAATTTGTTCGCCCAAAATACTCCTGTTTATAGCAGAAATAACCATAGATCTAGTATTTTTACGCCTAAAATCTTTTCACTAACATTCTCCAGCGCTTCTTGCACAACAGCCTCGCTTTCGGCGTCGAGAGCCGATGTAGCCTCGTCGAGTAGAAGGATTCGCGGATCTCTGAACAATTTTTGTAATTTCAATTTGCAATTTGCATATTTATTTAATATTTTCATGCTAAAGTTTAATCATAAAAACAATAATCGTTTATAGACATTGAGACATGGATTGAGACAAAATCCTGAAATGGAAATGCCGGTAGAAAGGGTGAAGCATGCACGCGACAAGATCGAGAGCTTGTCGATCGAGAGCTTGTCTAGACCGCATCACTGGCTTCATCTTTCAAAAGTTGAGAAGAAATGATGTGAGAAAAGATGTAGAAAGAGATGAGAAGAAGCCAGGAAATGGGAAGAAAGATGAGGGAATTTCAGGGGAAAGCTCTGAATGGACGGAAAGTGGGATGAAAGCCTGCCGACTGCGGGAGGCTCTCACTGACCAGATCGGATCTTTCACCTTATCGATTATCGGATCTTATTGATTATTGTTATTGTTCATAGATTTTTATCAATTTATAATTAAAACTTGAGCTTTATCACCTCAACAAAGCTCTAGCTATGGCAATTCGCTGCTTCTGACCACCAGACATTTGCGCGCCTCGATCGCCGACCAATGTATTTAAGCCCTGAAATGAAATGAAAATTTGCTAAATCTAAACTAAATCTTCATTGAATTTTGTTGAATTTAATTTTATTATTGTAAACCTGAGGGAAAGCGGCGATAAAATTGGCGGCATTCGCGCGTCTCAACGCTGATTGAATCTCGGCGTCGCTGGCGTTAGGATTTCCGTAGCGAAGGTTCTGAAAAGGTTTAAGTGTTTAGAAAATTTGCATTTATTAGATCGATGAATAAGTTTTCTTAATAAGTTTCGTTTGCTTCAAATAGCCGCTTATCGTTTGCTTCAAATAGCCTTCAAAACGTTTATCGTTTAATTTTCTTTCTTTTTATATTATGATTATAATGATGGGTGTACAGTCGCGTAGTCTAACTTTAAACATCCCATTCTTCGCGCTGCTTTAATCGCTCAACCAACTCTAGCCCGTTTCGAAGCAAATTCAAGCAAAAAAGAAAGAAAAAAACGCGTTTTTGAGTAAAATTCGATTAGAAGTTGTAGAAAGAAATCGGGTAAAAAGATTTCGCTGAGAATTTTGCTCTATACCAAACCTTTTGTGCTTTATCTTTTTTCTATCGACAGAAAAATAGATTTCTTTGGATTAAAGTGACTAAATCAAGCCGTTAGGATCATTTTTTCCATAAATTTGGCTATTCTTTCCATAAATTTGGCTATTTTTGCCATAAATCAAACCATTTTTCACTACCAAACTTCGCGCTCGTGAAAAAAATCCGAAAATAAAACCTTTTCAAAAGATTTCAACGCTCTTTTATAGAAAAATAGGTAGCCTTTCTATTAAAGTTGTAAATCTATTGATGAATTGATTATTTCTAAACGAAAGAAGCGATCTAGACTTATGACCAACAAAATAAGTTGGAATTAGAGCAAATCAAAAACTTGTATACCGCCGGGACTCAAACCTGCGACCTTTCGCTTACCTTTCGCCTAAGATGCTAACCATTACACCACAAAGCACCTGAGCTCCTTTACTCTAGATGAACTTACCGTATTTACTCGAATAGAAGACCGGTCTTCTATTTTTTTCAATCACCCCCCTAGACCCCGTCTTCTATTCGAGGCCGGTCTTCTATTCGAGTAAATACAGTAAGTTATAGACATTGCTTGGCCGGTTTGAGTCCCGACGGCGCACGAGTTTTTGATCTGCCCTGGTTCCACTGGTCACTGGTGACCACGGAATTAGGGCAACTTAAAAACTCGTGCACCGCCGGGACTCGAACCTGCGACCTTTCACTTAAGATGCTAACCATTACATCACAAAGCACCTGGTCTCCTTTACTCTAGAGGAACTTAAGTTATAGACATTGCTTCACAAACCTCCAAAATTGTAGCATTGAAAAGTGATGGCTCTTGACTGACGACGCCGATCGTTCGCCGGAGAAACTCGATGTTCAGATCTTGAATCGGCACACCATCGATTTTGATCTAAATTTGCTAATTAATCGATCTTGATATTAATTTCCATTTCCAATGAACTAACCGATCCATTATCCGGATTGTAATATCGGAGCAAGAGTTGCACGATTGTCGATTTCCCGCAACCGGACGACCCGACAAGCGCTACCGTTTCACCCGGATTGCACGCGATTGAAACTCCCTAAAGTTTACGAAATACTTTAATAAAACTAATGAAACTAACGACTTTAATTCTTTTAAAAACACTTCAATTTCTCACCTTGAGAATTGGGACATCTTTCCGGGTTGGATAGGTGAATTCAAGGCCATCAATGGTGACTTCACCCCGAACTCTTTCAATCTTTTGTCCCTCTGTTGAATAGGAATCGATCTCTGGCTCCTGAACGATCAAATTCTAGATTTAAAATGGATAAAATTTAGATAGACTAAATATTCTAGTATTTAAAGTGTGGAATTTGAATCGTAATCCATTTGATTTTACTTTGATCAATGGGGAAGTTTGTTTTTGCAATATTTACCCGATCAATCACTTGAAGTACAACACCAGCTGCTCCCAGAGCCGTACCAAACACACCGAACTGTTGCCCGGCTTGACCCATTGCCATTGAACCCATCATCACTGAGAAGAAGACCTGGATAATTGAAATATTTCGAGCTGCTAGCTATCGAGCTGCTAGCTATCGAGCTGCTAGCTATCGAGCTGCTAGCTATCGAGCTGCTAGCTATCGAGCTGCTAGCTATCGAGCTGCTAGCTATCGAGCTGCTAGCTATCGAGCTGCTAGCTATCGAGCTGCTAGCTATCGAGCTGCTAGCTATCGAGCTGCTAGCTATCGAGCTGCTAGCTATCGAGCTGCTAGCTATCGAGCTGCTAGCTATCGAGCTGCTAGCTATCGAGCTGCTAGCTATCGAGCTGCTAGCTATCGAGCTGCTAGCTATCGAGCTGCTAGCTATCGAGCTGCTAGCTATCGAGCTGCTAGCTATCGAGCTGCTAGCTATCGAGCTGCTAGCTATCGAGCTGCTAGCTATCGAGCTGCTAGCTATCGAGCTGCTAGCTATCGAGCTGCTAGCTATCGAGCTGCTAGCTATCGAGCTGCTAGCTATCGAGCTGCTAGCTATCGAGCTGCTAGCTATCGAGCTGCTAGAGCTGAAAACTTTCCAACTCACCGTGAGCACTGTACTCGATGATGCCATATCCCAGTAAATATAATCCGTTCCCACCCAAAACGCTAAACAATACGACGAGAAAAGCACGGCCATCGTCACCGCCAAACCGACACCAATGTAAATCGATTTCTTGTAACCATCTAGCTTCCCTGCTTGCAACGCTTTGTCATATCTAAAGTTTATTTTAAAAATAGCTCAAAGAAATGCATCCCTTTTGGCACAACAACTTATTGCTCACCTTTCACACTCAATATATTGTCCATTAAAGGCGAACACCGTTCGGACTGAGGTTAACACCTGAAAAGAATAGAGTTGGTTAAGTTTTTATCTTTTTCACCTCTTCAGCAATTTTCCCGGCAATCGAGTACTTTTTCATCTCTTCCGCTGTCGAGCTGGCCATTAATTTGGCGATGAAAAGGCCACAAATGATGAGAAGTGGAGATAAGGACATCATGATCAAAGTGAGACGCCAATCATACGCCATCGCAACGATAAGTCCACCAAAGAACTGAAGGAGGATTTCTTGGAGTTCGGTTATATTATGCCCGGTGTACTGTAGCTGATATAGAGTCACACTAGCTATAGTATGCCCAGTGTACTGTAGCTGATACAGAGTCACACTAGCTATATTATGCTCGGTGTACTGTAGCTGATATAGAGCCACACTAGCTATAGTATGCCCGGTGTACTGTAGCTGTAGAGCCACAATACCGTACCCAGTGCTCTTACAATGGTTGATGAGCCAAACTTTGGATCTACAGTACACCATTGTCCTTCTACTGTCCTATATAATACCCTACAAAAGTTAAGCTACAGTTGTAATACACCCTACCGCAGCTACAGTACTTCACAATACTTCACAATGTTTTCAATGAGCTAAGAACGACAGTACACCTCAGCATTGTGCGCAAATGTCCATTAGCTACAGTAACCCACAGTACACTAACAGTATATGAATTCAATACTTATTACATAAGCCAAGCTAAAGTACACCAACCTGTGACGTGAACTGAACCATCATTCCCATTTTATCACCGAGACCCTCTTTAACACGTTCCATTGCGCTAAAATCAATTCAACTGAAACATTTCTCCTCCTCCACTTACTCAAAAAGTTTTGTCGCCAACGTTCCCGAGTGATTCTTGTCATACCAGGTGATATCTTGTCGCATGATTGCTTTGAAAAAATCTCGGCGAATTCGATTGCAAATGTTCTCACAAGAGACAAGGAAACAAACTGTCTGGAATGGAATTGTTTCGTATCGTTTATCGGATTCAGATATAGTTTTTCTGGAAGCTTATTCCCAAGATTTACTTTTGAGAGCACAACTTTGTAAACACATCCTTCTGGTACACTCGAATTGCTGCAATTTTCTCGTTTTTACGGGAATAAAATTAGAAATGAATGCACCAGAAAGGATGCGTTTACAACTTTCACACGGTAAACAAAAAGTACACCATTACCTGTACAAAGGCGCACGTCATGATGATCAACCCGATCACCGTGTATTTGACACAAGCGACGATGACTTTGTGTTGAAAGGAATCGATTCGATCATCGTATTCGATTTTGCTTAGATTCGATTCTAAATCCAACACTACAAAGCTGAATTCACTGGTTCACTGGAGAAATCCAACTGGCTGAGTTCACAAGAGAAATTCAACTGGTTGAGCCGGTCAAAGAACACTAGTCACCAATTCTTGAAAAGAAAAAGAAAAATCCGAAGTGGGGACCGAACTTGCGACGTCTCGCTCTGGAAACGAACGCTGTACCACTCGGCCACGGATGCACTGAATCGGCTTCCCAAGGAGGCCGTTAACACTCAAATGTGACCGCTAAGATCACATTTTCAGACAAAACTTTAGGCGCTTATAACTCCTAACAGATTGTCTAGCAAAAACAAATTAGATACCGTATTTTCTCTAATAGTAGTGCATCCAAGCGAGCCGAGTTGAGGCCTATTTATAGCTTCCAAAGTTTTCCCAGAAGCTCAACACTCAAATCCCCCACAAGATCTCATCGTCAGCTACATTTTCCGACCCCACATCGATAGGTTCTGATAAGCGGTTCTCGAGATTTCGACCAATTTAGGTTTGCACCCAAGCTTTGGGTGCACTATTATTAGAAAAATACAGTATTCTGAATCAGCATAAAATTCTGCGTCGAATGGTATAGGTTGCATAGCATTTGACTGGCTCAGTCAATTGATCTTCCCTTGTCAAACCAAGTTTACTTTGAGCTCTCTCATGCAAACACAATCTTTCTGGAGCACTGAAATCATCATTCTCCTTGCATTAATAAGCCATTACTTCAAGAAAACGAGGATTTCAATGCGATAGAAATTTGGTTACATGAGAGCTTAAAGTACAAAAAAACGTACGTTGTGCCTCTCGCATGTCAATGAAAGCCTCGGAGACATCTCTGGAATTGGAGTCAGGCAATTTGGAGAATTGTTTTTACAAGGAAATTCTTAGGTTTATTCTCTAGGTATTGAAATTTGCATATTAGATTTGTTGGGTTAAATGGAAATTTATCTAAAAGACACTGTCTTTTTTGTCGCGTCAATTGGACTCTCTCGATAGTCGCAATTTTTCATTTGGCTCATATTTTTTGTCATTATTTCGCCCGTTGTTCTCTCTTTTTTGATAAGTGATTTAACGAACGGAATAAATGATATAAATTCCGTCTTGAATCTAACTTTTGATTAGGAATATACTGTGTGGCATTAGGAATACTGTGAGTTGATTCTTTTCTCTAGACACTTCTCTCGACTTTGACTCTACTTTTCTCTATGTTTTGATCGGTAAGTCTACAAAACAAATTGCACATTTCTTCTATAAAATTTCATGTAGATTCTAAAAAAAGTAACTCTGAGTTGACTCAACTTTGACATCTTGAGTTATAGACCATTTAAGTGGATCGACCCCTTCAGGTAGGTCTTCTGACTTTGAGTGGAAATTTTGTCGATGTTTTTATATTAAAGTGTAGTAAGTAAGTTGTGGATTTCTATAACGGAATTTCATAAAGAATATTTTAAAACCAACCACAAGTTGATCGGTCAACTGAAAGTTAAGATATGGAGGGAAAGAGAAGAGTCGTCAAACTCCGACTCTCTACCCCCCTGGACAAATCTCTAGGGGGGTAGACAAATCTCTAGGGAGGAGTAGACACTTATCTCGACTTTGAGCCTAATTTTCTCTACGAGAGAGCTACTGTAGACTATTGTAACGAGATCGATACTGATTAGATCTGTAAATTTTTGATATAAACGTAAAGTGTCCAACAAAAAAATGCCATATCTTGACCAATTTCACTTCAATCTTTTTATCTTTGATTTAAATCAATAAAAAATGAAATTCCACGTCAATTAATATCAAAATCAAAAAGATCTGAGTCAAATTGACCGAGATATGCCATTTTTTTTGAGATATTTTCTCTCTTTTTTGATAAGTGATTTAAATAACGGAATAAATGATATAAATTCCGTCTTGAATCAATGATTTGAATCAATCAATGATCAATGATCAAAGCGCACACGCGACCACGACAAGTTATAGAACTTTCATCTTTTCTCTCACCCGATAACGATTGAGAGAAATGGCATCCCCAAGCCGGTCACCACCGCCACACCAATCCCCACCAAAACCATCAAAATGTCCAACCATGTGCCGTATTTGTACTGAAATTTGCATTCAATAGCGAAATTTGAATCTAGAATATCTGGAAATAGAACTAGTGATGCTAGAAATCGATTCCAGCTTTCAATTTCAAGATTCTACTCACAATTCTCGCAATTGACGCTCTCGGCGCAGCCAACTCGTCCTCTTCTTTTTCTTTATCGGAACTAAAATTTTGAATTTATTTTTAAATTATAGATATTATAGATATTTATATTCGATTTAAAGAACTAGGGTAGATCAAAAAATTGTGCGCCGCCGGGACCCGAACCCGTGATCTTTCGCTTACCGGACCACTGTGCTAACCATTGCACCACAATGCTCTCTATCTCCCCGACTCCCGAGGGCCTTAAGTATATCATTTTCATGTATTCTTTTGATTTTAAGAATTTTTAAGATTGATGGATCAATGAATTTTTATTTTACTTTAACTAGAGCTTTAGCTTTAGCTTTTTCATTTTGTTTTTTATCATAAAATTTCTAAAGGTTGCTGGTTACAAGAGATTTTACAAGAGAACCTTGCTTTCACAAGGGAACAAGGCTTTTCCCTGCTGACTTTTTAAGCTATTGGCTTAGCTCATTGGTAGAACGGCTACTTGTCGGTTATACATCCACAAAGACTCATCTCGGTCAAGCATTCCCATGCGAGTCTTCTCAGTTATCGATTCTCGCTCGACTGATCGACTGATCACTTCATGCGACTGATCACTTTCTATCTCGAATTTAGTTGATGTTACAGTAAGCCTCACAATCAAGCCACCAGCTAACCGGGCTACGGCAACAGCTATTAACCAGTCTACGGGTTACGGTAGTCGATTTATGTTTGATGTATAACCGACAAGTAGCATTTTTTTCGAAATTAAGAATCATTATTCGTTTAATGATTAACCTATTTTTATAGTATTTATTAGATTTTTGCTATCGGGTCGCTAAAGTTAAACCTATAGCTCTAAGGCTATAGTACACCAGGAAGATCCCAATTGAGACAATTGAAGACACATCGGATCGCTAAATACTTTACTACGCTAAATACTAAAACGCAAACGAATTTTATTTTCTAAAACGTCGATACAATGTGATTGTAGGCTTTAGAAAAGAAAAGAAAAGCCATTTGCTAAGAGACATTTGGCATATACTGATCGATTGATCACTTCAGACGAGCACTCCAATGAACATCACCCGTCACAAGTTGTCAGCTTCTTTCTTAACCTAGTTGAATCTCTGTGGATGTACAACCGACAAGTAACTTTATTATTATCTAGATTTTGATCATTTCAAAGATTACCTTTTAAACAATATGGAAAACCATTAAAGTTTTACAAGTTTTACATTCTGATATGAATTTTTTGAAAGTCAAAAACTTACAAAAACTTATCCACCTTTGAAAACGCGATTCCATTTATTTTTTAAACATTTGAGTTAATTTTTGTACTTTTTCAAAAGCCAAAGAACTCTTTCTCATTTAAAGAACACCTACTGTACCTTGGCAAAGAGCAAAATTGAGCTAAAGTAAACAGAACACGGAGAAGTCCCCGTATTTCTCAAAAATTTCTGAAAAAAACTGAAGAGACTGAAAGAGGCAAAGAGATTTTTCTGATTTGGTCCCCTCGCGGTTTTTCTTTTCTTTCTATCGAACAAATAATTGAAAAGCTTTCAGTGATAACGGAGAATAACAAGAAAATTCGATTTTAGAGTTAAAATTTAGGTACTTCTTGATTAAAGTCTGCAAATATTATCAAATTTGTCTATAAGATTAGCTTTAGAATCTGGTTGAGCCTAGAGTTGTCGAGAGCTTTGCTTGCTTTAACTGCTTTTGAGTTCTCTAGTTTGACTGTTTTGTCTGTTTTGTCTGTTTGAGATTAAAACATCTCTAATAGCTTTCTTAACTTTTTAGTGACAAAACGAATTTTTGCCAAATCTTAACCATAAGATTATGTGAAACATTAGGCGAAAGGCTGCAGAACAAAACTGCAAAGATTCAGTCAATTCAAAGGCAATCAAGAGTTAACAATTGGATTAAGTCTGGCCAGTAGTCTGGCCTAGAGTTCGGCAAACAAAACCAAAACCAAAACAGACCAAAACCAAAACCAAAACCAAAACACCAAAACAAACCAAAACTTAATTTGCATATAAATTAACATGTAAATTTAAAATTGTAAAATGCAAATTTTAATGCCAAATGCAAATTTGCCTTTCACTTTTTCTCACTCCCCAAAATCTCGCGGCCGAAAAAAGGACCAAAACACGACCTCGAAATTTCGAAACAAAAAATAGCCTATGGGATAGATTTTTGGATGCTGATTTCAAATCTGCAAACAGATTTTCGCTAGCTCCTCCCAGTCGCGAGATATTGGCGAGTTTTGGTTAGTTTTGGGTTTGGTTTTGGTTTTGGTTTTGGTTTGGTTTTGGTTTGTTTTGGTTTTGGTTTTGTTATGGTTTTGTTATGGTTTTGGTTTTGTTATGGTTTTGGTTTTGGTTAAGTTTTGTTTTCCGAAGTCTAGTCTGGCCTAGAAGTTAGCTTGGGAATATCTAGTTCTAGTATCTAGTCTAGTTTCTATTTATCTTTTGTAGCGAATGAATTCTCGCGTTGTACTTAATCGATACCGTAATACCTCTAATAAAGCTCTTAAGCTAGACAATGTTTTACTTATTTTTCAAAAAATCTTTCAAATCCATCAATTTACATTTACATTAAAAGTAGTTTCTCTTTGAAAATCGCCCGAAATTTTTTTGATCCCGATAATTACAATTTCCCTCCCTCTCCACTGGACAAAACTTGTTGAAACTGGAAAGAAAAAAAAGGCTAATATTTCACCTCTTTCCACCTGGCCTAAAAAAAGTGCTAATCAGAAAGTGCTAATCAGAAAGTGCTAATCAGGGAAATCGTAAAAAAAACGTTTTTTTGAAAACCGCAAATTGTACTCCACGAAAAGAATTGATGATGAAATCTGGTTCTACAAATACGGCATAACAGCTTCCCTAGAAACACACCCTTTCTAATGTATATGAATTCTTCATTTCACCGACAATTCTAGGAGAAAAATGAGGTATTCAGGGCGCTTGAAAGAGCACGTTTACAAATTTCGCACAAAATTTTGAAGGAATCTCAGCTCACCTTTTTCCCAGCGATTCATCGACTTTTTCTTTTCCTTGATCAACATCTTCGACTTTTTTCTTTCCTCTACCAAATGCCATTCTGAAAAAAAAAACTGGTATGCTATATGAAATGCTATCTGACTATAAATATGCTATCTGAAATCCGATTAATCGATAAGAAACATAAGCTTACCGCTATCTATTTTAATTGGTTCTAAACCTATACTCTAGACTCTAATCTATAGTTCTAAATCTATAGTCTAGCCTCTATAATCTATAGTTCTAAATCTATAGTCTAGCCTCTGTAATCTATAGTTCTAAATCTATAGAACTAGACTCTATAATCTATAGTTTTAAATCTATAGTCTAGACTCTATAATCTATAGTTCTGAACCTATAGAACTAGACTCTATAATCTATAGTTCTAAATCTATAGTCTAGACTCTATAATCTATAGTTCTAAACATATAAACCTATAGTTAAACCTATAACTCTAAGGCTAAAGACCAGGGAGATCCCAATTGAGACAATTGAAGACACATCGAATCTCTGGACCAAGAGCCGCACCTTTAGTCAGCCAATCTTGGCTAATTGTAAACCAAAACTAAGCCTAACTTTAACTTAAGCTGACCTGGTTCTGGTAAGCTTAGTCCGGCTAAGCTTAGCTTACCTTTCTGCAGCTTAATCTAATCCGACTTCTAAACTTGCTTCAATGAAGGCAAATTCAATTCTAATCATTCTTTTGTTAGTTAAGCCCAGGGCAGATCCAGATTTAGCTTCTGATAAGCTCAAGTACTTTTTTAAGCAAAAATAAAGCAAGTTGTCTTTAATCAGTTATAAAACTGACATTTACGACATAAAACTTTAGAATTTTTGCTCAACTTCTGTTCAACTTTAGAATTCAACTTTGTTCAACTTTAGAATGTGAAAAGTTTACAGAAATTTTTTGCATTTATCAAACAAAAGTAAAACGGTGAAAAACCTGTGTTTTCTGATTTCGGTGATCTAGGAATGAAGAAGTTGAAATGAGACGAAGTGAAGAGAAATTTTGATCACTTCTTGTCTTTCTTTTCCAATTCTAAATCAGATTACGTCACGTTTTTCTTCTCTTTTCTTAACAATTTCATATCTCCAAAGCTGAATGGTGTGTAAAATCAGAAAAGAAAGAAAAAAAACCCCACTAAAAGGCTTTTAAAAGACCAGAGATTGTAGAATAAAGAAAAGAAACAAATAACGAAAGGAAATGATTAGAAATTTCATTCAAAAATTTCATTTGGAATCTTATAGTTAATTTAAAAAGTTAATTTAAAAGATTTTTTGTGCAATATGGAAAAGAGTTATACAAAAACTTATTGGAGGAGAGGGCGGTTGAAAAAATAGTAGTGCGCACTACTATTACAGAAAATACGGTATGTAGTTTCTGGGTAGCACAGATAACGTCAAGGATCCACTAGAGCTTTAAGATCAAGATCATCTATAGATGATTTAAGAGTTTCGAGACTATTGGACTCTCTCAAAAATCTGGGGAATCGATTCCAAATTCTGGAATTCTAGCAGTTCTTATTGGAAAAGAGTTAAACGCAAACTTATTGGAGGTGACTGGAATTTCTAAAACTAACAATTTCTAGCGAAAGAACGTCTCCTTAAATTAACTGTGGGATTAACTTTGAATAAATCTCGAAAAAGAGCGATAGGTTGCCTGTTCTTTACAATTTTTGAAACATTCTATTAAATCTGTGACCAAGCGGCGGTGTCTAAGAGATTTATTTATTTATTTATAGGAAAAGCAACACGATATAATAAATGTAACATATGGATAGCACAGATAACGTCAAGGATCCACTAGAGCTTCATCAAGATCATCTACAGATGATTTAAGAGTTTCGAGACTATTGGACTCTCTCGAAAATCTGGGGAATCGATTCCAAATTCTGGAATTCTGGCAGTTCTTATTGGAAAAGAGTTATACACAAACTTATTGGAGGTAACTGGAATTTCTAAAACTAAGAATTTCTAAAGCCAAGAATTTCTAAAACTAACAATTCTAAAGCCAAGAATTTCTAAAACTAAGAATTTCTAACGAAAGAACGTCTCCTTAAATTAACAGTGGGATTAACTTTGAATAAATCTCGAAAAAGAGCGATAGGTTGCCTGTTCTTTACAACTTTCAAACATTCTATTAAATCTGTGACCAATCGAGCGGTGTCTAAGCGATTTAAGATCAAAAATTTTGAGTAGTAAAAGTAATAAACTAAAAAAAATTGGATTTTCTCTAAAAACTTATGAAATTAGAGAAGATTTAAACTCAAAAATCATATGTAAATTGTTTCAAATTCAAATTTTCCTAAAGATCATCTTTTAAATTCTTAGTGACAGCCTTGAATAGTCTTGAAGCCTTGAATAGCCTTGAAGCCTTGAATAAAAACAAAAAAAAGTCTTGTAAACATTTATAAACAAAAGTTTACTTTCAACTCTTTTTGAATGCAAAAGCATAGAAAAAGAAAAATTGATTTTAAAAAGATTAAACTATCCATTTAACTAACTATTGGGTTGGTGGAAAAGTCCTTTCGGATTTTTTGGGAGAGTACCTTAAATTTGTCGAATTTTGACGTTTTATAGCTCATCCTAAAGCTGAATTCAAGACGATCGTTGGTAAAAACCGTTTTGGTATCTCTTTTCTAAGTTTTTACAGCTTTTTAGTAAGGGCGGCGGGCCAAAAATTGCTGTTTTCACGTTTCGTGTTTTCCTTGCGAAACCTAGGCTAAAAACTGTGTTTCGTGTCAGCGTCAAAATAACCCCTAGACACCATTTTCAGAATCTTAGCAAAATTTTGAAAAATATTGTCCCGGTGGAAGTCGAACCAGCGACCCTCGATCAATAGCCTTTCCGCCGCTTTTCGCGATTTTTCTTCGTTTTTCTCGTTTTTCTCGTTTTTTTTTGTTTTTAAAAGTTGTTCAGCCAAAGTTCGCACAAACAAAACAAAAAAAAAACGAAGAAAAATCGCGAAAAGCGGCGGAAAGGCTATTTTGCCATTTTTTGAAGGATCGACTCAAAAAATAGACACAATGTTCTTTGAATTCTCTATTCTCAAATAGCTCAAAGCTCAAATATTCTTTGATAAACAAATAAATTTAACAAATTAACAAGTCGATTTTAAACATTTTAACCTATTTTTTTTTCATGAAAAGAAGGAAAATGATCTTCAAAAGTTCAAAGAGACAAATATTCGTCTCCTTTTTAAAGGGAAAGATCCAAAGGTCAATAAATGATGCAATGGAACAAAAGTACATAAACCTTTTTTCTTCAAAAATATGAAAGAACATGAGGTAACGATCAGAAAATAAATAAAGAAACAATTTTGCATTTTTTGATGATGAAAGATATGGAAAAGGCGAATCGGGAGCTCTAGATTGCTTTTTGGACATTTTTGAAAGCTGATTTCTCTTTTGAAGCTTTAAATAAGACTTTTCTTTTCTTTTCTTTTCTTTTCTTTTCTTTTCTTCTCTTCTCTTCTCTTCTCTTCTCTTTTTACTCTCAAAATATTGTACAGTACTTTTTCTTTTAAAATTCACATTACAAGAGACTCACTATCAGTCTTTTAGTTAGTTTAAAGCATTTGAATCTTTCTATAATACTTTGGCAATTAGCTTACAGCTGAATCTTCACAATTAGCTTACAGCTGAAGACTTACTTAGCCTAGTAATGTATTATTGATTTACAAAGGTGTTCTAATCGACTCCAGGGTCTGTAAGCCTAGCTAGGCAAGCAAGCAAGGCAAGCAAGCAAGGCAAGCAAGCAAGGCAAGCAAGCAAGGCAAGCAAGCAAGGCAAACAAGCAAGGCAAACAAGCAAGACAAGGCTAGAGCTAGGTTTAAATCCAAGCCTGACTTCTGATGAGACTAAGCACTTTTTGTGGGACGTGTCTGGATTAAAGCCAAGCCAAGCCAGGCAAGTCCAAGCAGGAGCAGCTAGAAGCAGGTTTAGGCCCAGGTCCCAGTAGGCCGGTCTAGGTCCAGAGATCTAGTTCTGGACCCAGAGATTCAAGCCAAAAGTCAAGTCCAGCCAAGAGTCGATCCAATCCAGCTTTAGGCCTGCTTTGCAAAGATAGTTTCTTCGACTTGTAGCAAAGCCAAGCCATTATCAGCAAAGCCAGCAAAGTCAAGCCAGGTCGGGTATTATTTTATTCACTATTCAGTCCAAGAAAGAATTTCGCAAGATAAATTTTAAAAACTGAAATGGAAAGGTGGCTTGATGATGAAAATTATCAGAAATGAGAGGATCAGAAGGAGTTTCTGAAGAGGGGTATCGGATAGGTAAAGGGGAACTGGGCGGGCACTCCTCCTCTCTCCCATGGCTTTTCCCCTCTTCAGTTTGGCCAAAAACCTTCACCCTTTTCCATTTCTTTTCTTTTTTTCATCCCAATTCTTCTATTTACCCAAAAATAAAGACCAAGAGAAAGGAATTGACCATGGAAATCGGAGATCGACTAGAAAAAAAGAAAGAGACCAACTCGTATCAACCGAGAAATTTTCTCGATTTCCCTTTTGGCTTAAGAATTATTCAGATTGTTTAGCACTAATGTAAATGAGTTTCGAAATTGAATGGTTAACTTTTAAATGCTTTTAGATAGCTACTAGAATAGCTGAATATCTTGGCCTTAGTCTTGATAACTTTGGTAAAGAGGAGCAAAGTGGAAAAGTTAAAATTCGAGAAAATCTCCAGTTGCACTTGAAAGTTCACCGCTTTTAAATGCTTTTAGATAGCTACTAGAATAGCTGAATATCTTGGCTTTAGTCCTGATAACTGATTAACTGATAACTGGTAAAGAGGAGCAAAGTGGAAAAGTTAAAATTCGAGAAAATCTCCAGTTGCACTTGAAAGTTCATCGCTTTTTATCTCCAGCAAGTCATGGTTAAAGATTAAACCAAATACAAGATAAAGATTAATCGTAAAAGCAATGATCTTTACAAAAACCTATTTGTAAAGGTTTACTTCTTGGCGTAAAGTTATTTTTTTGTTTTTCATTTGATTTTTCGCACATCTGGTATAAGAAAAATGATCAAAGAATGCGATTTTCTTTCCTCTTTTCGCTAAAAAGTCTTTCAACATAACCCAAAAAACGAAATCAATGAAAAAGTCAAAAAACAAACACAGCAAAAAAAGAAAAATCTTTTTTCACTGGCACTTCAAGTGGGTTAGATTCTGATTCGTACTCGAGTTTTGTACTTGTTGAAGTTAATCCAAAGCGAATGAAGCTTAAAGTGGGTTAGGTTCTGATTCATACTCGAGTTTTGTACTTGTTGAAGTTAATCTAAAGTTGATGAAGCTTAAAGTGGATTAGGTTCTGATTCGTACTCGAGTTTTGTACTTGTTGAAGTTAAGTTAAGTTAAGTTAATCCAAAGTGGGGATGAAGAAATCTCTTTGCTTAAAAAAAGCTTAAAATGGCCTCAAAAAGCGTTGTTTCAACAAAAATCTGAAGAATTTCGAGTGCACCAAAAAGGGTGTGTTTCGGTTTTTCCAAAGTAAACCGAGAAAAAAAAGTCTACAAATGAATCCCGATGAAACTTGTTGATTGTCCTCGCCTCATTCAGATGATCGCCCATTTATGTCCTCCTTTTTTTTCGCGTTTCTTATCTCCTTCTCTCGTCACCCCGGTCTGTGCCCACTTTATTGCGATTTTTCTTCTTTTCGTTTAAAAAGAGGTACTTTTTTTTGATCTTGCCCACTTTCGAAACAAGAGAAATTCGAAAATGATAGAGTTTCCACGAATTTTTCTGTGTCTTCGTTTTCTCAGATCTTCCGTTGCTCTAGGGCGATAACATATTAGATTTCGCAATCAGTTGTAGAGAAAAACTTCTGGAAATTCAAGAAAGTACTTGTAAATTATGTCAATTCGAGTGACGATTGAGAATTTTGAGATTCAAGAAGAAGAATACAGACAAAACACAAAGCAAAACGTTATTTAAGTATTCTTTAGTTTACAGTATTTTCGAGAGATACTGTAGCTAGTTCTGCCGAGGGATTAGTGTAGATTTTGTGAATGGGCGTCGTAGTGTTCTGTCGAGGGATTACTGTAAATGGTTGCATGAAGGGGCGTACTGTAAAGTTTTGTAGAGGGGTTACGGTGGCTGGTGCAGTAGATTACTGTAGTTTTTTTGTAGTGGCTTTGAAGGTGTTCCGGTAGTGATGGGGTATTGTGATAATTGTATCTATGTAAACCATTCCTACGTAACTAGGTGGGGCAAGTTAGATCTAGAATCATCCAGTAGTTAATCTCCGAACCTATATCGTTAGCTGCCTATACCCTAGTTTCAACAATTCAACAATTCCGGGGTCAATGTCGCTGATCTTTTCAAAGTTTCACTCGAAAATGCAATCATTACGTCATTGTTTGCAAACCTCTTCATTTGAACGCGAAAATTTGAGAGACTCTTTTGCTTTTTCCCTTCTCCCATGAGACTCTTCTGATGCCGACTTGTGACTCTGATTTGATACTTCTGATCGCCCGCAAGTCATAATCAAAGAATTCCCGTGATATTTCGCCCTTTGTTACTCCCTTTTTTACAACTTCACCGCTTCAGAAATTTATTACAAATGCGAAATGACAATCAAAACGAGTTTAAGCACAAGAAGACAATGATACGAACTGAAATTTCAATCTGTTTGAGGAGAGCGCTTTATTGAGTCGATCTGGCACAAGTTTATTGATCGAAGGGCTCACTAAAATGAATTCTGGAAAATCAAACGCTAGCATTTACCTGTAACTTTTTTTCAGGGGGACACCGGGTGTCCAACAGATTGGACGATCCTGAAGAACAACGCTCGTTCCGCCAGTCTCGGCGTTGTACATCGATGAGATCTAAAACTTCATAATTTTTTTTAAAAACTTTAGCCACCTTGAGTTTGTGCTGTTTTCCCGTGCTATCCACAATTTTAATCGTCGTGTCGATTCCCCAATCAGCCCGCTGAAAGCAAGCAAATGAATAAATAAAGATCAGAGTAACCAAAATTAGAAAATGTACACATTAAACTAACAACCATTTCTGATGCTTTCGTTTTCTCGTTTTTTGACACAAAGATATCGTTTCCAGAGGTGGCTTGAATGGTGCTCTCGATCGGCGTTTCTTCTTTCTCTTCCTTCTCAGCCGATTTGTTTTTGAGCACGGCCAAGAGACGTGGATTAGGACCTTCGCTAAAAAAAAGATTGTAGAATGAGAAGTACTCAAAAATCAACATTGATGGCCTGATTTTCTGTCCATTCTGTAATTCGCGAACGATCAACAACTGGGATCCATTGACCTCCTTGAAGACCTGAATTGGAAAGTAAAACTCCGAATAAAAAGCAATGCATTGCTTTAGATAACTAAAGACTAATGATCCTAAAAATATGATTTGAAAATTCAATAGAACTGTAGCAACCTTAACTTTTAAAGTTTAACAAATAAAATAGGTCTAACCTTTTCTCCGCGTTTCACAACAAGGTGCTTCTTTTTGCCGGGATAGGACGTTTCGGGCTGAATAAATGCAAGAATAAATTTGGAAAGGGTTTACAAAGGGCTTACCTTGGGTGAGTACACGATAGAAATGTCGGGAGAACGAGTAATCTCGGCACTGCGTCGAGCTTCCTTGAATACGCCCAAATCTTTGTTTTCTCTAAATCACAAGATAATTTTCACAAAAAGCAGGTAATTAACCGAGTTGTAGTCGCAGTTGAAGCCGTTACTTCGGAAACAGCGGATCTAAATTTAACTGTAACTTTGGAAAGGCACAAGGTTTACCCAGCTAAGACGGATCGTCCGGTTGCCTTTTTGGGGCTCTCAGGCATTAGGTTTGCCGGGCCTAACTTTTCATCTAGTGGGCCTAAATGAAGGAATTTAGGTGAACTAAGCAAAAGTTATAATTGAATAAGAACAAAGCTCACCCCTTGGATGATGTTGAATAACCTTCACTGACCCGAGAGTTTCCACTAGCACGTCAGCCGCTTTATCCATGATCGTGTTGATTCGGTCGACAGCCCGTTCTGCGAGGATGTTTTCTAAAAAATAAAAGTAGGTTGCTTAAATTACTTAAAGCTTAAATGATTGTTTAAAGCAAGAATAATGACGATAAACTTAAATAGGCAGTAAGACTGCCAAAACTACTCGTGTTACCTAATCGTTAAAGCTCTTAAGGAGACCGTGTTACCCAAGGCTACCATTCAAAATTAGCAAGACAAATAGTCAAAACTTGATAAGTAAACTACTTTAACTAAAAGGTTGCCAAATACAATCGCAAAAGTTCACCTTTATGCCTAACTTCTTTCACCCGCTCACTAGACAAAACCATCTCTCCTAAACAAAAAGTTTAATCGATCCCAAAAAGCTCCCATATACACACCGGATACTTTAGTCAAAAAATTAGGCACAAAATCAAAATCTATTAAAGAAACCAACCAGATGTTTTGTAGTCTAGAAGAATAAAAAGCTTTTTTCATCAACAAAAACAAATTCAAATCACAATATGGACGCCAAATGCAAATGACTATAAAATTCAAAAATACTTAAACATGTTGCTAACATTCTAACTTCTGCCTCCTCAAGTGTTTTCGGACTCCGGTGAAGGTGGGTCGCTAATTTCCAGAAGCTAAAAATTTCGCTTTATCCCCGTATTAATTCATCAATCTACCCAACTCAATTATTGACTAGAAGGTCAAAATTATGTACAGTAGAACTTCGCTATAACGACCTTCTATATAAAGATTTTGAAATTCTAAAAGATGCCCCTAATTACTGCGTAGCTGCCCAACTCAGTCCAATCGTTGCCCGCACAGGGCAGCTACGCAGAAAATGTGGCGGCGCGTTTTAGAAGCGTTATATAAAAATTTTCGGTCCTTCTGATATCGTTATTTTAGTTAGTTCGAATGTTTGTGCAAAATAGCAAACCTGCATTTTATAGCTGAGATCTGCTTGCAGTATCATCACCGCTCCATAGTTCTGGCTTCCCTGGTAGTTCGGCGCTGAGCAGAGGCTGACAATTTGGCCCATCGCCTCTAGTTTAAATCCTCTCGGGAAAAACTAAAATACTAACCAGTCATAACAAAAAGGCAACTATAAATAAGGATTTAAAAAGCTTACCGAGTTTCCGCGGCAAATAAATTGAAAACGGTGATAAAGGAGGAATTCGGCAATCACATCTGCACCATAAACGTAGCTGATGTCGCTCGGGCTTTTCACCCATCCGTAATCCTGTTCATTCGGTTTCGCCCTAAAACCGTTTGTAAAATGCTAAAAGTATTTAGGCTACCATAACAAATCGGTAACTGGTCCCTCGTCTGGTATGGTGATCGTAATTGGTCGTTGAATTGCGTGAAGTTTCGTAAAAAACTAAAGTTTAAAAAATTAGAACCAAATAAATGATTATACGTCGTAACTGGGATTGATCCCGGAGTGTGCGCAGAAGACTTTTTCATTAATTATCGCCGCGACTGGAAGTACTTCGAAAAGATCAGTGATCATGTCAAATAGTTCGGTGGGGTCGTTCGCTACAAGTTCTCCTTATAGAAACTGACAAAAGTCTTACTTGGTTTGAAATTGGCACAATATGTTGCAAATTCCAAGTGTTCCAATACGGTTGTCGTTTCTTTTACTCCACGAAGTAAATAAATGCAATCCGGGAAATTGAGTTTCAGCGTAAGAAGTAGTAGCAGCAGATAAATCGACTCAGACGTTGCTAAAATGTTAGTGAATTTTAAAAGACATACAACTAACCATCAACCAAATTTCCGAGGAATAGAAATTTCGAGTGAGGCGGATATCCACAAAGATCGAAGAAGCGAAGCACGTTGAAAAAGCCTCCATTCACATCACCTAAAATTAAATTATCGTGTATAAAACAAATCAACAGCCTTATTTAGCAAATTTTATTCAAAGCCGGTCGTTAATAACAAGTAATAAAAGCTTGAAAGCGTTTAAGAAGTAATAAATCTTAGAAATAATCTTCAGTAATACCTCTAATAGTAGCGACTACGTGACTGTACGGCGGGAGCGCTATTATTAGAGGTATTACGGTTGTTCTAGACCTATTAACCTTAATTATACAATTAGCAAAGTAAAACCCACCAAAAATGTTTATCGGGGCCTCAAGCTTCAAAACGTTTGGTTCGTTTTTAATGACGAACGAGGCTTCCTGGATGAGCTCTTTCACTTGAATGTCGTTGTAGAAGAACGTCTCCAAGAATTCCGTCTGCGTCAAATATCGAGCTAAAGTAAAAAGCGTGGTTTGATAACGACAATTTAATCAGGTAGTCATTAAGAGCACAAAAAATACCTTTGACCAGCTTTGCCAACACCGAATCCACGAGCGGTGAATTGTACTTATGCATTCTAAACAAAGCAGACAATAAACAAAACAAACAAAACAAAGAACTTTAAAAAGTAGAAAAGTTAAAATTCCAAAAAAACAAATGAAAAAGTGGGGTAGACTACTTTCTGTCATTACTTTCTGTCATTTTATTTGTGCAACAGGGTCATTTGCGCAACTCGCCATAACTTTCAAACTTGCACTTGTGACACCAGTTTTTAGATTGTTTCTGGGGTAGGCTAATTTCCGCAACTGGGTCTTTTGCGCAACTCGCCATAACTTTTTTGACGGGGGATCTGTCGTACACTTATTGAGATCTACAAAATGACACCAAAATCATAAATATTGGCAAACTTAGAAGAAAGTTATGGGGAGTTGCGCAAATAAAATGACGGAAATTAGCCTACTCCAACAAAGTTGTTACCTAGTTTTGATTTCCTATTTATACTCACAAAAACTTGATTGTGATATTCAAGTTAAAATCAAAACTAGATAGGGTACGGTATTCAAGTTGTCTTAAAGATATTGAAAGACTATTTCTATTTCTAAAATTATAGCAGGATACAGTAACCAATTGTAACAGAGTACTGTAATTTTGTTGCAATTCTGAAATTAGAACTGAAAATGAACTCTTTTGTGTTACACAAGTAGCACAAGTAACACAAAAGAGTTCATTTTCAGTTCTAATTTCAGAATTGCAACAAAATTACCGTATTCTTGTCTTTGTATCAAAGTTTTTTGTATCTACTGTGAAATTTGTAATCAAAGCAACAACTGCAAAAGATTTATTCGTTCATTTTATTATTTGCGAGTCGATTCATAGCTGTGATCATCTAGCAGAGGGCACGCTGAAATTTTTGATTTATCATTTTTTTAGGATACTCTTTCAAACCTTCTCGCAAATCTCGGGATCACCGAGAGCCTTGATGAACGAGTTGAGAAGCTGGGGGACGAAGGTCTCAACCATTGTTCCACACTAAACAAAGGTAGGGTAAATTTTTAGTTCGAGTCCTAAAAATCACAATTGATCATATGATCTGCAGCTTCTGGATTTAAACATCATCTATTGAGTTGATCTATTTTTTTTTCCACTAACCAAGTCTTGGTACATTCCGGGGAAGGCCTGGCACGCGAGGTTCTCGACTCCAGCCACCAAGTCGGACTAAATTGACAGGTACATTTCTTTTTGCTGAAACTTTTGCTGAAACTAGTTAAGTACAGTTAGTATTAGGCTTTTTCAGAAAACCTTTTCGTTCCTTTTCGTACTTCCATTTAAAATCAACAACTGCAACAATTGAACTACGATTTGTTTCATTAGAAAGATCAATTATTTTTCTGCAAAATAAGATTAAAACGGGTTTATTGGTACCGTGGGACTCTGGGAAGCTACTTTTTTTTAAAAACTAAATCCTATTCGATAACTGGATCCAGGAGAATTCACACACCCTGGGGCCCTTCAGAACTGTGCTTTTGAATACTATCCAACTTGCTACAAAGCTCTACCATAACTTTTTAATTTACAATTTCCACAAAGTCAGGATACTCATCAAACTCACGATGAATTGTGGCTCCTTGAGTCCTTCACGGGAATATGTGGTGGTTGCGCGGCAAGCATCGCAGGCCATCGCCTTCTTGTCGGCTTTGCTCATCATGGCCATAGTGGCCACTAAAAATTTTGCATTTTTCTAAACTTCTTTCAACTCACAAGTGCTATTAGGGCATTTGCCTGACTTTTGGCACATGGCAATCGGATCCATTTGCTCCACAGTCATCACAACAACAGTTGGGGCGTAGAGGTTGAGGAAGTCCTGAAATAAATCAAAGACTTAACGCAAGCATGGGTTTTTCTTAAGCCTTGATGATCTTAGCCTTATCTTATACTGTAAGTCCTTATATCTTATAAGGAAACCAGCTCTGACTGAACTATCGTATTCCATTCAAAGGCTAATCAATTTCGTATGGAAAAACCTCTTCAAAGAGTGACGGTACTATTACCGTGTTTTAAGTTTTGTAAGTGTAAGTTGTAAGTTTCTAAACCTTAAAACTAAAATTTTACCCACCTCGCATCCGGCCAAGTAGTCCTTGGGCAACTTGGGGCAGACAGCATCTCGAATTTGATTGGCGATGTTTTGGCACGAAGTCGGCTTGGCCAACTCGTCGCAGAGGACTTCGTTCTCGAGCTCGCAAGCTGAAAAGAAATTTAGATAGAAGAGTAAGATACAACTTCTCAATCCGTCAAGCTACAAGCTATGTTTTAGCTAACTGATCAGCTTGCGAGCTAACAAAGTTTGCAAATTCAGTTGGATCTCTCTAAGATCTCAGGCTTCAAGTAACTCAGTACTGAAAAAGTTCACCGTAATTCTGTGTTATCTAGAGCAAACAAAGGATTACGGTCGACTTTTCCAGTATCTTTTCTCATATATCAACTCACTAAAGCACTCAAGTGTGTCTCCTTGTTGTGTCTTTGGTGATTTGTCCCAGAAACGGCGCATCACCTCGTAAAGTTTGACATCGGGGCGGCGCTAAAGATAAAGAAGATAACCTTTATCTGAAGCCATTGCTACAGTCTATTTATAAGTCTATAGATAATTTTTAAGGTCAAACTTACTTGGCGAAGGTGCGCGGATGGCGATTTGCACATTCCCATAGCTTGGCAGGCCTAAAGTTGACCGTTTAATGGTTGAAAATTTGCGTTTTATAGATAAAATTTATCTTGCTATATATTTTAGCTATAAAATATATAGCAAGATATAGTTTAGATATTAAATATTTAAAAATTATGTCCACCTTGTTGCTGTCGGCGAAGAGTCCTTCCATGTCGGTGAAGAAAGCCGGGATGAGCTCGGTGGCGGCGTTGTTGCACTATAAATTAAGTTTAGATAATATTTCTATATCTATATCTTCTATATTATTAATAATCATAGACTTATAAAATTTTACTAATACTCACGATCTCCTTATGCTTTCCGGTGTTGTCGCAAAGGGTTTTCTTGGTGAAACGGAGGAGACGCTGTTGACGTCCCTTCTCTCCAATCACCTAAAGATATTTACTATTTCTTTTAAAGTTTATCAAATCAAATCAACCAACCCTCATCTCACTAGAGCCAGAAAATCAAACTACAAGCTTTCAATTCCGTTGATCAAAAGGATCAACGAAATTGAAAGCTTTTTCCCTTTCCACAAACCTTCGAGATTCCCTCAGCAGTCATTTGACATTCGGAACACAATTGGTCTTGCTAAAATCAACAATTCTTTTTACTTCTTTTTCACCCACTTGTCCATCAATCATATCCATATGTTGTTTTGCGGCCAACATGAAAAGTTTGGCGAAAGCAGCAATCTCCGATTGACTGTCGCACAAGTGGAGACGCTTGCAAACGGCACGGTGATTCTTCTGGAAATGGTGAGAAATTTAGAAATCATATTCTTAGAAGTGAACTCCATTTTACGAGCAAAATCCACCAACCATGTATGGTTCCATCTTGAGCACGACGCGTTCGATGTTCTTCACGAGCACCTAAATTTTGACATATCATTTCTGAACTTCTTTGCTAAAGGCTTAAATCTTTAAAGTATTCAGTTAATATTTAATTTTAAACCAACCTTGCATTCAGCTTTGTATCTTGGGGCGTACGAGCAGGCAACATTGAGCGCAGATTGGAGTTGAGCGCGACGAGTCTGATCGCGAGATGCCGAGATGAAACGGGAGACTAACTAAAATGCAAGATTTCAAGAATATTGTTGAGTAGAGTGTGCTCCTCGCGTGTAAGTAATTACTCGAGTAAAATTTGCATCTTTACTCGATAATCTTTAGTAATCTTTACTCGATTAATCGGCGTTTTTGCTCGAGTAACTACGAGTGATCCTCTTTACACGTCGAGTAAGTTGAATATCTTTACATTTGAAGGGAATTTGCCACCAAATCAATTGAATGGTTGAATATCTTTAAAAGGAGTCGTATATAAGGCGGCGCTCGTGATTTTTTTTCCAATTTTCGCTAAAGTACGGTAATTTTTCCTAAGCGTGCGTTTTAAAAAAAGGCATTACTCGCGAGGAATACAGTCTATTGTTGAGTGTCGCTTGAAATCTAACAGATTACATTTCATTATCCCAAAGTACACTAACCGATTGGCAATCGTCACAAGTGTCAGCGAAACGATCGGCTCGGATCGGATTTTGCGAGGCGAACGAGAGTCCGACCAACGCGAGAACGCACAACAAGGCTCTCATTCTGGAAATTTGTGAAATTAGAACTTGATTGCTCAAAAAAACTTTTGAATTTTCTTGATTGCTAATTGTTAATCTAAAGCTGGGCTTCTATTGCCAAAAGCTCAGCGTTTTCAAACATTTTCTCAAGAAAGTTCAAACGTTTTCAAATAAAAGAAATTGAAAACAAAAAATAGAATAAATAAAGCTTTGAAATCTGAAAAAATTAGCAAATTTAAAGTTAAAGGAGATTAAAAAAAGGCTGTAATAGAAAAATAAGTGAGTTAGTGAAATTTTAAAGGTGAAATAGAAGGTGGGATTCATGAAATAAAAGATTTTAAAAGATTTTTAGAAACGATAAAGGAACAAAAAGTTTTAAAAAAGTCAGAAATGCAAGTTTTTTTTTGAGTCGAATGAACCATTTGATAAGAAATGTAGGTTAAAGAGAACCCTAGCGCATAATTCAATCATCAAACAATCAAAAGATAATGAAATTTTAGAAAAACACAGTTGAATTATTAAAATAATAAACTTTAAATAACTTTTAAACTAAAAGTTTAAATCTTTTTAAACTTTTTGACCAAAAATTGTGAAACTTCGACTAAAAAAAACGCGTTTTGCCAAATGGAGCCACTATTTTTTTCGTTTTCTCCGAAATATAAACAATTGCGAATTCTATTTTCAACAAGGCTCTTCGTTTTTTGAACTTTTAATTGACTCAAAAAAGTTTTCTTTTTAAATTTTCACGTTTAACTGAAAACTTTCCCAACAATGACAAAGTAAAATAAAGGAAAACAGGGAAAACATAAGGTAAACGATAAACGGCCAACGATAAAGGCCAGTCGATAAGCGGACAACAATAAAGGCCAGTCGATAAGCGGCCAACGATAAAGGCCAGTCGATAAACGGCCAGCTTTTTCCTTGAGGTGTACCTTGTGTTTCAAAAATGTAAACACACTGTCTCTGGCACGCTTAAGCCTTCAAGTTTTCTTGCAAATACTTGCAACAATACTTGATTTCACAAGGAAAATAGCATAGTGGTTTGTCAAGCAACTAGCTTCAGATAAGTTCAGTTAAATCTTCGCCATGGTCGACTGGTTTTTGTGTCGCCATGGTCGACTGGCTAAGAGCCTTGTTTTCTAACGAACAGTCAGATTTCGCAAGCGCAAATCCAAACCAAAGCTATATGAATTACGCAAGTCGAACACGGAACATGGTGTTTTTAGTTTTTGCCCAAACGATCTAGATTTCCGTAAAAAGCAATTGAAATTTGATTCCATAGTGGATTGAGTAACTTATGCGTTTGAAAGGGCTATCGTCGCTGAGCAAAGAAGTGACTCGGTGGGGCAGTGGTAGTTTGCGCTTGCGAAATCTGACCGTTCCCTAGTTGGTCGCGGGTTCAAAGTCGGGCTTGAGGGTTCAATCCCGCACATATACCGTAAATACTGTAATAATACCCCACCGCCCTCGTACAGTCGCGTAGTCGCAAAAGTTTTTTAGTATTTGATTTTTTTCAAAGCGCCCTGCTTTCAAAATCTTTGGTATCAAAAAATAGCTGAAATTCAGGGCTATTTTTTGATATTTAAACGCGCATTGTAGCATAAACCAGTGTCGAGAAAAACTCGTTCAAAGCTAGACTACGCAATACTCCGCACCGTCATTATGAAGGTGGGGTACTATTACAGTATTTACGGTAATAAATGTCTCTTTTTCTTTGGAATCTCATTTTGAACTCTTTACGATAAATGTGACTTTTTTGGCCGCCACTCCTTGCTGATTAGCGTATATTTGTGTTCAATTTACTTTTAAATTCCAAATTTTGGAGCTAATTTAAAGCTAATTAAAAAAAAGCTTGATTTACGTTTAAAAATGAAAGTGGATGCCAAAAAAAAGTCACAATTACCCTCTTTATAGACATCACAAAGGATAGGCTTTATTCAACGGACAAACACAGGAAATATCAACTATTTCACAAAGGGAAATCCTTTCTCGAAGTGACTCTGCTCGTTTTTTCCATTTAAACACAAGTGAATCTTTGTGCAGAACTGAAAATCGAAGACAAATTGAAGACAAAATTGAAAGGAAATCATTTTATTAAAGCCAATAACCTTACCGCTTTCGAATCTGAAAATTGTTTTGAGATGAAAGCAAAAAAGATTTGAATGAATTGCTCGGCGAGTCGATTACACTGAATAAGTTTTATAATAAATGATGATTCTAGTAGAGTTCGGCAAACAAAGCCAAAACACCAAAACAGACCAAAACCAAAACCAAAACACTAAAACAAACCAAAGCTTAATTTGCATATAAATTAACAATGCAAATTTAAAATTGTAAAATGCAAATTTTAATGTAAAATGCAAATTTGCCTTTCGCTTTTTCTCACTCCACAAAATCTCGCGGCAGAAAAAAGGACCAAAACACGACCTCGAAATTTCGAAACAAAAAATAGCCTATGGGATAGATTTTTGGGATGCTGATTTCAAATCTGCAAACAGATTTTCGCTAGCTCCTCCCAGTCGCGAGATATTGGCGAGTTTTGGTTAGTTTTGGGTTTGGTTTTGGTTTTGTTATGGCTTTGGTTTTGGTTAAGTTTTGTTTTCCGAAGTCTAGATTCTAGTCAAGTTTCATCATTGACTAACCCAAAAGTGACCCTAGTTTTACTTTTTGCTCTCAAAAATCTAAACACATCCTTTCTGGCGCACTCGATTCATACTATAGGAAAATTGCAGAGTTGAGTACGCGAGAAATGATGGTTTACATATTTTTTAAGCACAAAGTACATCTCTTTTTATTACCCACCTCCTCTTGCGCATCACCAAGATGAGCACAAATCGATTCCTCAATGACTTCAAGGATTTGAGCCTAAAAATGCCAGCCTATGCTGTAGTTGTCGATGTAAAGTTTGATTGATTTGATTGATGATAGATTTAGATCTAGATTTAGCTTAAACAAACTCTATTTTTCATGAAATGTTTACCTGAAAATGATCATCATTGAAAACATTGTGCAGCTGGCCGGCAATCCACAAGCATTGATTACAGATGAAACCATCATTGCTCAACTGAAATTGGCTTATTGCCCCTTTACAGTAAGAGATTGATTTGTTAAAAATACGGTAACACCCAGTATTCGTCTCATAGTAATGGCTACAGTAATCTGTACACTGAAACAGTTACAGTAAACTGTGCACTGTAAAAGTTACAGTAATCTGTACACTGTAACAGTTACAGTAATCTGTACACTAACAGTTACAGTAATCTGTACACTGTAAAAGTTACAGTAATCTGCACACTGCAACAGTTACAGTATGTCTATAGTAGATCTGGGAATTGGTGTGAACGCTACAGTAATCTGTACACCGTAAAGGTTACAGTAATCTGTACACTGTAAAAGTTACAGTAAACTGTACACTAACAGTTACAGTAATCTGCACACTGCAACAGTTACAGTAACCTGCAACAGTTACAGTATGTCTATAGTAGATCTGGGAATTGGTGTGAACGCAAATAGGCGTATTGAACATTGAAATTGAGAGCTGGAATCGATTTCTAAGATCACTAATTCTAGAATTCGATATTCTAGATTCAAATTTTGATATTGAATGTAAATTTCAGTACAAATACGGCTCAAAACAGAAACACTCTTTGTAAAGCACAAACAAACCGTGGCTTTCTTTTGCCATTTTTTAAGCTTTTTTTTCAATAGCTTTACGTAGTTTATCCAGCTTTCTGAGCATAAGTGGCTGGCTAGCATAGCTTTGCAGCCTTTCTCGGGCTTATCCTAAAGTTTTTTTTATTAATAAGCAGAAAGTCTTTTCATTCCTTTTCATACTTTTGTTTAAAATCAAAAAAAATGCAACAATTGAACGATGGTTTAATTTCACTAGAAAGGTCAATTAATTTTCAGCAAAATAACATTAAAAAGGGATTTACAAATGTCTTATGTATGGATTTTCTAATGAAAAAAACCATAGTATAAAAAGGAATGAAAAGATTTTCTAAACAGCTAATATGGTACATGTAAATCGAACAGCTTTGCAACTGACCAAGGACCGGGTGACGAGAATTTCATCGAAGAATTTCATCGAACTATTGATCAAAAACCTGCACGCATCGGCCATAGAAATCTTGTCACAAACTTTCTTCAGCATTTCCTGAAAAGTGCTCTTCAACACTGACAAAGCTACTTCATCTTCAAACATAATTTCTTCACTTCATTTTCATGCAATCTATTAACTTATTGAAGTCAATCTATCCACATCTTCACAATCAATCTATCCACTCATTGAAGTCAATCTATCCACATCTTCACAACCAATCTATCAATTCATTGAAGTCAATCTATCCACTCATTGAAGTCAATCTATCCACATCTTCACAATCAATCTATCCACTCATTGAAGTCAATCTATCCACTCATTGAAGTCAATCTATCCACATCTTCACAATCAATCTATCAACTCATTGAAGTCAATCTATCCACTCATTGAAGTCAATCTATCCACATCTTCACAATCAATCTATCAACTCATTGAAGTCAATCTATCCACTCATTGAAGTCAATCTATCCACATCTTCACAACCAATCTATCAATTCATTGAAGTCAATCTATCCACTCATTGAAGTCAATCTATCCACATCTTCACAATCAATCTATCAACTCATTGAAGTCAATCTATCCACTCATTGAAGTCAATCTATCCACATCTTCACAATCAATCTATCAACTCATTGAAGTCAATCTATCCACTCATTGAAGTCACTCTATCCACATCTTCACAATCAATCTATCCACTCATTCACTCTCAAACCAGCCTTAACCAATCGACGAGATTTTTGCTTATGCAGCTAAAAGAGTGGTAAAGAAAAGAATCATTTTTAATGTCAATTAATGACAACTAATGATACTCAAGTTTTTAAGGATTTGTGTTATTTATTTTGCAGAAAGCTCTCAATAAATTTTTACTTGTTTTGAAGAGGAGATTCAGAGCTATCGAATGACTACAAATAGTTTCATTTATCGTTGAATTTACACTAAACTATTAGTGAAACAGTTAGCAACCACGCGAGAAAACATCTCGTAACGACTGCAAGCGTCGATTTTCAAAGTCAAAAAGGCAAATCATCAATCAATAACCGACCTTTAGCTGGTTCATTTCCGAATTCTTCAACACTTTCTCCACTTGGGCATTCGCCTAAAAAAAAATTTCCATAAAACTACAATTTCTATTTGTGGCTACTTGCAGAAGATCTTTATTAAATGCTTTTTATGCTCAAAGTTGTAAACATAACCTTTCTAATGCACTGAAATCCTTTCATTTCTTTTAGATGAGAAATTCAGTGCACCAGAACGGTTGAGGTTTCTAGATTTGAGCTTAAAGTATACTCAAAAAAATTCAAGCTTTCTTGTGATGTACTTTGTGCTCAAATTTTTATAAATAAACGCTTTCTGGCTCACGGAAAGTCTTACTTTCTTAGAAAGGAAGAACTAGGAAGAATTAGGAAGAATTCAGTGCACTAGAAAGGGTTTGTTTAAGCGCAAAGTGCAGTAGTTACCGATTTATAATCAGTGCAAATATTATTGACTTCAGGCTTTTCCGGTGACTTTTTCGGGTACCAATACGAATCAATACAATAGACAAACATTAGGAATAGCAAGATTTTCGAGAACATTCCCAAAGAAAAGAATCCTTTCAAAATGACAGTCAATTTCTCTCTTGAATCCTTGGACATTTAATTGGTTTGTTTGGCGTTTTGCCTCTATTTTTCCATTTTTTTTTCTCTATTTTTTATTTCCCCCTCTCTTTCCATTGATTCATTCTAAATAATATTCTATTCCCTTTTTCTATCGTTCTTTTCTCCATTCTTTTCATCTCGAATATCTCGAATCACTTTTCGAAAAGAAATTCTTTTAAAAAAAGCTCTTTGAAAGTTTTGAAATTTCAAAGTTTTCTCCGTTAATTTACAATTTTGCCATTGGAAACACACTCGTTTTCGCTCATCGAAATCGCCTTTTCGCCAGCTAGATCAACTGTTACTGCAAGAAAACTAAAGAATTGAGTGCATCGGAAGAGTGCGTTTCCATTTTGTTGAACACAAAGTAAACAAATCTGATCTGTAAATGCTGTAGAATGACAACCCCTTGAAATCTTGACTTTAGACCTCTTCTTGTGGTGATTCTATGGATAGATCTAGGCCTAAAACCTACTAATATTTTATTTATAGTAAAGTTTAATTTATTTAAGGTTCCAATAAGGTTCCAATACGGTTCCAATACGGTTCCTATTTCGATCCCTATCTCTCTAAATTTGGTTCCGTATCTCTCTAAATCTGGCTCCTTATCTCTCTAAATTTGGTTCCCTAGATCAACTGTTACTGCAAGAAAACTAAAGAATTGAGTGCATCGGAAAGAGTGCGTTTCCATTTTGTTGAACACAAAGTAAACAAATCTGATATGCTAATCTGATATGTAAATGCTGTAGAATGACAACCCCTAACCTCTTGAAATCTTGACTTTAGACCTCTTGTGGTGATTCTATGGATAGATCTATGAAACCTACTAATATTTTATTTATAGTAAAGTTTAAAATACTATGCTTCAAAATACAAAAAAAATAATTTTGAAAAGAATTATAAGGGATGAGGTCCTATTTAGTTCCTATTTAGTTCCTTTATATTAGGTTGATGCAAAAGTCTTTTTCATTTTTTTCGTACTTCCGTTAAAAAGTAACAAATGCACCAATTGAACAACGGTTTATTGCATTCGAAAGGCCAATTATTTTTCTGCAAAATGACATTAAAACGAGTTTAAAATGTCTTATGTCTAGATTTTTTTGAGAGCCTGAAGTCGGGTAGTCAAAAAAGGCGACGGCTCGATGATGCATTTTAGACGCTTTAGCTAAGGAAACCAATCTTGATGTTAATAAATAAAAGATAGAGCACAAAAAGTTCGATATTTTTTCAGATTTTCAGAGAAATTGATTCAGCCAATTTCTTTATAGAGGTTTTTATAGATTTTTATGAAAAACCCGTTTTCACTCTCGAATTTGCTTGAAAGTGAACCCAAATTGACTTAAAAAGATGGGAAATTGAACAATAAAACACTTTTCATTTAGAGCAAACCATAGGTTAATTGATGACTTTGTTATTTTTCAAAAGAAGTACGAAAAAAATGAAAAAGACTTTTGCATCAACCTAATAGTTCCTATTTAGTTCCTATTATATTATAAGGGAAAATTATAAGGGACCACATGGATTTTTTTTTAGAGATTCAAAGCAGCGTAAGAAAATATTGGGTTGGGGACTATGACTCGGCGCCGAAAATCAAAAAAATGTCTAAAACTTCTATTCGACTTCGTCAAATAATATGCGTTTGATATGAGTAGAATGGTTAACTAATTCTCTACAAAATGACATTTAAAAGAAAATTCAAACAGCGCCTCCGCTCAAGAAAAAGCCATTTTTTCACAAAAACTACAAACTGTCATCTAGAAAAAACCATTGGTGGGATCTTCCTGCAAATTTGGCAACTTAAGTAATTGAATGTGCTCTATCTTTTTTATATAAACACCAAAGAAGGTTTATGTGAAAGAAACTGTTCAAATGATGAGTCGGGCTCTTTGCCATTTTGACTAGCTGTGTTTGGAAGTCCATAAACTCCACGAAAGAAAAGCTTTGTGGAATCTCTCAAAAGTGATTTTGTAGAGAAATAGTGGATCCTTTTGATGAAACCAAACGTATGTTTAAAGAAGGCTTTATGTGTGCAAAAAGTCCCTTTAAAGTTTGGCGCCGAGTCATAGTCCCCAACCCAATAGTTTCTTTAAAACTTTTAAACGTCTGTTTTTTTGTACGCTTTGGACAAAGAACTATAGTTTAAAATAGTTTTGAAAAAATTCTAAACGTTTTGATTCATATCCTTTGATTTTTGATTCATTTGACTCCCCTTACTTATTTTTTGGATCGGCCAATTTTGAGGGGTTGAAAAGTTGAATGAAATCTCATTTTCATACAGCGTTTACGGTATTTGTAAGCTAGAAATGCTAAATTTAGACAAATAAATGAAAAACTGGCAATTTTTGCATATTTTCACCAATTTTCCACCTACACATGAAGCTTTGCAAAGCAAGCAAACAAGCAAACAACTTTTAAAGCTTTATGGACGAATAGCAAAAGATTGAGAACGATTCTCAGCCAACAGTTACCAATTTTTAAACAAAATCTGAATAATTTACAAAGGAATAAAGCTTTTAACATAGAAAAAGTTTAGAAAAAAACTTTTTAGAGCTCTTGCAAATATCCGAGGAATCCGCCGAGGTTGCGACGAGAGTTGCCACAGAAACCGATCTCTTGGCAAACCTGGAAAAGATTTAAATGAACAAAAATATATACCGTATTTTCTCTAATAGTATTGCACCTGGCCGAGCCGAGTTGGTGCCTATTTTATGGCTTCCAAAGTTTTCCCAGAAGCTCAACACTCAAATCCCCCACTAGATCTCATCATTAGCTACATTTTCCGACCCCACATCGATAGGTTCTGATAAGCGGTTCTCGAGATTTCGAGGAATTTAGGCAAAGGTTTTGGTGCGCTATTATTAGAGAAAATACGTTATTAAATAAATTTTCATTTTTCAAAAACCAAACTTATCAGCTGCTTATTATTTTTAAATATATTAATTAAACAGTAAGATTTCAGGTGTAAAAGCTATTTAAACGTTTTCTTGAGTTTTTTTTCCTTTAAAGTTACCTTTTTTGGGTTAGCAAGTGCTGCCTCTAACTCTTGGAAGAACTCGGGAAGGAATTGCTCGATAACCATGTCACACTAAACGTTTTTAATATTAATTTTCATTTGATAGATAGCTAAGATAGCTAAGCTATTCATATAGAAGATTCATAAAAAACATCTCGATTTCGAATTCTTCCAAACAAAACTCACATCACCGCGATACTTTCCGAAACGGCCGCACACTTGAGTACGCAAGAAGTCGCGCGCCTCTTGCTGAAAAATTTTAGCGCTAAATTTAGTCATAGGTTTCTTTTTTAAGCAATAAATTTTGATATTTATTTAATTCTTTACCTGAAGAGTCTTGTCACTGACGACTTGACGCAACTCAGTGGCAGCGAATTGGCACTCGTCACAAACGATGTCGTTCTGGAATGGAGACTGATAATAACATGAGATATAGATTTAAAAGAAATACGAGAATACGGTATGTCTAGTTTTTTGTCTGTCTAATTGCTAGCAGTGTTCAATTCAGCTCTAGAATAGAATAGAAGAGTTCAATTATCGTATTTTCTCTAATAGTAGTGCACCTGGCCGAGTTGGTGGCTATTTTATGGTTTCCAGTTTTTCCCAGAAGCTCAACACTCAAATCCCCCAAAAGATCTCATCGTCAGCTACATTTTCCGATCTCCACATCGATAGGTTCTGATAAGCGGCTTTCGAGATTTCGAGGAATTTAGGCAAAGGTTTTGGTGCACTACTATTAGAGAAAATAGATAGATGAGTAGATAATATTTTATATTCTATAGATATCTGATAGAACTTAAAACTTAAATAGCTAACCGCAGGTTGTCTTTTTAAACCGTTTTTAGTTAACGCATCGTGAGATATCTAAATTTTGGAAAGAAGCCGCTTAAAAAGCCTTTAAGAAGCCGACAGAGGCTCGGAGTTCAATAAGATTTTCTGTGCAAAATTTTCGCGAAGCGAAGTGGGACTCGAACTTGAAAGGAAAAGATGTAATAGGTTTAGTGGTCGAGCAGACTATCCACTAGACTATCCACTAGACTATCCACTAGACTATCCACTAGACTATCCACTAGACTATCCACTAGACTATCCACTAGACTATCCACTAGACTACCGAAGCAGTTGTGGAGGGAGCGTTTGATGGCCTCTAAGGAGCTCGTTCCATTCAATTCAAGGTGATTCAAGGTGATTCAAAGTGATTTTCTATGCCAAATATCTCGCGTTTGCGAAGCGTTCTGCAAAAAAACTAAAAACGGATTCGAATTCCTCATAACCGACTCTATAAGATGGAGTTGTTCTCGAGTCAAAAGCCTTTCCCAAAAGCCCAAAAGCCTCAAAAGTCAAAAGCATTATTGTGGCTTTGGACTGTGGATTAAGTCTGCATCAAAGTCAGACCCAGCAAGGCAAATTCAAGATCTGATCTGGCCAAGAAAAATTTGCCTTTAAAACAGCCTACTGCCCTGGTTGTAGATCGTGAGCCCTGGTTGAGCCCCTTGAAGACCCATAAACACTTTCAAGCCTTTAAACCCTTCTTGTAAATATTAAGAATTTTGATTTTTAAAACCTTAAACCTCTTTTTGTAAAGTTTTAATAATTTTTTTAATATAAACAAACCGTTCCACTCTTGATCCCGCGGCTCCACTTCGTGTAGAGGAGAGCCAATCGGTGGAATTGGCTCATTCGCTTCGAGCACAAGTGCAAGTAACGGCAAACGGCTTTCGCATCAGACTAAAAAGATTGCTCAAAATTATAGCTAGCTTTTTATGTCTAAAAAGTTTTGCATATTTTAAACTAATTGTGTTAACTAACTAACTAAATTAACCAAATTTTTGTTTTTTTGAAAAGCTTGAATAAAGCTGCTTTTTAGGCAGAACCCTAAAGTTCATTTTCTATTTTTTTCGATCTTTCTGATCTAACTCATAAATTAAAACCAAAGAAATCGGTGAGAAATGGGCAGGTGAGGGGTTAGCAGAGAGGGTAACTCAGTGATTAGATAAGCACTCTGACGCTAGCACTTCTCATCCGGACTCCCGATTTTTCAAATCAAAAACCTATAGAGTTATTATAAACATTATAAACAAAGTTGGGCACGTCAAGGGAATAGTAAAATAGTAAAAGTAAAAACTAGAAGTAATAAATAGTAAAACGGTTGGGTGCTGGGAGTCGAAACTCGGTCGAAACTCGCGTCCTTTCCTGAATCCTTTCCTGGATCCTTTCCTGGATCCTTTCCTGGATCCTTTCCTGGATCCTTTCCTGGATCCTTTCCTGGATCCTTTCCTTTAATGAGAAAACTCTCTACCAAGCTACAACAAGTGACTGAATTTTACTAGAATATTGGCTTTCTCTTTGGCTTTGTCTAACTGTCTATCCGATTTTACATCTATGAGAATAGTGAATGAAGAAATGTCAATTGTCAATTAAGTAAAGTCTTTGTAAAACGGTAATGAAAAGATCTGATATAGTTTAGTTTCCGTTTTTTGTATATAAGTGGCATGTCAGTGTGGCTGTCTCTGGAATTAGAGGCCTGGGTTCGATCCCACCAATGGACCGATTCATTAGCCTTCAGATTCAAGCCGATTCAAGCCTATCCAGCCGCCAGAACAAGCTATCTAGAGGTCGTTCAATAAGAGGAATAAGTTAAGATTTAGCCTATTTGTCGAATTGTGATCATCGCGCTGAATAAATCAGAGTTTATCTTTATAACTTATGTAGTTCTTAGAACAATACTTACAAGATATGGATCGAGCATCTTGATGATCTCGTCAAGATGGTTGACAAACTCGCGACACTCCTCAACGTACGATGTCTCGTGGCACAACACACGCATGAGGGCCTAGAAATTAAATTTGATGATTAAATTCGATGTTTAACTTTGATGTTTAACTTTGATGATTAACTTTGATAAATTAGAGAATCAATCAAGTCTTAGATTTATTTTAATGCCATATTGGAATCGATTAGCTCTGTCTTTTGATCGTCTAGTACTTCAGTTTGATTCAGATTGTTTGATTGATTGGTTTAGATTGTTTGATTAATTGATTCAGATTGATTGATTGATTGATACAGATTGTTTGATTGATTGGTTCAGATTGTTTGATTGATTGGTTCAGATTGTTTGATTGATTCAGATGTAAAGCCAGCCAGTCAGCCTTGCATCAGCAAGACCTAACAGTATTAGAGTGCAGTATTTTTTAAATACCTTGAGCTCGTTCATCTTAACCGGATCCTTGAGCGCCTCGTGGAAGCGATGGACGAGCTGAAAACTAGGTTTATTGAATTGAATATTTATGGTTTATTGAAATGTTATTGAAATGAAATCAGCTGTGAACTTGTAGATGTTGATCTATTAGTAATCTATTATTGTAGATCTATTAGAATGGTTGTGAACTTGTAGATGTAAAGACTAGCTGTAATAACTGGTTCATTTGAAAAGCTTACTGTTTGGCATTCATCACAAGTGCTGTTCCACGAGGGCAACGCCGAGATGCGATTCGTTCGGAGGTGAAACTCTCGACTCGCCGCCATCACTCCAACAAAGGTCAACAAATAGAGAAGCTGCATCATTTCTAGAAAGAATCGCTTGAGGAAATCTATTAGGAAAATCGGTATTCATAAAATTCTATTCAAAAGTAGTCAAAAGTCAAAAAAAAAAATGAGATTTATAGCAAGAGTTCAGCATTCAATTAAAGAGCTATTCAATTACTTTTGCTTACAATCTTTTAACTGAATATTTTGAGTAATAGGGAGAGTTTAAAATACAGTACAAGCCGACTACAAGCCGACTACAGTACTCTGAGTACTTTGTGCTCAAAATTGTAAACCCATCTTTTCTAGTGTACTCAATTCCGATATTTTCCTGCAAACACTTGTTTCATAAGGAAAAAGAAAGAAACGGGTAAATGCTCCAGAAAGGATGCGTTTCCGCATTTAAGCATAAAGTACACAAGGCTAAATGATAAATCTAAAAGCTAGTGCACCAAAAAGAGTGCGTTTTCATTTTTTCAGCACAAAGTACAAAGTTGAAATGTTCAGTTTCAAGAAAAGCTTCAGAGTTGTTCAGCCAATGAATCGATTTGAGGAAAAGGGATTTCTTTGCAAAAAAGAAGCGATTGATTGTACCTTTCATCATCGAATGAACACCCTGAATCTCGAAAGGATGGAAAAACAAGAAAAAAAAAGCTTTTTCTTGCCTAAACAACAGCTGACACAGTGAAATGAATGACCGATCTTTTTAGACTCACAAAAATTCTCTCTAGAAATCACCGATTGTCACGGGTTTTTTTTTGTGTGGATCGCATTTCATTGGTCATTGTAAAATGTTGATAATGAAGTGGAGGAATTGAAAAGAAAAAGTTGATTCCTCGAGCCGGGATTGAACCATTGACCTTTAGATTTCAAGCTCCAGTCGCTCTAACCACTGAGCTATTCGGCATCTTAAGCAGCCAAGAGAAAAAGGGAAAGATGAGGAAAGAAAGAAATATTTGGGTCAATGAAAAACTCTTAATTACAGTATGCGAAAAAGAAGTCAAGAAGCTTGACTGAATATCTTTTGCTTTAAGGAAAAGCTTTAAAGATATTCAGTTAATTTCAATGGTCATTGTAAAATGTTGATAATGAAGAAGTGAAGGAATTGGAAAGAAAAAATTGATTCCTCGAGCCGGGATTGAACCATTGACCTTTAGATTTCAAGCTCCAGTCGCTCTAACCACTGAGCTATCTGGTGTCATGAACTACCAGGAGAAAAAGGGAAAGATAAGGGGGAAGGATGAGGAAAGAAAGAAATATTTTGGTCTTAAGTCAATGAAAAATTAATTACAGTATGCGAAAAAGGAGTCAAGAAGCTTGACTGAATATCTTTTGCTTTAAGGAAAAGCTTTAAAGATATTCAGTTAACTGAATACTTATCTAGCATACTGTAATGAAACAAAAAAACTAAAGGCTTAAAGTATTTTCAAAACCAAAAAGTGGAAGACTTTTGCTTCATTACAGTAAGCCAGCGAAAAGCATTCATTAAGACTGAACCTAAAAGATATTCAGTGTTATTGACTGAATATTTTAACTGTAACAGGCAACTAAAGGTTTAAATTGGAAGGAAAATAAGAAAATGAAATGTTGAAATGATCTTTTTGCTCCATTTTAGCATTTATTGGTGTGAACAGATGGTTTTGATGCAATTGTTTATGCCAATAAACTAAAAAGTCAAGCCTATTACAGATCTTTGATAAGTAAAATCACTATTGGCATCTCTAATAAGGAAATATTGTTCATAAAAAAGGTTTCTTATCTGTCAAAACATCTGTCAGAATTAGGCAATAAGACCTAAATGTAGATTTTTCGTTAGACTTGTTGCATAGTCAAGTCTAGCGTTGTTCTAGAGCTGTAGAGCTGTTCTAGAGTTGTTCTAGAGCTGTGGACTTGTTCTAGAGTTGTTCTAGAGCTGTAGAGCTGTTCTAGAGTTGTTCTAGAGCTGTGGACTTGTTCTAGAGTTGTTCTAGAGTTGGTCTAGAGCTGTATAGTTGTTCTAGAGTTGTTCTAGAGCTGTGGATTTGTTCTAGAGTTGGTCTAGAGTTGTTCTAGAGCTGTAGAGTTGTTCTAGAGTTGTTCTAGAGTTGTTCTAGAGCTTTTTAGTTGCTCTAGAGTTGTTCTAGAGCTGTAGTTTTGGGCCAGGCTTTATTAGATTAGATCAATAATACCCTAAATCTGTTAGAAGTTTGAGCCTAACTCATCTAATTTATCATATAGTCCAGTTAGAAAATAGCAAGATAGTTGTGAAGGGTTAAAACAATTCAGTGCGCCAGCATGGCTGTGTTTCTATTTCCAAGCTCAATGTACAACAGAAAGAGTTGCCAAATAGCTTGCGTTTGGTAAGGAACAAAATACGAGCCAAAAATTACAGTCTAACTTGGTAAACTGGCCGTAAGAAACAAGCTGCCTATATCCAGATTCATAAAAGTATTCACTTTTTGACAATTCTGCTGTTTGCTGTTTTTAACATCGTTCTCCGCACAATTGTTAAGTCTGTAAAGCATCTAAAAGCGTTCTGCTACGGTACGGTAAGAAGTACAGTTGACAAAAGAAAAAAAGCCAACAGAAAGCGATATAGAAATGCCGAATGGTTGCTTTCCGTTGACCTTGGGTCATTTGATTGAGAAGGGACAGACAATCCGATAGCATCTGTTCCCCTCCTTTGATCGAAAACATTTGCTTCTCGGAAAATCAAAAAAAGAACAACAACTCTTTGCATTGGATCGATGATTCATTTCTCTCCTTGTCAACATGTGTTACTCATTCACACTCGTTACAAGGCAAAATCTCATTTTTTTTGGAACAAAACAAAGATGTTTATATGATATGGATAAAGATTTATGAAAAGAAAAATTTAGCTATAAGGTTGGAAAATTCACTTTGATAAGTTATAGCTTGGCTATTGTGGGAGGGGTTCGAATTGGGACCGATTCTCACTAAAATTATTGGCAGATTCGTGTAGCAACAATTTTTTTTGATGAAGTTGATATAGAAATGGGAAAGTAAATCGGTTTATCAATAATTTATCAGATATTAGAGGATCAAATCGGGTCAAATCAAGAGGCTTTCGCGTCAGTTTTAGCCTTGGGTTCTTAGCCTTGAGTTCTTAGCCTTGAGTTCTTAGCCTTGGGTTCTTAGCCTTGGGTTCTTAGCCTTGAGTTCTTAGCCTTGAGTTCTTAGCCTTGAGTTCTTAGCCTTGAGTTCTTAGCATTGGGTTCTTAGCCTTGAGTTCTAAGCCTTTAGTTCTTAGCCTCGGCTGATTTTGGTTCAACGAGATGCAGCATTTGTAGAAAAATACAGCCGAGTTTGCGGCAAAAAAATGATCCGAAAAAATTGGGCATAGTGGCGCCTGGGAAACGAGTAGCCGCCTCAGCCGCTCATCAATCCTTTTCCTTTACGAACTTCAAAAGGAAACACCTATCTATCTAGAGGATGTGCAAGACGGCCAGCGATATAGTTGCTCTAGAACAGGGTTTTCGAGGACGGTGAAACGATTGCAGCTATTCATTTTATTGAGTCTACCAAATGGAACTCAGATTTAATTGGTTTAAACTTTTAGATGAATTTGGATTTAAATTTTAGAACTATAGTCGAACGGTAGCTTTGCCATGCTTTAGAAAACGGACTAAAAAGAAATACGGTAGCTTTTGGTTACAGAGTGTGCATCAGAAAAGACAGAAAGCTTAAGCAAAATCGACAACTCACTTTAAATGGCCCATTCCTGTGTACAGTACTCTTGGAATCTCGAGTTCAATGTGCAGAATAATCAGCAGAAAAAAGGATTCGGAATGAAAATGGCTTCCGAGCAAACGTGGGTTCATCATTTTCTCAATTCTTTATCAGCGAAATTCTTCCCGGATTGAATCTGGGTGACAGCTGTTCTTTTCTCAGGGGATTTCATTCTAAAGACTACACAAAAACGAAGAGATATCCTCAAAAAATGCAAAATGATTCGAGAATCGAGCAAACAATAAACTTTAAAATTGGAATTTGTGATCTCATTGGATCGATTTATGGGTTTTAAATGAGGTTTAAATGGGGTTTAAATGGTTTTAACTGGTTTTAAATGGGTTTTAACTGGTTTTAAATGGTTTTAAATGGGTTTTAAATGGGTTTAAATGGGTTTAAATGTTTGTGAAAGTTTGATTAGTTAAGTTTAAAAATTTCATTGAGCAGTATTTGTTTGTTTGTGATAGCAGAAGTATCAAAGATTTTACTAGACAAACTTATTTTTAGATTATTTTATAAAATGTCAATCTACTATATATAAAGGGACTAAGACGGCTGTCTATCCGTCTGTCTGTTCGTCTGTCTGTCTGTCTGCCTGTCCGTCTGTCTGTCCGTCCGTCTATCTGTCCCTCTGTCTGTCTGTCCGTCTATCTGTCTGTCCGTCTATCTGTCCGTCCGTCTGTCTGTTCGTCTCTCTTTCTATGCGCGCTACTCCTCAGCCCCCAGAGGACCGTTTGCAATGATTTTTGCATCGTTGAATAGGAATTTACATGTAGTTGTGCAAACTGCTTTTGGAACTTTTAAAAACCACAACTCGAGTCGCACGGAGAGGTCGAACCTGAATCGTATGGGTGATAGACCGGCGCGCTATCCACTGCTTTACGGTGACAAAAGTCGTCTCAAAACATCCAGAAAAACCCGACGTTAGGCGAGCTTCTCCGCTGGTTATTGTATATACAAATAGGTTTATGGCCAGATAAAATTCTGGTCTTAAAACATCAAAAAGCAAACAAAAATTGCCAAGAAGGAATCGAAGTAGATCAAAAAAAGTGGCACACCTTTTGTATGCCAGCCTTTTATCCAATACACCACCAAGCTATGGTTGGGAGGCTTTGAGAGAACAATTATAAAGGCATACTCCTCGGCTTTTCATTTGCATTATAAAGGCATCAAATTTTTGCATTTTCACCTTAACACTTAAACATATAACTTTTTATGGAAAGCAATTTTGCAAAAACGGAAAACAGATTTGTAATCAGTGGAAAATTCTGTGTTTAATGGCGACATCATATTGTTGTCTTTTCCTTGTAAATGTTTTGTTAATTCTTTCAAAAACAAAGAAAAGAAATTCCATCACCCATTCTCACACCTTTGTCTGATCGTTTTTTGAAAGCAATTACCCATAGAAATGTTTATCGATTTTGTACAAACAAGGACAAATATGCACAAACAATTTCACGAATAGATCGGTGTCTCGGAGAGCTCTTTTTGCGTTTCTTCATCGTTTTCTTCATCTCTAAGTCTTATCACTTGTTGAATCGATTCTTTCGCCTCACCATTTTTGTCTCTTTCTTCAATTTTAATCGATACAATACCCTGAACCCTTAAATCTGAAGCCTCAAAGATCTCTTCATCCATTTCCTCATCCATTTCCTCAGCCACTTCACCGTTTCTCTCCTCGTCTTTCAATTCAGCCTCATTTTCTTGCTCAATTGTAACAATTGCTACAGTTTTCAAAACTCGTCTTTCTGATTCATAACGAGAGATCTCTGTTTGAGCTTGTCCTTGCAACACTTCATTGTCATCCATTTCATCCATTTCAATCTTTTCCCCTTGTTCACTTGTAATCGATACAGTATCGTCAATTCGATTCCTTCGAAAGTCCAAATATCCGTCCGATGCCTCGATCTCCAGCGATTTATATAAAAGTGAGCGAATTTTCTCGAAATTCGGCCGATCGATCGGATCAAATGCCCAGCATTGAAAGGAGAGAGCTTTGCTGAAAATTCGTTTTGATTCGTTTTGAAAAAAACTGACAATAACAATAACCATTAGGTTATCGGATTCCAAGTCCATTAGGGACTTGGAATTCTCCAATGTCTAAGCTACTTGCTACAGCTACAGTACTTTATAAAAATTAAAAAAATTTTTTAAAAAAAAAAAATTAAAAAAAAATAAAATATAAAAAAATTAATTAAAAATAATAAAATATTTTAAAAAAAAAAAAAAATAAAAAATAAAAAAAAATTATAAAAATAAATAAAATAAAAAAAAAAAATATTAATAAAATTAAAAAATAATAAAAAAAAAAAAAAATAAAATTTAAAATTTAAAATAAAAAAAAAAAAAAAATAAAAAAAAAAAAAAAAAAAAAAAAAAAAAATATTTTTAAAAAAAAAAAAATTTTAATAAATTTTTTATAAAAAAAAAAAAAAAAAATTTTAATTTTTTTTATTTTTTTTTTTTTTAATAATATTAAAAAAAAAAAAAAAAAAAAAAAAAAAATAATTAAAAAATAAAAAAAAAAAATTTTTTTTAAAAAAAAAAAAATAATTTTTTTAATTAAAAAAATTTTAAAATTAAATATAAAAAAAATTTAAAAAATATACAAGACTCACATAAGTTCAGGCGAATCCTCAGGCATCTCCAAGCGATTCCCCTTCTTGATATGCTCAAACACGTCTTCAGCGTCAATACTGACGAATGGTGAGTTCCCGAATGTGTACAATTCCCATAGCAAAACACCAAAAGACCAACTAAAAACTTTCTTTTGATTCATTGAAGAATTCTTCTTTTTCTCTCTCTTACACATCAGTTTTCTCAGTGAATTCGGCGGTTTTGAGGCTCTCTGGAGCCATCCATTTAATCGGTAAACGACCGCCTCTTGACGTATAAAATAGAGAATTGCTCTCACGACAAAGACCAAAATCTGAAAGGATAGTTGAATGCTTTGTCTTAACTATCGAACAATTCAGCATGAATTCTGTATTGGAGCCATATTGGAAACTTATTGGAACCATATTGGAACCGTATTAGATCAAAATAGGAACCGTATTGGAACCATATTGGAACCATATTGGAAAGATCAAAAAAAGAACCATATTGGAACCATATTCGAACCGTAACCGAACCATATTGGAGCCGTATTGGAACCATATTGGAACCGTATTAGATCAAAATAGGAACCGTATTAGATCAAAGAAAGAACCATATTGGAACCATATTGGAACCGTAACCGAACCATATTGGAACCGTAATGGAACCATATTGGAACCGTATTAACAAAAAAACCGAAACAAAAGAACCATATTGGAACCATATTGGAACCATATTGGAACCGTAACCGAACCATATTGGAACCATATTGGAGCCATATTGGAACCTATTGGAACCATATTGGAACCATATTGGAACCGTATTAGATCAAAATAGGAACCGTATTCAATTCAGCTTTCTTGATTTCTAATCATTTATTCATTTATCTGCTGCTCTAGAGTGATGTCATTGTCAGTTGTCAGCAGTGTTTTTCTGTTTTTCCTATCACACTAAGCTAAGTATTGCTTTGATCGGAAAGTTTGCTTTCTTCTTTGAAATTTTCGTTTATAAATGAAACTAAGCAATACTATGGCTTTTGTTTAAATAAAAAAAAGAACTATTTCAATTAGCTATTAGAATTTGAATCCGATTTTAAACAAATCTGAACAAGAATTCTTATTTTTCATAAAATCCTTACAATTAACATAAAATAAAATCGATTGCATTAAATTTCTCTAAAAATTTATCTATCTACCTAACTCTTTCTTTTCTATCTTTTTTTTGACACAAAAATGTGATAGGATTTGTGATTTCGATGGCTTACTGTGATAGGATAAACAATTCTGACAACTGACAATGACAACTGACAACTGACAGCTGACAACTGACAATGACATCACTTTAGAGCAGCAGATAAATGATTGGAATTCAATAGATTTCTGTGGGAAATCTGAATGAAAGTTGAATGATTAGAAGATAAACGGTTAGAATTCAAATCGAAACTTTAATTTGGATCGTTTTCATCGATTTTGACTTCTAAGGATGGCTAGAGTGCAACCACCACCAGCACAAGCAAGTCAAAGACTCCGGACCAGGAACAACCAAGATAGGAAACACTGGATGACAATAGCAAGGGATAGAGAAATGTGGAAGCAAGTTGTGATAGGAATGCAAATAGGAACACCTAAGTGCGAAGACAGACCAAAATCAAAATAAACTAAGGATAACTAGAGTGCCAGCACCACCAGCAAGTCGAAGACTACGAACCAGGAGCAACCAAGATAGGAAAGACTGGATGACAATAGCAAGGGATAGAGAAATGTGGAAGCAGGTTGTGATCTGCGCAAAATAGGAACACCTAAGTGCCAAGATAGATAAAAAAAAAAGAAAAAATTAACTAACTAGCGAGCTCTTCAAAATTTCTTAAAGAGAAATTTGTAAATAAATCATAGAACTTTCTAATAAAATAAATCACAAATCAATTGGTTCATTATTTACCGTATTCTCTCTAATAGTAGTGCACTCTCTAATAGTATTGCGGTCCAGGAGGGGGTTCAAAAAATAGTAGTGCGCACTACTATTAGAGAGAATACGGTATTTCAAAAATTAACCTTTTAAGAAAAGCGGAAAAGACTTTCCGGTGAGCCTGATAGTTTTTTGATAAACAAAACCCTTTATTACCGAAGTCTGGATTGCTTTACCTGCCAATTTAGCCAGATTCTGTCCCGTGATCAACACATTTCTCACGGCCACATCGCGATGAATGATCTTTTTCCCAGAAAGGTAAAGCTAAAAAGAGCTAAAAGATTTTAAAAACTATTTTTCTTTAAAAAAATCGAATTGTGACTAATTCTCACTAAAATTATTGAAAAATAGGGGAGTGGGACAAATGCGACCTTTTTTTTTGCGCACCCGGACATTTGCGTACCTTTTTTTTCCGCACCTTGCCCATTAGCGCACCTTTTTTCGCGTTTTAAAAAAGCTCTAAAAAGCTAATATTAACCAATTTCTATTCCAAAAGTTGTTTTTCTAGGTAATTTGAGGGCGTAGAATCGAAATTTTGACATATCAGAGCTTGTGGGACAAATTTGAAAGACCAATTTGAAAGACAAAACGGCTAGATCAAATTACAGAAAATTGTCGATTTTTCTCTTTGTATAACTCCGTCCGTTTGTTTCCACAAGCTCTGATATGTCAAAATTTCGATTCTACGCCCTAAAATTACCTAGAAAAACAACTTTTGGAATAGAAATTGGTTAATATTAGCTTTTTAGAGCTTTTTTAAAACGCGAAAAAAGGTGCGCTAATGGGCAAGGTGCGGAAAAAAAGGTGCGCAAATGTCCGGGTGCGCAAAAAAAAAGGTCGCATTTGTCCCACTCCCAAAAATAGATATAATTAATACAAAAATTATTACAATCCGGGCGAAAAGAAAGAAATAAAAAGCAATAATTAAACGAAAAATGATATTTCTTCATTTATTCGTTGATAATTTGGTTTTAGTGAGAATCAGGTCCTCTTTTAATTCTTATCAAAGAGTACTAAAGCTGATTTTTCTTAGTAAGTAAGTTTCACCAATGTTTGGCAAAGTTTAATGTATGGCTCGAAAACTTTAAGCAATAAAAATGGACAATTTTTTTGTCAACAATGTCAACAACAATGTTGTGAATGTCAAAAAGGCTTAAGCAGATTAAAACTAAAAACTAAAAGAGCACGTGTGGCTGACTGGTTAAGTGTCTTTTATCTTAATCGGAAGGTCGAGGGTTCGAACCCCACATGCGACATGGTCACCCCCTTCGGATTTCCTTTCCCTTCGGGTTGAGAGGTTTTCTGGAGGGCAGTCTGGTGGTTGTGGCCCCAGTTCTTTAAAGTGACAAGCCACTCCTTCATCGTCATCTTCCCTTCACCACCAAAAAAGCTATTTAGTTCCCCATTGAGCTTAGGGTTAGGGAGCCGTCTGTCATGACGTGGGTTAAGTTAAGATATAGCCTAGTATTGTGTGTGTCGTTGTATTGTGATTGATATATTTCGTGTATGCGATAAATTCACCACTGGTAGCCCCAGTCGGTATTTTTAAAAAACGATAAGCGGCCAACGATAAAGGGCAGTCGATAAGCGGACAACGATAAAGGCCAGTCGATAAACGGCCAGCTTTTCCTTGAGGTGTACCTTGTGTTTCAAAAATGTAAACACACTGTCTCTGGCACGCTTAAGCCTTCAAGTTTTCTTGCAAACACTTGCAACAATACTTGATTTCACAAGGAAAATTGCATAGTGGTTTGTCAGCAACTAGCTTCAGATAGTTCAGTTAATCTTCGCCATGGTCGACTGGTTTTGTGTCGCCATGGTCGACTGGCTAAGAGCCTTGTTTTCTAACGAACAGTCAGATTTCGCAAGCGCAAATCCAAACCAAAGCTATATGACTTACGCAAGTCGAACACGGAACATGGTGTTTTAGTTTTTGCCCTAGATGTTTCCGTAAAAGCAATGATTTGTTCCATAGTGGTTGAGTACTTATGCGTTTGAAAGGGCTATCGTCGCTGAGCAAAGAAGTGACTCGGTGGTGCAGTGGTAGTTTGCGCTTGCGAAATCTGACCGTTCCCCAGTTGGTCGCGGGTTCAAAGTCGGGCTTGAGGGTTCAATCCCGCACACATACCGTAAATACTGTAATAATACCCCGCCGCCCTCGTACAGTCGCGTAGTCGCAAAAGTTTTTTAGTATTTGATTTTTTTTTAGGGTTAGGGAGCCGTCTGTCATGACGTGGGTTAAGTTAAGATATAGCCTAGTATTGTGTGTGTCGTTGTATTGTGATTGATATATTTCGTGTATGCGATAAATTCACCACTGGTAGCCCCAGTCGGTATTTTTTAAAAGCAGATCAATACTCAATGATTAGCGACCTTTAGCTGAAAAACCCTTCCACAAGCTTCTTTCCCAATTAAAATTGGGCTTTCAGAGTTCATTTTGTTGACAAGATAAAATCATATTGGAAAGAAAGTTCTCGGAAAAAGTTTGACTAGAATTTCTTAAAAACGAATCCACCAATTCAAGAAGATTTTGTTCTATTATTTACAAATCGATTCCAAGAAATTACTCGTAAAAAATGGGTGCAGCTTTCCAGCAAAATTTTAGAGATTTTTGAAGAAAAGTATTATTTTCCAGCTTGAATTCAGATCACTTTTTGCATCAGAAAAACGATTTCTTATAAGATAAAGCTAGCCTAAATGAGCAATACGCTTTTAATCGAGGGGTAGTCAAAACAGCGCCGTCAAATTTCTCAAAATCCAAAAAACCAAGCCGGTTCAATTTTTATACCAAAAGATTCCTTGCGTTCTTGGCTACATGATGGGTGAAACAGTTTTTTAAAAAAGTTAAGATTTCATAGATAAAAAGAGCACTCAAAATGGGTCTCTAAAGGTCTCTAAAGACACACATGTCGAGTGATACTCAGTTGGTTAACTGAATATCTTTAGAGACCCATTTTGAGTGCTCTTTTTATCTATGAAATATTAACTTTTTTAAAAAACTGTTTCACCCATCATGTAGCCAAGAACACAAGGAATTTTTTGGTATAAAACTTGAACCGGCTTGGTTTTTTGGATTTTGAGAAATTTGATGGCGCTATTTTGAACGTTTTCTATTATGGCGCTGTTTTGAACGTTTTCTATTATGGCGCTGTTTTGAACGTTTTCTATTATGGCGCTGTTTTGAACGTTTTCTATTATGGCGCTGTTTTGACTACCCCCTTATAATCTCTATTTTTAGCCAACAAATTTCTTTACAAAGAAGCTGTATTTCAAGAAATCATTTTTTCGTGTCATCTTCTTTGCACTGAGTGTTTTTTGCTAAAATAGATGATTCTGAAAAGCTCAAACATTCAATAAAATTTACCTTTCATCACAAATTTACTTAGTACTTGATTTTAGGTTTTGAATAGGACCAATGCCTATTCATTAGCCCATTAAAAACTTGTCGAAAAGCTAGTCACTTAAAGAATGATCAAGTCACTTTAGCTGAAGAAATCTCTCATTTTTTACCTGAAGCCAATTCTAATTGTTTTGTTAAAAACTTTTTGAAATATAATCAAGTTTATCAAGAGAAATTGATGGCTTGGTTTTTGAGAAATCACTGTGCAAACTTTTTCCGAAAACTCTCTTTCAAACCTAATATAATCATTTCTCTTTTTCTTATCACCTACCAAAGCATCGCTGATCTGCCAGGCGATTGGCAAAAGATCACTTTTTGAGAGACCATTCTAAAGCTTTCGATTAACTCTACAATACAAAATTCAACTTGCAAAACCCCCCCCCCCCCCCAAACCCCCAAAAAAAAACACCAAAAAAAAAAAAAAAAAAAAAAAAAAAAAACACCCACAAAAAAAAAAAAAAAAAAAAAAAAATTCCCCCCCCAAAAAAAAAAAAAAACAAAATAAAAACCCCACCAAAATCCGGGGGGGGGTCTATCATAATCTTTCGAATTTCGAAGCAATGAAAGAAGATCTCCTTTATCGCACAATTCTGTTAGAATCATTGGGTTTTCTGGATCTTTCGAACACCCGAGAAAGCACAGCAAATGAGGATGAGACTGAAATATCTTTGAAATAAATCTACGATTCGATTTATACCTCCAAACCAATCATGAAGTCGATTTCACGAATCATCTCGATTCTAAAGGAAATTGAAAAGTTTCTTTCAACTAACAATTAACAATTAACAGTAACAATTAACAAAGAAATGTCAACTAAGTGGCCAAATGACATGTGTCACGGGTTATTCGACGCAGAATTCTACCCAGAGTCCGACGCAGAATTCTACGCTGATTCCGAATCTGCTTTCTGTTTCTGATATAGAGCACTCTGTCAAAAGTTATAAGGCTACAAAGTTTTGTATGGGAAAATCACACCCGAGTTTATAAATGGATTTCCCAGAGGCTTCAGGAAGCAGTGGTGGTCGAGTGGCAGTGGGTTAGAACACTAAACTAGAGAGGCCAAGCCAAGAACTAGAGAGGCCAAGCCAAGAACTAGAGAGGCCAAGCCAAGAACTAGAGAGGCCAAGCCAAGAACTAGAGAGGCCAAGCCAAGAACTAGAGAGGCCAAGCCAAGAACTAGAGAGGCCAAGCCAAGAACAGAGAGGCCAAGCCAAGAACTAGAGAGGCCAAGCCAAGAACTAGAGAGGCCAGCCAAGAACAGAGAGGCCAGCCAAGAACTAGAGAGGCCAAGCCAAGAACTAGAGAGGCCAAGCCAAGAACTAGAGAGGCCAAGCCAAGAACTAGAGAGGCCAAGCCAAGAACTAGAGAGGCCAAGCCAAGAACCAGAGAGACCAAGCCAAGAACTAGAGAGGCAAGCCAAGAACTAGAGAGGCCAAGCCAAGAACCAGAGAGACCAAGCCAAGAACTAGAGAGGTCAAGCCAAGAACTAGAGAGGCCAAGCCAAGAACCAGAGAGACCAAGCCAAGAACTAGAGAGGCCAAGCCAAGAACCAGAGAGACCAAGCCAAGAACTAGAGAGGCCAAGCCAAGAACCAGAGAAGCCAAGCCTCTCTAGTTCAAGTCCAGCGTTCTACTTCATTCTCTCGCTTCTTTGGATTTACAATGTTAATTGTTCTCCATTTCAAGTTTATATTAAACTACTTATAAAAATGTTTACTTTTAACTATTAACATCTGTTTACTTGTTTACTATTAACAACAATTGTTTACTATTAACATCAAACAGCTATCATAAAAATCAAAGAGAAAGTTCTAAGCGTCGAAAGTTTTGTCTGTAAAATCAAACTTGTCTTCTCTTGTCGCATGCGGATGACACATTTTGACAGCTACTTTAGTGAGTGATTGCGTCTAAACGAGTTTTGTTCGAGTTTTGTTCGAGTTTCGTCGAGAAATCATTTTCCAAAAGAAACCTTTGAATGCGAATGCATCTTTTCGAATGGTGACGGATCTTTGAGCAATCCTTTATAGACAACAGCATAAGCTCCTGATCCGAGCTTTATCGAGGTCAACACCAAAGACGACTGTTCGATTTCCCATTTGTCGCGAACTCGTCCGTCTCTAAAATCCGTTCGGATTCTATCCAGGTCTAGTAGACATGAAAAAATTCCAATCAAAATCTAATTCCACCTTCGTTTTCTTGGCTCATTGCTCTGTCTACGGGTAGAAAACGAGATTTTCAGCTTATAGACAAAATTTCATCGGTTAAGAATTCGAGAAAACGACGGTGGAATTAGGTTTTGATTGGAATTTTCCCATGTCTAGTATCTGGATCAATTACAAGTCTTAATTGATCCAAAAGGGATCCTACAGAGACCCTGGGGACCTCAAGAGACCCTGGGGACCTCAAGAGACCCTAGGGACCTCAAGAGACCCTGGGGACCTACAGAGACCCGGGCCAGAGCTGAATCATTCTGAATCCGGTTCCCTCAACCACTTCTATATTCTTTATATCCTCACTAGAAGCATCAGATGTAAATCTAGCCTAGCGAAACTAAAGCCAAAGTCATGGCTATGGCCTGGAATTTCAAGCTTAGTGTTGAAGTTGGCTAGGCTGTCTTGACTGCGGGGTTGACTCAGTCTGGATTCCAGACTCTGGAAAATCGGTTCAAAAAACAGATCAAGACTGACCGGGCCAAACAAAGACCAAGAAAAGCCAAGACAAGCCAAAACCATGAACATAGGTATGATATGATTTGGTCCAGCCAGTCATTCACCAATCACAAACCCTGACAAAGTCCTGTGCACAACATGATTCATGTAATCATTTCTCGCCGTCGTCGCCGCCACTTTCATCGCATCCAGTTCGGCTCGCTCCTCTTCCGGTAAATAGTCTCGAATTTTCCAGATATCCGATCGCCTAAAGATTTAGATTCGAAAAGCTGCTGCTAGTACAGTTCGAAACTCAACCAACATCTTCTTCAATGTCCATTGTGGACAAAAGTGAAGAGAGCCAAAGCGTAAACCAAGACAAAACAGCATGAACAAAACGACTCCACCAATTGCGCCAGCTATGTAGCCCCTAGATTTTTGGGTTTAAGGCCTACTTTATATCCTTCTGATGCACACGAAAAGCTCTGATGTGCTCCGAAAAGCTCTGACAAAATACCAAATCTCAAAATTGATTGAAATCGACTATAACTTTTGACTAAGAAGACCAAAAAAAGCACTAGAACTTCGGTTTTACAAGAAAAATTAGTGCATTAGATAGAAAAGTTTACAATTTCGAGTACAAAGTACTCACTCACCAAGCTCCAGCATTTGAAGACTTTGGCTTTTTCGTTTTAGTCTCTGGTGGCGCTGGGAGACCTATAAAGAAGATGAAATTAAAAATTCGTTTACTTACACGTTTACTTACACGCAGGATTTCCCGAACAAAGTCCATTCTCTCGAACAAAGCACAAATCGGTTCCAAATGACTAAATGATGGCCTTCTCTTCCTCTTCTCTTCCCCTTCTCTTCCCCCTCTCTTCCCCTTCTCTACCCCTTCTCTTCCTCTTCTCTTCCCCTTCTGTTCCCCTTCTGTTCCCCTTCTCTTCCCCTTCTCTTCCTCTTTCTTCTCTCGAAAGAAGATTCCGAATAGCTCAGTGGTTAGAGCAATTGCTCAGCTAAAGCGAAAGGTGAAGGGCTCAATCCCCTCTCCGGAAATCGACTTTTTCTTGCCAATTCCTAATGAGCAAATGATGGCTTTACTGGTATATTTTCCAAACTCACAACATCGAATAAACCCTTTGTCCTTTGGTAGATCAATGTAACCCCACAGGAATCGTAGAAAGCATCCTAAAACCACTTTTTAAAGGGTATCTATGTTAGGGAGCTACCGTAATCAGCTCAATTTTGGGATTCGTTTTGAAATCACAAGACAATGATAACAAAATTGGTCGCTCGAGTGTAAATATGATTACGATAGTTCTCTAAAATAAGTAGACTTTTAGAAAACGCATCAAAATCTTAAGCTTAAAGCTGAATTTCATTTAATAATAAAGGAAAACTAACATAATTCACGAGAATTTGCCGGACAGGGACCTGATAAAGAACGATCGCGTCACTCAAAGTCTTGATGTCCAAATCGGCGAATTCCTCAAAAGTTTCTCTTGTTTTAAGCATTTTTGATTCGCAAAATGTGATTCGAATCGTGCTATTGCTGACTGGATCACTAGAAAGGTTGCGTTTACCAATGGGCATTGGAAATGGAATCGATTTAATGCTGAGATGGAAAGTGGATCCCCTATCGTACATCTGATGTAATTTTAGCAAAAACTATTCATCTTCTTAGCCTCACTCCTTACCAGGCTATAACATGGGCACTATAAACTACAAAAATGACGAATTGTCACACTAAAAACGCTTCTAACTTCCTTTAAATCTATTGGATTGACATGATCTATAGCTCAAAAAAAAGAGAATTTCAAGAGCTTTCGAATCGATCAAACCACACCTAAAAATATCAATTCTAAAGAAAGTTACAGCAATTTATAGTCCTGACTCGAAATGGACTGTACTCGCGTCGAAGTCGAAGGCTGTAAACTATTGTAACTTTCTTTAGAATTGATATTTTTAGGTGTGGTTTGATCGATTCGAAAGCTCTTGAAATTCTCTATTTTTTTGAGCTATAGCTCATATGAATGCGATAGATTTAAAGCAAGTTAGAAGGGTTTAAAATCTACGCTTGTAGTTTGTAGTGTCCATGTCTAGTTCCCTGCTTTAGGAAAAATCGATTAGAGCATTCTTTTACTATTCTTGACTCTTATCAATATAGTTTTTTATGTACTTCTGCTTCAAATCGTACTTTGTACTCGCCAAGTGTGAGCAAACCTTGGCAAAGCAAAGCAAACCTTGGCAAAGCAAAGTAAACCAAGCTGGCACACTCATTTCCCCTGCCTTGCCAACTCACGTTCAACAATCCATTCTTGCAGTCTTGATCCGTGATCAAATAAAGCGCCCTCGCGATGTCAGTCTCGTTTTTTTTCATTTTTCCCATGATTTCATCAGCGAAAAACGTATTTGAATAGTTTCGTCGACTGAAATCGTTTACGCCTCACAGTTAAACGCAAAAAAAAAGTCAACTGATCATCCAAAAATTTCGCTGGTATCTCCGGGTTCATATCGTCGCCGAAAAATTGCTCGTAAGTCGCATTATCGTATGGAACCAAGTAGGTGATCTTTCTGAAATCAGATCTGATACGGTATTAAAAAGGAAACGATAACAACGGAGATTCACCAAGCTATCTCAGGGTTTCAAAAAGAGACCCAACTCATCTAGACCAGTTCTTTTTTTTTTGATTGATTCCTGATTCCGAATCTGCAGTCAAATCTATCCCGTAGAGTCTCTGAAGCCGTAAAAACGCATTTGATTTACGGAGTAGATTTGATTCCAGATTCGGAATCGAAAATCAATAAAAAACTGGTCTAGATGAGCCAGGTCTCGTTTTCAAACCCGGTGGTAACTTGCCGAACCTCCCTAGTAAGCAAATTTCTTTATCATTCAATTAAATGTAAACTAAATTCATTGATAAGTAAAGAAATGCGCTCACTTCTGATTTATCGTCTAGATATAATGATTTTATCGGTCCGATATAGGTACTAAAGGTTGAAATCGGCTTTTCTGGTCCATTCGGGCATCCAAAAAGGAACACCTATCTATCAAGGGCGTTTGCCAGACGACGAGCGATTACGCGCGCACACAAAGAACACTTCGTCAGTTAGGCATTTCTCTTTTGCTTTGTTGATGGCAGAAAAAGAAGATATTTGGCTGCAAATTTGTACCCTAGGGTTTTCGAGGACGGTGAATCGATTGCAGCTATTCATTTTATTGAGTTTACCAAATGGAACTTGGATTTAAATCCTTTTTATAAAAAGAGATTCATTCTAAACATTGCGAATTTTCCCTTGAACTTTTACCCTCTTTCCGACTCGGTCATATTCCCTTCAAATTCAGCACATGGCCCGGAAAGAGTTTTTATCATTTCTCTAAATGTTTTTCTTGTTCATTCCAATTACTTTTTTTGATTACTCGAATTTTTCAAAACCGTTTGGTGTCAACATTGCGAACACGTAAAGATGCCATCGATAGCAGAGATTTGGAGAATGATTTGTGGTTACTGAAAGACGAATTTGAGCTAAGAAAACGGCAATGCACGCTTTCTGGCGCACTTAATTCCTGATTTTCTTGTGATATCAAAACGTTGCTTCAAGAAAAACAAAGATTTCAATGCAGCAGAAAAGGCGCGTTTCCGCTTTCGCGTTACACAAAGTACAAGGCGTGATTTCTGCAGAAACACATCTTTTCTAGTGCACGCAGTTATTCAGTTAAATAGCTTGAATTTTCTGTAATAAAATGAGGGATATAGTGTTAGATTGTATTAGATTTAAGATGTATCTAAGCTAGTTAATGTAATGTTAATGTTAACGTTAATGTTAATGTTAATGTAAAACTAAAAAAGAGACACTAAAAAGTAAAATGACGAGTTTGCTAGCAAAGGCGAGTTTCTGGAGGCTCTGAAGGCTTCAGCGTTCAGTACTGAAGGGTTCAGTACTGAAGTAAGTTCAGTACTGAGTACTGAAGTAAGTTCAGTACTGAGTACTGAAGTAAGTTCAGTACTGAGTACGTCAGTACTGAAGTAAGTTCAGTACTGAAGTAAGTTGAGTATTTAGTGTACCAGAAATGGTACATTTTTTGAGCACAAAGTACATCATAAAGAAAAAGTAAAATTGGCTAAAATTCGCTAAAATTCGCTTCCAAATGCTTCTCAAATTTTACCATTTTTGCAATTCGCAAAAGGATTTTTCGTTGATGATTGCGCTCGTGAGAATATAAAAATAGCAAAGAAAAGAATAAGATTCCAATTCATTCAATTTTAAGCAAGAATACACGAGAATCGATTCAATGCAACAGTGCGAGCAATTAAGCTGATTAGAGAAGTTTATAATCTTCTCAAAAAGAAAGAAATCTCAAATCTTTTTAACCCTATCGCACTGATCAAGTTGAATAATCAAAAAATCGGTGATTTATTTTTGTGTTTCGAAATTTGATTCTTGCATTTAGTTGAAATCGTTGAAATCGAATTTAAAGAAATCGTGATGAAATCGAGTTTAAAGAAAAATCCTCTGATTATGATTTCTGATGGAAATTTGCGATTTCAACTTCATTCATTGACTTAAAAGTAGACTTGGTTATTGATATTATTCATAATTTTCAATGGTTTAACATTTCCCCTCGCTTGTCGATCGCTATTGATTTCAGTAACCATGTGACCTTCACTAGAAAGCCTAATAGTCTAATTAAGAAGTGCTCTACTGGAATGAATACGGTACTCTGTTTAATCCATGATTTAGTTTTTTTTATTTAAAAGACAGACAAAAGACAGGCAAAAGACAAACAAAAGATGGACAAAAGACAGGCAAAAGACAGGCAAAAGACGGACAAAAGACGGACAAAAGACAGGCAAAAGACATGCAAAAGACGGACAAAAGACGGACAAAACACAGGCAAAAGACAGGCAAAAGACTGACAAAAGATAGACAAAACAAGTGCGAAATAGAATTGACGTGCAATCATATATCTTCAAGTGGCGATTTCTGCGATTTTCAAGCCCAAATCGGAATGGTTGTGTTCAAAGCTGTTTCTATTGGGTTGATGAATTGAAAACTGCGGGACTTTGAACTAAAATTTATTCAACATAAAACCATGAATTCATTCCAAATAATTTCCATTATTATTGATGACTTCTGCCCATTTTACAGGCAATTTGCGGATTCCTCTTTCTTCGTAGGATTTTGGTTTGGGTGTGAGACAAGTGTGAGACTCAAAAATGGAGGACTGGAGATGTCGAGATGTCCCAGTTTGAGCACTTTCTTCAAAAGAAACTCATTTTGGTGTCAATAGAGAAGTTGTAGAGAATCAAAAATGAGGCTTATAGCCAAATTTCCAAAAAGATAAACTTAGTAGTTTCGCTTAAAATGCAAGTTTTGTGAAAATTCGTAAATTTGACATTTCTTGAAAATCAGTTTTTGAATCGTTCTGAAAAGTTGGATATAGGCTTGATTTTTGATTCTCTACAACTTTTCCATTGACACCAAAATGGGTTTCTTTTGAAGAAAGTGCTCAAACTGTCACATATGACAATAGCCCGCAGTTTTCAATCCACCAACCCAATAGAATTAAAAATTCAAGTCAACCCAGGCTATCCCAAAATCAAAACCATCGATTTTCGCTTAGTCTGACTTTGGAAAGCTTTTTTTCTGATTTCAACAAATATTTGCCGAATTTATTGACCCAAAACTTTAATCCATGAAACTCTTTTAATAAAATTTCATGATTTGATTTATTTACAAAGGAAAGCTCAGTTTTTTTCGAATTTTCACAAAAATGCGCCGAAAACGCAATTAGCTATACGTGAAATTTAATCAAACAAAAAAAAAGACGAAAATTTTGAGGCTTTAATTTTGAATTCTTTGTTTGAATGGTATGCAAATGATTAAAATTTCAAGAGTTTTAAAGCATGAATTGTTCATCGTTATTTTATCGACTATTTTGATCATGGGTTTGTTTTTTAATTTAACTTTTAACTCTAATTTCTAAAGAAAAACGCTTTCAGGTGTCTTCGCATTGCTAAAATTTGTTTATGATCAAAAATTTGCTTTGCTACATCGACGAATAAACATTTCGAAAGAGTTATCTGATCAAATTTGTTTGATTCTCGTGATCGCTGAATTTGTGGTGAGAGTCTAAACCGTCTAATCGCCCTAGACTAGGCTTACACCCTAGACTTACCTAGAGAATTTGGATACTATATTTTAATAAAGATATTCAACTGTAACAACAATTTTTCTATTAGATGTGTTGAAAAAGTAATCCACGTTTTTAACATTTAAATATAAAAGACCATAAGTTTCGTTAAAATAATTTTTATTCAACGAAGTAATCATCACTCGAAAGAGCAACCTTTTGCCAACGTTCTACAAGTAAAAACCTTCCACGATAATAAAAATCTTGGTCCTTAAAGGCGAAGAAAAGAGAACCTCGGTTTTGACATCTTCTTCGGAATTGAACCGTTTATTGGCCAAAAAGTTAGACAGAGACAAAAATAAATAATAATCAGATGGAGAAAGGTCTGGACTATAAGGTGGATATGCTAAAAACCTCCCATCCAACACTCTGGATTTTTTGTCGAGTCTGTAAAGAGACATGTGGTCGCGCGTTATCGTTCATGCGGTATCCATTTGTCCAACTTTTTCATAAAATTTATGGCATTCAAGCGTTTCCTTACGGTTGACCCATCACAATTTAATGTAAAGCCTATTTCTGAAGAGGTTAAACGAGGGTTTTCGAGAAGACAGCATCTTATTTGGTCATCCGGACAGGTCTCAGGGCGACCGCCATGTGGTTCATCTTCTAGGCTTTCATTACCACCTTTGAATCGTTGGAACCAAAAAACTAGCGGTATCATCAGTAACGGCGTCTTCGCCAAACGCATTCCGAGTTCGACGTGCAGCCTCCGCAGCTTTCAACCCATTTTTGAACTCATAAAGCAAATTTGACCGAATAACGATACTTGTGTATACCATTTTCAAACTAAAATGAAGGTAGTTTATTGTTGTCTTTCTAACAAAATAAATATGTCATTCGAAAGAGGAAAAGAATAAGCTTTTAAACGATATATATCGTTAACAAAAAATTAAAAATTGTTTAGATATATTTATTTAAACAAAATAACAAAATAAAAAACGTGGATTACTTTTTCACACACCTAATATATTTTAATAAAGATATTCAACTGTAAAAACAATTTTTCTAGTTTAGCTGTGACACGAACAGTTAGTTAAACTTACGGTATCCGGTACACATTCCATAATTTTCCGCAAACGATTTCTCGTCGATCATCTCGTCGATCATCTCGTCGACAACCAACTCTAAGAATGAAGAGCTTTGCTTAACACATTCACAATGACATTTTGGGCGTACAGTCGCGTAGTCGTTTACTGTTTTGCTAATAATTTAGTGTAAATTCAAAGATAAACATTCAAAGATAAAGATATTAGAGTGATTCGATAGCCCTGAATCTCTTTGTTGAAAACTCGTATTGCTCTGTTTCAGATTTTAATCCCAAGTCTTCCCATAGCTGCAATCGCAATCTATTATTCTTTGGCTAACGATAAACTTTCGACACCGATTCGGTTTGGCAAAAAAAAGATAATCTAGATAATCTAGACAAAATAATTCTAACTTTATAAGAAACCTTTTGGTCTACAGAAAAACTATATAAGAAACTTTATAAGAAAGTTATTCTATTTTAGGAAATGTGCCTTTAACAAGCTGCAAAGTAGCTCACAAAGTTGAGAAGCTGGTTAAAAAAGCCGTGTACGAACAGCCAAATAAACTCACCAGTTTCTATTTGTTTCTTATTCTTTGTATTAAGTTTCTAGAGGCTGGAGCTGCGGCTGAAGCTGTGGTTGAAGCTGCGGCTAGAGCTGCGGCTAGAGCTGTGGCTGAAGCTGCGGCTAGAGCTGTTTTTTTTCTTTGGGCATTTTCATCTAAGATTTGTTCTAAAAGAATCCAAAAAACCCAACAAATAGCTAGTCTTTTTTGATATTGAATGAATAAATAAATAAATTTAAAGCATTATTTTGCTGCTTGTGCACGGCATTGTTTTGACGAGCTGCCAAAAACTGTTCTTTCTTACAAGAACACAAGATTGACTTAGATTACTGGCTGCAAATGAGAATCTGAACAAAATTCTGTGGTCTTTCGGCATGATACTCGACAATTTTTGTGATTTAACGTTAAACAAGTAATCGAATTTCGAAAAAAAAGCAACTTTTTGTCCAATTTAGTTGCTCTGACGACTACAAAAACACGATTGCTACAATGTGGTCTTATTTCAGTTATGAGCTTTTCTTTGACATTGCTATATACAGCCAGTTTTGTATTTCGTTAATGTAAGACTTTTCAAAATCAAATTTCAAACAAAATCCATCTAACGTAAATACTTTAAACCCAATTAGAAGGGTATAGTTTAGTCAAAAATTTGAACGATTAACGGTTAATTTGAACGGTTAATTTGAACGGTTAATTTGAACGATTAATTTGAACGATTAATTTGAACGGTTAATTTAAACGGTTAATTTAAACGGTTAATTTGAACGGTTACTTTGAACGGTTACTTTGAACGGTTAATTTGAATGGTTAATTTGAACGGTTAATTTGAACGGTTAATTTGAACGATTAATTTAAACGGTTAATTTAAACGGTTAATTTGAACGGTTACTTTGAACGGTTACTTTGAACGGTTACTTTGAACGGTTAATTTGAATGGTTAATTTGAACGGTTAATTTGAATGGTTAATTTGAACGTTTAATTTGAACGTTTAATTTGAACGGTTAATTTGAACGATTAATTTAAACGGTTAATTTAAACGGTTAATTTAAACGGTTAATTTGAACGGTTAATTTGAACGGTTAATTTGAACGGTTAGTTTGAATGGTTAATTTGAACGGTTAGTTTAAACAATTAATTTGAATGGTTAATTAGAACGGTTAATTTAAACGGTTAATTTGAACGTATAAACTGATGTGGACTAGAATTTGGGTTAAGTTAAAGAGAGTGGATCCCTTTTGATATCCCGCCATCTCTAACATCACAACCCAACTCAACTCCTCCAACGTATTAGAGGGGAGTCCCTGTGAAATGACCGACCTGTACTGCAGTTGCATATACCCGGAAGATACGTATCTTTATTTACAGTAATACAATAAGATGAATAGATTAGAAATGAGTGTAAGGGGAAGGGGGTCTCCTAATGAGAGTCTCATTTGCCCTCCTAGGCAATCCTAAGGACCGCCCCTTCTCGGCAATAAAAGGGATAAGCACAGGGGAGAACACATTTGCATAAGAATAGACAAATCATTCAATAATAACAATAATAACTAAAATATCAGTTGGGCTCGGAGCTGACAAACGGTTAATTTGAGCGGTTAATTTAAACGGTTAATTCTCTGCGCTGATTTAAGCTACAGTGTACTTTTAGGTGTCAAATGATAGCCCATGAAAACTAGTTTTGTTTTGGTAACTAAAAATGTAGTTGGAAAGATCTAGAGACTGATAAAAAAGAAGGAGAAGAAGGAGAAGAAGAAGAAGAAGTTA